TATAATTTTTGTAATTTAAGTTTTTCAAGAAATGAAAATACAGATTAATTCTTTGGAGTTAAAGACTATTAGAAATTAAAATAAAAAAAATAAAAAACATTATTTCTTTAATATATATTCTAATATGATGATATAATTAAAAAAAATAAAAAAATCTTATAAGACTTTTCAATCAAATAATTCTCTCTTTAATTTGAGATTCATACCTTATTTTGATAAAGGCATTATAAGCTATATTCTATTCCATAAATATTTTAAAATTGTAAAATTTATAATGGCAACAAGTCATTTTACTTTTTCAATTTATTCTAAAATGGCAAAACTAATGACTAAATAAATCATTTAGCAAAAGTTAAAGTGGAGAAGTGAATAAATAAAAAAAGACTCAAAAAATGGATTTCATAGATAGATAAGCTATGATTAGGATAGATTTATTTTTTATGTTTAAAATTAATTATAATAATAAATATTTGTATAATTAAATAAAATGGAAAATGAACTTATATGGTATTATGTTGATACAAGTGAATAAGAAGCAGAGAAATAAACTAAAGGTCCTATATCAATAAGGGATATTGATGTTATGTTAAGAACTAGCATTATTACTTCGCGTATATAGTAATGTTAAAATTTAGATACCTATGTTTATAAGGAAGGATTTACAGATTGGAAACCAATATTTTTAGTTGAAGAATTAAAAAGTTGTTTGGATGAGTAAGAACATGAAATGGTGTAAATTACTTGTGGAAAAGATATAAAATTAGAAGATTAATAAGCATAACCAATATAGTAATAATAATAGGATGAAAATGATAAAGAGGAAATAGATGAATAATTGGAGGATGGTGAATCATTTTAATAATTAAATGATGAATAGAGAATGGAAATATTAAAGAAGAAGATAGAAAAGAATAGGAAGAAATCATAAAAAGAAAAAGAAAAGAAAAAGAATTAATGGTATACTCCAAAAATAAACACAAATGTTTATGTTGAAGGATTACCTAAGGATATAACTATAGAAGAGATGAAGATATTCTTTAGTAAAGCAGGAATAATTAGAATAAATCCAGAAACATTATAACCTACAATAAAAATTTATAGAGATTAAAATGGAAATTGTAAAGGTGATGGATTGATATCATATAAAATGGTAGAAAGTGTATAGACAGCAAGAGAAATGTTGGATGGTTTACATATTAGGCCAGATGTTATAGTAAAAGTGAGTGAAGCAGTATTTGAATAGAAAGGTTAATATCGTAAAAGAGAAAACAAAAAAATTGATAAATTATAAAAGACTTTAGCTAGACAAAAGGAAATGACATAAATGGCTGAAGAAGGATAAGAAGATGATGGTAAAGGATTAAAGATTTTAATATTTAAAAATTTATTTAGTCCATAATAAGCATAAGATTTAGAGTATATGAATCAAATTTATGGTGAATTATTATTAAAAATAGAAGCTTTATAAATTTATGTACAAAAGCTGGAATTTTTTAAGGATCATCCTTAAGGTAATATTATTATATTTAAATAAAGGTGTTGCTAAAGTTAAATTTCATTCTGCTTATGATGCTGAAATTTGTTTAACAAATTTAAATGGAGTTTAATTTAATAATAGGAAGATATTTATTTAATATTGGGATGGTAAAGAAAATTTTAAAACTGGTATTGAAAGTAAAGAAGTTGAAGAATAGAGATTAGAAGAATTTGGATAATGGTTAGAGGAATAAAATGATAGTGATGAAGATGAAAAATAAGATAATAATAAATGAGTGTATGATAATTTAAATTTATTTATTTAACTCCTAATTTTTTTTAATTATTTAATTTTGAATAGGTAATGAATAGAGATAATACAATTTAATACAGATCTCCATAATAATTACCATCTTCAAAAAAACCTAATATTGAAAATTGTCCACCATAAAGAAATACAAATGAATTTATTAAATAAATGAAAAAAAGAATAGATCAACCTCCTCTAAGTGTTGTAATCTAAAACTCTTAAGTCTAAGATGCATAATCAATTTTTATAGATGTTTCTAGAATTGAACAATAATCCAATAACTCAAATAACAGTTTTTTTGACCCATTAAAATAACCAATATTATGTCATAGGTCTAATTAACCTTCAAATTGTACAACTTAAAGAACAAATAGATATGATTTTTAAACAAATAGTAAACCCTATTTAGATTAAACTGATAATATGGGAATGCTTTTTATTTAACAATAAATGCTATAATTGTAAAACAAAAATATGATTTTAAAACAACAATTAGAAAAATAAGAAAGTTAAAGATTATTTTTTTAACAATAAATGCTTTAGTAATTTTAGTCAACATAATAATAATAGTAATAACCTATTGTTATTAATAATAATATAACCTCAAATGAAAAATAATAATCAAAATCTATTCCTCTATAAAATAATTTGGAAGAATCTTATTCTCCACCAAAAAAGATTTAATGCAAAAAACAATAATCTTAAGCTATATAGACAGATAAGTCTGCTTAAGATTAATCAATTATTCACATTAATGATTCTTACTAAAATGAGTCTTAATTATGTAATAATAATTCAATATAAATTAAATAATAACAATAAATAAAATCTTTTTAATAATAAAAGACAGGGATTGAATCTTTAACTTTTGGGACATAATAATCTCAAAGAAGTTTAATTATCTAACAATCATAATAAGAGTTGAAAATATAAAATTATGAATCATAGAACCAGAATTAATAAAGTGATTAAAATCATATAGAATTTTAAAAAGAAATTGAATAAAATGATGTTTAAATTTAAAATTTCAAAGATATCTAAATTTAAAGAAAACATTCTTAAATAGATTTAATAAATTCCTCTTCTTTGTAAGAATAAACTTATAACATTAATAAAAAAGAATTAATACGTAAATAATCTTAACCAAGTGTAAAATTAGAATTTAATTTTGAAGATGAAAAAAATGAATAAAGTAAAAAATCTCTTGCAGATTATTTCTCATAAAGAAAGAAAACAGTTAATGTTGAAAGAAGAGTTTCAGTTTAGATGCCAATATAAGAGGAAGATTAGAGTTGGATTGTAAATGTTAAATAAAGAAGTAAAGAAGAATAAATCAAATTAAGAAAGGAAATGATGGAATATGGAAGAAATAAAAGATAATAAAATAAAAGTTAAACACCAATAATTGAAGATTAAAGTAGTGCAAAAAAAGAATAAATTAAAAGAATGAAAAGTCCATTAATGGAAAGATTAGCTTTAGGATAAAAAGCAAAAGTAATTATGAACTTATTTAGGTTGAAGAAAAGGAAATGTTTGCATTAACGAGAAAAAATTATGAAAATTTGCCAGAAGTAAAAAATAAAAAGAATTAAGAAGAAATAAATAAATAAAAATAATAGTTTATGAAAGATAGATAAAATAAATTAAAAGAATTAGATGATGTAAAATATTCTTTAATTTTAGAAAATTAAAGAGAAAATGAAAAAGCCATGATTTGATATTTAATAAAATTTTCTTATAAATATACTTTATAATTATCACAATTTTGGAGTATACCCTATTTATGGAAGTTCTCTCAAAGTACATAAAGTCCTAATTTCAGAAGACAATTTGATTTATAATTTTAATTTATCTATTGAGATCTAAGATAATTTTCTAAACTAATTAAATTGTTTACTTTTATATAGCTAGATCTTAGAATATTATTTTGAATGGGAAAATAGGAGTAATGTAAGATAAATCACAAATAACACCTTCAGTAGAATGGTAAATATTAAAGGAAATGATCCCTAATAATTATCCTAATGAATTAAATAGTCCTCCTCCACTATAACCATTATGAATGTAACAATCTGTCACAATTGAAATGATTTCATTATGTTAGTCATATATAATTTTAATAATTGACCCTTTGGCTATACAAGGCTTATATTAAAATAGAGTATATAAATACCCAACAGCATAAACTGTAGATCCTACCTCAGGAATTTCTGAGAAAATAATATCTTCTATATTAAGACCTTATAAAATAAAGTTCTTAGCTTTTCCTAAAGCAAAATCCATATTGTTAAAAGATTCCTCCATTATAAATGCTTCATATTGTTCTACTCCAATTAATAATTTTGATCCTTTCTTATTTTCTGACAAAATATGATTCGCAGTTATTATATAACTTTATTAATTCTGCGTATCATTTATCAAAATCCCGCTGCCAAATTAACCAGCCCCTTATGAAATATATTTTGTAGCTTTAAGCATTTAATCGATAAAATCATATTTAAATTATGACAGACTAAGTTTGTAATTTAATTTATATAAAATAGAACTTATAACTACCCAATTTATGCAAAATGTACAGTATCTATTATTTATTCTGCTTATTTTAATATTTTAAAGAAGCATTCCAATGTATTCTCCTTTTAAATTAAAAATAGATCCTCCTTCTTGACCTATTTAACTAACCATTCCCAACATCATTAATTATTTTGATGAATTTTAATTTGTGAATATTTATGAGACTTATGCCTTCCGATAATATTATTATTATATTCTTTTAAATTTCAACAATTAAGTAGAACTTGTTATCAAAACTTCCTCTCCTTATACTAAAAATTATTTGCAATATTTTGGAATATTTTAAAAATTATTGATTGTAGGAACTTCAAAATAAACAATAAATGCTAATTCTATTTCAATGTAGCAAGTATTTAATTATTCTGCAATCCAATCATCATAATTTAGGCAAATTAAATTCAATCTAATCTCCTTATCATCTTATAATAATAAACTAAATTCAATATGCTATGATATAATATTTATATTAAATGATTTTATTGCCTAAGCAAATTTTGCTATGAGATATCCAGTTGAAATGACTAAATTATGATTTTCTTTAAATTTGTGAAAAGAGCAATTTTATTAGTGAATTTTATTTTTTTAATTAACAGTACTAGGAGTTTCTACATTTTAAATAAGTTCTATGAATTTTGGATGTTCAGATGCCATCCTTATAATTCCTCCAAAATTTTCCATTATGTAATAATAATTTATTATTATTATTCTTAATTAATTTTTAATTTAAATTGAAGTAAATTCTTATTAAAACAAACTACATTATTTTATTAGAAAACTTACAATGACTTTAATATTAACACAAAGTATTTTTATAATAAAAAAATATTATCAAATCAATGGATAAGTTTATTTGGAAGATTGTTTATCTTAAAAATTACATGAACTATTTTATTTTCTTTTGTAATCGTTATAAAATCTAATATTGTTTAATTTTTCTGCTTAATCTTTTTCAATCTAACTATATCTAGTTAAAGATGCTTCTATTGAATGTAAATTTAGCTATAATTTATATTTTAGATATACATCAAAACTAATTTTTTGTAATTAAGATAGCTAAAATTCAAATAATGGAGACTTTTCTGAAAAATTTTGATCAATATAACTTTAAATTTTTATTAATTTGCCAAGATCTAATCTCATTTTTAGTTTTTTAGGGATTATTTTACAATTATCTTTATATTTCCATCCACTTAATCCCAAAAGTTGTTCAAAAGAAGGAACATGCATTTCAATATCAAAACTATCTAACAAATTATAAAATTGTAAAATTTACCTGCATTTAATAAAATTCCTTTTATTAGTGTTGGGTCATTAGATATATTATGTATTTCATAATCAACTCTAACCTAAAGAAAATTACCTTTTATTTCAGTTACAAATATATCCTGCAATTCGAATTTATTATCAATTGTTCTGGAAAATTTATCTTCATAATCTATTAATAATTTTTTTTCTCTTAAAATTTCAGTTTTTTCATCAAATATTTCTGGTATTTTTGAGTATATTTTTGTTTTTCTAACTCTTAATTCTGCTTTATCAAACATCATTTTAATTAAATTCTGATCTGAAGAGGATTGAGGAATAATTATTTAAGAATTTTTAATCAAAATTTAATAATTGAATTATTCTTTACTTAATTCAAAATTTTCTTATTTTTTTAATTGTAATTAAAGTTCAAAATCATTTTAATATCTTTCAGCTAAATCTTTTTTATTTTTTTCTAATATTCTCTCAATTTACAATTTAAATGCATCTAATTCATTTAGATATCTAGATATCATATAAAATTAAATATTTTCAATATGAATTACATTGTTCTCTAAAGATATTTTCATTTCTTGTTGTCCGTTTTATTAAATTAAATTTGGATAATAACCTTATTATCCTTGAGTAAATTATGGTTTAAGTTCAATTTATTTAAGAGAAAATTCTAACTCTTGATTTAATCTTTTTTTGATTTAAATTTAAAAAAAGTTTAATTCAAAAAATTCTATTTCTTTTTCTTAAAGGGATATTTATAATTCTTCGATATTCAAATCTAAACATATATTTAGAGATGATTAATGATATTTATTATCCTTTAAAAATAAATTGATTATTTAAGGTTATTCAAATCCTAAAAGCTCTAATTCTTATAAAAAAATGTATTTTATTAAATGTTGTCTAAGTGAAATAGATTCCTCAATATTAATTAAATAAAAACTATTGATAGCTATAAGTAAATCTTAAACTCTTTATTAAGATAACAATATTTGTCCTTATTAAACTTATAGATGAATTTTTGGATTAAGATTATGAAATTCTAATGTTATTGTTATTGCAACAGGTTTATCAACTTTTCTCTTTTCTTACTAAAAATTAGATTTATTATTTGAAGTTTTATCTTTCTTTGGCATAGTTAATAAGTTTTCTTTTTAACTTGTAAGATTATTTGTTATTCTTATTGAAATATTTTCTACTTAAAATTACAAAGCATCAGATAATTTGGAAATGTGAAGTAATTTCATCTTAACAATACTGACTGAATTAAAACTAAATTTAATTTTACGACATTTCATAATTTTGAAATCATCGTATTAAAAAATTTAAGTTTAATTTGATTTTAATTTTGAAAGACTTTCGATCATTCCTAAACTTGAATTCTTATTATGAAGACTTGATTTTATTGGATTTATTTAAACATTTACTAATTCTAGATTAAGCATAACTTTAAGATTTTATAATTTAAAATAAGATTCATTAGATTTTAAATATATTTATTAGAGATTAGCTGAAACTATCATGTCTTCAAAGATTTTAATTGGTGATTCTTTTAATTTATGAGTTTAAACTTAATCCTTTGGTTTTGCAAAATAGTAAATATTATCATGAACTTTTTAAATTATTGATTATATTTTATTAATATTTTTAAATGTAGTTAAAATATTACATGCAGCATATTAGTTTTAAAAAACAGCTTTGATAGTTTACAAAGATAAAAATAATTTAATTTTAGAGTTTTTATCATTTTTATAATAAACATCTTTACTTTAAATTAATTCACTTCTTAATGGTTTATTGTAATACAATAAAATATATAAAGATTGATCAATCTATTTTATTTAATTATCTTTTAATTATAAATTTAGATCAATTTATTTATCATCTAGATCTTAAAGACTTATTTCTGATTTAAACATATCTTTTTCATTACTTCTACAATAAAATATGAATTTATCATCTAATTTTTACCAAAATGAATTTTAATCCTTTACTTTAAAAGCAGGATCTACTAAAATATAATTGGTTTCTCTTCTAAGTTTTTCAGGTATATGAGACTAACCTGAATCTCTTTTTGAAGATGGATGAAACCTTGACAATAAGTTTTCTTACGATAGATGTTTTTCTGATTAATTTCCTGAAGCATCCCCATCTTGTTCTAATTTTTAAACACTTCTAACAGAAGCACCATTATTTTTAAATTTTGATGCTGAAGAATGTATTATAAGATTATCCTTAAAATAACCAACATCTCTAGTAATAATTATAATTGGAAAGGCTATTATAGATTTATAATATCCATGGTTAGTTCCTTTTGGAGTACTCTAAAATGTAATTTTTATCCCTTAAGTTTTTTTAAGTTAAAATTCTTCTTTAAAACCATTCTCCAATTTAAGACATTCATCATTCAATATATGAAACCATGAAGGAATTAATGATTAATTTTGATAATTTTAAATACTTCCAAAAAGTATGTTTAATAAACTAATTGTTTTTCTGTATTTTAATATACAATGTTTACAATCAGTACTTTATTCTTTATGATCATGAAATAAAGTTTCAAGTTCAGCCTTCAATAAACTATCTTACCCTATCCTTACTTTTTATTATGGAACAGTAGCAAATTAAAGATTATTTTTCAAAATTACTAAGAATTCTATAAAACAAATGAATGAATCATTAATTCTTAAATTAAAATATGGTATTTAGATATATAATTTCTAATCAGTTAACAAAGCATGATTTTGAATATTAGACAAAAATTTAAGAGCTACAATTTTAGTTTTTAAAATAGTTTATTTTATTCCTTTTATATGAAATTTGCTATCATTTGGTTTTTTATATTATTTATTAGTTTATTATTATTAAATTAAAGTAGGCTATTTTTAAGTTTTACAAAATAATTTAGGATCAATACTTTTTGAAATTTATTTTGAATTTTATTCAGGTTACTAATTTGTATTTTATTTACTTATAGGTTATTTGATATTTTGCTATGGAACTTTTTTATCATCTTAATATTATTCTTTTTCATATGATTTTAATTCCTCATTTTTAGATTTGTAATCAGGAGAAAAGTATTTATGAGCTATTTTAATTTGAGCTATAGATAATTTTAGTGCTGAATAATATTTATGATGTTATTAATAAAGAGTTTATTCATTTTTATTTATTTTAGAAGGGAATAAATCATCAATTTTAGTTGTTTAAAATGTCAAGTTTTTAATTTAAAATTTTAACTCAGTCTTTATTTAATTTGATATTTAATCAGATACAATTCTGATTTTAAATTTATCAGTTAATTATGCTAAGAATTTAATTTAATGTGATTTAGAATGTTCTTATGATAAAGGTTTAGATTTTAAAATGCATTCTAATAATTTATGATCTTAATTAACATAAAATTATCTTTAATTCATAAAACTTGAATCTAATCCTTTTGAAAAATCTAACAATGAAATTAGACTTTTTGTAGAAAGGAAAAGTGAAAATCTTTAAAAATGAACAGTAATGTGTTCATTAGTTTATTCATCATTAGTTTATTAAGATGATATTTTCTTTCTTTTTTCATTATTTGGAGATATTTTATATTCTGATTTTTAACCTTCAAGATATAATGATATTTCTAAATTAGGAGTTGTGCAATCAGATGAATCTGTTAATTTATCTTTAAGATTTATAATACATAATGGAAATATTTTATCTCCAAATTCTTCAATAAAAGATGCAAATAAAGATTTCTTTAAAATATCTATTAATTTATTATGAACTTCTTATAAATATCTATGTTTATTAGAACATGATTGCCAAAATTATTCATTTTCACCAAAACCTAAATTAGATTTATCTTACATTGCTGCCTATTTTAAAAAAGCCCATCTATTTTCATATTTGGAATGTTTAATAACATGCAATAACATAGATTCATCCATATCATCTTTTTCGTCTTTTTCATTGTATATAAAATATTTATCGTAACTTTTAAATTAATCTGATGAAAAATCTTGAAATGCATGTTTATCATTTTCATAATCAATAAAAAAACATTTAATGTTATTCATTTAATTCTAAACTAAAAACTCACATAATGTTTAAAAACATATTTCACTACTAGAAAAATATTATTAATCTTTAGTTACTGAAACTTCAAATATATCATTTATAAATTCTGATAACTTTGCTCTTGTATATATTTTGTTTTTAAATTTATAATTTTTCTTCTCAAATAAAGGAGATTATTTATCCTATTAATCATCAGAATCTATTTTTTCTTCCATTAATTTAGGAATCATACCAGGAGATAACATTTTAATTTCTCCAATTAATATTTTTTAACCTTCCTTCTCATTAGTTTTTATTCTTCCGTTTTAATAAATTGAAATTGGTATTTTTATATTTATTAAACTGATTAACAAAATTAATTTATTACTTCTTTTTGATTCAAAATTATATTTTGACATTGAATTATTATTTTTTTAATCCTAACTTGATATTATAGAATATTAAGAATCATCTTTATTAAGATCTTCTATATCTTCATAAAAACTATCTATTTCTTTAGCAGAATGAAAAGTTCCTTCTTCATTATTTTTTGATGTTTATTTAATAACTTCTGATATTGATAAACTTTAATTAAATGATGAACTCTTTTTTTTATCTAATTATGGTCGTTTAATAAGCTGAATACATTTTTTACATTAACAAGAAGAAAATATTTTAGTATTTTTTGGACAATAAGCAGCAATATTTGGAGGACGATTTTCTAAGATTATTAAAAATATTGAATGAATATTAATGTAAATCCATGTTTTAACTTAATCAGGATCATTATTTTAGCCTTTTAAATAACTAGAAAGTACTTATGTTTTATCTCTTTCAAGTATTTCATATAAATTAATTTTTTCATCATCCTCCAATTCTATTGGAATATCATCATCTCTTTTTTTTTAATCTTTAAAAGAATTCTAATTATTTATTGTATTTGTCCATATTTCTAATACAGGTTTTACACTTTGCTAGTTTTGTCCATCTTTTGATGAATGATAATATCTTTTAGCTTCTATTCTAATTTCTTAAAATGCCCATTCTCTATACTTTAATAAATCTTTTAAAGACATTTATTCTTCACATTTCTTAAATTTTGTTTCATCCTATATTGTCCAACTTGTTAACCAAGGAACTAATATTATTGTCTATTTTCTCTTATATAATTCTATGTATCTTTTCATTTACACCAATCTCCTTGAACTATATCCTAAATCCAATTTATGATTCTTTTAATTTTGCATTACAGCATTTATTAGATATTTCCACCATTCACCTTAATTTCCTTTTATTTCACATTTTGGTCGAAAATGAAAATTATCTTAAACAACTTCTAAGTTTTATAGTACTTCGTTTAATTTTACTAAATAATTTTTAGATTCCTTATTAATTTAAAATATGATAGGATTATCAATTGTAACTTCTATACTTTGTATTGGTTTATTCAATTCTTCTTAATTCTTATATATGGTTAATTTTATTGTTATATCAATAGGACTTAATAAATGTTATTCTTCCTTCTTTTGTTCTTCCTTCTTTGAATCTTCCTTCTTTTTTGGAATTTTCAGATATGTGATTCCAAGTTTCTTTATTTCAATTAATTTGTAGATACAATTTAAATCGCTATTAAATTTTTAGTGAAACTATTTATCAGTAGCCTTTATATTTATATCTGCCTTAATTTTTAATTATGTTTCATAACCAAATATTGATTAATTATAAAATCTTAGAAAGAATGATTTTACTTGAACTGACATATTATTGTAAATTCCATCAACAATTTTTTGAATCCAATTAGGAGGAGATAATTATTCAAAATATTTCGCCATTTATTCTTCCCAAATTTTTAATTTATGTTTTTTCAAATTTTCTACTCCTTGCTATGATTATTGTTCTTTATTTGATACAAATAAATTTGCTTCTTATATTGTGCAAACTTATAGATCAATTCCTTCTATTATCATTTCTGGTTATTATTATTTATAATTTAATGGCATCTAAAATATAATAGCTTAATACATTTATTGTTATTGAATTTATCTTTCCATCTATGATATACATAGGAAATGAAAAATTCAATAAAGCTTATTTCTTTATTTGCAAATTCTTCAAGATTATGTTTGATGAAATGCCCAAAGAAAACTATTATTTTTAATTATTTTCTTTACTTTGGCCATATTGTTTTATGAGAAATCTTACAAGTATTCCAAAAGGTATGATTAAAGTCTTTTAACAAAATATTCTTCAATTTCTTTAGCCATTTGAATAATCAATAATTATTATATTTAAAAACCTATAAAGAAATATAATTTCACGAGATCTATTTTATTTACGAACCTCTAGAACTTTTTCGTATAAATTGTTAAGAGAGAATTTTGGTTTATGATTCATTATCTTTCTTTAGTTTCATATTTTTAATAAATTTCTTAGCCATCATTACAGTCCATAGTTTATTGTCATCTGATTTTATAGTTAATTTAGTTTATTATTTATTTGGTCGACTCTTTACTATTTCATAATGTCTTTCTTTTTATTAATTGAAATCCATTTATTTTCTTCTCATTTCTTCTACTTCATTTTATAATCTCATAAAAGTTTAAATATCTGAACAATCCATATCCACAACAATTTCTCTATCAATTTTATACTCTTCTAATGTAGCTAATTCATTATTTATAAACTCTTAATTTTATTTTAATCCTCTTAAAAGTTGAATATCTTTTTTTATTAAAGCTGGTCTAAATGCTTTTAGAATTTTTTATTTTTTTGTAACTATTGATTACTTTTATGATTTATTATTACTAACTAATTATAAAGTATTTTATGATTATAAACTTAAATGATTAGTTAAAGTTAAATTTTTGAGATTTTAGCTAGCTTACATATTTTCTTCTTCATAAAAATTGGAATGATTTCGAATTTTTTCTGATGCTTAATCATAACCTAATTCTGAGTCATAACTTTCTGAACTACTAGGATCAGAAACTTAAAGAATAAAATCATGATCTTTTTTTTTTTTATGCTCTAACAATTAAAAATCTTCTAATAAACTAGAAGAACTTTCTTCCTCCTAAAATTCTGTTTAGAACTTTTCTTTCTCATCGTTTTCTTACTATTTGTGTATAAACTTTTTCTTTTAATTTTAGAATTAAAACTTGCATTTTTCCTATATAGATTTTCGAGACTGAGATCTTATTCTAGTTTTATGTTCTGGATCTTTAGTTATTTTCATTTCAGTATTTATTAGAGTTTAAAACTTAAAAGCTCCAATTCCAATATCCATTATAAAATATTTATTTTTATATGCATAAATTTGTGACTCCCGAAACTTTTGTTCATAAAATTGAAAATGATTATTTCATCAAAAAGAAACCCAGTCCTGATTAAAGAATTGGAAAAAAGAAGTAAACTGAATAAGATTATGAACTCTATCAAAATCTTAAAGATCTTAGAAATAATAATTAACTAATACGAAATTAATAAGGTTCACTTAAAATAATTAACCCTTTGAGTAAGTAAATTAATATGATGGAAACAAAAAAGCAATAACAAGAAAAGAAAATGAGAGAAACTCAATTTTAATTGAAAAAAAAAAGTATGCTTAATGAAAATCAATAAAAGTTACAATCTGATTTAAAAAATTTAGACAAAATTAGTGTTAGTGCCTTTAAGGATTTTAAAGAATAAGTTAATCTTTATAATAAATATTACAGCAATACAATTGGATCAGAACCAGAAATTAAAGACATTCAGTATGAGGACTTAAATATTCCTTATTAATACGTTGATAATGGAAGTAGGTATACCTATAGAGAAATATTAAATCATTAAATTCCTGAAATAAACTATTAAAATGATTAAGCAAAGAATTTTATGGAGTATTATTAAATTATAACATAATTTTAGAACAATAACCTAATTGAAATTTTCAGATGAACAATTGGAGAATAAATTATTAAACAATTTAAAATAACACATTGTTGTAAGAAAATTAGATTAAATGGAAAGTGATTATTTAACAGCAATAAAAAATAATGATTTATCAAGTTTAAAACTGATGCTTATATCCGATGATACTTTAGTTAAAATAAAAGATTTTGTAAAATATAATTATATACATTATAGATAGGGTAAACTGGATTGCATTTGGCGGCTAAACGAAATTATTATGATATATGTTAGGAGCTGTTAAATTAGAATATTGATGTATTTGCGATTGATTATGTAAATTTAATGTAAAAGTAAGGCAAGTAGAACGGCTAGGTAATTAGCAGAGAAGTATAATTATTTTAAGGTTGCTAAGTTAATATAGATGGAAGAGGATTAACAAAATAAGAAGAGAAATATTCAATAATGAAATACTTTATTATTTATAATAATTCAAAACAATATATAAATTGTAAAAAATAAATAAATATCAGTGATTTTAGTTGATGATAAATGTAAATGATTTATTAAAATCATCTGAATCATATATAGTAAATTAATTATAAAAGAGATACTTGAAAATGATTAATATTCTTATTTATATTAATAATAATGGAAATCGATGTTGATAAAGTAAGTAATTTAAAAGTATGAAGATAATTGAAAAACTGTTAGAGAGCAAAGGAGCAAAATAAGGGAAAGCTGTAAACTTAACAGAAAGTGAAATACGTTCTTTGTGTATTAAAAGCAGAGAGATATTTTTAAGTCAACCAATGTTGCTAGAATTGGAAGCTCCAATAAAGATATGTGGTAAAATTGTAAATGTAGGTAGGTGATATACATGGATAATACACTGATTTGCTGAGATTATTTGAATATGGAGGGTTTCCACCAGAGGCAAATTATTTATTTTTAGGAGATTATGTAGATAGAGGAAGACAATCTTTAGAAACTATATGTTTATTATTGGCATATAAAATAAAATACCCTGAGAACTTCTTTTTATTGAGAGGTAATCATGAATGCTCATAAATAAATCGTATATATGGATTTTATGATGAATGCAAAAGAAGGTACAATATAAAACTATGGAAAACTTTTACTGATTGTTTTAACTGTTTACCAGTGTGTGCAGTCATAGATGAGAAAATAATCTGTATGCATGGAGGTTTATCACCAGAGTTAACAAATTTGGAGTAGATTCATCGAATAATGAGACCGATTGAAGTGCCAGATACAGGTTTATTATGTGATTTGTTATGGTCAGATCCAGAGAAGGAAATTCAAGGTTGGTAAGGTAAATTATAAATAAAAATATAATAAAGATAATGAGAGAGGAGTTTCATATATTTTTGGAACAGATGTGATAGCAAATTTTTTGAAAAAGAATGATATGGATTTAGTGTGTAGAGCTCATTAAGTGGTTGAAGAAGGATATGAATTTTTTGCAAAAAGATAATTAGTAACTTTGTTTTCAGCACCAAATTATTGTGGTGAGTTTGATAATTCAGGTAAGGAATAAAATTAATAATAATATTAGGAGCCTTAATGAGTGTAGATGAAACTTTAATGTGTTCATTTTAAATATTAAAATCATAAGACAAGAAAAATATTCCATAAGGTAGACCAAGAACACCGAAATACGTTAATTGATATTAATAAATGTTATTAAAGATAGAAATTAAACTGATATAAATTTTTTCATTTCATTAAAATCATTTCCTAAAAGTATAATAACTAATAATACTTCGGCTAGACTAGGATGAATAGGGACAGTGTTATCAAAATCTTTTTTAGTACATTTCATTTTCATAGCAACAGCAAACCCTTAAGTAACTTCAGCAGCTTCAGGACCAACGTAATGAAATCCAATGATTCTATCTGATTATTTATGAACAATCAATTTGCCTCCACAATATTTAGCATCATCTCTTTTTCTAAATCCCCATTATAAAGGTTTAAAATGGGATCTATAAATTTTGATTCCATCTTATCCATATTTTTATAATGCTCTTTCTTCTGATAATCCAATACAACCGTATTCTATAGGAGTATAAATAGTAGTAGCAACATCTGCATAATCCATGATTTCATTGCTATCTCCATAAAGTCTTTTAGCTAATTTTCTACCAGCCATAACAGCAATAGGTGTATATTCTAATCTATTTAAACAACAATCACCAATTGCATAGATATTATCAACTGTTGTTCTATCATAATCATCAGCTATAATTTTATAATTTCTAGCATCAATCTTTACACCAATCGATTCTAAGTTTAATTATTTTGTGGATGCTTATCTACCGATACCATATAATACTGTATCATAAGTATCTTCTTCTTCTACTCCATCACGTACCCATTTAACTAATCTTCTTTTACCATCATCTATTGCTTATATTGATTGTAATTATGCTCTCTTTGTAAATTTTATTCCATTCTCTGACATATATCCTTCTACTTTAGAAGCCATCTCCTAATCAAAATTTCTCATCACTCTTGTTCTTACTAATACTGTAGTATCATATCCAAAACCATGTATAAATCCTGCACATTCTAAACCTACATATGATGCTCCTATCACCAATGTCTTTCCTGGTGCATTTGTCTATTAAAATACATCCTCTGATGTTATTACTAATTTTGGATCTTAATATAACATTGGTCTTGATCCTACACATACTATTATATTCTTTGCACTTATCACTTCTTTCTCTCCTTTTATATCTGTTAGCTACAATAATATAAATTTATATCATATTCTTACTTCTATCGTATGGCGATCAATAAATTTTGCAAATTTGTTATAATAATCGATACCATGATCCTTTAAAGAACTCTCTTAACGTACATTTAATTCTTTTATGTGTTTTTATACTGTCTCAATCAACTATTACCAATTATGTTTCCCATCACAATCTATCCCAGAAAATCCTGCTGCTATCTGATCTTTTCGAATTTCACCCATTCTTGCTGAAAATGGCATCAATTTTGTAGGCACACATCCAACATTTACACATGTACCACCTGTTCCCCATGTTGTTGCATGAGGACTAGGAGTTGCAAAATCTGCCATCCCTACTTTTTTTCCCAATAATGCTGAAGCTTTCGAAGATGCTAAACCTCCAGCTCCTCCTCCTATCACAAACAAATCGTACTAAAATTTTTTTAACATAATTTTTAGTTTAGTATAAAATAATATATGCTCATCAATTTTATAATTCTTGTTGTAATTCTATGATTCTATTTTAATACTTTGCTCTGTACAATTTATAATAAATCTCCTTCATTTTTAATAAATCTAATTGCTAAGAAATCTACACTATTTATTTATTGATCAATTGAAAATGATGCTGAATGTATTAAATTAAGCGATCTTTTTTTACTACTAAAAAGAACACTACTATGTAACTTATGCATATTCCCATCAGTAATACATGAATCCTTATAAAAGCAGATAATATTAAGAAAATAAATAAAAAGATCACAAATGTTGTGAAACCTATTCTTAATATTTTATCATTCTTCTTTTATTTTAACATCGTTAATAGCAAATATATTTATTCTCGCAATTGTGTGTACAATTAATGATTCTGTTCTAAAAACTGCTAATTTTAACAATTTAGGTTTAATATTTAGTCAATCTAGTTTAATGTATTTATTTGAATTCTAAGATCCATTCCTTTTTATTTAAAAATAATTATTATTTAAGACAATGATTTTATTTATTAGGTATTTAATAATTAATTTTTGATTTCTTCTTGGTTAATTATTTATTTAATGTTTTTTATAATTGTTTTAGTCCATAACGTTCTATAGGTTTAATCTAATCGGTAAACATCTCCATTTAGCAGGATTATTCGAGAAGAAATCGATGAAATAAATTACTATACCTCAAATGTCAATTAATCTATATTGCTTCAATTCACAAAGTATTAATCAACATTATTAGTTATTTGGGAATTTTTGATATATCATTAGCTTCTTTAAAATAAGGGAAACTATCCTAAATTGCAAAAGAAGATCTCTAAAGCTATAATTTGAAGGAAGGTTGCTAACCTTCTGAAGGAGATGTAAAATATAAACAATTGTTTAATCTAATACCATTACTGAATGATGAGACAATTGATAACACATAAGGCAAAATTATTGGGCTCTACACTACAACTAATAATATTTTTGTTGTAAGAAGCGATCTTAAATTGTTTATTTTGAAACTCTTCTATGATTTGGATGCTTAAGAAATTGTTGATTTAAAATAGGTATCCTATGTAGACTTTAAAACTATTTTACTAAATGAAACTGTAACCTAAAATATTTCAGATTCCTTTCTGACATGTTATCAACTTTAGACAGAGCTTATTGATTGTTATGTCTTTACAGAACTAGGTACAATTAAATTTTCATATAACTAAGTAGAGTAAATTATGTTAACATATGAAGAAATAAAATTTTGAGTTTAAATTAAATAAATGTAGAATTAAGTGCTAAAATTAAAGATGTACATTTGGATTACTAAAACAAATTGCTATTAATAATGAGTTAGATGGAAGTAATAGTATTTTAATTGCGTGCTGATGGAAGTTTAAGGGAAATATAAAAATTGATCCTTAGTGCTGACGCTAATTTGATGTAGGTAAAAACAAATAAAAATGGAACTCATATATTTATTCTGGATAAAAAATTAGGTGTTTTAATATATTAGATTGATAAATTGAATTTTAACATTAAATAGTGTGATTAGAATATTTAGATTAGAGGAGGTAGAGCATTTGATTTTTCTGAAAAAACAATGTACATTCTATTGGAGACAGAGGATGAATTTCTTTATGTTCTAGAATTATTTTATGATTTAGAAGAAAAAGAATATTATTTTAATAAAATAAGATTCGAGGAACAGGAAATACATGATGTATACGTCGGTGAAACATTAACAATTTTGATAGGGAGTGATGTGCATTCAATCATAGAAAATTAGATTTATCATAAATTTTAACAAACCGAAAAATAAGTCTTATTCAATAAAAATAATTTAGTTGAGTTGAATGGATTGTAATTACCTTGGGTAAAATAAGTTAAAGATGGTTATCCATTTGAGTATGGTCTTTTAGAACAAATTAGGTTTAAATATGATGAATAATATATGGTAGGAATGACTGAGAAAGAAATAAACTTGTTTGTTTTGAATAAGATATTTGCTTGGGTAGTGTGCAAGGCTGAGGATGCAAAAAGAGAAGTAAAAATAGTGTGAATGTAGATTTATTAGCTTAGAATAAAATCGAAGAGATGCCCATCAATGGAATAAGATATTGATCCATTTATTATATGTGATTCTAGTTTAAACTTTACTTTTGAAGGATTGGAAGTTTATTTTTATGAACAGAATACAACATAATTTCTTGTAATTGTATGTTTTGTAATATTAACATTAATTGGATTGGTGGTTACATTTTTATTTTTTAAAAATAAGAATTATATAGAGGCACCTAAGGAATTGTATGAAACATAAATAACTCAAAAGGATGATAATTATTTAGATTCATAATAGATACCTACACAGCCATGATTTGTTATTAAAAAATAATAAAATGATTTTTATAAATATCAAACAAAATAAATGTCTTAAGAAAGGCTTTTATAAGGAGATTAATCTTAGCCTAATGTTCTTTAAAACTAGCAAAAAAATTTGTAGTAAGGGAGTGGAGATGAACATTAATTTGATGTATAAGAAAATGAGAAGGATGAACTTTTGAAAAAGATTGAATAGCTTGAATAAAAGTTGAAGAATACGATAGATGACAAACCTTATAGTGAATTGATTCGGATATTAATATGGGAAGCCTTAGGAACAGCATTTTTTGCATATGGGATAGTATGTTCAAGAGGAAATGATGTAATGTTGAGTGTATATTTATTTGGAGCAATATTTTTAATTGGTAAGATTACTGGAGGACATGTTAATCCTGCAGTATCAATGTCATTCTATAGTTCAAATGAGATTAGTGCATTTACAATGAGAATATATTGGGCAGCATAAGTAGGTGGTGCAATAGCAGGTGCATTAGCTGCTTTTGTTATTGTTGGAAGAGTTACATCCCCATACATAGAGACCTAACCTATTGAGTGGATGGTAGCTGATTTTTGTGGAGAAGTATCATTTTATATTATTTTATTAAGGCCTTAGGAACATTTATTTTTTGTTTATTTATTCATATACAAGTACATCCATAAACCTAACTTACTGATAACAATTTAATAGGAATTGGAATTATAGCAACAGCATTATATTTTGGTAGGATTTTAACATATCATACTGGAGGTAAAAACATTTATCCATTCTTTATTTAGGTTGTTTGAATCCAGCTATGGGAGTTGGATTAGGCATTTTTGAGTCTCTTTAAGATGGCAATTGGGATCGTATGATTAATATATGGATCTATATATTTGGCCCCTTTTCAGGTGCCTCTTTAGCTTCAGAGTTTTATAGAAGTGTATATGTAGGCTTATTGCCTAAGAAATAATGATTATTAAATTTAATATATATGAAGATAATTTTAGGCCTCTTAACCATTATCTTAGGGTTATGTCATTGTAGTATTATTGAAACAACAACACCTTGTACCTGCTAATAATTATCTTAAAATGATTGCGTAAAAAATAATGCTTGCTCTTGGAATAAAACATGTGATATAAAAACTATAACCTAATCTAAAACAAATACATATTGCAGCTACTTAAATGAATTGTAATGTTAATAAGATGATGTTTGTTAATGGGTGAATAGTGAATGTAGTTTTTTTACAGGTTGTACTCCATATAAATTAACATCTGATAGAGAATGTAAAAGTATAAATAAGAGATGTTATAAATCTGATCTTAAAAAATGTGTAGAATTGAAAGAATGTATTGAATATACAAATCCTATTGTTTGTTTTATGGATGTTAATTAAAGATATTGTTATTGGGATACAAAAACTAATAGATGTTCAAAGGCTTTAGATTGTTAATCATAACCTTCAGCTTTGGAAACTGATGCTAAATGTAGATCATAAATAGTTACATGCACAACAAAACCAGGAGGTGGATGCACTGATGCTTAATAAAGTTGCACTGATATCACTCTTGAAATCCAATGTTTCTATAATTAAGATTAATCTTCAAAATGTTTTTGGGATAGTTCTTTAAATCCTCCTAAGTGTAAATTAAAGATTTGTGAAAATGCTCCTAGCACTCTTACAACAGATGAATAATGCAAAGAGTTTTTAGAGGAATGTACTACAAAAATAAATGGTGGTTGTGTTTTAAGATCAACTTGTGATGCAGCTACGACTAAAAGTGCTTGTTTCAAAGATATATCTGGAAATGATTGTTTTTGGGTAGATGGTTTTTGTAAATAAAAACAATGTGCTAATGCTACAAAAAATATTGTTACAAATATAGGATGTTAATCAATTAGTAAAGATTGCATAACTAAATCTGGTGGTGGTTGTATGAAAAATGGAGAATGTTCCATTGCAAATGTAGACTATGCATGCAAATAAAACTTAAAAGGGGAAGAATGCTTTTGGGATTCAGTTACTTAATTATGCAAAGATAAAACTTGTATTAATGCTCCTTAAAATCTATCAACATTTGAATAATGTAGTAAATTCTTATCTACTTGTACTGCTAATTCACTTAAACAAGGATGCGAAAATAGAACATGTGAAAATGCACCTGTTTTTGTCACTACTCTTAAAGGATGTTAAGAATATTATAATGAATCATGTATCCCTAAATTAGACGGTGGATGTATTACAATTAAAACTTGTGAAGAGATCTAAGTAGAAATTGCATGCACTTATGATAACTTGAAGCGTCCTTGCTTTTGGCATATTGATAAATGTAAACCTAAAATATGCTCAAATATTCCAAAGACCAAGTATGATGAGGAATCATAAAATTAAGTACCTATCACACTTGACCATTACAAGTGTTATGAGTTTATGGAAACATGTACAATAAATTAATCAGCTACTGATTGCGTTAATTATACATGTGATAATGTCGAAGATTAAGAAATTTGTATTTAGAACTAAAAATGTTATTATCGTTAAACATGCTTCATTAAAACATGTTTCACAGCTCCATTATCTTATATAACTCATTCTTAGTGTTTTCAATATAAAAATACTTGTACTCTAGCTCCATCAGGATAAGGATGCTCCATTATGTTATAAAGTTGTAACTAATATAGAATCTAAGTATAATGTGTTTAAGCAGTAACTAGTGCATGTGAATGGCAAAATAATACTTGTGTAGTGAGATAATGTAATACAGCTGATACATCTTATAATACAACTTAGAAATGTTAGTAATATCTAGTTGGATGTGTTGTTAATAACTTATAAAATGGATGCATTCCTTAAATTACTAAATGTGAAGATAGTTTAATTTCGTAAAATTGTACATTGGATGTGTGTTAATGGATAACTGATAAATGTGTAACAAAACAGTGTGGCACTTAAAAAACTAACTGTACATTATACAAAACTCCAAAAAAATGTATCAATAATTCAACCAAAACTAATTGTATGGATGTTCCTGATAGTTGTACATTATTACCTAAAGAGTATTGTTTACCAGCAACTTCTATAAATCTTATAAATAAATATTGTTATTTAAATGATGATGATGATTGTGCAGATTTAACATTGTAAAATGAATGTAGTAGTTATACTGATTCATCCCTTTGTATTACTAGGATCAATAATAAAGGTAATTGTGTTTGGGTTAACGATGAATGTTATAATGATGATTGCACTAAATTACCTGAAACATTGACTTCTTCACAATAGTGTTAAACAGCAATAGCAAGGTGCATTTTGGCAAATACAGGTTTAGGATGTGCAAATAAAGATGAATGTACAGCATATAATGATAAAAATTGTAATCAATTAGATAAAAATGGATAGGAATGTGTTTATAAGTCTAATTAATGCTAAAAGAAATCTTGTGCAACAAGTTCAAATACTAATCATGGTGATTGTTTCAAATATATGACTAGTGGAACAAAATGTACAGTGAATATAAATGGTAACGGTTGTATAGAATTGAGTTCATGTTCGAGTTATAAAAAAGAGTAATAATGTGTAATTAGTAATTAATAAAAGACTTGTTTTTGGTAAAATGATACTTGTTAAGAGAAGAAATGTTCTTTAGATACAACCTCTAAAACACATGAATAATGTCAATAATTTATGAGTACATGTACTATAAATACAATTACGAATGAGGGATGTATGGACTTCCCTTAATGTTCAGAAATAGTAGATTCATCGATATGTGATTCAAACCCAAATTGTGTATTTGTTTCAAGTAGTTGCATTGTAAAAACATGTGAAAATGCTATACTAAGTGAATATAATGATTCAAATTGTGCTAGTTTACCTTTTGAGGGTTGTTCGTTCAGCAACAAATTATGTAGTACAAAGACATGTTCATAGTGGGAATTCACAACAGATGAAGAATGTTCTTAATAAAATGAAAATTGTACAACAAATGGAAAAGTATGTACAGAAAGATTAGATTGTAATAAGGCTATTACTGAATAAGGATGTAAGAAAGATATGTTTGGTAATTTTTGTTAATGGATTTAAATATCAAATACTTGTACTCTTAGAAATTGTTAAACTGCACCAACTTCATTAACAACTGAAACTTAATGTTAATAATATTATGATAGTTGTACTACTAAATTAGGTGGAGGATGTACAACTAAATCTACTTGTTAAGCTGCAAATGTTTAAGCAGCATGCAACATTTCAAAATTTGGAGAAGTTTGCAGTTGGGATGAAACTACATAATAATGTAAAAATCAATCATGTGTTGATTTTAATGGAAGTGATTATAAATCTTGTAATAAATTAAAAAATGAATGCACTACAAATGGTTTAGGGAAATGCACAGAAATTATTAATTGTGATTAATATAAAAATCCTTTATCTTGTATATTTGGTTTAGATGGTCCCTGTTTATGGGTTAATGCACAATGTTATTAATATCGAGATTGTACAAGTATCAAATTTAAAACACATGATGAATGTCAAAAGGTTAGTGATAAATGTACTACTGATGGTAGTAAATGTGTTTCTATAACAGAATGCGGTGAAACTAATATTACAGGAGGTTGTTTTTAAGGTACTGATGGTAAATGTATTATGGCTTTAACTGATAAAAATGTTAAAATTTGTACTATTTTCAAAAAATGTTCAGATGCCAAATTCAAAACTCATACAGATTGCAACACAGCTAATAATGGATGTACAACAGATGGAATATAATGCATTGAATTACTCCCTTGTTAAGATTATTAAATATAAGAATAATGTTAATTAGATCAAAAAGGAGTTGTTTCTGTAAATAATAAAATATAATCAACTGGAATTTGTAAATGGGTTGGAGCTTGTAGATTATAAATTTGTGAGGATCTAGTCGGTACTACACATTCCTTATGTAATAATTAAATGATGAATTGTACATCAAATGGTACTCTCTGTTATACTATGGATAAATGTGAAAAATATACATTAAAAGATTTATGTAATAATGGTATGGGTACAGATGGTAAATGTTTATATTCAAATGAAAATGCTAAATGTTCTGTTATGACTTGCAATGACATCACTAATAATATTTGTAATACTCTTGTTAATTGTATTACAGATGGTACAAAATGCATTGCCAAAACTAATTGCGCTTCTTATACTAGTCAAGTGTCTTGTGAATTTTCAGGAAATGATGGTATTTGTCTTTGGAATGCAATAACAAAAAAATGTTCTTTATTTTCTAATTGTTCTGTTGCTGTTGATTAAAATTAGTGTAATAAAATGAACAAAGTTTGTTATTGGAATCCAGATTCAACTTAATGTATTGATTTTACTTGCGACTTGTAATATAAATCTACTAAAAATTGTATAAATATTGCTACTTGGACTCCTTCGTCAATTAGAATCTGTGGTTTTGTTAATGGCGTTTGTTAAGAAATTGATCCTTCAGGTTATGGATCGAGTGAATGCTACTAATTAACCTAATTTACATATTCTTACAATCCTTCATTATAAAAATGCATTAAATGTTCTACTTCTAACAATAATTAGAATAACAACACCATAAATGAAACTAATAACATTGTCGACAGCTATTAATATTTAATTGTCTTAGGCCTTCAAATTTTATCATTATTTTTATTATGATATATTATATATAGCCTTAAACATAATATAAATAATAGAAATATCATTAAATTATTCCTAATTTATCCCACAAATTTTCATCACATTTATATCCATTAACTGGGTATGTCTATGCTTATTATTCTGTTTCATAAATTTAGTCTATCGTTAACTTAAATGCATCATCTATTTTAGATTTTATTTTTACTGAGCATTCTTGGAATTAATTATTTTAAAAGAGGACTACTCTCTTCAATACAAGGATTTGTATTAACTTCAATTAACCAAACATGGCCATCCTTATCTATCATAAAATCATAACCAAGAATTTCAAATTGAAAATTCTTTCTACATTCATTTAATTTATGATATCCTGATTCTATAGTTAATTTAACTATTTTTTTCATTTCTAAAATTATTGTATTTAATTAAGGTTTTTAAAATTTTAAATAACGTTACATTTCACTAAAACTAATTTAATTACCAATTTCATATTTGCCATAATATGGATGATGTTTTTATATCGCATTATTTGTTAAATGTATATAAAGATTACGAATGTTACTTATATCAAATCTTTCTGTTGCCAATCTAAAATAACCTTCACGAAAAAAATAATAATTTAATTTATGATCGATTAAAACCCAAACTCTAATGTCAAATTTACGCTAATTGTATAATAATGGAGTTTCGAGATATTTCTAAAGCACTATTTATTTATCTTAATCATCAATCGATAATTTAATTTTTCTTTTATTATCCAACGTTAATGTAATCGATTTTTATTATTTAACTGAACTCTGTGCCTTTTTATTAAGATTTTCCATTAATTCAACAAATTAATCTAAATCATTAAATAATTTAATTCCGTTCCCTCTATTTAAATCTGGCGGTTTCATCAACCAAATATTTTATGATTATTTACTGCATTAAGTAAAATATTCCAAAAATTTCATTAAATCTGTTTAAACATGTCCTGAGTCTAAATTTATAATAAATGTCTTAGGAACTAGATCATCCATATTTAACTTGGCTTTCTACACTGAATCAAATGCTAACTTACATTGCAATAATTTTCGAGAGTGTGAAATAAATTATTCTTATTTGTTATCACATAGTGGTGTTCTAAATGATTAATGGTGACTTTTTTACTCTTAAGTTGTCCCAATTAAAAATAATTAAAATATTTATTGCTTTATTTCCAAATTAAATGAGCACTAATATTATGTATCTCTTACTTGAAAGGAGTTCTCTATTCTTAAAAATTGGGCCTTTTAGATAAAATTTATCTAACCAATTCTCCATTATTTCCTTCCCCTACATAAAAAAAAGTCTATCTTTTAAGTGTTGTAAACGTTGCCCTCAAATCTTAAGTGCTCGAGAATTATTGACTTTTCATATATTATTAATATTTATTTTATAACAATTTCGACTTAAAGAGAAATTAAATTCAATATCTTAAATTCATTCATTTAAATCATTTGCTATGTGATTCTTATAAAATGTACTTCTCATTTTTATATCTTTTGTATTACTATTTCCTAACTTTATATTATTATAATGATCGACATAATATTAGTTTCTATTAAATATACTGTTCCTTCCTTCTTTGTCATTCATTGGAGTCACGTCACTTGATTTTGAATAATCTAAAATTTATGATGTATTTAATAATTGTTATTGATCATCTAATCTTCTTTTATTCATACTATTAGTTCCTTCTAAAGTAGTATAGTAAACTTCTAATTTATCTTTAACATTATAAATCTTTCTTCTATCTCTTTCAATTTACTTTTCTTNCAAATCTTTCTGTTGCCAATCTAAAATAACCTTCACGAAAAAAATAATAATTTAATTTATGATCGATTAAAACCCAAACTCTAATGTCAAATTTACGCTAATTGTATAATAATGGAGTTTCGAGATATTTCTAAAGCACTATTTATTTATCTTAATCATCAATCGATAATTTAATTTTTCTTTTATTATCCAACGTTAATGTAATCGATTTTTATTATTTAACTGAACTCTGTGCCTTTTTATTAAGATTTTCCATTAATTCAACAAATTAATCTAAATCATTAAATAATTTAATTCCGTTCCCTCTATTTAAATCTGGCGGTTTCATCAACCAAATATTTTATGATTATTTACTGCATTAAGTAAAATATTCCAAAAATTTCATTAAATCTGTTTAAACATGTCCTGAGTCTAAATTTATAATAAATGTCTTAGGAACTAGATCATCCATATTTAACTTGGCTTTCTACACTGAATCAAATGCTAACTTACATTGCAATAATTTTCGAGAGTGTGAAATAAATTATTCTTATTTGTTATCACATAGTGGTGTTCTAAATGATTAATGGTGACTTTTTTACTCTTAAGTTGTCCCAATTAAAAATAATTAAAATATTTATTGCTTTATTTCCAAATTAAATGAGCACTAATATTATGTATCTCTTACTTGAAAGGAGTTCTCTATTCTTAAAAATTGGGCCTTTTAGATAAAATTTATCTAACCAATTCTCCATTATTTCCTTCCCCTACATAAAAAAAAGTCTATCTTTTAAGTGTTGTAAACGTTGCCCTCAAATCTTAAGTGCTCGAGAATTATTGACTTTTCATATATTATTAATATTTATTTTATAACAATTTCGACTTAAAGAGAAATTAAATTCAATATCTTAAATTCATTCATTTAAATCATTTGCTATGTGATTCTTATAAAATGTACTTCTCATTTTTATATCTTTTGTATTACTATTTCCTAACTTTATATTATTATAATGATCGACATAATATTAGTTTCTATTAAATATACTGTTCCTTCCTTCTTTGTCATTCATTGGAGTCACGTCACTTGATTTTGAATAATCTAAAATTTATGATGTATTTAATAATTGTTATTGATCATCTAATCTTCTTTTATTCATACTATTAGTTCCTTCTAAAGTAGTATAGTAAACTTCTAATTTATCTTTAACATTATAAATCTTTCTTCTATCTCTTTCAATTTACTTTTCTTCTTATTCCAATTCTCTTCTACTTTTTAATTTAGATTTTTAAGGTGATCTAACTATTACTCCAAAATGATTTTTCAAAAATGTTATTGTTTCATCTGGGCTTCTCATTCTTAATCCACCTTTTATTTAAATTTCTGAATCACTTTAAATTAAAGAGGAATCTAGTTATTTATATTCATTTAATAATTTAGGTTAATCATCTAATTAAGATTCTTTTTTTTTAACTTACTATTAAGGTCTTAAATTTTAAGTTTTAACGAATTGTTTTTCTAAAAATTATTTAAAGCCTTATTTTTTTATCTCATATATTTTTTCTTATTTATAAAGAGGCATAGAACTCAACACTTTAGTTAAAACCAAATTATCTTTATTACATGAATTACTTAATACTTCTGTTCTATATTTTGAATATTAAAATTATCTTCTCTAAATGTTATCTATTATTGGAAATACTTTATCAGTATCTTTTTCTTTGAAATGGTTTTATTCAATCTTATATTTTTATTAATTTCATATAACTTACCTACCCAAATAATTCGTCAACTCTTTACATTATATCTTTGTGTTACAATTTAACTCCTTCCTTTTTCTCACGAATTACAGATTTATTTGAAAAAGAAATGATTTTTCTTTCTTTTATATCTGAATTCATTATGTAAAAATAATATTATAATTTATATTTAAGCAAGTTCATATTTCTGCTTATTATTCTTGTTATAGATTAAAGAATATTATAAAATGATCTTAAAATTTTCAACACTCCATTCTCAAAGCGTTGAGTCACTTCTACTTATGCTTTACTATAATAATTTTATAAGATTTTTGAATATTATAGCTAAATTATGGTCGATGACTAGGTAATAAGATTAATTTGTACAATTTTGTCAATCTTAAAGAAAAATAATTTCTTTTTATTAGTTTATGTCAACATATCTTATCTATCTAATTATTAATTTATATTTTTCTGTTTTGTTCTGTCACATCCCTATAAATTCAGTAAACTAATTAAGACTTCACTATAATATCCTTTATCAAGGATTTCTGACTTTCATAAAATTCACTTTATTGAACATCACCAATAGTTTTTTATTAATCTATTTATTATTTTTTATAATGGAATATTATACAAATATTTAAAATGAACTTAAAGAAAAGTATAATCAACACTATAATCTTTATCAGGTACAATACTAATGTTATAATCAGAAATAATAATTAGAACGCAAGATTCTTTGTTACAAATAAAATTCAGAAGATCCTCTAAAATATTAATAATGCATTGAGAATATAAATACTAGAATGAATATGAATTCGACTACACTTAGAAATAGATTTAATTAAATAGAAATTGATGATAAAGATTGTCAAACAAAATGTTATGAAGATGTTAAATGTTTGAAACAATGTGAAGACTAATCAAGAATTAAAGCATAATAATTATAAGAATAATTTTATAAATTAATGCTATAAGAAAATCCAGAATACAAAAAATTGTAATGAAATGTATGTTTAAATATAACCTATAATCTCAAAATATCTAGCAATCATCAGTTTATCCATTAATTAAATCTCCTTATTACTCATCAGTTTTTTAGTTCTCTAACAGAGTCTAAGTATCTCTTAATGTTTATGAGATAGATTATATTCTTTATTCTTCTTCTTTTGGTTAATTAAATTATGACAGTAACCTATTCATTTATTCTAAATGATTTTTTTCTAATAATGAAATTTTCTATTCATAAAAAGAATTCAATTCATAAATTTCCTTTCCCTCATACTATTTTAAGGCTTAATTTATTTCTTTATTGTTTCTTTCATAATTTTGCATTTTATCAAAATATTCAATTTTCAATTAATTAACTTCTACAAACTTTTATTTCAAATTAAATAGTTCTTTCTCTTTTTAGAGAAGATTATTTCTCATTTGCATATTATTTTCTTGTAATTCTTTTAAAATGTTAGGTTAAACTTAAGCTTATTTATAATTTTAATCAAAATCTTTTCTTTTCATACCCTAAATTTGAATATTTAAATCATCAATATGTTTATTTAATTTTTCAGTTTATTCATTTTTTCTTGCACATAATTAACTCATTTCCTCTGCAATTTATTTTAATTCAGCAAGTTGTATCTTTAGTTCTTTTGTCTCTTGATCTTTTTACTCGTATTTTATATTAATTTATGAATTTTATTGTTAAAATTAAGATATTTTTTGATATAATTACAATCTTTCCTCTATTAATTTTTATACCTCTTAGTCATATTCTTTTTATATTTTTTCTTTCAATTAGCTTTCATAATCAATTTTGTTTTTCTAAACTTATTATAATTGAATTTATAAATTATTAATTTGTAATTTTAAATTACTAATTTCTGTATGCATTTTAGAGATTAAATACTTGTAATTCTCTTCCTTTTATTCAAAAGATTTCATATTTATTTCTTATTTTTCTTTTTATTCATTTTATAATTGAGATTTTAAACTACTTACAGATGCAAAATTATCTAATTCCAGTTATTGTTGTTGATCTCTAAAATTTTAAATTAAATTTTATTATTATTTTATTTTATCCTCCAACTAATTAATTGTAGTGTTTTTTTCTTATAATTCTTTTTAATTAAAAACTTTATCAGCATTTTCTGATTTTATCGAACTTCTTGATAATCTTGAATAAAAATCTTCAGATTCGACATCTTAATCTAATTTTCCATAAGTAATAGAGTTTTTCAAATTTGCCAATTCTTCTTTTTATTTCTTAATAGCTTCATATAGCTCTAGAATTTAATTCTTATTAGAATCATATTTTTCATTTGTTATTAAAGACTCTATTTTTTAATTTGAATTGTCTTTTATCAATCCAATAAATGATTCTAATAAAGATTCTATTGAACTATAATTGATTGATTGTCTTTGTTATTCTTGTTCCTTTTAAGCTTTTTATTATTATTATTAAATTATTAATTATGCATATTAGTTTAATTAATCTTTACTATTCAAACTACTTCTATGTTTTCTTTTTTATTGTTCCTCAAATTATAAGAAACTTTTCAGCTATTCTATTTAAATATTCTTTATAATATTGAGTGGCATTTCATCAACCTAAAGTTCTAAAATGGCTTTCTATTATTGTAAACATATACTTGCTAAAAATTTCTCATAAATAGAAAACTATTTAAGTAGTTAGTATAATTACGTCTTTATTTGTAAGCAATTCATTGAAGAGATAATATCCAACATAAAATTCAATGTGATTAAACATCAAATTTATTAAGATATCAGTTGAATATTTTTCTAAAAACTCTTTTATTTTTGGTTTAATTAGAGGATCCAAAGTTGTGTTTGATTATTCCGTCATACAATCCATTAAAAATTTTACTTCTTATTCAATAGGTTTATTTTCTTCCCCATCTAATTTATGATATTAGAATCTTGAAGGAAGTACTTTTTGATGTAAAAATAACAATAATGTTAATGAAATTGCTTCATCACAAAAATATAAGATATAGGTAGTTATAAAGACAAGATTTTTAGTTAATTTAACAGGGTTTGATAAGAAAAAACAATGTAAAACATTTGATATCTTTTATTATAACATACTATCTGATTCTCCTTAGGATATTCTATAATTCCAGTCATATAAAGAATAATTTAAAGTTTTTTTATTCTAAAATCGAATTATAATAAATAAATATACCTCTTTAAAAAATCTTTGTAAATTTACCTAAATTTATTATTTTGTTTCATTGCTAGCATTTTTGAGAATTTTATTTAATGATTTTTAGTATTCCTCTTATATCTTTTCTATTATGACTCTAAAAATGTATAAATTTATACTCATCACCCTAAGCCAACTTAGCCCAATTTTTTCCTGTTGCAGATAATTATCCAAACTTGCATTTTTGTTCATCTATAAATTAAGCTTGTTTTTTTGAATCATTTTTGCAATTCTTACAAATTCTATGAGGAGTTTTTAAATCATGGGCAGGAATAATAGCTTTATCAGGGCCACAATTGTAACATACATGCCTAAGACATCTTTTACATGAATGCTATTTGTGTTTCCTTTGATACTAGAAAAACTAATTAATACCAATCAAAAGTTTAGTTGCATAATTCACAAACTTCATTTTTGTTATTTGAATTTCCAACAAATGTTCTATTTAATTTAGAGCCAATCCTTTCAAACATTAATATATTATATTTATAATTCTGTAATATATGTAGTGTAAAGCAATTTTATCAAAAATAATATAATTTTTTTTATTTGAATAATATTAAAATAATATAATTATTATAAATGTCTTAAGTTCAATTTCATTAGGAATTATCTGGACAATCCTCCAAATCTCCTTTTAATTAGTAAGGCTAGAAAAGTTTGAATTAATTTTCTATTGATTTTTTTATTGAAAGTAGATTCATTACTTAAGAAGATTTAAAATCAATTTTAGAGGATGTGAGAGTAATTAAATTCAAAATAAATTTTAGTGTTTATATAATGTTTAATCAATAAAGCTGAATCCATAGAATTAAATTCCAGCTTTGGATGGATCAGCATTTTCTATAATTGATCATGATGAAAATAAATTAAATGCTAGAAGTGATGCAGTTAATAAAATACTATAATTAATAGAAGAAAGAAGTAAACAAAAATTGGAAGTTTTTATGTTGATACCTGAAGGTAAATTGAATAATTATAGCATAGGAACTGTATCAACTGTGATTGGAACTTAAGGAAAATAAATAGAATACATAAAATTATAGACCAAAGCTCATCTAGTAGTTAATTAACCAATTTATGATTTCCAATTAAGAACAGTAAGAATTATTGGTAAATATTATATTAATAAAATATTTAGGTGAGTCTTCTTGCATATTTAATGCAATTAAGTTAATAATAAAGTAATTATAGGAAAGAGGAATTTCAAATGAAGATTATGCTAAGAAAGCTGAACCTTTAGATCCAAGAAGAGTTATGACAAAAGTATTTTTAATTAATATTAGAGGCTAAATTTGTATTTTTGAATCTGATAATAGAATATATATTAAATAATAGAGAGTTAGAGAAAAAATATTCAGTAAGATTGAAGGGGAAAGGAATAAATGAAATAAAAATAAAAGTATAATATATAAGATAGATAGAAAAATAAATTGAGAAAGGATGAAGGAATTTTATAAATTGATGGAACATTATTTAATGTTTAAGAGGCTATATAAAATATAATAAAGAAAGTGACTTAATATTTTAGAAAGAATGAATTTGATATCAGAATAGTTATGCCTTCTAACTTTGCATCTAAACTAATAGGAGCGAGTAAAGAATGAATTGATTTTATAAATAGAAGGATGTTAAATTAAAGAATTAGTTAATAAAGCTAGAGGAGCTTAAATAAAGGTGCTTTCAGATAAGGATGATAGTGATGTTAATTTAGGTTATAATCCTTTAGAATTTTAGATTGTTTAGTATAAGTGTCAGGATCAATGGAAAATAAGTAGGAAGCAACAATATTGATTTTGGAATAAATAGAATGCTTCAAAAATGGTGGCCCTGTATATAAATAATTTATAAGATCCTTGAAAGTGGAAAGTACGTAAATGAAAACTTTGCTTAATAATATAAAAACTCAGTGTAGATCTAAGATATGAAACAATAAAAGTTTTTATGGATAATTAATTAAGTAGACATAAATCATCCTCTTCACGTTCAGACAGAAGACAAAGATCAAGATCCTCAAATAAAAGATAAAAAAATCTAAGAAGATCTAGATCATCTAGGTAATTAATAAATATAACTAAGTTCTTAAAAGCGTAAATCAAAATAGTAATTACTTAAAACTTAAATTATTGTTAAGTAATCTCTAATTCCATTAATACATAAAAAATTAAATCGATTTTCCTAGGATTTAAATGTTAAGATAAAGATTTAACCTTCAGTATTAATATATATATTGATCTATAGGATATAGGATATGAATCAATTGTCAAAATAAGTGGAGATGTTAGAGGTAGTATATCTGTTATTTAATTTATATTAAGTGAGTAATCTAAATTATCAATATCTAAGAGATGAAACTATTAATAAAAAAATAAACTATTCTCAAATATAATTTTAATATATAAGCTTCATATTTTTTTGATTTTCAAATTAAAATTATATTTCTTTTATTTCTAGATGCAAAATTACAATTGATTCAATAAAATTCTCTCATTATTTATTAAAATTACTTTGATTCTTAACGAATTATATATAAATTTTTATTCAATATAAACTGATTAATTACAAAAATTTTAGTCATTTAATCGAGATACAACAAATTCTTTTAATTTTATTAGATATTTTTATACATGAGATTTATTTCTTAGGGTTTCTTAACATTATTCTTTTGCAATTTCATTATAATAACAACTATATTTAATGTAAGTTTCTTTATTAATTTATTATATATTCTAGCAATTTTAAATGATTATTTATTATGTTTTATGCTTTGTTAAAAAGATTAATCATTACCTATATATATATTTTATATTTATTTCTATTTTAAAAATTAATAATACGTAATTGTTTTTATAGATTTAATCAGATAATTAGTGCATTATATCATATATTAATTTATAGAAATAAGTAATATGATTGATAAGATTAATTAAAAGTGACGTATCAAATATTGCTATTACTTAAATTGATTGTCGAATAAATACTTTTTTAAATAAATGTCTAATTTTATTAAATGGACTTATGAAAACAGATTATAAATCTCTATTGATTTAGCAGCTGGATCAGTTAGTGGAATGTATTCGACTATTAATTACTCTTTATAGAGCAAATTGTATATCAAGTCATCCATTAGACACTGTTAAAGTTAGAATGTAAATGTCAAATGACGGAGTATTGTCAACTTTTAAGAATATTCTTAAAAATGAAGGAACATATGGATTTTATAAAGGAATGTCTTTCCCTATACTATCTATACCAATTACTAATGCTATTGTATTTTCTGTCTATGAATTTTGGAAATCTTTTTTTATAGGAAATTCGAACAAATAACTAACATATTTTTAAACGTAATATCTCTTGAGCTTATTAATAGTGCATTTTGTGGAAGTATTGCAGGTAGTTCAGCTGCTTTTTTTTCTTGTCCAATAGAATTGACTAAGTGTAAATTATAAATGCAATCAAATGAAAAAATATATAAGAATCCTATAGACTGCATAAAATAAGTAATTTTTTAAACAACCAATTATATAGATTTATAAGAAGGAGGGATTCAAATCTTTGTTTCGTGGAATGTATGTAACTCAATAAAGAGAAATACTTGGTTATTCTGCTTAGTTTGCTATGTACGAATTGATAAAAGATTTCTTATGTAATTTATCCTAAAAATCAGAGCCATCAACATTTAATCTTTTGATTTCTGGAGGATTAGCTGGCGTTTCTTGTTGGACAATAGGTTATCCTTAAGATGTATTTATATATATTAAATACTTTTAGACCATCAAAACAATTTTATAATGTTAAAAACCAACAGATTAAGGGAATTATAAAGTTAAATTTTATGATGGGGGTTTTCTAGATTGTTTAAGAAAAAAAATTATTTCNATATATATATTTTATATTTATTTCTATTTTAAAAATTAATAATACGTAATTGTTTTTATAGATTTAATCAGATAATTAGTGCATTATATCATATATTAATTTATAGAAATAAGTAATATGATTGATAAGATTAATTAAAAGTGACGTATCAAATATTGCTATTACTTAAATTGATTGTCGAATAAATACTTTTTTAAATAAATGTCTAATTTTATTAAATGGACTTATGAAAACAGATTATAAATCTCTATTGATTTAGCAGCTGGATCAGTTAGTGGAATGTATTCGACTATTAATTACTCTTTATAGAGCAAATTGTATATCAAGTCATCCATTAGACACTGTTAAAGTTAGAATGTAAATGTCAAATGACGGAGTATTGTCAACTTTTAAGAATATTCTTAAAAATGAAGGAACATATGGATTTTATAAAGGAATGTCTTTCCCTATACTATCTATACCAATTACTAATGCTATTGTATTTTCTGTCTATGAATTTTGGAAATCTTTTTTTATAGGAAATTCGAACAAATAACTAACATATTTTTAAACGTAATATCTCTTGAGCTTATTAATAGTGCATTTTGTGGAAGTATTGCAGGTAGTTCAGCTGCTTTTTTTTCTTGTCCAATAGAATTGACTAAGTGTAAATTATAAATGCAATCAAATGAAAAAATATATAAGAATCCTATAGACTGCATAAAATAAGTAATTTTTTAAACAACCAATTATATAGATTTATAAGAAGGAGGGATTCAAATCTTTGTTTCGTGGAATGTATGTAACTCAATAAAGAGAAATACTTGGTTATTCTGCTTAGTTTGCTATGTACGAATTGATAAAAGATTTCTTATGTAATTTATCCTAAAAATCAGAGCCATCAACATTTAATCTTTTGATTTCTGGAGGATTAGCTGGCGTTTCTTGTTGGACAATAGGTTATCCTTAAGATGTATTTATATATATTAAATACTTTTAGACCATCAAAACAATTTTATAATGTTAAAAACCAACAGATTAAGGGAATTATAAAGTTAAATTTTATGATGGGGGTTTTCTAGATTGTTTAAGAAAAAAAATTATTTCAGAAGGACTTGGATCGATTTGGAAAGGATATTCTGTATGTATTTTGCGATCCTTTTATGCAAATGCAATAGGATTCTATGCATACGAATTAGCCAGAGAAAATATTACTTTATACTATTCAATATATTGAATTTGTGAATAAATTCATTGTTTATATTATACTTAATTCAAAACAAAGATATGAATTCAGTTTACAAACAACTTGTCCTATTCTATTTCATAAAGTTTCTCTTTGGATTTATTCAACCTCCTTAATATTATAGGGTTTTTTTATATTTAATAAGAATTCTTTCCTTTTCTGATTTCATTACATTCGACTAAAGAGCCTACACTTTTTAAATATTGCTCGAAATAGTCAATTGTGTTATTAGTAGTAGTTGTAGAACTTGTTAATTTATTCTTATTTATTGAACATCCCATTATTTAATATTAAGATTGTATTTTAATTTCAAATATACATTGATTAATATTGCAAAAACATTTATTTCGTTTTGTTATTATTGTTTAATTCATTAAATTTAATTATCAGTTAGTACTAATATATAATAATGAAAAATGAACATTGATTTGATAATTTTAAAAAATATTAATTATTTCAAATATATATAAGTAGTTTGAGAGTGATAATTAAGTTGAACGGTTATATATAAAAGTAGAGAAAACTCAAGGAAATATTAAGATAAAGTCATAATTAATATAATTCACATTATTCATTCAAAAGTAGGATCATAAAACAAGATTGAAAGCAACTTTGATTCTTAAGAAAGATCTTATAATATTTAATTTATAATAAGAATTCAAAAAATGGACTAATGAGATCTTTATGCAGTCTTTAAAAATGTTGTTGAATTAATTTTATTATTTTTTTTCTAAAATGAAAGTACAAATAACATGGTTTTTATAATCCACTAATTGAATGATAAATAAACTATGGACTAACAGTTTTATAATTAAAATACGATAGATAATAGATAATTTCTAATCTTAAGAATATGGAATAATATTTCCCTCCTTAGAATTGAAAAAAAAAATTAGGAATCTTGACTTTTTTAATTTACTCTAATTTGTCGAATCTTTATATGATAGGATATTAGGCCCATGAACCTAGATAATCTCGAACAATAGACATGCTGGTTTGTATTTATTAGCTAGAAAAGTAATTCCACTATCTAACTAGAATTTAACTAAAAATAAGGAATACATATAAATTGCCTAAAAGGCGAATAAGAAAGTGATATGATTAAGTCATATCTTCCCAATTTATAAGGAAAATTAGTAAAATATTTGGAGGATAAATTTAAGAATTTACATACATACATGAAATATGTCCAAATATGTTATGTAATTATTAAGAATTAGATTTATTGGGTTTCGATATTTTTTAAAAATAAAATAGTATTTTTTTTATCAATTAATTATTAAGGTAATTTAATAATATGTTGACTAATACATATACATTTTTTAATCTTAGTTTTTATTATGAGATATAAATTAGATTGCATTCTTGATAATTAACATTTATAAATGGATTAAATGTTGAATTTATGTAATTTAGATTAAATATATAAGACTTTTCTGTGTTTGGATGAAATAAAGATGAATTATTTTCTTAAATTTATTTTCTTTATTATTTCTACATGAGAGGTTTACATGGTAAATTAGGAATAGGATTATTTATTAGATATAATTAAATGATGATTATACAGATTATTCATTAAAGAAATGTACATCTTCATCTTCAAATTCGAATTCATTTAAATTTAAGTGTATATATGGTATTTATTGGTAGTTTAAAGAATCTAATTTTAAAAAGTATGATGAAGTTTTTAATACTTAGGAATTCATAAAAATAGATTAATCCTTTGGAAAAAGGGGAAAAATAAATTCTAAGTGCAATAATTAATATTTAGTTTTTGATGAATAAAGAAGTTGAAAGATAATTGAATGATAAAGGGGCAACAAAATAATTACAAAAGATAATGGGAGTAATATTGCAATAGAATGTTATAAGTCTAGGGTTATGCCGAATTATATAATGTTTGATGGAGATGGAATATATGGTAAAAAATAACTGACAGGTAATTTTGAAAAAGGAATAGATAGATCATAAGAATTTGAAAGTTTAAATAAATTTGTAATGGAAAGAAGAAAACAATATGGAGGAATAGAATAAGAATAAGGAAACTGAAAATACACAAATCTTACCTAAAATTTTGAATTTAAAAGTTATATTTATAAATTATATTATAAGAAGTCCTAAGATAATGAATAAATGAAAGGAACAATAAGTTTAGGTATTTATATTTTTTAAGAGTTTAAGAACATTAAAAGAGATATGGTAAATATAGTGTTAGATATTTGCATAAAACAAATCCTTATGGTTAAGAGAGTGAGAAATTTGAAGTTAGTTCTGCCAGATATGGTAAATTCTATACAAAGGAGAGCGAGCATAAAAATATATTACGAGAATTTGATAATAAATACTGCGTCATCCCAGTTTAATAACCTATATTAAAGTATCATAGTTTGAAATCATAATTATTCAATAATAAAAATTAATGAGAGGATTTATAATACGGTTTGCATTTGCTGAATAAATCTCCATCTAAACTCAGAGTTATTTAAAAAGAACATATAAGGAAGCAACTGTAGAAATGGCCACAAATGCTTTAAATCCATATCACTAATGGTTCATAAAAGTAATATTAAATTTTATATTTTTAGCTTGATGGCAAAAGTGTTAAGACTCAGCAACGTAATGTTTTAGCTGTCCCTTCTCCATAATTGGCAGCTTGTATTGCTACAGAATTCAATCGTTAGAAAGAATACTTAAGTTTTAAATAAATGCCACTTATGATGCTTGCTAGAAATGCTATTGATTTAGATTATGATGCAACCAATAGAGAATATATTGAAAAAACTATTATTTACCATCTAGAAAATGATGTTATCTTACATCGTAGAAATAAATAATCACAACTTTTAGACATTCAGTAACAATAATTGGATCCACAATTGAAATCCTTTAATTCTAGATTTGGCATGGATATTTAATCTAATGATGGTGTTCAAATTACATCACTTAACTAATAAAATAAAGTTAAAATTGAATCCTTAATCAGAGGATTAAATAATTGGTAATTAGTCAGTCTTAGTTCTTAAGCAGGTATAAATTTAATATAATATTATTAGATAATCTCAAATCCTGTATATTAGCAATCTAATTATCTTATGGTTTACTCGATTCAGACAAAGCCATTTCTCTTTGTGATATCCAAAGTTAATATAATAAGAAAAATACTGAAAATGAAAATCCATAAGATTCAGATAGTGAAGATAATATAATTTCTACAAATGTAAAAGCAGCCTAACTATTTTCATCATTAATTTATTCCCAAAGTATCCTTTATTGATGATTTGTTTATTGTATATAGAATTAATAAATTATATTTAGTTATTTTAAATACACAAATAAATGTCAATAAAATCAATCATGATTTAAAGGCTTTTGGCTAGAATGTAGATATTGATTAAGAAACTCTTGTTAATATTTCTGTATGTGTTTTCCTTTCTACTCTTCTCACTGGAGATGGACCAGGAATTTATTTCAAAGGTAGACTTTTCCTTAATTCTACTTTAGGTTATGGTTTATATTGAGGATCTCTCTAAATATCAAAAGGTGTTAGTTCTGGTCCTAATTTACTTGAAATATATCCATGAAGCATTCTAAACTCATTAATTGAATTACGTTTCATAATCTAATAACTAAAGTAGGAATCCTGGATTTGGTCGAACATATGGTCTCTTTTATTTTAGATATCTTAGAGCTTGTTCTAAAGTATATTGAAAACTTTTCATAAGGTAAGCCAATACTAAAGTTGCTGATCTTGAGATCCCTGCTGCACAATGAACTAGAACATTTTATTAAGATTTTAAAGCATTTTCAATAAATATGAAAGATCTTTCAAAAACACTACTTATTTGAGAATTCATATTGTCATGAATTTCCAAATACATTTATTTATACTTTGGACCAACCATGATTTCTAACTATTAATACTTATTACTTTCTTCAGTACATATTGACAATACACAATTTACGTTATTAATTTCTAAAATTTATTAATTATGCAGACAATCTAAATTCCCAAGATATAATTTTCCTCTATCTTTTTCTGATAATATTAAACTTATTGGTTACTCACCTGGTAAAGTGTATTTAAGCATATGGAAACCTTTCATTATAAATAAAATTTATTTAATTATTTAAATGTCTAACTTAGAATAATAATGCAATATAATGATTATCAATTTTTTATTATTGTTTTAATTATTGATATTTTAAAATATTAAGGAAGTGATGAGTTAATGAATATTATTTTTTTGATTTTTTAAATCAATTTTAACGATCTTACAAGTCTTTTTAAATGCAATAGCACAAACCTAATTGTTCGCATATGACCCCTTCACAATTCAACACAAATCCTTTACAACAAGGACAACCTCTATATTTTTCATATAAATCCATCATTTAATCTGGATCTTCAGGATCAATATCAATTAATAGCTATTAATTAAAATAATGTAATACATCTTTTTACTTTTGTAAGACTTCATTTTAATATTTTTCAATATCTTCATTAGTAAGCTCTTTTGGTATTGATTAAGTTTAAGGTTTATTGCAAAAAGGGCAATTTTATATACCATGAAGGTGATAAAAATTGAGTTTGTATTCAATACAATCTGGACTTGGCTTAATTTGAGGTTATTGCTAAATTTCTTCTTATTTTGACATTAATTTAAATAAATGATAAAAAGAGCATTTTTTGGAATTTCTTTAAAAAACAAACAAAAATTCACCTTCAAAGAATAAATTGGTTTACTCTGTTATAAATTTACATAAATAATTTTAGATGGTAAAGGTGAAGCAAAAGTTTATGGACTTTCTGGCAATTAAAAAATATTGATTGCTTCTTTAAATTAAAAGTAAAACTCAAGCAAATGCTAATTAATAATGGATGAAAATAATTTTAGCAATTTAATATGTATAGGAGATGAGTCAATCTAAGTTTATGTATTAGGATATAAATTAGAAAATAAAAATTAAAAAATAAAGAATAATAATTAAAATGAAATTTTGGCATACACAGATGAATTCAAAGCTCTATAACCTTTAGAAGATAAAGAATTAGATTAAGATGAAATTGAGTTACTTTCTAAAAAAGAACAGAAAGAATATAAAAATAAATAAAAACAAAAGCAATTAAATTAAAAATATTGAAAAAATAGAGTTTTGTTGTGATTTATTAAATATTTATTAGTTTATATATTTCCTTGATATGTTTAAATCGATCTAAAAATGGAGAATGAGAAATTAGCTCAAGCTTTACTTTTTGCTTTTGTCATTATTCTCTACATTATTGATTGGAATTATTTTAGTCTTCACTCAAAATATTGTATACCAAGAAGTCGTACTGACTACATAATAAATATCAGCTAAGTTGACTGACAATGAAATATCATATTAATTTGAAACACAAATGGAGTTGTTTTTTGAAGTAATTAATAAGAGTAAAATTTTATTATATTGTAGATTATCGAGCTCTTGATAAAATTGCTGGTCTATTTATATTTGTCAAATTTCAATAAAACTTAATAGCATCATAACATGATTAATGTCCAGTGAACTAAACTTAAAATTATAGAAAATCCAATATATGTTATAATATTTTAGATTTAAAAAATGGATAAGATTTAAATGATACACAATCATCAGAGCTATTCTACTACTTGAAACATTAAAGTTTATTATAATAACTATTATTGCTTTTTGATCCTGAGTAATTTATTATAGGAAATTGGTCGATAGGATATAGTAAACAATTCTATTTTTCAGCGTATTAAGCAATTGGCTATTATTCTACATTTAATATTGCAAATAGGCCATTTTATAAAAATCATATAAAAAATGCAAATTTATCAGAATATGTATTTAGTGATGTATTTTTCAATTTTGAAAATGAATATAAAGTAACAATATCAAAAAATCTAACAAATGATGCATCTGAAGGAATTGTGGCGACATAATTTGAATTTAAAATAATTAAAAAGTTTTTTTAAGAAAATTTTTTGATTCTTAATAAAGATGGATTGATATTGATTGGAAATGTATAAATGTATTTTTAACCTAACAGAACTAATGTATATTTTTTTAATGAAACTTTGACTGGTTTTGATTAAAACGATTGGCATTCTGTTAAGAGTTTCATGGATAATAATATTTCTTAATCAAATTGTTCCACTTCTAATTCTTAATATTTATGTAGATACAATAAAATAGCATCAATTGATGTAATGATATTTGCAAAATTCCTAAAGTTTTCAAATTTAATTTTGATTATGTAAAAATATAGAAAATATTAAGATTAAAAAACATAGAGTAAGATAAGGATTTATAAAATCGATTAATTTGGATAGAAAACTAAAAGAATCTTTAGATAACATAACTATTAACATTTCAATTGATAACTGCATTTGGTTCAAGTTTATTAGCTATTTTAATTATGAGATATATTTGCAGATACATGACATATTTAGAAAGATTGGCGAATTATCATTTTAAAAATAAATTAGTGGATTTTTAAGTATGTTAATTCTTAAGAGAAATAAAATAAAATTAATCCACACACTAAACAAATATCATATTAAATCTATCTGATTCATATTACAAATTAGTTTCATAATTAACAGTAAGACCATTCATAAAGAATGAAGAATGTAAGTTTTTTGAATCTTTATAATTTCCATATTCTAAAAAAAAGAATAGTAATCTTCAAAAGTGGAAAACAGCAATAACAGAATTAGATGACAAGAATGGGATAGTAAAATAAAATCATATAGCATTAATATTGAATATTTTAAGATAATCTTAGAAAAGACACAAACGTTGAATGTGTTAAGGACAATTTTATTAACCTTGTTTGATCTAATATAATTCCTAATTTTCTCTTTATTTAAATTTAATTAATAATCCACGTATATTAAATAAATTAAAATGGAAAAAAAATAAGGAACAGTTAAGTAAATAGTGTCTTCAAATTGTGTATTAATATCTGGACCAATTAATAATGAGACAGGAGTGCCAATGACTAAATTCTTGACTATATAAGGAATTTAAGCACCAGAATTTTCATTGACAGATAAAGAGAATCCAAAATAAGAGCCCTTTGGTTTTTTAGCAAGGGAATTCTTAAGAAAGTAAGTTTTAGGATAATAAATTGAATTTACAATTGAACATAAGATAAAAGATTAAAATGATAAAGTGATAGGAAGAATATTCAAAAATGGATAAGATATCGGAGAATAATAATTGAGAGAAGGATTAGCTTAATTAAGATAATAAGGTAAACCAAGTTAAGAATATGAGAATGCATAAAATTAGGCTAAATAAAATGGAAAAGGAATTTGGTCAAAAAGAGAAGAATTAGTAAAATATACTAAAATTGAATTAAAAGATGTAAAAACAAAATAATATACAAAATGTTTTGTTGAGGATGTACAAGGATTGTTTGTATTTTATGCTTACATTCCAGAATTACAAGGTTTAGTGAAATGTTCATATGGAGAAGTATTTATGCCAACTTCAGTTTCATAAGTATTATAAAATAGAGCAAAATGGACAATCTAAGAATTAATTCTTTAATAAGAGGTTACTTTAACAATATAAGGATAAGATGAAAAATTCTAGTCATTAAGAGTAGATATCAAAAAGGGAGATTTAGATATAAAGAAAGAGCTTTTAAGTTTAGGATATTTTAGACTATCACCAAATGCATTTTAATTAATAAATGATTAGAAAAGGTATAAATATAAATGAAATAACTATTAGATATAATGAATTAAAAGAGACTTAAAGTTAAGCTGAAATAAAATTGGTTGGAATATGGAAAGATTCTATGAAGTAATAACAATAATAAGCAGTTGTATTATAAGGGGGTAAATAAACATATTAAGCAAAAATAATTGAAGTACATTCAGGAGATTAATTAACTGTTATGAATGTCAATAATAGATAATAATCTAGAGTTTTATTGGCTTCAGTTAAAGCACCTAAATATTCTCTTAAAGAAACATAACCATTTGGATTTGAAGCTAAAGAATTTGTTAGAAAACATGCAATAGGTAAAATTGTTAAAGTAGAAGTTGAATATGAAAAGAAAATTAAACCTAAAGATATAGAAGGATTAGCAGATGATGAAGATAAAAAGAAATTATAATAAGAATTGAATATGGTGTTTGTTAATATAATATTAACTGAAGATAATGATTAAAATTTAGCTGCTTTAGTTGTAGGAGCAGGATTTGCTACTGTTTAACCACCTCGAGGAGATGATGGTGTATCTAGATATATTGATGAATTAACAGGTGCATAAGAATCAGCTAATAAAGCTAAAAAAGGATTACATGGAAAACCAATATAATTACCTAAAATGACTGATTTATCTGTTAATCCAAATTTATAAAGATCTAGAGATGCATTTGATTCTTTAAGAACATTAAGAAAACTATCTGGAGTTGTTGAATTAGTTTTAAATGGATCTAGATTAAAATTAAGATTCTAAGAATAAAATTACACATCAATTGTTGTACTTGCTGGAGTTAAATGTTTACCAAATGAATAAAATTTACCAGATTATTAAAAATTCTCAAATATTGCTTTATAATATGTTAAAGAAAATGCACTTTAAAGAGATGTAGATGTAGAATTAACATCAATTGATAAAAAGGGCATTTTCCATGGACACGTTTTTGTAGGAAAATAAAGAACTAATTTGGGATTAACACTTCTTGAACTAGGATTAGCTGTTACATTCAATCCAGTGGCAAATAGTCACAATTATTAAGCATTATTTGCAGATGCTGAAGCTAAGGCTAAATTAAAAAGAGAAGGTTTATGGGATATCAAAGGTTTAGATTTAACCATTGTTAAGGGTGATGATGATGTACCTGTTAAATCTGAATATAAAATATTAAATGGATAAGTAAATAATAAATTTATCTTTATAGTTAAAAAAATTAGTTTTAGTTGAAATTGCTGATAGCAATACTCTTTATTTCTAAGATCCAACAGATAAATTGTTAGGATAAATTGAAAAGAGTCTTGGATCATTTACAGCTACTGAAGCTAATAAATTGATTCCACCATTCAAAAAGGGTTTGCTTTGTGTAGCTAGATTCTCAGTTGATGGTAATTGGTATAGAGCCAAAATTACAAGAGAATTAAAAAACAGATATGAAGTCTTATTTGTTGATTATGGAAATATTGACATAGTCTTACAAAATGATATCAGAAAATTACCTGAAAATTTAGCTGCTTTACCTCCTTAAGCTATCAGATGTAATTTTGCTCATATAAGTGGGCCATCTATAAGTCATGAATTAGGAAATAAAGTAATATTCTTTTTTATATTATAAAGGTTGGATAATTTATAAGGGATTAAATCTTTGAAAAAGAAATTGTTGTTTCTTTTGAATATCAAGATGATTTAAGTAAAGGTGTTATTGTTTATTTGACCAAAGAAAATCAACCCAATAAATCACTTAATATTTTATTGTTATCATAGGGTTTTGCTAAAATTGATAAAACAGTAAATATTTTTATTTCTATTTTTTTAAGGCTCCTCCTTTACCTTAAAAGTTTGAAGAATGGATTAAGGCATCTTAAGAAGCTGAAAATAATAGCAAAGGATTATGGAATTATGATGAAGAAACTGAGTGATCAATTGTATTTTAAAATAATATAATAATTTATGTAAATAACACCTAAAGCTATAACAGCACTTTCTAAATTATTGTCTTAGAATTCCTCTAATAATGTAAGAATTTTATGATTTAGTAAGAAATAAAGTTAAAATGATTCAAAGCCTAAATCGAATTAGAATAGTAAGAATTGTAGATCGATTAATAAAAATGAATTCAAAAATTTCATCTCTAAACCATCTTTATCAAATGAACCAAATTATAGTGTTAAAAATGAATTGATATCTGTGCTAAACAGTAGCAAAGAGAAATCCATTAAATCAACTTTAAAACCTCATCATAGTCTAAATTATCTTTTATTATCTTAATAATAACTATCTGCCAGAAATAGTTTTCAAAAAAAGAGACCTCCTTAAATTAATGTTGAAGAAAGTACTGATATTTAGAAACATCCCTAAAGTGCTAAAAATGTTAATTAAATGAGTCCTTTACATTATTGTCCTAATTAGAAATCACAATAATCTTAAAAATCAATTAAATAACCTAAAGGTATGAATGTGTTTAGCTCATTAAATGAAATATTAGGGTAATATGTTCAAAAAAGGAATTATTAAAAATGTAATTTACAATACTTTAATTAGAGGCTGGAACTGGAGAAGGTACAAAATTAGTTGTATGCAGGTCAGCAAGAAATTAAGAATCAAAATAGGAAAAATAAATATATCTATCTGAAAACAAATAATAATAATCTCATTCATAATAAGAATATTTTGATTCACAACAATTAAACAAACTTTATTTATATTCAACATAAATATTGAAAGCATATTAAAGCAAAGAAATGATCTGGAAACAATAAAAACAAAGTCTGAGAAGTGAAATTGTGTTTCTAAAATAGTTACTACAATAATAAGAATAGTAATAAAATCATGAGTGATAATCATTTTTTTTTATTTCAATCAAATTTAAATTAAATTTACTACTTTTATTCTTTTTATTGTAAAAGTCATTATGATTATCTTATTTATATTTATTATTCGAAAAATAATTATTATGTACACTATGACGTCAACACATAAATGAAATAGATGAGAATAAATTAGTAATAACCATTATTTTAATGAAATATATTTTGTTATTGTTGACCATTGGAGTATTCCAAGTAAGCGCAGTAAATTGGGCTTTATTAGTATCAGGCTCAAATGCATTCTACAACTATAGACATCAAGCTGATGTATGCCATTCATACAAAACATTAATAAGAAATGGTTATTCTCCAGAGAACGTGATTGTTTTTGCATATGATGATATAGCTCAAAACAGATAAAACATCTACAGAGGAGCTATCTATAATTAACCAAATAAAGATGGATTTTCAGATAATGTGTATGATGGTTGCGTTATAGATTATTCAAAAACTGATGTTAATCCATTGAATTTCCTGAATGTATTGAAAGGAAATTATGATCACTTGCCTGACGGTCACAAATTTATTAATTCTACAAGAGAAGACAATATATTTGTTTATTTTTCTGATCATGGATCACCAGGTTTAATAGCTTTTCCAACTTCATACCTTTATGAATAAGAATTAATGGAGACATTCTAATATATGTATGAGAATGATAAATATAACAAACTTGTATTCTATTTGGAAACCTGTGAATCTGGTTCGATGTTTGTGAATCTACCAAATAATCATAGAATTTATGCATTATCAGCTGCTAATCCATATGAATCATCTTGGGGTACATATTGTCCACCTGATGATGTTGTTAATGGAAAAAGTCTTGGAACATGTTTAGGAGATGAATTTTCTGTTACTTTCTTAGAAAATGTTGATCTTGGTGATTTTTCATAGACTCTATAAGAACATTTTGAATTTATTAGAGAAAATACCTTAAAATCTAATGTTATGCAATGGGGTGATGTTTCATTTGCTAGTGATTCAATTAAAGAGTTTTTCTGGGGATAAAAGTTCCTTGAAAAAAGAAAAATGTGCCTTAAAGATACTTTTTTTATGAATGATGAAGTATTTAATTTATTTTAAAATATAGAATGTTTCAAAATGGGATTCAAGAGATAATAAATTATTATTCTATTAAAATAGATTTAATTAAACTGGTGATTTAGAAGACTTTATTGAATTAGAAAAAGAAATTAAATCTAGAGCATACTTTGACACTATTGTAAATATTTAAATTTATTTTATCTAGTTTGGTGAATTACAATAATCTTTAAAATTGACTGGAGATTATCATTTTGCCTTAAACTAAAACTGTCTAAAATCAGTAATTGAAACATTTGAAGATAAATGTACCAAGTTGACTGATTATGGTCTTAAATATGTTAAATTATTTGGAGAAATGTGTGATAGCACTAACTTACACCAAATTCAATTAAATATGATAGTATCAACTTTATGTATGACAGAATGATATATCTATATTAATAATAAAATAACAATTAAAATAAGTATATAGACTTTGTTAATATTTTTATTATTTAATAAAAAAGATAAAATAGAGAAATGTATTTAATAAACTAAATCATCATAGGTTTTAAAATAAACAATAACAACCTTAAATTATTGCTAAAAACCAATAGTAATTATAGGTAAATTAAAAAATTGAAAAATTGTAAACTTAAGCATAAAATTAATAATAAGAGGTTAGTAAGGAAGAAGTGGATGAAAGAGAATTGATGCGAAGTTAATAATTTTCTACCTATTCAAAATCGAACTAGAAGAAAACTACATAATCTTTTATGTAAAATTCTTATTTGAATTTTTAGGAAATTTAAATCGCAAATGGTTGATTCAGATGATGATGTAAATGATAAAGTAGATGAGAAGAAAAATAATAATAATGATGGCGAAGAGGAAGTTTTAAAAGTATGGACTTCATCAAATAAAAACAAAGAGTCTCAAAAACAAAAGTAGATTTAGTAAGATCATGTTGAAAAAGAAGATATAGATAATTTAAAGCCACTAGATTATGAAGAAGTCTTAAGACAAAGTTAAATAAATTTTAAACTTTAAAAAAATAACATCTAAAAAGATAAATTAATTAATAAATCTATCACTTTAGTGGATTCTGAAGATGATGAATAATCAAATAAAGAGGAATTAGCCGATTAAGTTATTTAAGAAATTGGATAAATTTCTCATTAAGAAAGTGAAGTCACTGCTGAAAATAGAATTATGATGAGTGTTATGTAAACTAAACTAACTTAATCAATTTAAAAATAATTTAAATTGCAATAGTCTATAAACAATTCATCTAAACGGAATTAATAAGATGATATTTTAAAATCTAAAATTGTTTTTATTGATTAAAGACCTGTAATTGTTAGAGAAGATGACCTTTATATTCGTAAAATAAAAAAAATTCAAAATTATTTCAGATATGTTAAGACTTATCAAAAACTTAAAAAATAACATAGGTATAGAGGATTTGTAATAAATGAATTAATTTAAACAGAAAAAAAATATGTTAATGATCTTTAAATTATTAAAGAAATTATATTAAAACCACTTTTAAAATTAATTGATTCTTAGGATAATGTGAAGTTTATGTTTAATTTGGATAGTATTTTATATTTTAACCAAGAATTTTTAGAAAAACTTAAAGGCTAAGAAAATAATGTAAGATGGAAACCTTATGCTTAAATTATGGGTGAAGTTACTGTTTTATTAGCAGGTTTTAAATTTTATTATGATTATTGCAGAGAATTTGATGCTTCGAATAAAATGAGAGTTCATTATTTTAACACTAATTAAGTATATAAAAAATTTTTTATTGATCTCGATAATAATAAATCAAGTTAGCTCAATAGCTAAAATATTGATAATTATTTGATTAAACCTGTTTAGAGATTGCCTAAATATATTTTACTATATAAAGATTTATTAAAACATACAAATGAAGATCATCCAGATTATAAAAATATTTCTTCATGCTTGAAAATTTTTTAAGAAATTAATGATAAAAATAATATCGAAATGAAGGTTCATCTAGAATAATTAAAATTAATAGAGCTTTAAAATTTATTTGGCTAATATATTAAAATAGCTGAACCTAATAGAGTTTATAATTTTGAAGAAGTTTGCTCTATTTATACAGATAAAAAAGAGAATAATGTAATATTATATGCATTTAATAATCTTTTATTATTCACTTAAAAGAAACAAAATGGATAGTAGACTTATACTTTTCATATTTAACTTACTTATCAATCTTATATTAAAGATAAAGAAGATACAAAATATTTTGAGAACTTTTTTGAAGTTGTTAATAAGACTGAATCAATCATCATAATTAATCATGATAATGAATCTAAAAAATAATTAATGGGTAAGATTTAAGACATCATATAGTAGTTATAACAAAAATAAACAACTATGGAAAATTTAAAAAAAACTACAAGTTTTTTAGATGTTAGTGATGCTTCAAAAGAATAAAAATACTAAGATATTGATTATGAAATAAAGGTAATAATAATTGGAACAGAAATAAGATACACAAAAGCAAATCCTTACACAGTTTATGTTATTTAAATCTATATTTAAGAATATTAAACAAAAATATTTGTAAGATATAGTTAAATAGTTTCTCTATAATCTATTGTGAATAAGTACGATTCAAATTTAAAAGTTCCAGTTTTTTCAAAACTAAATTGGTTACATTCAAATGATTCTAAAGTAATAGATGAGAGAAAACTATTGATTGAAAAATTCTTATCATCAGTATTAAATTCTTCTAAATGTCAAAATACAATTGAATATTAAAAATAGATATTAGAACTATTAAGTTTAAATAAAGAATTTTTTTAAATCCCAAAAAAGAAGATTATGGCTTCTTAAGATAAATTTGGAGAGGAAGATATGATGAAAATAATATTATAGAGTCAATTTTCAAATGCAGTTAAACCAAATTTACTTTAATCAATGATTCTGAATAGATAATCAACAAATATAATGTAAGCAGCAAAAGCATAAGCTTAGAGATAAAGTTTACAAAGTTTGGAATAAGATAATTCTGCAGTGATTGGATAGGCTGCTTCTAAATAGCCATATTGTATAGAAGTAAGTTTAATGGATGGTCGTAAAATTGATATTGGATTTTAAAAATAAACCTTAACATTATTCATCAAAAATGAAGTTGCTAAATTCATTGGGTTAAAATAATGGCTAGATTTTAGATTATTTATAGTTGATTAAAATAAAGATCAAAGAGTTATAGATGATGATGAAACAATGTCATCAATATTAGATGCTCATTCAAATCAAAGTAAAGGTATGATTAATGCATTTAAAAAGTTATTTACTTAAGAATAAAAATTTTAGTTTATTTTTAGAAAATATTTTTATTTACATTGGAAGTAGGAAGAAGCGGATTACAAATAAGATGAATAAAGATTAAGATATATTGTATATGATTTAATTTGGGAAACAAGAAATGAAAAATTTTAATTTAATTTCAATGAGTTTTGTTTGATTACTGCACTATTTTACTATTCGACAAACACAAGTTCAAATTAAATTTCAATGCTCTTAACAAAAGTAATACCTAAAAACATTTTTAAAAATAAAAAAGAAGAAGTTTGGATTAAAGAAATTGTTAATAATATTAATACTTTACAATAGCAGTTAAAATAAATGCAAAAATAGAACTAACAATCTTTAATTAATAAAAACAAAAACATTTGTACCTCCATATCAGGATTAGCTTAATTAATGATTATGGATTTCTTTAAAACTAAATCCCTTTTTGGAATGTCATAATTTTTTGTAGAATGCAATAAATAAACAATATAACATATTTATTTACATTTTAATGTAAAAATTAACAGCAATATCTTTATTGGATTAAATTATTCTGGATTTCATATTCTTAAACCAGAAAACAAAACCATAGGTTTTACATGTCTATATGAGAAAATGACAGAAATGAAAGCTTGTACAACAGAATTTTGTTGTACCATTAATGACATTAAACTTACATTTAAAACTTAATTTCCCTATGAAGTAAAATTTAAATTAATTTTTTTTAGATAAAATCATTGATTAAAGAGTATTCTCAATTGCGAGAATTCACAAATCAATTAGCATAAGGTATAAATTGATAAGAACTTTTGGTAAAATAAAATTTACTTAATTTAATTTAAAAAATATAAATATTATTCAGTATTTTTTCATTTCATAATTTTATTTGTTGGATTAGAAAAAAACTAAATAGAACTATTTGGTGTTGATAAAGTTTTTAATTGTGAATTACTGAGATTTCCATTATTTGAGGTGTTATTCGGTAAATTTTGGATTGATTGATTTGTATTAAATGTATTTCTGTACCAGGTATTTACATCAAAAGTATCATCTTCAATCATTTTTTAAATTAATTAAAAAACTTGCAAACTTGTAGGTCTATCTAAAGGATTAGGTTTCACTAAAATTCTTATTAAATCAAATATTCTTCCTTATTATTTTATGTGATATAAACAATTTTTATTTTTTTTTAAGACTAGTTTAGATGTCTCTGCTTCAAATAAACTTCGAGAAGTTTATAATTTATAAAGTACACATCCAGCACTAAATACATCAACTTTACTATCATATTAATTCTTATTTGCTAAATTTTATAAAATTTCTGGAGCGCAATAGCCAGAAGTACCACATTTAAGAGAGTTTTGGAGTTAATCAAAATCAAAACATGCTAAACCAAAATCAATTATTTTTAATAATCCATCTTTTTATAATATTAAATTTGAAGGTTTTAAATCTCTATGAATAATGTTGTTTTTATGAATAAAGGATAAGCCTTCAAATAATTACTAATTTAATGACTACCATTATTACCTTTAGCAAGCATAATATTTAAATATCTTAAATTTAGTTAACTTCAGTCGATAATTGTTTTAAGGTTTTTCCATCAATATATTCAGTCACTAGAGAAAATGTTTAATTTGTTTTAAAAACTTCATATAATTTAATAATATTGGGATGATCTAGATATCTCAAAGTCATTATTTCATTCATGATTTATTTTTAACATTATTTATTAGATGCTGTCAAAGTCTTTATCGCAAACTTGTTATTTGTTATATAGTTGTATTACAACGATACCTAAAATATATAAGATATTACTATGCCAAAAGCTCCTTGATCCAAATCTAGTAAAAATCTGTAATGAACAATTAAAGACTTGAAAAGTATTGTTTTTCCAAGTTATTTTTTAAGCTTTTATAAATCATCACTGTCACCGTAAAACTCTTTCATTTTATTTTAGTAAGGAAATAGAAAACCAATTAGTTACTGATTTCTAATAATCCATTCAAATTCAGTATCGGGGGATAATTCTAAAACATATTTTGGTTTCTTAAAATCTGTTCCCTAAAGCATAAATCTTATAACTTACAGAACTCATTATGAGGGTTTGTTTTTCATATTTTAAACAGTAATTTCTGTCAAGAAAAAAGTGCTTTCTGGTGACATTGAAGTGTAAAATTTTTTAATCATTTTAATTTGATATGAATTACATTAAATATGAATAATAAATTTAATAAAAAGTCAAACAATTTTTAAAGTAAAAACTAAATAGTTTATTTATTAACAACAAATTGAATAATAATTTAAAAAAATATTGAAGTTAGAAAAATATATTGATTCTATATTTCACATCTAAGATCTTAGAGAATAATACTATCCTTCTTGCCCCAATTTATTTTATGATAAAATAATAATAATATTTATAATATAACAATTAATTATATTTTTTTGATCTACGAATTTTGAATTTTTTATTTTTCTAGTCTTATTGTAAAAATATTTGAATTATATAATTTTAAGTTAAATTCAAATCTTAAGAATTAATTGATTTAAATGAATATTTTTTTTTTAATCATAATCAAATGTAATGTATATATTATTAAATTATAATGAATCTCTAAAAATATTAGTTCTTTTAAATTCTTAATTTATTGAACTAGCAGAATAATTATTTTGTAATTAATAAAAGCTTTTTATATTTTAATTAATTTGATAATATTCATGAGTCATATTAATTTAATTATATTCTTTAGATAATTATTTAATATTTAATTATATAGTGAACTGGTGTGTAGATAGTTAATTTAAACATATATTATTTTTGCTAAAGAGTAATATAATATACTTAAAAATGAAGATAAATTTAAGACTTTTAATTATTCTAAATTTTTTATTATTTAATATTCATTTTTTCAAAAAATGACACAATCTCTATTTTTAATCATCTATTCTTAACAGTTTTAGCAAATGTCAAAATCACAATCCTTACAACATAAAGTTTTACTGTATGACATTTCTGATCCATGTTATCCACATACATCACAAACATAAGCGGTAGTTTTTCTGGTTTCCATTTTATGACCAGATGGACAAAATGATGGATAACTTTTACCTTTACACATATTTTCTGGGGGTGCACAAATTAAACAATAATAATCTGAACAAGTTTCGCATACATATCGGCAAATTTGATTTTTTTAACAATTACTGCAAGTTTATTTGCTAGCCTCAATACCTGGAGTTACCCAAAATCTTAATAGATGTTTTTGTCTACAAATTTTATCTTTACTGACTTCACCTAATTTTCCACAAGTTCTAAAAATGGGTATCGGTTTTGGTTGCAAATTTTATTTTATAGGTGGTTTTTAATTAATAATGATTGATTAAGATGATTCCTATGGTTTAATCACTGATAAATTATTGATCTATTATTATTAGCTTTCTAAAACAATTTATGATTATTTAATAATAGAGTTATATATATGAGATTATTCTTCTAACTTTTTTTCAAGTTCATTTATTTTTATTTATGATGACTATTTCACTTCATTAATATCCAATTATAAAGTTGTAACTAAATTGATAAGGGTTTCAAAACAATTATGAATATCTTTTTATTGTTTTAATACTTTTTGTTTACACTATTTACATATTATATGCGTAATAAAATCGCATTTCTCTTGCTAAAATTTAAAAATTTTGATACATGATCATTAAGCTCATCAGCTTATCCTTCCCATTCACATTATTGACAACATTTGACAGGTATAAATTTGCATTGAGATAAATGTTACTAAAGCTAATCTAAAATTAATTATTCTTGGCAACCAAATTTAGAGAATTTACAATAGCATTTTACTTTTAAAATTTCTGATCTAATCATTCTATGTGCTTATTTTAATTAGTAAGGTTCTTAACACTTATTAGGACACCTAATATAATATTAATTATAGATAATACATATTTTATTTTGCTTTCCAATCTAAAGAGCAGGAATTACAAAACAAAGTTTCACATTTTTAACATTCAACAGGATTAATTGCAAGCTAATAACATATATTACAAAGATATTCATCCTTAACTTCTTAAGCTATGATGAAATCTAGCCTTGAAATCATTAATATATTTATATATTATTTTCATGAATTATTCTAAAATATATAAAGAATTATTTTATTGGAAACTTTTTATAGACTATTTAATTATATTTTAGTCATCTTTCATACATTTTACATTAAGTTTCATCAAAAGAATAAATAGTAAACATAGCTCTTTAAATTTGTTAATAGACCACCTTTTTTACAAAGCAAAAATCTTATACATAGAAATTTTTATATTTTAAGGTATTTTTATAACATTCTTAAAACAATGTATAGACCTTTTGGTCAATCAAAAAATATCTAGCAATTGATTCTTACATTAGGATTATTGTTTTAGGATCATTTTCTCTTTTTGAGAAAAAGTAAGATTTTTATTACTAATTTTACTACAACTTTTTATTAATTTGATTTTTTAACATCTAAAAAAAGCACTCCCAAAATTAGTTTTGAGTTTCAGAATGTTAATATTTGATAATTCCTAGACTAGAAAGATAAACTTAAATAATTTTTAAGAAATAACATCTTTGTTTTAAATTTTAATAAAATATCTTAAAAATATTAAACCTACTCAGTTTTATTTTAGATATTCATTTTCTTCACTTTAGTAAAATTAATGCATTTAATTATCAAAATATATCTTAAGTTCATTTCCTAATATTGACCAACTTATTTTTTAGCAAATATTCTACATTAAGTTAAATTTTACATTTAATTGTATTTATTATTTCTTTTATAATGTTAAAGGTTTAATAAACTCTGTATTATAATTCAAAGTTAAAATATCTAAATAATTCCCATAGCAAATAGCTAATTAAAGTTCTAAGTTAAAAATTTGAGGTGCGAATTTAACGTGTCTTATTTTATCTATACAGTTATATTCAAAGACTTTATCAATAATAGTTTATTAATCTGATAAGACATTCCAAATTTTAATAATTGATTAATTATCACTTATTCCCCCAGTTACTATAATTTATTCTTATTCACTTTTTAGCCAATCTAAGCAAAATAACTGTTAATTATAAGCATTAGTGTTTGTAATTTTATAGTCTTAGCCTTCTATTACTTCTAAATATCCATTATTATATCCTGCTGCTAAAATAAATTTATTATCTGCCCATTAAATTATATTAGCTTATGATTAAGTTATTAATATTTATTTTTCTATTTTCCATTAACTAGCTTATTCTTTCCAAATTTTTATTAAATTATCTTTACCACAAGTAGCAATCAAATTTTCATATTTTGGACTCAACCATGAAAATGAAATTATTTATCCCTAATGTCTTCATTAATGAAATAATACGCTTAAAATTCCGCTATCAATCTCTTCATTTGCTTGTTATTATTATTTAACAATTCAAAAATTCGAACTGTTCCTTAATTTGTGATTTGAGCGATCTTTTTCTAATAATAATCCGTATATATTTCAAACTAATATTTTTTGATATTAATATACCTCTGGATCAAAAGAAAAGTCAGAAACTTAATAGATCAATTTACTCTTTTACAAGTTTTCTTAATTTGAACTACACAACATAAAATTTTAATTAAAACTTTTTTAATTAGAAATTCTAAATACAAAATATTTATCATTTTTTTAGTTCAATTACTTTACAACTTAACATTATCTTCCAATCTCTATAATTTTCTTCTTTAAACAAGTGGATTAAATACTTTAAATTTAATTAAACTATTTACTTGGTTATCTCAGCTTTGGAACCTTTACTTCCTTTTCTAAAGTGCTATCATAAATGAATATTTCTTCTTAACTTTCTAGAGTAATCTATTGTTCTTTAAATTAAATTTGTTATTACATTATTATACTAAATCATAAATTTGTTATTTGAGTATTATCTCCAAATTAGCAATTTATACAATATGCTTTTTTTGTTTCATAGCTTAACAACCCATTTTACAATTTAATATAAAAATTACTTTAATTTTGATTAATACAATAAAAAAATACTTATTTATTATCTGTTATAAAAGAAAAATTAATCTTTTAAATATAATATCTTTTCATAAACCTTTAATTTATGTTGTCTGAAATTATTTCTACTGATATATTATGATAAAGAGATTAAGAAAATACATTCATTCAAAAAATGTTAAATTAAAAACGTATAATTCTAATTTTAATTATGGTAAACTCATAATCTGAATTATTGATTGAAAAAGGCTATTTCTTTTTTAATTCATGATTATTTGGGGTAACTTTAAAAATCAATCAAATTAGCCGATCTTGTTGTTTTTTTATATATGTTGAAAAAAATTATATTTTGAAATATAACTCGATAGATACTTACAAACTTTTTATCTTTTGCTTTTTAACTAAAATTTCATTTAAAATTTTTTCAGTAACAGTTATAAAATAAACTTGATGACTTAATCACATATTTTATTATAAAATACATTAAAGTAATAAAATAATTTTTTAATTATGAATCGAAAAGAAAGTATAATTCATAATTTTTTAGTATTAATTTTTAATATAAATATATAAAATAATATCCTATTATATTTGAAAAATTTTTAGATAAAAAAATGAAAATTACCTAGTCAACAGTCAACATATTATATAATTATTTATATTTTGTAGTAAATTTTATTCATTTAATCAAGTTTAAAATCAGTTGTTTTCATTTTCAATTAATAATAACTTTGGAAAAGATTGATGAGAATTTTCATTTTTATTTCTGCAAGATGTAATAAACAATTACTTTTATTATTATTCATTATGAAAGCTTTAATCGGTTTTAATTCCTTTTTTAAAATTAATTTAAGAATGAAGACTTTGTAAATGACGACTTGTTAAGGAATTATTGTTTTTGTAGCTTGGTTTTATGGATTTTTAAATTTTTTTAAGTAACATTTGTTTTTTTTTTAAAGAATCATTTACTGGTGATTGGTTCATTGATAATAATTTTCTGCTTGATGGAGATAATGAAGATCCATCATTTATGTATTATAAATGTTAAAAATTAATTAAATTTTCTAGGTTTTATTCTGATTAATTAAATTTGGATTATGATTTGGATAAGTTTAATTTAAAATTTTTAATTTCATTAGAGAGACTCAATCCTAATTTGGATTTAAAATTTTTATTCTGAAGATTTTTATTATTAATATAATAAAGTCTTTCTTATTTTTCTTAGATTTTAGATTGTAATTCTGAATTTGTCATAAAATAATCTTATGGAGATTTATCTTTGTATTTGTATAAGAAAGCTTCTTAATTTCTTTTTACACTTTAGGAAAGAGTTAATAATTTTTTATTATCAGATCTTAAAACTTTGGATTAACCAAGGTATCTTTTTTATAAATCTAAATACTCATAAAATGATTTTGATTTAACTTAATTTTAATTAATTTTTATGATTTATTATTAATATCTTTAAATACTTTGCAAAACTTACTATTTTCTTAAAGAGATATATTAATTATTTTGATCTTAAATTTCTTTTAAGAGATTTATAATATCTGGAAACATTTTCCTAATTTTTCTAAATACTTCTGCTTCCATAGAATAGGCAATAGTATTATCAATGCATTGGCAATTATGTTTTCGTTGAGATAATTCTTCTATAAGTTCTTCTTAACCTACAATACCACCATCTGTTATTNTATTTGAAAAATTTTTAGATAAAAAAATGAAAATTACCTAGTCAACAGTCAACATATTATATAATTATTTATATTTTGTAGTAAATTTTATTCATTTAATCAAGTTTAAAATCAGTTGTTTTCATTTTCAATTAATAATAACTTTGGAAAAGATTGATGAGAATTTTCATTTTTATTTCTGCAAGATGTAATAAACAATTACTTTTATTATTATTCATTATGAAAGCTTTAATCGGTTTTAATTCCTTTTTTAAAATTAATTTAAGAATGAAGACTTTGTAAATGACGACTTGTTAAGGAATTATTGTTTTTGTAGCTTGGTTTTATGGATTTTTAAATTTTTTTAAGTAACATTTGTTTTTTTTTTAAAGAATCATTTACTGGTGATTGGTTCATTGATAATAATTTTCTGCTTGATGGAGATAATGAAGATCCATCATTTATGTATTATAAATGTTAAAAATTAATTAAATTTTCTAGGTTTTATTCTGATTAATTAAATTTGGATTATGATTTGGATAAGTTTAATTTAAAATTTTTAATTTCATTAGAGAGACTCAATCCTAATTTGGATTTAAAATTTTTATTCTGAAGATTTTTATTATTAATATAATAAAGTCTTTCTTATTTTTCTTAGATTTTAGATTGTAATTCTGAATTTGTCATAAAATAATCTTATGGAGATTTATCTTTGTATTTGTATAAGAAAGCTTCTTAATTTCTTTTTACACTTTAGGAAAGAGTTAATAATTTTTTATTATCAGATCTTAAAACTTTGGATTAACCAAGGTATCTTTTTTATAAATCTAAATACTCATAAAATGATTTTGATTTAACTTAATTTTAATTAATTTTTATGATTTATTATTAATATCTTTAAATACTTTGCAAAACTTACTATTTTCTTAAAGAGATATATTAATTATTTTGATCTTAAATTTCTTTTAAGAGATTTATAATATCTGGAAACATTTTCCTAATTTTTCTAAATACTTCTGCTTCCATAGAATAGGCAATAGTATTATCAATGCATTGGCAATTATGTTTTCGTTGAGATAATTCTTCTATAAGTTCTTCTTAACCTACAATACCACCATCTGTTATTTAACTTAACTAATGATAAGTATAAAATAATTACAACAATTTTTTTTAACACAATATTAAATGTATTATGAGAAACACTTTTATTTTAAATAACTTTTTAATCTTCAATATTCATATATATGTCAACTCTTCCACTTATAATAATAAAAAGATATTGAGGTTCATCTCCTTTTTGCCAAAGAATAGATTATGAAGCAAATTTGATAGGTCTTAAATTCTATACAAATTTTGTAATACTAAAAGGTTATATTCCAGGTAAAATTTTAGTGTATAAATCTAGAGTCTTATTTTATTCTTAAATAGCCTTATCACACATCATTTTATATTAAGTACGGTTAATTGATATACAATGTAAATTATGTGATATTGCTATCAAACTAGCTGTTCTTGGTTGATCAGAATTTAAAGCTACATCTCCAAAACATTATCCAGAGATATATTAAAAGACCTATTTATTTAATAATTATAATTTACTTTATGAAATAAAAATACACCATCTTAATAGTAAAAAGGATTTTCTTTATTTTCATATAATACATCATCTATAAAAAGCATTCTCTTGCTTTTTTTCATATTAAATTAAATTAATTCTTCTTCAATTTATTCTTTTGATTTAGGAATATAAACTCCAGCCTAACCCTTCAATATGATGTACATCTTATCACCAAATTCTCCATAATTGAAAATTATCTATCCAGAACAAAATTACTCATATTATGCATATTTTGCTGCTTGTGTGACAAAATCATGAAGCTGAGTTCCTTCAGGACAACTATTTTTAAAAAATTATATCTGAAGCAAAGAGTCTACCAATCCATTATTTTAAGATGTTCGATTAATGAAATATTCAAGAACTGGTGCTAATAATTCTTCATTTTGCTATTGTAATTTTAGTAGTTGCTCTGTCTATTTCAACTTATGATTGGTTTATTTCATAAATAAATATAAAATTAATTGTATTTATTTATATTTTAATATCTTTATAAATTATCTCAAAGTTCATTACTGAAGGATATAAAATTTTACTATTAATTTTAATAGTAACATACTATAGAATAAAAATTATTGATCTTTTATTATGTACTTTTTAATAGAAAGTTGATTAATGAAATTAATTGTACTAATAAGAGAAATTGGAGCAGGAAAAACTACTTTTTTTAAAAAAATTACACATGCTAATGAGAATAATAGACATGGAGGAGATTCAGTTACCCTAAATGTATTTTAAAAAGGGATTTGTTTATGGCAGTTTTAAAGTTAGTGATACTCTTCCTGGTTTAGGAGTTCTGAACTTAAAAACATTCTATTGTGGGGCACTTTTGATTACTTTATCTGAAGGTGCAATTAATAGGATTATGATTGTTTTTAGATTTGATAGAAATTATATTACAAAAAGAAAGATATTAGATTAAATCAAATTATTTTAGATATATAAAACAATACTCACTATTTTATTTCGATTTATCCACTAATTCTAAATAAGATAAATAGGATATTCTTAAGTTTTTCCTTAATTTAATATAATTTCTATCCTTTTTGTTGGAATGAATGATAGTGCAGATAAAATTTGAAAAAATATTATTTAATAGTAGTTCGTAAGAAGTAAAGTTACTGCCATTGAATATTTTACTCATTTTAAAATTTCTTGAAAATTTAGAATTAACTGACAAAGAATGTCTAAGTTATCAATGAAGTGACATATAAAATTAAAATAACTTAGAAGAAATTAATTAAAACAGAAAAGCTATAAAGAACCTACTAATTTCATTTCAACAAATAAAATCTTAGGAAATTATTTTTTTGGCTAAGAATATGACTTCAGAAATATAAGAATTAAAAAAAACAATTCTCTTAATAAAACTGAAATTTCCCTTGAGAATTTCTAAATTCAATTATATTGACTTAAAGGATCTATAAATTGAGGTTTGAAAAATAAATGAAAAGATTTCAAAAAGTAATTATAACAACAAAATCAAGAAACAGATTTGAAAATTTCTGATAAATAAATTATATAAATTAGCGTTTAAAATAATGAAGAATCGAAAAATGGCTTAGAAAATAAGAAACTGTAAGATAAAAAGAAAGATTTATCAAAAAAAAAACAAGCAGATAATTAAAATAAATACTTTGAAAAGCGCATATAAAATATTTTATTGATAAAAGATGAAATTGAAATATAAGGATTTAAGATATTAATATGATAAGAATTTTATAGATAGAAATTTAAAATGAGCTAGCTTTTAACACTATTAAAATCTTGAACGATATCATTTTGTCGAATTACAAATAAAAAAAAGAGTTAAGGAGATATCGATTAACAGAATTATTAATTTTGTATGAGATTTAAAATATATTAAAAAGAAGCAAAATAATATTTTATTATTTATTTTTGAAGCAAAAATTAAATTTCTGTAAATAAAATTTAAAATAGTCTAGAAAGATATTTTACATATTATATGGCAACTTTAATATTTCTAAAAAATGTGATATTTTTACTATAAAATTAGATATTTTCTTGATTAATTATCATTAAAGTATTAATATTTATATTTGATGAGAGAAGGACAAAGACTTAATTAATCATTTTCTTATTGTCGATCAAGTCCAGATAAGAAAGGTTCAAGACATAGCAAAATAATTTCAGATGATTATCGAAAGTTTCTTGCTACTTATTAATAGTTGTCTATGTTAGGTAGTTAATATAAATATTCACACAATACTCTTATGCCTTATATAAACTTTTAAATATATGGCTAGAAGATCTGATGAATTAAACTAAAAATGGAAATTGAAAATGTGGATTCCAGATACAATCATATTAAATGATGTTGATTTAAGTGCAATATGGTTATATAGCAGTGTAGATGGTTATGTTTATAGAAGTGATTCATTTACATCTAGAAATGCAGCATAAAAATTTATCGAAGGTAGTAATGATCCAGATGAATTAATTGCAGTTGTAAAGAAACCACAATACAAAGATATGGAATTGATAGGAAATGATGCAAAACCAATTTTAATGAAGAATATATAGATAGTATTTTCTAATTGTATGAGTGTGAAATAAGAAGTCACTTGTTTATAAAAATATATAAAATGTTAAGGTTCTATGGCATATATATGTAGAACTATTTGGAAAAAGAATGGATAAACTATAGCTTGGGTTATTACTAATAAACTAACATTTTAAGATGAAGGTGATTATGCTTAAAGATGTCTTGCAAGTGCAAGTAAATTTAAATAAACTAATATCATTTAATGTAAAGGTGGTTGTTTCATTGAAGAAACTCTTCCTTATATATAAAATCTATTACTTTATTGTAGATAGAGTATGAATGTTGAACTTGATGAATTAGGTTGTGATTTTACAAAGGGAATAGATAATAAATGGTATTTACTTAATGTTCGAGGTTTCAAATTAACTAATCCTACACAATAAATTTTTACTAGACATATTACTCATGATGAATAAATACCTACAGATTATCAAAGAAAATAAGTTTCACATTAATATCAATAATATAATTTTACAAAAACCCTGGTTTGCAAATTTTGTGAGCTTATTTTTCCAGCTAAAGAATTAACACATTAATTAACTTTAAAAATGTTAATTAAATGTGATTTACATTTATTAAGCAGAAATATTTAATTAAAACATTTATAAATTAAAAATAGGATTAATTTTACTCATTTAGACAGTGCTATGTTATTAGACAGTGCTATGTTATTTCATAAATATTATGTTTGTGATAGTTGTTATTAATTATTTATGGCTTGCGACGAATTAATTTAAATTGAATTTAAAAGGGCTAAAAATTTAGGAATTGATGTCTATGAAAAAAACAACATTATTTCACTTACGTAACAAGATTATCGTGTTAAAGGACCAAATGTCATTCAAAGATAAGCTAACACAATTTATGGGAATGGAGAATATTATATTAAACCTTTAGATTGGGAAATGTTAAATGAAGTATAAATTAAATTAAAATGCCTAACTTACATTAAATTAATTATGGAACCATTTCAAAAATAAAACGATTTAAGATAATGATTTATATTAAAACTCTATCTCAAATCCCTATTGAAGCTTAATTTAATTAGTCTAAGTATTAAATTTATTATAGCTTTCTTAATTAAGATATTAAGTAAATATATTGATAATTTAAAGATTTTAATTAGATATGAAAAAGAGAATCGATCATTCAAAAGATATTTTAAATATTGATCATGTTAAACTGTTTTATCTTTTTGCAGTTGATAGACCTGATATTAATTGCATTTTATCACAATTAAAAATTAGTTTATTATGCAATTAAGAATTAATAGGAGAATAAGAATGTGTTAGGGGATTTCAAAAGTTCATAAGTTACAATTAAAGAATATTTAAAATATTTTTCTGGAATTTAAATTAAATAAATTTTATCATGGTCAACAGATTTAAGTATAGGATTATTTGAAAGCTAATAAGGAGTTATGAATGTTGAAAGAATCAAACTTTAAAAATAAGGAACCATATATTTGCCTAATATTGATTATTACTGTTGTGAACCATTGCCTTAAGAATGGATGAATTAATTTGAAAAAAGAAAAAAAATTAATAATAACACTAGTTTTGCAATCTCAGATGTTTCAAATATATTAGATCATTCCAGAGTTTAATAAACAAAATAACCATCAAGGAAAGTTGTAATCTTACAACCACTGCCCAAAATAAATTAGATTAATCTTCGCTTTTATATTCTGAACTTTTGGAATATTAAAAAGAGTATTATATAAATCTAAATATTATAGCACAGATAAAATACTTAATTTTGATTATTGACTTACATTTAGTAAATTATTTTTATGTTTTTTTACTATATATATTGACAAATATATAATGCAATTTCTAAATAAATCTTTCAAAATAAGGATTAACTAGAAAAAAGTAAATTTAAAAAAATAGTGTTAAGAAATATAATTAGTATTAATCAAACTTTGTGGATAAATCTTGTTAATTTTTATCTCATCTTAAAGCAAAAATTAAGGTTTATTCATTATAAATTCTAATTTATGGATTTTAGATTAGAATATAATAATTTATGTTACTTTGATTGTTTCTTAGAAAATAATTCTTTATAAATAAAATAATTTACTCGTTCAATTTAATTGATAATTAATTTGAACTTTTTAATTTAATAAAAAGTTTAATATTAAAAATGTAGAAAGAAGAAACTCCTCAATCTGATTAACAACTTAATAATTAATTGAATAAATAATCTTTAAATATTAACAAATAAACATAAGATTAAGAAAAAAACTTACCAGCAGGTTTAAAAATTAGTGAAACTTCAGATCAAAAAAATATTAATTAACAAAGTTTCAAAACTGCTCGAAAAAAAGTTAAGAATTAAATTAATGCTGATTTGAAGGGGAAAACTGCTTGTAAAAGATTTTGGATTTTAACATTTATTGTCATAATAGCATTTGTTATTGGAAGTTTCTTCTTGCCTAACTCCATTATATCTGTAGAATAAACAAATATATGTTAGTTAAATTTTCTTAATAATAATGAGGAAACTTAAAAAATGTAATAATTTAGTTTAATTATATAGTTGTTTAAGTGAATAAAATTCAGTAATTGCATTATTTATATAAGGTTTACAATAATAAAATCAATTTATGGTTGCTTATGCTAAATTTAATATGCTAACAATACCAAAGTTAGAGTTGAGAGATATAAATTTTACAACATCTTTATTTGCAGTTAATAATATTAAAGAGGATGCATTATTTTAAAATAATTTGACTAGCATCCATAATTCTCTTGGTGCATATTGCTATAAAAATAATAGCAAATAACTTAATACTATTCCATAATAAAATACTTAAAAAAACGAAGATATAATTGAATGTTCAAGTCTTAAATTATTTAATCTGTTTCATTTAAATTATGAAAATTATTTGATTGTGATTAATTTTACATAATTAGAACAGCCATAAAAAAATTTTATTGAAAACTTTAATTATGAAATAGATTTTGAATTTAAAGTTCTTAATCCTATTTATTAAGAAACTATATTTATAATCAGATTAATATTTTTATTAACGTCAATAATTGCTTTTTTAATTTTTATTTTTAAAATGAGGAATACAAGTTATTAGAAATTATGTTTAGAATAAAAGTTTATAATAGTTTTAAGTTTTTTACTAATTCTTTATAACGACCCACTCTATATATTAACTATTCAAAACCCAAATAAAGTTTCTTTAGTTTTTGATGTTATATTTATGAGCAGTTTTGTGATATTCATTATTTTTTATTGGTTAGAATCTATAGAGAATATCAATGATTTTAACGGAAAGAAGTTTAAGTATATTTTCTTCATTCCAAAAATGATATTTTCAATAATAATTTGGATATTTTTTTCTTTATGCTATATTCTATTGGCCTTCAACTATTTCGATGATCCTTTGAAAAACTTTAATGACTATGGAGAAATAAATTATTTTGGAATGAAATGGGCATCTTGTGGTTTAATTATCTTATATATAATAAAACAGATTAAATAATTTGCTTTATTTATTTTTTAGTATGAAACTAGATAATGGAGATTTAAATAATCAGGATTGCTAATGATAAACTACTTTTTGATAGTTATGATTTTAGTATTCACAGGATCCTTCTCAATTATTAATTATGCAGGGGAACAAGTTTTAATCTCTATAGCATTATTAAATATATATGTATATAGTGAACAGTACCATTGGGTTTCAGTTGAAGAGAGAGAAGAAAAGATTTAAAATATTAAGGATGATGAAAAAGTGAAAGAATAACAAGTTAATTATTTATACAGCGAGGAAAACAAAGAAATTAATACGAAGCATGAATGAAAGGATTATATATATTAAATACATAAGAATATAAATATATTTCAGGGTTTTAATAAATATAAATTATAAATTATAAACAAATGAATATATTAGTAAATAAGGGAGATTAAATAATAAATATTATTGTTTAATATTGATGTAAAGAAGAAGGAATTGTATTTTTTAATTTTGATGGCAATTAAAATATTTAAGTAGAAAATAATTTACAATTGACCTGACAACTATTGTATAGAATTAAACTAACATATTCTATGATGATAAAATTAAGATCTTTAGATAGGGGAATATTAGTAGAGTCTAAAATAACAATTTTATTATGTTATCAAAAAAGCAAACTTATTTTTGGTTTAGGTATAAAGAGAATTAATAAAAAAGTAAAGTTTACAAAGATAAAGTTTCTTATAAGCTATAATAATTCTGGGTTGAAACAAGATATTGTAGCATCGATCATATAGAAGAAAGCTGCTGTAGTTGTAAATATCTAAGTTTTGTGTTTTATTGATCTAGTATATAGAATTAAAGAATGCTTAAGAATAGATGAATAACCAGTGTATGATTCTATCTTAAGTATACAATTACAATTAAATACTAAGTTTTTAGTTTTAATAATTAATAAATGAGCAAATATTGTATAATTTATATATATTAATACATTCCATTTTAATTGTTTGTTTTATCTTTTTATATAAAAATTCAAAATGCAACCAAATGATCCCAAGACCTATAAGCCACTTAAACAAATTGATAAAAACTAAAGAGGATATGGTTTAAAATAAATTGCTTAAATGACTCTTGGTTCAGGCAATATGTTATTGGCAGTTGAATTACCAAATGGTGAAGATTTAAATGAATGGTTGGCTGTTAACACAATTGAATTTTATAATGAGATATCAATTCTCTATGGAACATTAGTAGAATTTTGCACCCCTGAACTATGTCCAATAATGTCAGCTGGCCCTAAGTAATAAATGAAACAATTATTTTAAGATATGAATATTTATGGGCAGATGGATAGAATGTAAAAACACCTCTTAAAGTTTCTGCTTCAGAATATATAGATTATTTAATGACATGGGTAGAGAATTAACTTAATAATGATTCCTTATTTCCATGTTAAATTGGTAATTTATACAATTTATATAAAGGAATACCATTTCCTAAAACCTTTTTATCTGTTGTTAAGGTAATCTTCAAGAGATTGTTTAGAGTTTACGCTCATATATATCATTCCCATTTTTAACACATTATGGCACTTGAATTAGAATACCATTTGAATACTTGTTTTAAACATTTTATATATTTTATTGGTATTAATATTAAATTATTTTAGATGAATTTAAATTAGTTGAAGATAAGGAACTTGCTCCTTTAGCAGAGTTGATTTAATAATTCAAAGCAAGAAAGGAAAATCCAACCATGAATTAGGGTGTGTGATAGTTAATACACTTAATTAATAGTATCTAATTATTATTTATATGTTAATAATGCGTAATAATTTTGAATGATACAAATAATTTTAAATATAAAGAAACAACATGTTAAGAAATATTTCAAAGTCATCCCTTTTTAAAACTAGCTTTAAATAGTTCTATTCTTTCTCTTATTATAAAAATCTAGATCTTAATTGTCCTTATCCATCATTTCAAGTAATTTGAAATTGTAATAATAATTAGTCACGAGATCTCACAGTTACTCATACTATGCATTATATTACTAAACCTCCTTGTGATCCTAAGATTATGACATTTGGAGCATTTCACACAGATCATTTATTAGAAATTGATTGGTCTGAAAAGATGGGGTATAAAACCATTATTACATTCTAAGTTGGAGTAGACCTTAAATAGTTCCATTTAAAAGTTTCAGTGTTCATCCTTTTGCTGCTTGTCTTCATTATGCTATTGAATGTTTTGAAGGAGCTAAAGTAGAAATATTTATAATATAATATAGGCTTACAGAGGTCCAAATAATTCAATTAGAACATTTAGATTAAACTGTAATATGTATAGAATGAAACAATCTGCTAAGAGATTGTCATTACCTGATTTTGATGGAGCTGAATTGGAAAGATGCATTGAATAATTATTAAAAGTTGATAGAGATTGGATTCCAGATAGACAAGGATTTAGTTGTTACATTAGACCAACTTTGATTGCTACAGAAGAAGCATTAGGAGTTCGTGCTTCAAGTAGAGCTAAATTATTTGTTGTTTTATGTCCTGTTGGTCCTTATTTTCCATCTGGACTTAAACCTGTTAGAGTATTTTGTAATACATCAACTGTATTTATAAATTATATTAAGATTCGATCTGCTCCAGGAGGAGTTGGAGGATTTAAAGTTGCTGGTAATTATGCACCTACTGTTCTACCATTAAAAGAAGTATAAAAAATAGGATTTCATTAAAATTTATGGATGTTACCTGATGGATTAGTTTAAGAAATGGGTGTTTGTAATTTATTTTTCTTTTAAAAAAATTAATAAGGAGAAAAAGAATTAGTCACACCTATTTTAGATGGAACAATACTTCCAGGAATTATGAGAGATTCTATTTTAGTAACACTTATCATCATATATCTAGGAAATTACTAGAGGAATGGGTAAATTTAAAGTTATAGAAAAAAAATTATATATTCAAGAAGTCATCGAATCTATTGAATCAGGAAGAGTATATAATTTTATAATAATATTTAGATGATTGAAATGTTTGGATCAGGTACTGCTGTTAGTATTCAACCAATTGAAGCTATTGGATATGATGATAAAATTTATGAAATTAAATATGATACAAAATTAAATGCAGGGGAACTTTCACAAGAATTATTTGATCTTCTAACTAAAATTTAAGTATTTATAAATAAAATATGATTAGACTGGAGGAGAAGAACATAAATGGATTAAATCAATATGAAATTTATTAATTATTCTAAAACTTATATAAATCTAAATTTTTATATTTTTTAAATATCATATTTAACTTTCATCTATTTCTTTTTTAGTTTCCTTTTATTACACATTATCAGATTGCAAAGAATTTTCTAATGATTAAATGTTAATTATTTATTAAGAATTTCCTATTTATACAGGGTTGTCTGCTTTCTGACAACTTTCCATATTCTAAGTATTAACTATTTATTACGAATTTTCTATTGAATCTATGTTTTCTAGTGTCTAAGTATTTTCTATTGATTAAACATTAATTATTTCTTATGAATTTTCTATTTTCTAAGTATTTTCTATTATTTAAGTATTTATTATTTATTATGTGTTTTCTACTGATGATATTTCATCTATATTTTGGCTATTTTCTATTGATAAAACACCATTTTGTATAGTATCTATTATTTAATTATTTTGCAATGAATTTTCATTATCTATTTATTATTTTTTATCTATTAATTATACATCCAATTATTATAATTAATTTTCAACTACTTATTGTTAATTAATATTTTCTTATTAAACAGTATCTTATTATTATTATTATTAATTTTCTTTCATTTAAGTATCTATCTACTTTTTATTATTATAGACTATGAAAATTGTTAGGTTATTTTTTAATTCTTTATTAAGAAATTCTATTAAATTTTCATCATTTTTAAATAAAGTGTACTTTTTCAATTTTCCATCTAAATTATACCAATTTTAATTTTTTTTTAAAATGGAAAACCAATGATGAGTTGTAAAGAAAAATTTTTTCTCTTCTTTGTTTAGTAAAAAACCCAATAAATTTTAATCTTAAACAATTGAGTTTAAATGATTAGGCTATCTTTTATCAAAATAAACAACTTATTTTCCTACTTACTATAAAGCATTGATCAAGACATCTGCAGAATAATTTCCAATTTTTAAGAAACTATTATAATTTCATATTCTACTTAGAATGGTAATTAAAAAAACTTTTTTAATAATTAGGTAACGAATCAGCCAATTCATTCATTTATTAACTTGTATAGTGCTCATTTTACAATAAATTATTCACAGCAGATAATCCACATAACAAAAGTTTTTATTACTAATGATAAATTCCGTCCATTTTGAAAAAAAATTATATATTTTATATAATAAATACAATCAAAATCTTCTCACAATAATTGTCTGTCATGAGCCTAATTTCTTGAGTTAATCTCTTATTTAATTGGCTTTCTTAAAATTCATTTAAATTTAAGGTTTGGTTTAGCTTTAAGGTGAATAAATAGATTAAGTAGGAGAATTTCGAAAAGCTATTTATTAAAGTGCACTAAATTAAAATTATCTTTATGTTTCCTTTTTCTATTCAGGAGTACTTAGAATTGAACAATCAGAATCTGAAGATGATTATTAAAGATTAGGGGAACAAAATATCTATTTTGAATCAAGATTGGTTGATTTTTCCATAAGCCAACTATCAGATGATGCTTTAATAGGATCATATTCTCGAACTCCTAAAAATGGTGTTTATTAAATTAACTCATTTTATTTACATTTTGATATCTTAGATCGTAAATCATTCTATCCAAACTTTTTCATACTATCTAAGATACTATATTTTTCATTTAAATTTTAGTCGAAATTAATTTCATCAACATGATTAGATTCTCTTCTGTACAAGCGAGATATAAATGGATGAGAAAGAGCCTCTAAAGAAGAAATCCTATATTCTGGATTAGGTTCTAAAGATCTCTTTAATAAATCTAGAGCATCTTCAGATACTTTAAGATCTTTAAAATTAATTTAACAATCTCTGTTTTTTTCTATAATTTCATCAAGACTATTTCCATAAAATGGAGCTTATCCAGAGAGTCTAATATAATACAACTTAAAATTTACAAAATATAAAGGATGATTCCTGCACTAAAAACATCAACCTTCTCATTATATTTTTTATCTTCTAAAATTTCTGGAGCAACATAACCAGGAGTTCCACATCTAGTTATAAGTAGATCAGCTTCAGTATATGATGCTAAACCAAAATCTGCTATTTTTAATTCGAAATTCTCTGATTTATCTTTTAATAGAATATTCTCAGGCTTTATGTCTCTATGCATTATATTCTTTGCTAATTATTTAATATTTATACTTTTGTATGTAAATATTCTAAAGCATCAAATATTTTGAACATTATTAAAGCAACTTTGGATTCTTGAAAACATTATGTTTCTAGAATGAGATCAAATAATTCTCCTCCTTCTAACAATTCCATCACCAAATATATATAATCTCCACTCTCATAAATTTCATATAACTTTATTATATTAGGATGATCACAAGAACGTAGTAAATCAATTTCATTAAGTAATCCTTACTTGTTTATATCAATTATACTCTTACTCTTTATTTATTATTTTTATCAATTAATGCTGATTTTTAGAAAGTCTTAACGGCATATTTACTTTAATTTTATTTTCTTTAGGCTAAGAGAACCTTATTTATTTTCTTTATTACCTTTGCATATGTTCCTTTTCCTATTACTTTGAGATTCAAAAATATATCTCTATAATTATTTAAAATGCAAGTCATCTTGAACTTTTCTATCCATTTTTATTTTTACTCTTATGATTTAGCATTAAATATATATTTTTTAGACCCTGATATAAGTACTATTGGATGCTTATCTTTTTCCATTATGTTTTAAGAGATGAGATCTAAGTAAACATTTGTCAAAAATAAAGCAGCTATTTCTTTTTATTCTCTGCTATTCTATATATTTGTTATTGTATATATTACATTATAAATGTTTAATCTATCTGTGAATAACTTAAAAAACTTCGGTTTATATAAATCATGTTTCTTACTCTTTATAAATAAAGTTCCTTCAAATAATCGAATAGTTGAAATTGGACGCTTTATTTAATTTAATTTCACCCATTAACTCCTTTCATTGTTATTGGTAGAATCGAAAAAAAATTATTCCGTTTACATAAATATATATAATTATTAATCTTAGTTTGTCTATAAAAAAAATATGAAATTAAATAATAATAAACTTATTACTAATTTGAATCTAATTATAAATGAACAAAAGAAGGAATGAAAAATTTTATTTTTTAAATTTTTATTATTAAAAAAAATGATGTATTCAAAAGCTGGCAAAATTTCAATTGAACTCTTTCCATGGATATAATAGAGAGATGCAATTATCAATGGGGAGAAAAAAAAAACTTATGAAATATCAATTTTTGATGAAATTCCTCATAGTAAAAGACCTTATAAGAGTTTCAAAGAAAATAATAAATCCCCCCCAAAAGATAGCTCACAACCAAAGGTTTAACCATTTTCAAAATAAGTTGGAAGAGTGGAATCTAAAAAGGAGTTAGATAGATATGGATTTTATAATCCAAAATATCACTTAGTGCAGAGAAGGTCACCTTTAACTGATAGTCCTGATCATTTTAAATAAATAAATAGTGATCGATCTTTATCTTCGAAAACTATTAAAAGATCCATAAAAATATAGTAACCTACTTTAAAACATAATTGTGAAACAAGTAAAGAATATCTACAAAAAAAATAACTGTAAAAAGAAAAAAAGCTAAGAGCCCAAGAATATTAACCAGAATTGAACAGATTTCCCTTACCAGAAGGGCCAAATGAACATAGATTTGAATACTAAAATTATCCCTAATCTTAATATGATAGATCTCCAAATCCAATAATTAGACAATTATCTAGTTCTTCAAAATTGAAATTTAAAGAAGTAAGACAACCATTTGATAAAATAATAGTAAAAGAATGGTTAAATTTATGATCTAAATTACACTGTAATATATCCAAAATCTGATAAGATGATACCTGTATTAGATAAATTAACACCAAGATAACCATTTAATAGTGAAAAACCCATTTATACTTATCATGAGACATTGTCTGATGATACTCCAAAGAAACGTAATAGCCCTCAATCATTTAAATTGGATTAGTAAATTTCTAGAGAAAAAGCAATGAGTTACTATTCCTCTATAAGAAGACTTTATTATTTATGATTATGTTATTATTATTAATATAAAATGTCATATCCCTTTGGTAACTAATTTTCAGCAGGAATGCCTAATGCCAAATACAAAACAACTCTTTGTAGACATTATTAAGGTAGTATCAATTATATTTTTAGCAACAAGATAATGTGCCATAGGAGCCAAATGTTAATTTGCTCATGGATAAGAAGAAATGAGATCTATTAATGGTATTCATTCATTTCAAAAATATTAGATCCCATTCCAACTGCCCTTATAACTGTTTTAACTGTCCCTCCTCCGTATGAAATTATGAAACCTATGATGCCATAGTAACCTTCTTTTAAAAGTATCAAATTACTTTGAAATTAGTACCATGTAAATATCATGCTTAAAATTATTGTAAAAATGGATAAAATTGCCAATATTCTCATGGTACTCAAATTTTAATATAATGAGACTTCGATATATAACAACCCATGATTCCAAATATGATTAACCCATATCAACCATAATACCCTTAAATTGATATGAGATAAGAAATTAAACAAGAAGATCCAATGACTACTGTATTTATCATTATATTATAAACCATGGAATAAATATTTTCGAAAGATGTTAATTATTATAAAATATTTAAGGATATCATATAAAAATTAAAAATTGCATAAGATCAAGTGAAATGTGGTAATTTGGCAGTTGGTTCAGAATGCATTAAAATCATTATGACAGATCCAGAAAGAACAGATGATGAAATAGAATAGTATACTACTATATATAATAATGCATGTTATTATTATCATCAATTGTAATAAGGTTGAAAAATTTGTTGTTTTAGATATAACATAAACATAAAATATATAGATTTTACAATTTTTTTCAAAATTATTTCATATCAAATCAATAGTGAATTGCAATCAATTTTCTAATCACATAAAATAGAGCTTTCAAATTTTTTGGTTTCAAGTTATCGAAATTCATTCATTAAAAATGACTTTAAATTTACTATTTCATATTTTCCAATTATTTTTATATTTTGTTTAATGAAATAGATTAAATGATAGAAATTCTTCTATTTAATGATTCTAAGTAATTTATTACTATTTAATGCAAATATATTTCAATTCTCTCTCAATTTCTTTAATGCATTCTATGTATAAAATTCTTTTATTTTTGTTAATTAATGAGTTGAGAATTCATTTTTTTAAATATTTCTTAGATTTACATAACCTTTCATTTTAATTTTAATGTATTATTCAGTAGGTAATATTCTTTTTAAATCTATATCGTAATTCAATTATGGGATTAAAATTTTGATTTATTAATTTATAGTTTTATGTTTAAGAGAATATATACATATTTTGTTTCTTACTAATAAAATAATTATCTTGATTTTAAATTAATAAGTACTTGAACTATATACAAAATATAGGTTTGAATAATAGAGATCATCTATGAACAGTAGAAAATAAATGATATTATTTTAAAAACTATATAAAGTTATAATCAAAGTTAAAGTAATTGATTTATTTCTTATTCAGCTCTACTTAAGAGATTAAAAAGATCGTTTTTTGTATATGGTAGTTCTTCATTAATTAAACACTGTATTTCTTTATCAATTTTATTATTATTAGTTATTGATATTAATAAATTTTCTGTAGGCAATTATACACTTTCAAATTTTGATTAAGTCTCTTTCAATTGTTCATTTGTAATATTTGGAGGCTATTATAGAGTGAATCTTTCTTGAAATGAAACTTCATGATAATTTTATGTAATTTACATAGATTTTAATTGTTCATTTAATTCCTAAATCTAATTTTGCTATAATTTCTATTACTCCTTTTGAGTTCTGATTTCATCAAGTAACTCTTAATTCATATTGCTTAATTTAATGATTAGTTAAGTTTATTGTTCATACAATTCTTTTAGTTTTTAATGATCCTAATTTTATTGATTAATAGTTTTGTTTTATGCTTCAATTCTATTTTTTTATTAAACATTTTCAAACTTCAGTTAATCAATTTGATTATATAATGATTTAACTAGTTAAATAGATTTAGTATCAAGAAGGTTTTCATTAGAAACAGTAGTAATAGTTGATTATTGAGAATAGTAATTATTTAATTGATTGGATTTATGTTGATGAATTGGAGATTTAGAATTATTTCTACTTTAAAGCTGCAAAACTTGTTTCAAATTTGTAATGTTCTATTCAGCAATTTGTAATTTGGTTTTGAGAAGTTGTGTTTCTTTAATAAGATCTTACACAAGGTCTTACTTTTTGATATTCATTTTAATAAATAAATATATATTCAAAATGAATGAAATAGAGGAATAAGAAGCGTCTCATTATTCAACAATAAATGAATTAAAATCAGAAATTTAAATAGTGTCTTAGAAAGAAGAGAATTCTGTAATAAAATCAGATAGTATAATAAATTTTGATGATACCTTAACTCAAATAGGGTTTGGAAGATTTTAAATAATGCAGTACCTGGTATCAATAATTTTGGGAATAATGGAAGGAGCATAAATAACTATATTTACTTTAATGATACCTATCCTAAAGAATGAATGGAATATATCTGAATCAATAGTGTCTTTATAAACAAGTTTTATTTTCATCGGATTTCTAGTTGGATCTATGTTATCAGGTTAATTTACTGATAGATATGGAAGGAAATTTCCTTTTATTTTTAGTACTTTATTCACAGTGCTAATTTGTTTTGCTACAATTCTTTGTACTAATGTCTATGAGTTACTAATTATGAGAGGATTAATGGGTATATTTGTAGGTTTCTTTGCTCCATGTTGTGTAACATTATTATAAGAGATAACCCCAAATAATTTAAGAGGTTAGATGACTGGATCTGTAACATTAAGTGTTGCAATAGGTTAATTGTACGGTTTTTTTATGGCTTCATTAATACTGGATGGAATAAATGGAAGTTGGAGATGGTTAACTTTTCTTGGATCATTACCAGGATTGGCAGCATTTATATTATCTCTAATGTACATATAAGAATCTCCAAGATATCTATTATTAGAGGGTAAATATTATGAAGCATTTCAAACTTTAAGATTAATGATAAAAACTAATAATACTACAAAATTTAGCTTAACTATTGAAAATGAACACAAATTAGTTATATGGTCGTTATATATGAATAGTATTGCCAGAAAGACCGAACATGGTTCATTTAAAAGCTTGCTCAATGGAGATAGACTATATATTTCATTAGTTTTATGGAGTATTTGGTTTTTCCTTTGTTTTGCTTATTATGGAAATTTAATGACAATGCCTTAAATACTTTATTAACTTAAAGATAATTAATCTCAATTATAACAACTAGTCTATGCTTGTCTAAGTGATATTCTAGGTGCTATTTTGGCAACTTTAATTATTGATATTAAAGGATTAGGTAGAAAGAATTCATTAATTATTGGATTTATCACAGCTGCAGTTTTCTCATTTTTATAACTTTACTATTATGAAAATCATTTTGCTATTTTAGCAATTTTATAAAAATTGTTTCTCTCTATGAATTATATTTTCTGGTATCATTCTCTTATTTATAATAGTTACTAATTAACGACTGAACTATATCCTACTAAATTAAGAACTACAGGATTGGGTACAGCAGTTGCAATAGGGAGATTAGGTGTCATCTTGATGCCTTGGTCTTGTATGATAGTTTCCTAATATTCTATCATTGCACCATTTCTTTTATTTTCCGTTGCTTCCTTTATAGGAAGTATTTTTACTTGCTTTATTCCCTTTGATACACTAGGGAAAAGCTTAGATAACAATAATTGATTAATTAATTTATCAATTTATTATATACAATACCGATAAATCATAGTTATTATCTTTAAGAGTAATTAGTTCCTCTATTTAATCTATTTGAAGAATCTACTGATTAAATCATGTTATTATTGGTCTTACTATTACTATTTGTGATATTAACTTCCTTTGTTTATGAGATTTATCTCTTTTTTAATGCTTCTAATGATGTTTCTACCATTATTAACTTTTCACTCAAATCTGAAACCTCCTCATTTTTTTCTTTGAATTTCTTACGCCAAATATCTACTTCCCCTTATAATGAAATAACAGTTGTTTCAACTCTTGAATAATTTTCTTAAACTATTTATAATTCTTAGATCTAATCATTCATTTATTCTATCCAATTTTCTTTTTCATTTAAAATACTCCTTAATCTTATTATATCTTAATCTTTACTACTTAACTAATTTTACATTTCTTTATCGTCTATTTCATATTTTTGAATTTATTTCTTCAATTTTTAAACTTCTTCATTGTTGCCATTTTTATTTTGTTATTGTTTTTATAATAAAGCCAAATTTTCTTTACTTTCAGATAATTCTTATTTTAATCGTTAAATTTCATTCTTATATCCATCTTCTTAAACTACAAAATTCTTAATCATAAATTCTAATTAATTAATTCTAGCCATGTAATCCATAGACCTTAGATTTTGTTCATTTATTTTTAATCTTTAATTCTCTATCTGCAATCTGTTGATCAACTATTCTAATTATAATAGCTTTGATTTATATTTATCTTCCATATCTTAAACAGAGACTACTTATAAAGGTTTCTCATGACATTATACATCATTGATTTCTTGAGATTGTTAAATCTTTTCTGATGATAATTAAATCACTCTTATAGGAGAAACAGATTAAGTTTAACAAGGATGTCGTACTTGAGCAATAAACTATGTGTTAATGCTATTTCTATCTGTTTATTGGGGTCTATTATTCTCATAATTCTTACATAGCTGAAAGAGTAGATTATGTTTGGATTATTTATAAAGGATAATTAGGTAAATAATTGTTTGTTTTTCCATTTTTAAGAGGAACCTGTCTTACATATGGAGATGTAGCTTAAATATTTCTAGGTATATATTAACTCCCTCTTGATCGGATAAGTCTTTCTAAATTTTCGTTTGACATATAAATTTATAATATTCTTTTAAATTATAAAGTATAAAAAAAAACCTAAAATTTATTAAAATGATGAAAAATTAGTAGATTAAAAAAGATGAATAAATTCACAACTTAGGAAAAAATTGAAATCTCTATTTTAATTTTTGAAAACTATAATAACATTTTTAGATAATTAGACATTTATTAATAGTTTTATGATTTTTTTTGTTTGTTTGTATAATTTGAGCAATAAGTATGTAAATGATAGAATTTTTAATATCAGTCAGATTTTCTGAATTTAAACAAAATATATTTTAGTGTAAGGTTAACTTTTAACAATAAGAGATTGATTTATCAGTTCTAATTTTTAGATCTAAATCTATAAATCTAGAATTATGATTTTATATAATGTGTTAAGCTTTTAACATAATTTTTTCCTACAGAATTAATCCAAGTCATATTTTGAGAATCAACCATACCAAAATACTTTAATAGGGCTTTTAAACAATTGTATTTGATGCTCTTTTTCAATTTGTTCAAATATTATAAATTTAATTCTTCTATAATTATTTTTGAAAATAATAAAGCTGGTTTTGAAAATAATAAAGCTGGTGTTTCTTGTTTTAATATTGCCAATAAAATTTATTGTTAATCAAAATGTTTTTGCATTTTTTTACATAAAATTCTTAATTAATTTTTCATTTTTATAGCAATATTTATAATGATAAAAAAATTAATATGCAATTAGAAATTGTATCAGTTTTGCGTTGAACAAAAAATCAGCAAACAAAAATCTAAAAAGGGACGCAATATATTATTATTCATTTTAAGCTTAGGTTTAGTACAACATTACACAAAAACAAGAGATTATATGTCAAATATATTTCTAAGTGAGTAGGAAATATACGATCTGAATAAAAACAAATAATTAGAAATTAACAAAAAATAATTGAAATACCATGAAATTAATTTGTAAAAAAATAAAGAAATCTAAACAGCAGTAATAATTGGTGGAGGAATTATAGGATTAAGTTAAGCATTGAAATTGTTATAGCATGGTTATTCTGTGATATTAATTGAAAAAGAATAATTTATATCTACTAAATGTAGTGCTTTTAATGGAAACATATACAATCCATATTTATTCAATCCATTAATATCAAAATATTCAATAAAAACAATGTTTGACAACTATATTAATCCAACAGACTCAGCAACTTAAAGATTCAGTTTTGGATGTCTTTAAGAACCAGGAGCATTGGTATGGTTATTCAATGCATTAAGATTAAGTACTTCCGATAGTAAATTTGATTAGTCAATTTAAGATATGACTAAATTAGGGTAGATTTAGGAATAGGAATTTGAAAAAATAAAAAAATTGGGTTTGCTTGAAAATTAATTAACTGCTGAAGGAGAATTAAGTTTATATAAATCTGTAGAATATGGAAAAAGGATAAGTTAATCATTTAAATAAGCAGGAGTTGAATTTACAGAGATTGATAAAACCAATTATAATTAACATGAAATAGATAGATAATTATTTAATAATTATCCTTATGTTATTAAATTAGATAAAGAGAATAATTTAGATACAAAATAATTATCAATACAAACTTTGAAATATTGTTAAAAGCATTACCCTGATAAGTTTAAAATTTTATATGGAACAGAATTTAATGAATTTATAATGAATTACAATAGATATGTAATTGGAATAAATACAAACAAAGGGTATTAAAAAAATAAATTATAATTAGTGTAATATATGGAAATAAATTTATAATATGTGCTGGATTACATAGTAAATATATAGCTAAAAAGTTGGCAGTGACATTACCTATTATGCCTTGTAGAGGATGGATTATAGAATCTGAATTACCTGAAAATGCAAAAGGATCTGTATTAGATAAAATGGTACTTAAATTACCTACTTTATCTATTACAAATCTTAATAATAAATTAAGAATTTCAGGTTGTTAATTAATAGATAAAGAATATAAATCAGATGATCCAATTAATGAATGGGGAGCATAGATTCTGATAAAATAAATGAAAGAGTAATTTAATATTGATTTGGATCCATAATGTATATCAGTTAGGGATTGTTGTAGGCCTTTGACTCCAGATGATAAGATAATATTGAGTAAATTGTGGTTTAATAAAAATGTATTTGTTAATGCAGGTCATGGTTCTAGAGGAATGAGTTAATGTCATGGTTGTGCTGAAATTATTTATTAATTAATGTAGGGTAAATAAAAAGAAGAGCATGTTGCTTTTGATTTAAAAAGGTTTCTATTTATTTGATATATATATATACATCGTTAAAAATAATTAAAATGAGTTAATATGAAAGAATAAGACCAATAGTTTTTCAGAAAGCTCCTGAAATTAAATAGGTGAGATCGACTTCCTTAGCTGTACGATCTTCTCCTTCTAAATGTTAATTAGATTTATCATTCGATTTATAAGTTAATTCAACAAATACTAATACAAATTAAGCATTAAAAGATATTAACAATTATAAAAAGCTTTATGTTAGTGAATCATGTTAAAATAATAATAAAGAAAATTAATTTTCTGCTAAACATTTTTCTTTTAAGACAGATGAAAATTAATATTTGAAATAAAGAATTAAATAATTGGAATCATAGAATAACAACTATGTATCTGAAAATAAAAAATTGGCTCATGTTTTGGATTAACAAATTCAATTAAATCAATCATTACAAGAATAATAATAATCGAAAAATTAAATTATTAGAAAATTAGAGGATGTATATAAATGAATAAATATTAATAGTCTAATAATACAGATTTTAAATAAATAAATGAATAACTGATAATTTCTAAAAAGGTAGTCAATGATTTAGAGGAGAAAGTATAGATAGTATTGAATGAAAATTAAAAGTTAAGTGAATTGAATGAAAGATTTTAGTTTACAGAAAATTAATTAAAAGTTGAAGTAGAAAAATATAAAAGTAAATGTTCAATAATGGAGAGTAAATTAAAATAATAGCAGTAATAAAATATTAATATTTAGAGAGGAATCAAAATGTTTAGAGTTATAAAGAAAAATAAAAAAGTAGAATGATTAAATAGAAATATTGGCTAGAGAGAATTATTAATTGAAATAGTAGTTAAATTAAAATAATAATTAAATATCTTAATAAGAAGATAAATAGTTATAAAATAGGTATATAAATATTTAAATTTAGTGATAAATATAAAGAGACAATAAAAGAGCTAGAATTTGAAAATTAATATTTATAATAAATGATAGGTATTGATTAGCAAAAGATGAATAATCTTGAAGAAAAACTAAATTTATTGACAAAGGAAAATTAGAGACTAACGGAAATAGTGAAGAATCGTCATAAATAGTAATGATATAAAAATATAATTATTTTTTGTTATTTAATTGAAAGAAGATTAAATTAAATGATAATTTTGATAAAGAATCAATATCTATAGAATGATCCATAACCAAATGTGGGTGCAGCATAGCTATAAGATGGAGTATATCCATATGTTGGTGCAACATAGCTAGTTCTTAATGGAGCAACAACTGGTGCAACTGGAACAACAGGTGCAGCATAACTGTATGAAAGTGGTGAAGCATAAGAAACTTGAGCAGGAGGAGCTCTTCTCACCTATAATAAATAATTAATTAAACCTCTCTTTCATATTCTAAATAATCCACTCTTGGTACATTCTTTTCAACTGGTACATAATCAACCTATTTTTCATATGTAACTTAAGGAATATATTCTTTTTAGTATTCAACTGGATAATAATCAGTTACCCATTTTTATCTTGGTACCTACGTGTAACAATTATATTTACTTAGTATGTTCTGACTTCTTCTTCCATTTCTACAACTGGCTTTTGATATGGTACATATTCAACTCTTGATTAACCTCTTATTGGAGAATAAGCTGGAGAAGCATAAGTCACAGGAGCTGCATATGATACTGGTTAAACATATGACACTGGAGCTGCATATCCAACTATTTTATTATGTCATCATTTTCTACCTGGTCTAGCTATTGATGTTGCTAAAGGAGATGCATATGAAACACCATAAGGGGAGTACATATTAATATTAATATTGACAATAAAATTTATTGCTGTGTTATTTTAACATCAAATATCAAAATTAAATAAACTTATTAAATTATTTAAATTATGGATAGAAATTCCGAAAGATAGTTAATGTCTATTATACATATTATTAGACTTTATAGTTACTTTCGGTACATTAAATTTTATTTACATCTAAATCATCTCATAGTACATTATTACTTAGAGATATTGTGTATTAAAAACAACCATTACTATTTTTCACCATATATAAATATTTATTAATATATTCAAATGCTTTATTCATTAAGCATTTTATTAAGTTTGTGATATTTCCAACTGATTATAAAAACTTGATATTATTAAATATAAACTTGTTTTTGTAAATATGTCCGAATATTTTAGAAAATATATCAAAAAAGAACATTATGCTAATCATTAGTATTAAATTCTATTAAAATTGTAGCTCTAACCTAAAATTTAAAACATCTTTTCGAAATTGCATATTGGAAGTATTTAACAATTATTAAAGCAAGGCTTTTAAAAGAAGATTATGGAAAGAGACTGATGGAGATGATTGGGATATAATGTGGGCTGAAAAAGAATGGATTCATGAAGTAATGGATCATACTCATCTTTAATCTAATCAAAAAATAAATCATTTTAGAAATCATTATGAAGTATGAACAACCTGAATAAATTAGTTAACTAGAAAAGATCTTATGATAAAGAATTTAAAACGATTTAAGAAAAACTTAGAAAGAGAAGGCAAATAAGATGATGCTAATAAGTAATTACTGCATTAATTAATTCAGTTATAATTTCTTTCCTTTAACTTTCCACTTGCCTAGTGAATATCCAATATTCTTTGAGGAATTCAAAAGATAATGTTCAAATGGTGAGACTAAAACAGCATGGATTATGAAGCCTGTATTAATATAAATTCATTTTTAAGATTGGTAAATCATAAGGAAAAGGTATATTCATCTTCAATAAAATTTAATAAATATCATAATGGAAAAACACTTTACGATATAATCAAGATAATCCATAAGCAGAAGCTTACATAGTTTAGAAATATATAGCAGATCCATTACTTATAGGAGGTAAGAAATTTGATATGAGAATATATCTATTATGTACCTCCTATTAACCTTTAACATTATATCTATATAGAACAGGATTTGCAAGATTTACACATCATCGTTATGATAATGAAGATATTACAAATACATGTATTATATTTATTTTAATATAATTTAAGATGTTCATTTAACTAATGTAGCAATTTAAAAGACATCTGACAATTATGATGAAAAACTTGGAGGAAAATGGAATTTATAAACACTTAAACTTTATTTAATGACTAAATATGGATAAGAAAAAGTTGCTGAAACTTTTTATAATATTTAAATGTTAATGGTTAGATCACTCTAAGCAGTCTAAAAAATTATTATTAATGATAAACATTGTTTTGAATTATATGGATTTGATATTTTATTAGATGCTTAATTAAAACCATGGCTTTTAGAAGTTAATGCNTATTTCCAACTGATTATAAAAACTTGATATTATTAAATATAAACTTGTTTTTGTAAATATGTCCGAATATTTTAGAAAATATATCAAAAAAGAACATTATGCTAATCATTAGTATTAAATTCTATTAAAATTGTAGCTCTAACCTAAAATTTAAAACATCTTTTCGAAATTGCATATTGGAAGTATTTAACAATTATTAAAGCAAGGCTTTTAAAAGAAGATTATGGAAAGAGACTGATGGAGATGATTGGGATATAATGTGGGCTGAAAAAGAATGGATTCATGAAGTAATGGATCATACTCATCTTTAATCTAATCAAAAAATAAATCATTTTAGAAATCATTATGAAGTATGAACAACCTGAATAAATTAGTTAACTAGAAAAGATCTTATGATAAAGAATTTAAAACGATTTAAGAAAAACTTAGAAAGAGAAGGCAAATAAGATGATGCTAATAAGTAATTACTGCATTAATTAATTCAGTTATAATTTCTTTCCTTTAACTTTCCACTTGCCTAGTGAATATCCAATATTCTTTGAGGAATTCAAAAGATAATGTTCAAATGGTGAGACTAAAACAGCATGGATTATGAAGCCTGTATTAATATAAATTCATTTTTAAGATTGGTAAATCATAAGGAAAAGGTATATTCATCTTCAATAAAATTTAATAAATATCATAATGGAAAAACACTTTACGATATAATCAAGATAATCCATAAGCAGAAGCTTACATAGTTTAGAAATATATAGCAGATCCATTACTTATAGGAGGTAAGAAATTTGATATGAGAATATATCTATTATGTACCTCCTATTAACCTTTAACATTATATCTATATAGAACAGGATTTGCAAGATTTACACATCATCGTTATGATAATGAAGATATTACAAATACATGTATTATATTTATTTTAATATAATTTAAGATGTTCATTTAACTAATGTAGCAATTTAAAAGACATCTGACAATTATGATGAAAAACTTGGAGGAAAATGGAATTTATAAACACTTAAACTTTATTTAATGACTAAATATGGATAAGAAAAAGTTGCTGAAACTTTTTATAATATTTAAATGTTAATGGTTAGATCACTCTAAGCAGTCTAAAAAATTATTATTAATGATAAACATTGTTTTGAATTATATGGATTTGATATTTTATTAGATGCTTAATTAAAACCATGGCTTTTAGAAGTTAATGCAAGGTATACTATTCAATCTAAATTTAAGTCCTTCAATGACTTCTAATACACCTGTTGATTTTGAATTAAAATGTGGTTTATTAGATGATGTATTTACTATTATTGATTTGGAAAAAGTATTAACAGGTAATGAAGAATAAATTGGAGGATTTGATTTGATATGTAAAGGAAGTCCAATTAAATTACCTATTAATAGCACATTTACTACATATTTAGGAGCATTTAATAATAGATAACAATAACTTAAAAAAATTGCTAAATCTACTGCTATCAGATTAGCATAAACATATTAGGAAACTTAAACAAAAGCTATTGAAATTGGTTCTAAAGGATAAAAAGAAAAAGAAGAAAAAGATAAATAAATGAGAAGTTCATCTAAAGGACCATAAGCTATGCAAGTATATTCATATTATTAATTTTAGAATGGAGTTAATGGAAGTAATAAACCTAATAATTAATCTAAATAAAATACAATTATGAAAAGAAATACTACCAATTTACCGGCTTTAGGTACTGTATAAAATAGAAGTAATATTAAAAGATAGCCACTATAAAATGCTGGGTAATAATAATAACAACTTTAGCAATCATAATCTAATTCAAGCAAAAAGTAAATATATTTAATAATTTAGAAATAATCCTAATGAAGAATCAATGTTAAGTGCTAATCAAAAACTGTAGAAATTAACTTAAGAAAGTAAAATAAATTAGTTTTAACCTTATAAATAATAATCATAGTATAATGATGTTATGGGAATGGGCTCGCGAAATCAGTAAAAAAACGAAGAATGAATTAACATAGTTTTCTAATTCTATATATATAATTATTTATTATTATACTTATGTCTACAAACAAATTTATGAATTTATAATCAATAATTCAATTTAATATTTATTTTATTCCTCTAATTTTGTATTTACATATGATTTATTTTTTATAATCTAATTTAAGATTAATATACTTATTAGTGAATCTGATAGTGAGAAAAAAATTTATAATATTAGATTAAATAAATTCTTAGTGTCTAACTAATTTATAGTTTTGTTTTTTTTTGGAATTTTATTTTCAAATTTATACATCCTCCTCTTCTACATTTTTGTTAATATTGTTATTATCTATTAGAGTAATTTTTTATTTTTTATTATTAATCTTTACTTAATCATTCTTAAAAATCAAATTGTTTTAAAAGTCTCAGTAACATCCCTTATTAATCCAGTAAAAAGATTGCAGACTTGGAGTTGGATATTTTTTAATGCAAAACAGTACATGTGTAAGTATTCAGGAAACAATTAATTCTAAATTAATATCTGATTAGAATCAAGATGTTAATTAAAATTAAAATTCATTTAATTTTTAATTAAAAGAAAAAAATTGTATGAATTTTCTCTTGAATATTTAGCATGCACAATTTAGACCCCAGACCTTTATTTGATTAAATTGAATTCTAATAATGGAGACTTTGAAATATTTTAAATTAAATATGTAAAACTCATAATCATAGTTAAAAATTAAAGTCGAAGTAACACATTTGAGCTAAATAAAAAAAAGGATAAAATTGAGAAATCAACCCACTTTCTGATGTTTAGATTGTTATTAGATATCATAGAATAGACTGGCAAGCATGAAAATCGGTTCATTTAAAATGTTTATAGAAAATACACTCCTCAATATAATTACTAAATTTTGTTATATAATTAATTAAAATGCCGTATCTTTAAATTTTAACTAGTTATAAATAAAAGAAAAATGAATGAACTTAAAAATAAATATTCAAGATTTAATGAAATACTCTAAAATATCAAATTAAGTCAGATAGGCCTTTATAAGAAGGGTATCTGAAAAGAAATGTACAATAAGACAAGCAGCAAAGTAATTTGGCATCAAATTTTCTACAGCCAAAGCAATTTTATCAATTTATAGACATGAAGGCAGGATAGGAAAAAAACAAAAAAGACAAAGAAAAATTTTAAACAATATTATTTCTGAAAGGGAAACACAAAAATCCCTTAAGGAGGAACATACAGAGCCCAAAGAAGATTTTAAATTAAACTAAGTCCCCCAAAATAGCCTGAATGAATGCCAAACTATATAACAACTACCTTGTTATAATTATGACTGGACTTACTTGCAACATTTTTGGATGATGACTTATATGAATCAACAATTACAATACCAAAGTTTTTAAAGATTTATTGGATAATGATATACTTATATAAATCATTAGAAAATTTTCGAGAAATTATTTTTTTTCATTATTGTTGTTTTTATTAATAATCAAATATACTTTAAATAAAATAGTTAAACCAAATATATTTTCTCCTGTTTCTATCTGGTTTAAATAAATATTGGTATTACAAAATATTCTTGATTCTAATATTAATAATATGGTCTTATTTTACGATAAATGAAAGATATTAGAAATTTAAATATCATTATCCTCCAAAATATCTACTTATTTCATGCCAAATTCCCATAAGGAAACTTAATACAAAAAGAATTTCATGTTGATACCTAATGCATGAATTTATTATAGAAATCCAATATTTTTAATAAATTATTTGGTGAAAATTTTCAGTGATTTTAATTATTTTTTAAAGCTATTTATTTAATATATGTACATATAATAAAGAGTTGATTTAATTAAAATACCTAAACTTGTAACATAATAATGAATTAGTAGTTTAAAAATCAATTTACATGTATTATATTTTTTTATTAATACATGTAATAATATGAATAAAGTAGAGCTGAAAATCAAATTTGGAATTAAATTTTTAATTGAAAATTTGCTTTTTGTGAAAAATAATTTATATCTGCAATTGAAAAATTAATTATAAACTTTTATAATATTAATTTTCATCATTTTAAAGGTCTTATTCTTCTGTATTTTTTATTCGTTTTTAAATCTTTCTTTATGCTGGCTTTATCAGCCATTTCTTTGTATTTTTACAAAGTTGATGATCCATGCTATTTAGCATCTACAGTTAAAGGTTTTGAATATACTTTATTTTCCATATCTTTAAAGTTTTATCTAACTCAGGATTTAACTTATCCTTTTATTTTTTTTATCCTCAAGTATTTTTATTTTTCTTATAATCTTTATAATTCTCTATCTTGCCTACCTACAACCTTTTAGTGTCTTTCTTTCTTCATTACATTAAATTGGTTATTATGGAGATGGTGGAATTAATTATACGTTTTTTTAAGCTTTAACATTTTTAATTTCAATTATTTAGAATTTTATTTGAATTTTTTGATTTTTAGATAGAGTTTTATATTTTAATCATTATATTGATCCTTTTATTCTTATTCCTAAGGTTATTGTTCTTCCTAATTGTCTTTGTTTTGGTCCTAATCTTATTTTCCTTAAGCTTAATCTTCAAATTATTAATCTATACATTCATCATCAATTTCAGGTGAAATTTACCTTTTATTGTTTATGATTTATTTGTTTAATTCTATTAGTTTTCATCTTCATGAAATGATTTTTTTATTTCTTTGATTGTCTTAAACTAGATAATTAAATTCAACTTTTTAGATACAAAATTTTTATTGACTTAAGGAATAAATTTACATTTTTGGATCTATATCTGAAGAATTTGATTCTTTCATTTTTTTCTTTTATTTCATCTTCTTATAATCTTTTAGACATTAAATTAGTACTTTAGTGTTTTTCTTTTCTTTTCTTTCTCTTTATCCTTTTTTTCTTTTATTATTAATTAGCATATCAAAATGATATTTTTTTAGCTTTTCATGTGTTGTTTGGAACTTATTTTGGTTGTAAACGTTCTTCTGCAATTTAATTTCTTTCCATAATTTTTAAACGCTTTTCTTTTTAATAAAAACTACAGGATTAGCTTTTTATGTTCTTGTGTAAATCTGGATTAATTATGAGTCTTTTTTTTTTTTGAATTGTTTAAAAAATTTTTTTTTCTTCAATTCCTCTAGATAATTAATTCTTTTATTTCAAATCAAATATTAAAATTATAAAGGTTAAATTATTAAGGATCTTAAAAATTCTAAATTCTATTAAAACTGTAACTTTTTATGGAATTTTGAATCCTGTAGATACAACTACAGCTTTCTAAATTTAATGATTTTTAATTTATGATGTTTATTTAGTTGACATAATTTCTAGTTAAAGAGTTTGAATTATATTTCCTTAGTTCGAATAAAAAAATAAATATATTTGATTAATATGTAAAAATTAATAATAACTTTTTTTAAAATTCATAAAAGCAAATTAGGGAATTTGTTTTCGACAATTTTATTAACTTCCTCTTCAACTTTACTTAATTATATATTTGCTGGCAATAAATATATAAGCTTTTTTCATTTACTTTAGTTCATAAAACCAAATCCTTGCTCTAATTTAATTTTTATTACATTCTAATTACATATTAACTACAACAGTTCAATTTTTCATACTAATTATAGTAGTCTAAAGTCTTCCAAGGTTAGTTTGGTAACATTTAATTAAGTTGAAATTCTATAAACCAAATTAAATCCATTAATATACACAAATTTAGTTAAATCTTGTTTTTATGTATAATCAATAATTTAATCTAACTTAAGGACCAATCTTTCTATATTTTTGGAAAAAACGTTGAATAATTTTGATAAATTTTAAATATCTTGTAAGTAGGTCTGTAATTACATTAATTAATAATTGCTTTTCTAAATATGTGAATAAGTTCTTCTTTTATTTATGGATATAAACATTTTTAGATATAAAGTAACCCTTTGTTATATTTTTTAAATTATTAAAATTTAGATAAGCTGAATGATTTTATTCATATGGTGGAAATTTTAGGTTAATTTTACTATCCAGGTAATCCACAACCAAAATAATGTTCTTTAAAGAGAATTGCTTTATGATGAGGTAAAGTTGAGAAAAGAAAATTTCAAGAATAAATACTAAAAATCTGTGATTAATTCTTCTTATTATCTTCCTAAAGTTAAAATTTATTATAGTTGCATATATGTAGCAGCATCTATCTTTGCATATTTCAATGAAGAAGCTTAAAAATAAAATAAATTGAATATTAGACTTGAATTACATAAAATCCATCTCTAAGTAAATTTATCTAAATAATTTATATCATATCCAAAAAATAAGTAAAAATTTATAACAAAGTTTTCAGCTACGTTCGTATACAGATTTTTTGATAAACTATAATGCAATTTATTGCATTCACTAAAAAAATAATCTTCTACGATTGTTTTAATTTTAGGTATTTTTTAATGAGTTAGAGTCATAAATAGAAAAAAGATCTTCCTTAATCCTATAAATTATATTTGTTTATTTGTTATTCTAAATGCATTGTTAGAAATTATAATTATTCATTCATGTTTTCATTTTCCTACTGCTCCAATATATTTGGAATTGGATTAAATTACGCAAAAAATTAAAAAATACCTTCTGCCATACTTGTTTAAATTCTTTTCTCTTCTATATTTGCACTTTGAGGAAAGTAATAGATTAATTTTGCATCTTATCAATCCTAAAAGCTAAATAAATTAATTACTTATTCAGATGGTTTTGTCACTGTTGGAACAGCCAATGGATTAAAAAAGAATAAAGCTTTTAATTAGAAATCAAAATTTAGTTGATCCTAATTAATAACAAATATAAATATTTAATTTCTCTTAATAATATTAATCTAATTCATATTAATGAGTCTACAAACTAACTATTTTATTCCAATTATAATAATATATCAGGAGTAGAAGTTTGTTAATAATAAAAATAAAGAAGAAATCTTGTTTTTGTTTCAAAATATTCAAGTTTTTATAACTGTTCTATTAATCAACATAATTTTATTTGTTTAATTTATTTGAGCAATTTTATAAAATTTAATAAAATTATTAATATGTTCTGATAATTTATTTGAGTTATTTTATAAAATTGAAAACAAATTAATATGTTTATGAATTGTAGAGTCTACAATTAAAATTATAAATGTCGAATATATTATTTCAGATCTAAGAAATTAATAAATAGCTCTGCTAAACAAGTTTAATATTTTTTCAATTTTATAAAGTTTATAATTGTTTCCATTATAAATAATTAATTAAGTTCTATATTATTATCTCTTCAACACTATGATGTAAAGAATGTAACTATTAAATATTATTATTATTAAATTTCTAAAATTATGAGAAGAGTATAATCTGCTGCACCTAATCTTGGTAAAACTTAACTAAATTTCTAGAGTTTACTATGGATGACATGTTTAAAATTGCTACCAAACAGACTTCTACTTTTGGAATAGAAGGATATGAAATAGCAAAAAAATATGCAGACCCTCTTAAACAAATGGAAGATCGCAAATTTGCTAAACAAAAGAAAGGTATAATTAGTCTTAAATAAAAATAAAGGTTAAAAAAATTTAGGATACGTTACAAGAAGAGGCCATTATTTAGAAGATCAGAAACGTATTTATGAAAAACTTCCTGCTCCAAATAAATATGATATTGTGAAACCTTGGGGGATTCCTCTTGAAATTGTTAGATCTAAGTCTGCTCCACCAAAACGGTCAGTTTCTTTTATTTATTTTAATTTTTAGATCTACATTTATTGATTAAATCTTTAAAGAAGCTAAATTAAGAGCTGTTCCAGGTTCAGGAAAATATAATATTATCCAACCCTTAGAAGATGTTTTAAAATAAGTTGAAGAATAAAAGAAAAAAAAAATAGAGTTAATATTATATTAATATTTTTAGAGCCTTTGAAAGACCTACTTATCTTAATGAAATTTAACATTTAGCAATCATTAATCCAGGACCAGGAAATTACAATCCTAGAGTTTATTTCATCATTAATTTAGCCTATTTCAAAAAAATTAAAAAAAAATGAAACTAAACCAGCTGATTTTATAACAAAAGATAAAGAACTTGCTAAAAAAAGAGGAAAATCAGCTTTACCTGATATTGGTACTTATAATCCTGAACCATTAAATTTTACTACTTTTAATAAATTATAGGCTCAAACTAAAAGAAAAGACAAAATTGATAGAAATGTAATTATTCTTTCTATTTTATATAGACTTTTGGAAAGGATATCAGATTTAAAGATCCTAAGAAAAGTAAATCTAAATAAATTTTATTACCTGGACCTGGACAATATCCTATGATTGTTTAATGGGCTGGAAAAGAATAGGATAAAAATAAAGCTAAATAAAAAACTTATATGCAAGCTATCACAAAAGGATGTGAACGTTCCATTTATTATTGAATAGAATGAAAATATTGATCTTACAATTTTTGATCATATATTTATAAAAAAATAATCAATGAAATCTTAAATTGAATAATGTGAATTATTGTTAGAATAATAACAATATTAAGAATTATCAAATGAAATTAATAAGATGATTGAAGATGAAAAAGAATAAGAGTAGGACATTTAATAAAAACTAGAATATTTACAAGAATAAGAAAATTAATTAGAGCAATTAAAAAAAGAGGAAGTAAATTTATATTCATCTAAAGGAAACATTAAATTAATACTACTCTGAATAATATACTCATTTAGAATAAGAAAAATAATTATTATAGCAAATAGAAAATGAAATACAAATTTAAAAATAAAGAGAAATTTAGTTATAGATTGAATAAAAATTAGCATCTTTGAATAAGAACAAATGTATTTATATTATTATATCCTGATATGAAAATCAAAAAGAGAATTTTATGATGCTTTTTTAGTAATGCCATGAATATCATTAATAAAATCAAATTATTGCTCAAGAGATTGAAAGTTTAAAGGATGAAAATGATGATTTAAATAAAGGTATCCAAATTTATATTTAATTTAGAATGTTAACATCTTGAAGGTTAATCAGAATAATAAATTAGATATATTAATTGTTTAAAATAGTTAAATTAAAAATCAGAGGATGTGTAACACAAATTACAGGATTATTAGGAAGAATTGAAATAGTTATTACATAAGGGTAAATAAGATCCAGGACCTAAATTTGATCCAATTTAATATATTAAAAGTGTTACTCATGCATAACAAATAGTAGATATCCCTTAAGAATTTTGTGAAGTCGAATAAAGTATTTATTTATAATACTCATTAATAGATTTATCTTTTATACAAGAAATTACCTAAATTCCTTAAATTTAATAGATTAAAAAGCAAGAAAACCAAGGCCTTTAATTTAATTATAAATATTTAGCAGCAATCACAGTAACTATATTATTAGGAGTTATTATTAAAAAAAAATTACTATGATGATCTATTTCAAATATATTTATGCAACAATTTTGTTTTGATAAATAATTAAAATAGAAAAGAATTATTTTTCATTCCTTTATTTTATTTATAAATAATCTTTACTTTACTTCTTTTGAATATTGAAATCAAATTTCTATTAAATGAAGTGATGTTCATAATTGCCTTTTTAATTAAATAAATATTGTAAGTTTTATAATATCCTATAAATTCTCTTTAGTAAAATGGTAATTTTAATTTGAAAATTAGATGTAAATCATGTGATTTGTTGATGAAGCCTGATTTTAATTCTACGACAAATTGAATGATTGTGAATGTGCATAATAAATAAATCATGATGATGTATAGTTTCCTACTTAATGTTCGAGTTCTGCTACTTTTTAGGTTGCTGCTAGAATTAATTACTAAATTTAGCTTTTTTCTTTTTTTAATTCAGTGATTTAACTTTACAATTTAGAATTCTCATCTTTTTATGTATTTATTGCCTATATCATAATTATATGATACTTATCTCATATCTCTTAGCATAGCATCAAGAGTGGGCTATGTTGTATTCTTAATTTCTTCATTATTATTTGTTATTCTCTATTTCATCAAATGTAACTCCTATTTTAATTGATCAATCTCGTGTTTATAGCTTTATAACAATTCATTAGACAGGTCTGTAATATTCTAAAAATTTAAGAATCTAATTACATTAACTAATAGCAAATGATTTTTAGCATTTGTAGCTGATTCTTAATCTAATTTGGAGCTGTGTGCTTATTATTATTAAATTTCTGACATTTATTTTTATTATATTAATTTTAATCAAAAAAAAATATTTCTTTTCTCATTTATAAAATTTATGAAAAGAAATATAAAGAAAATTAAATATTTTCGCTATTTATAAAATTTTATTATTATTTATAATTCATTCAATTTGATTGAACAGAACTACATTTCTTTTTATTCTTAATTTCTTTATTTATTTATATCTTACTCTTATTCTTAGACTATTCACTTTAGCTGACATTGTTCTTTTATTTCATTAGTTTTCTTTTCAATTAATTTTATCGATATTTCAATTAATATCTATGTTTATTATAAACTTAAGATGTTTCAAAAGTTTTATTACAATGATCACATGTAAATTAAACTTTTTACTTTTGTTACTTTAAAATTTTTTTTTCAATTATTTTTGGACTTTTTTTCGTTTTTTTTTCCTCTTCATTAATTCTATTATCATTTTCTTAAACTACAATAGCACCTACGTTTTTCTTTTTTTATTTATTCTTTTATTTTAAAGTTTATTTTTATGAATTTTTCTATAGTTATTATGTATCTTCACTTTCAATCTATCCATTTTATATCTAATTAGTTGATTATTTTTGAAGGATTTCTAATTTTTCAGACATTGCTGCACATTTTTCATACAACATTGCTACAGTTTCAAAATGTTATGTTAATGGAATGAATTTCATATTTTTATTTTTATTTTTTTTGATCTTTTTATAGCTTGATTTATATGAAATTTTTCCTTATAATTTTGTTCACATAATAAATCCTTAATTTATTTTACTTTTTATGATTTTATTATAAACAGAAAATTAAAAGAATTTTTTTGAAATTAATAAAAAAGTATAAAATTTCTAAACTTAAAAAAATTATTTAAAGATTTCATTTACTGAAAAAAAACTGATAAGTCTTAGCAATATCAATTTCCATACTTCCTTACTGTATTTTTAGATAAAATTATCTGTCTCAATATCAACCTTAGAGATTCAAATAATTCTTTTGGAGATAATTTATTGATTAAGAATAATTATAATGATTTTTAATCTTCGATAAAAGGATATGAGATTAATGTAAAATTTATATTGATTTTAAATTTATTCAATAAAAATATCTAACAATCATTATGATCTGATAAGAAAGAAATCTATTTACAAAATAATTTAATTATATAATTATTAATATTTTAGAAGAGTGGAAAATTTTTTATTCTGACATAGGTTAGAGAATTTAAAGAAAAGAATGTTTTTTAAATAGAATTCATAGAAATTAAAGTTAAAAATTAAATTGAAATTATTTATAAAATAAATGATTTAAATTTAGGAAATAATAATGAATTTTCATTATAAATAACCCATATAAGAATGATACTAGAGTTTGAGAATATGTTCTTGTAACGAATATTATAAAAAACCTACTTGCTTTTGTTAAATTTGTGCAATAGGCTAAAAATAAAAGATGTTTTTGGAAGAAATATTTACAGAATTTATCAACACCACTATAATAATATTTTATATTATAAAGGACATATTTTATAATATTAATAGTTATTCTAAAGATATCATTTAATTTATGTTATGTATGTATAATTCAGGTTATTAAGAAATAGTATTACTTTGAATTATTGGAAATATAATAATAAAAAATAAACATAATTGTGTGGTTATTTGAAATTAAATAAATCTTTTTTTATTATTAATGGGTATTTCAAGAGATAGTAGACATAAGAGAAGACTAACAGGTGGACGTATGCCAATTCATAAGAAGAAGAGAGCTTTTGAGAAAGGAAGATAAGCAGCTATGACAAAATTGGTATCAGGTGAAAAGAGAGTCAGAAGATTAAGAGTAAGAGGAGGAAATTTTAAATTCAGAGCACTTAGATTATCAGATGGCAATTTTTCTTGGGGAAGTGAAGGTATTGCAAAAAAAGCAAAGATTGTTGAAGTTGTTTATCATCCATCAAATAATGAATTAGTAAGAACAAAAACACTTACAAGAGGAGTCATAGTTTAAGTTGATGCAACTCCATTTAAATAATATTATTTGAAAAAATACAACGTTGATTTAGGTGCCAAAAAAACATAAAAAAAAGTATAAAGATTATATTAAATAAAATTTAAGGATTAAGCAGCTTAACCAGAAGTCAAAAAATCAAGATCATTATTAAAGAAATTAGAAACAAGAATGAAGGAAAGAGTTATTGATAATTTAGTTGCAGAATAATTCTAAAATTAAAGACTTTTAGTAAGAGTTACATCTAGACCAGGATAATCAGGTAGAGCTGATGGATACATTCTAGAAGGAAAGGAATTAGAATTCTACATTAAAAAAGTTGAATAAAAGAAAAAATGAGTTTTTAATATCATTATAGTACATTAGCATGTAAAAATAATAATAATTCATTTATTAAAATCCATCATCTTTTATTTAGCTTCTTCTTTTGTATTATGTACTTATTGTGTCATTAAAGAAATAAATATAGGAACCATAATCATAGTTAGTACCATTACAATTACATATTATATCTAATTTATAAAAATAAATACATATCTTGTATCAAATGAATAACTAATATCCTTCACATAATTGTTAAATAAATTCTATTCTGCTATATCATTATGCATTCCATACTTAAGAGTACATCTTAATAAGCCAAGAAATGAATAAAAGAAATTATCATGGGTTACTAATTTACCTTATATTGTGATGCACCAAGACATTGCACAAATACTAATAATAAATATTAACACCAAAAGTAAAAACCATGATTCTTTATTAAACTAAATAATTTTTATACTATTTTACCCTTATAATAACTAATCCATAACATTTAAGATAAGGACTCCAATTTCCTAAAAATCTATTAACAGCTATCATTAAGAACAACATTTGAATTCCATCATAAATTCTAACTGTGTAAAGTGGGGTTATTAACATTGATATATCTTAATATAAATCTGATCCAACTTCAATTTTATCTAACTCATCTTAATATGATTTCGAAATTGTACTTCTAATTAATATACTTACATTGCTTAACATATCTAAATTATATAATTACTCTTACAAATTATATCGAATATTAATGGGATTTTTATTGTTACATATAAAACTTTTAAGTTTAAGATAAAAAAATCACTTACAATTAATTTTTTTTATTGAAATTCTCTTTCCTCTTATGGTGCCAAATCTCTTTTTTTAGATTACATTTTTTTTCTTCTGTTTAATAATTCAATGTACTATAAATATATAAGAATTAAGCTATTTTCAGTACCTATAAAATAAAATCCAAAAAAATCTTAAAATAATTATGAATTCTTATACCAAAAAATGATGGAATAAGTAAAAGAATAGCTACATAAAACATAATGCTATGAGCAAGAATTTCTTAATCTGTTTTAGCATTTAAATCAAAGGCTTATGTTTACATAGAATTATAATTAAGTTATTCCTAAATTTAAACTTTATTTTACATCATTAAATAAATACAAAGTTGAGATAGTCGCTTATATCAACCTTTAACTTGGGCTATTAAAATAATTTAAAATGAATTAAGATTATTTAATATTATACCTTAACCAATTTTATGATTCCATTTCTTAAAGACTATTAGTTAAACTTTCTTAATTTGTGAGATTCAATTACCAAACATATCCTCCAAAATAATTATCATATTTAGATGGATCAAATTAACTTTAAGGAAAATCTCCTTCTAAATCTTCAATAAATAATTAATCAAAATTTAGGCAGCTTTAATTTTTGTTTAAAAAAATGTCTTTTTAATTTTAATTCAATATATGGCATTCTTCTAAATCTTCTTCTTAAACTAATTTCTAGATTAGTAATGCTGATTTTAATGGATAATTGGAAAAGATATGTGTATCATTTACTTCTCCTAAAGTTTGATTAATAAGTGCTGCTATATCAAATACTGGTTTAGAATAAGATCTCTAAATAGGATAAGAATTTTGAAATGAAGCTAATATTTAGGTATTAGTAACAAATTTGATTTAATTGATTTCTGTGAGTATAAACAAAAACAATAATAGTATAAAAAGACAAGATTCAAAAAAATATTTCACTTTATTTAAATACCCTAGATACAAGGACCAATTGATTTTATTTTCTAATCTTCTAGTTTATCTATAACCTTTTGTTAATCCTTCAGGATAAGCTTCTGTAAATAAAATTTCATCGTTTATTGATGTATTTATTTTATCTTCCTTTTACTTTTTTTATTTAATAATTTGCACTCCAACAATAGGTTCATAATTTTTGAGAAGTTCATAAATTGGTGGGTATAATTCATTTAATACATTCATGTCAAATTATAATAAATTACCCATTTAATCTGTATAAAATATTTCATTATCCTCTGCCATAAAACAAGATTTGACAATTTACTTTAATTCTTTAAAAGTCTTAATTGTACCAGGTACTTTGACTTAAACAGCATTAGATTAATTTTTTAATGTAATATAATATCCATTATCCTGTTATTCATCTTCAGCTTTTGCAATTTCTTCATCTTATTTTAAATTTAGAGTTAAATTTCGATTTTAATACTAAGTTTATCTTTTTGCTATTTCTTATTCCTAGACCATTTCTAATATTTCTTTTTTGCTAACATTTAAAAGAAATAATTTTAGCGTTTATGTGACTTCGTGTTCTAATTTTGCATCTATGCCCTAGGTTTCTTATGAAACAGAGCCTGCTGTTTTATCCTGATGTTATTTCTGATGCTGTTCAAGTTATTTTAATAAGGCATCATATTCCTATTTAAAATTGAAGAAATACCTTTTCTGCTTTACCAATCTCATCAAAATACAAATCATTAAGCTTTTCTTCTTCTGCATATTCTTGTTATAGTTTTTTAAGATCATTTAGCAATTAATCTCTTTAAGTTTTGAATGGCCTTAATTTCTTGGTATTATATGAGATGCTTGTCATTATCACTTAAATTTTAATAAACAATCAGCAAAATAATCAATTTAATTTTCTGGATTCTTTTCCGCAACTTCATTCAATGCTTTTTCTATTGCAGCTGATAATTTTGAATCCTCTAAGTATTTCAAAGTATTTATATATTATCTTTCTTTTATATCCTAAATCCATTTTTTTAACTCAGTTTATTATGCATCTACATTAACAGTCTAAAAATCATAACTATTATCTTATGACTACCTTTATTATTTTTATGATTAGAAAGAATTATTATTATTTGATTTATCTAATTATCTTTCTGATCCTAATTCACTTTTATTTTGCTTTGCAGGTGGTTTTTATTTACCAACAAAATCAAATTATAATTCAAGGGATCCCATATCATTTTAATTTTTGTATAATGGTACCTAAACTAACCATTCTGGAGCAGTTTCTGCATTTTATAAATTTAGAATTCCTCCTCCAATTAATTCTTCTGAATTTTTTTTTTGTGGATCTATATCAAATACAGAAACATTTAAGTTTGAATTCTTAGGATCATATACTAATTAAAATGTTTCATTCCAAATTGGAAATTTTCCTTAATTTGTAGCTGTTTTAGTTTTAAACTTTTAGTTTCCTAATTGAATTACAGTAAATGGATCTTATTTGCCTTTTCCTCTTTATTCATCAAGATCTTGAAGTAATTTTGCCCCTTTTACAGTTATATTCAAATTGGGTTTGCTTTTCATAATTTTAATAATAATAATGTTTGAAAAAATTCTCTCAAGAATTTTATTGACGTATTTTGGTAAATTCATTAAAGGCTTTGATCAAACAACTTTATAGTTGGCTCTTTGGAGTGGTAACATTGTTATAGAAAATGTTTCATTAAAGACAGAAATATTTACAGATTTAGAATTACCATTAGAATTAAAATTCAGTTCAATAGGTAGATTAATTCTAAAAATACCTTGGAATAAATTATCATCTGCTCCTGTAGAAGTTGTATTAGAAAATATTTTGATTGTATTTAATCGATTACCTTAATAAAGATGGGATATTGATGATTCCATATAAATTAAAAGAAAGTTTACTAAATTATTGGAAAAGGTTAGATAGAGTATTTCTCTAAAAAAGAAAGAACAAAGTGAGAATTCTGGGTACTTTGAAAAATTAACACTTAAAGTAATTGACAATTTGTAAGTTTCCTTGAAAAATATTCATTTTCGTTTTGAAGATTAAAATTATTCATGGGGTATTAAAATGGATTCTTTAACAGCATTAACAACTAATGAGCAATTTGTTGTAGCTTTTGTTGATAGAGACGATAAAAATACAAAGTTTGTACCAAGAAATAAATTAATTGATCTAAACAATTTATAATTATATTGGAATACTAAAGAAACCATTTTTGTATCTGAAAATATTCCAGAAGAATAACTACAAATTTTTAATTATGTCATTTAAATAAGTGCTTAATTTAAATTAATAATTAATCATAAAGAAAGATTTGAAAAACCACATTATCTTTTAGATATGTAATTAGATCAAATTAATTTAAATCTAAGGCATACTTAATTAATATAAATAATATCATTTTTAGAATTAATTTCAAATTATAACAGTAGATTATGGTCTTAAAAATAAGAATTATTGTAATAAGATGTTAATATTTATTAATCAAAATATTGCGATGTTTTCATATTGTTTTTGAAAAATGATTTAAAAGATATTGAATAATTAGGAGATGAAGATGAAACTCTTGAATTTAAAAAATTAATTAGATCAGTTCCTTTTAAATAATTAGAATCTTGGAGTTAATAAGCATAAAAAAAATATTTATTAGATTTAAAGGTTTAAGAATATTAGAAATAAAAATCTAAAAAAGAAAAGGGTTGGTTCAATTTTGTGGGGGGATAAACATAAGAGGAAATTAATGATTCTGAATTAAAATCCCTAGAAGAATTTATTGATAATGAAGAAATCAGTATAGTGTGTAGACCTTCTGAATCAGTAAAATTTAAACTTATAGCAAAATTAAAGTAAGCTCATATATAATTGGTTAAAGATAATAATACTTTTTAAGATGAAGGAATAATAAAATAATTAGAATAAATAGAAATAGATTGGACTTAATATGAAAACAAAGATTTCTCATTTTCTACAATGATTAAAAAAGTTAGTTTATAATTGGTAAAAAATTAGCAAATTGAAGAAATTTGTTAGCCTACTTAAGAAACAAAGGAGTTTCTTAAAATATCCTTAACAAAAACAACTACTATAAAGGTTTGTAGATTGGATTTTCGTTTTCTGATGTAGAGTTTAACAATAAATTATAATCCTTGTATAATCAGAATAATAAGAGAAATAGCAGAAGTTAAAAAAGGAGATTATGTTGAATAGACTTTGAAAACCGCAACATGGAATTAAATAGAGAAAATATAAGATTCAACTGAATCTTAGTTATAGAATATTTTATAATCAAATATTCAATTAAATATTGATACTTAGATTTTAGAACCAATATTAAAATTATCAATAAATAATAATGAGTTTTGGTTGGTGAAAATGGATAGCTTTCATATTAGTACAAAAGGTTCTAATTAATAAGATTTATATGAGAAATTTGATATTTCTTTGAGCAACTTCAAATTTTTATATTATCCAGAAAGATTTGAGGATTAAACATTGTAGGTTTTGAATGATTATAATTTATTTATTTAAGTTTAAAGGTTGAAGAGTATCAATCATGAATTAATAAAAAAAGAAAATAAACCTATAATTATAATCTTAGGAAAATTAGATCCTATTAATATTACGATTAATGAAAAGGTATATAAACATTTAGTTTATTTACCTGAAACCATTTATCCTACATAATCTGAACTTTAGAGATTATAATAGTTGGAATTAGAGAAATAGCTTATATTAAAATATAAAGTAAAAGATGGAATTTTAAAAAGACAAGGATAATTAATCAAAACATGGAATTCTTAATTTGTAGTATTAAGTAACTTTGATTTATATTTTTATGATTAAGAAAATGTTTTAATGGCAAATTCAAAATTAAGTTTATTCAATTCAACTTTGTAATTATTGCAAGTCGATGATTAGTAACATTCCTTTAAGATAACTAATAAATCTGGAGAATATATTTTTGCTTGTGAAAATAAAAATGAATTAAGAGATTGGATTAATAAAATTAAACTGTAAATTTAATAATATTAATCTTATGAAGAAATTTAAGAAAAATAAGTAGAATAAATAAAGGTTAAATAAAATGACTAAATGTAGATTGATTTATCAATAAAGAAGATAGAGGTGAAATTATATAAAGATAATAATTATCCTAGTGTTTATTAAGAACATCTTTTATTTTTGTTAAAAATAAATAACTTAAATTTTTAAACAATTAAATAACAATAAATTTAGCAACTAATATAGATTGATAATTTATCAATTTAAGATTGGATATTTGATTATAAAAATCCTCAAAATTAAGATTTGATTATTTTAAGTAATAAAGTTGAAAGTCAACCTTCTTTAAGAATAGAATTAACTCCAAAAAAACAAAAGATAAATGTAGATTAATTATAAATAAATTGGAAACCAGATACATTTTTAAAGATTAGATTATTATTATAGATAATCGAAGATAGGAAATCAAGGAAATGGTATTTTGCAGGTGTTCGAGATTTTGAAGCAGAATAGTTGAAAAGAGGAAGGAATTGTGATTAAGAAGAATTAAAGAAAAATAAATTAATTGATGGATTAAAAGCTGAATTTAATAAATGTCAAAGATATGGTTAATCAAAATTGAAAGTGAAACAAAAGTTTAATACTTTGGTTGATCATTAAAATTTTTTGAATGATTATGAATGGATTGAGAATCAGATTTTATCATAATATCAAATAAAGAGTAGCAAGAATACAATAATGGAATTGGAAACATCTATAAATTTTATTTCAGTTAATTTCTTTCATAGAACTAGTCATAGTTTGCTTTTTAAATGTGATTTAGATGAGGTGAAATTTACATTTAAAAAATTATAATTTAGTTATTATTTGGATACTCATTTGAAAGATATAAGTTTATATGATATGACAAATTATCCATTTACGATAGATAGCAATTTATATTTTGATTTGATAAAACCATAGAAATTATTAGGGAAGAGAGATTAATATGATGAATGGGTTGTAAGATTTAGATTTAGTGGATATGATGAAATAATAATAGCAAATTAAGATAGAGTTAATGCATTTCTTTTAATTGAAATAAATCCTGTATTTGCAATATATCAACATTAACCTTTAATGAGATAGATAGATTATATAGTAAATTAAATAGTTACTTTGATAAGAGAACCTGAAGCATTAACTATGAATACTGGATATATTGAACAAAAGAGAAGGAATAATAATTAATTGAAAGCAAAAAGAGTATGGGGTGATATAGATTTAATTTAATCTAAATTTATATGCCCAACATTTTTAGATTTGAGAATTATTATAAATAAACCATTGGCAATTATTAAGGGATGGCCTGATTTTACTGAATATTTTTAATTGGATTGTGAAGTAGTAGAAGTATATAATAAATAATATATTGATATGAGTAGATTGTTATAAGAAGGAGGTATTTAATTGATATAATCAAATGAAGAATGGATGCCTGATGGTAAAATTAGAAAAGCATGGAGTGAAGCATATTGTATTGAAGGACACAATATGCAAATTTAATATTTTGAAGGAGGAATTAATTAAATTAGTTCTTTATTTGAATTTAATTTATCATTTGAAAGAGCCTTACATTATTTTGAAATAAATGAATTGTATGATAATGTGATAATGGATGGAAGTATCAGAATTCGATCATGTATGTCTCCTATAATATTGAAATTATACAGAAAAGAATATTTAGAAATATGTAAAATGATATTTCATAATTTTACTAATGATGATTTTAAAGATAAATTATACATACATGATTTTGAAGTTGTTCGTTTATTTGAACCTGCTCCAATATCATTTTGGTTAGATTTTATGGATATTTCAATATTTGCATTAAGCAAGAAATCATAATAACCATTAGTATAAGTAAATATGAAATTATTGAGATTAGAATGGTTGAAAGCAACTCATATAAATTTAAATTTGTTTAGTTAATTAATCACTATGTTTCATTATGATGAATTAAATAATGAATTAGGATTTGTGGGAGAACTGAATTCAAATCAAAATTAAGATAAACTATTTTAAGTGAATTAATTGATAAATGGTGAAAAACCCACAAAACAAAGAGAAGAGTTCAACAGATATATTTTTGATCAAGATTTTAATAAGGAATAATCTTAATTTTAAATGTTATTTTATATATAAAAGCCGAGTTCAGATAAAGAATGTCATATAGTTTTAAAAAATGTTAGAATGACAGTAGAACCAACAATATTTATAAATGTAGGTTTATGGAGTAGATTGGAGTAATAATGTTGGCCTATTTAAACAGAATTTGGAGAGATGCCAAGTATTAAATTAATTGTTGAGATTTTAAATTCAAGTTTATGTCTGTAAGGATTGGATAATAATTACATACTTGGAACTAAAGGTGATATTTCATATGTTTGGAATAGAAGTAGATTCTTACATCCCGATCAAATAATCATAAATCTAAAAAATAATTAATTAGATAAAAAGTAAATAGATGTTATAGGAGATGCATTTGAACATAAAGTAAATTTAAAGAATTTAGAACTATTTAAATGCAAATTCATCGATTATATAAATTATGATCTTAAATATGTAAGAAAGAGACATATCATTTTACCATTCTCATTATTTTTCTGTATTAAAAATGAATTGTAAGTTGAATATAGTAAGTAATTCATCTATTATCATAATAAATATTCACTTCATATTGATAAAACTATATGTAAGTTTTCTTACTAGGATTTAGTATTAATAATGAGTATATCAGATAAATTGAAATCGAGTAAATAAGAAATTATTAGAGAACCTATTTACTAAATAGAAGAGATTATGAATTAAGAATAACCAATTAATAATTTATATGATGCTATTATTAGTGGATTATAAATTGTAGTTATAAATGATGCTGGTGAAGCTTATGTTCCTGTCTTTGATTTAACATTATCAGAAACTCAATTGTAATTTCAGTAGGCCAACTCTAAATCTATATTTTCTACTGTAATTAAATTAAGTAGTTCATTTTATAACCCTAAGATTGCTATTTGGGAACCAATCTTAGAAAGTTGCAATTTTTCAATTGATGTATGTTTAAATCCTAATGGAGAACCTTAAAAAATTATATTCTTAGAGATGATTTAAGAATAATAAACTCTCAATATCAATTTATCTGCTTAAATGATTAGTGTTTTTCATAAAACATTCATTTCATGGAAGTAAGAGATGGAACAAAATAAAAAAGATCAAAGAAAATCTTATATAGAATAATAATCTGATAAATAATTAGAGAGATCTATGAGTATTTAAATAGATAAATCTTTACAAAATTTTAAATAGTAAAAGTAAGAATATAATGAATAATAAATATTCCCAGATGAAAGAATTGATAATGTTGATTATGTTTCTCCTTACACTATAAGAAATGAAACAGGATTTATACTTGAAATTAGTGATACAACAAATATAAATAGAAAGTATATTCTATAGTCTAATTCTTCAATTAATTTTGAAATTGATGCTGATTTTGATTAAATGTTTGCTAGAGAAAGAGATGATTTACCATAATAATAATAAAGATTAGTTACTATCAAAGTTATACATAATAAATATGAATTTGAACCTATGAAATCTATAGATTTAGATTGTATCAAAGTTACAAGATGTCCAATCAAACCTATTAATAAAAACACCAATCACACTTTTATGTTATTCATAGAAGTTGTACCAAAAGATACAAGAAAACTACTTTTGATTTCTTCAGAAACCATAATTTTCAATTAAACCAATATGGTTATTGATTTATAATTATTTGATCTATAAGGCACTTAAGAATCAAAAAATATTTATTAAGCTCAAATTGAACCTTTTAGAGCATTTAGTGTACCTATTGATAGAACCAGATAATATTTTCATTTTAAATTTGAAGGGGATTAAAAATATAGTCATTATATTAATTTAAGATACTTATCTGATAATATTGAAAAGAAATATGAATATAAACATAATGATTATTTCACAATAATTAGATGTTCTAAAAGAAATGTTAATTAAACTATTGTTTATTTGGAATCACCATTTTAAATTAAAAATTGTTTACCTATCAACATTTCATATGAATTATATGGTGATTCTGAATAAGATTTATTAAATGATTCTATAATTATCCATTAATAATAAATTGATAATGAATAATCAAATCTCACTAATATTAATCTTAAACACTTAGACAAATATTAATATGATAATTTGTAGTAGAGAGAAAAGGGATAGATCATGAAATAAGAATAGAAGTTAATACACACTATTTCATCTAAAGGTAGATTAGCTATTACTTTAAAATTACCATTCTTTTAAAATTCAGGAATTCATATGTTATATCATGCTAAATTCGGTCCTTTTTTAGTTGACAATATTTAATTATGTGACTTTTTCGGAAATACTACTGGATATGTACTAATTGATCAAATTAAAAATGTATTTTATATCTATTGTAAATAAATGATTGTCAACGAATTACCCTTTAAAGTTTATTGTTATGGAATGACAGACATTAAAAAAGGCAATCCAAGTATTATTGCTGGATAACCTATGAAAGATTTATAATCAAATGATTCAGATGAACTTCAAAATATTACACTTTTTAATGACTAATAATATATATCATTTTCTGCTACTGAGAACCATAATTAATTTTCTGAAACATTAAATTTAAATTACACTGGAAATTAAACTGTTAGAATACAAACTGAATTAAATTAAATTATAGAAGTTGGTTATAATATCTCTTTAATGTGTGTAGACAGATAAAAACCTTTAGTAACTAAGGTTTTAACAATTTCACCAAGATTTATCATCGTTAATTAAACCTAAAATACTATCCATATACTTCAAGAATCAAACCATTAATATTTGGAGATAAAATCAATGGATAGAAAACCTTTGGTTTGGTATTCTACACGTTATTAATACATTTCTATTCATTATTAGGATGAATTCATTGAATGGTCACCAGCTAATCCAATTGATCCAAATGGAAATGGTTTCCAATGTTTTACTATTAGAGCTGTTAATAATCTATCAACAATAAAACACTTTAATTGTATATCAAATAGAGACAATTAAATAATCTATTTAATAATTGTAGAGTGTAAACCAATAGCTCTATTAAATTCAATCTATGAATAATAATCTTAAAGAAATTCATTAATTTAGTAATAATAGTAATAAAAATAAATTATAAATGCCAATTAAGTTGATCCACCTTATGTGATTGTGAATAATTTGGAATTGGTGAATTTGATTTGTTATCAATACTGTTGTTCAGATGAAAAGTATAGCCATCGATATAAATTCACTGAATACAAATTGTATATTAATAATAACTAAGAATGTGCATTTTCTTGGGAATATCCATGCGAAAGAAGAGATTTAGTGATACAATTGTAATTTGAAGGAGAATTGAGAACTCATTATCAAATGAATCCAATATTTATCAACCTTGAAGAAGCTGAAGCTGTTAAAAAATATGTGATATCAAGTGGATTAAATGAATAAGAACAATACAAATTTTATATAATTTCACTTTGGGAAGGTGCTAGTAGAAAATTAAAGTTTTAATAATAAGAAGTTGAGAATTAATAAGATTAACATGATACAAATATATTAAAATTAGATATAAATTTAAATAATGTAGGTATTTCATTAATAGACTAATTTTATACAAAAAGGGTGGAGTTAATTTATATTTATTTCTAAGGGCTTGAATTTAACTTATTATAAACAACTCAGAGCAAAAGATCAGAATTCAAAGTGAAATATATCAATATCGATAGTAATTCATCAAGTAAGACTATGTTTCCTGTAATATTTACTCCGACTAAATACAAGGAGATCTTTGAGTTTAATAGATTTCATTTATATTTTTTACTTGAATAATCTACTTAGGTAAAATCAATTTCACTGATAAAAAATATAAGAGCTTGTCTTCAACCAACAACATTAAGATTTACATCTGAAATGTTAGAACAATTATATTAAGTTTATAAATAGATTACATAATCATTCAAATCTAATTTAAGAGGGGATGATTAATTAAAAAAGTTTGATTTTGAATATGCAATCAGCTAAGAAGAATAGTAGAAATTGCAATAATCAAATAGTGTTACATTATCAAACAAAGTTTAAAATAAATATGGAGTAGGATCTTTTGGAATATAAAATAATATAGAATGGTAAGAACTGGTGATTGAATTGAATGATTAATAAGCAACATATATCAATAAGATTGAGATATCTTCTCTTAACTTTAATTTAACTTTTTATAGTAGTGCAAAATCCAGTCTATAGTACAATATGTTGACATAAATATTAAAGACAATAGGAATAGTGGCAGGAAATATTGATGAAGCTCCATTAATATTAGATGGAATATCTTTAGAGAATTCATTTGATACATCACATGCTATTATGACTATATTGGCAACCCATTATAAAGATATGCTTTTTAATTTGATTTTAAAATTATTAGGTTCGATTGAAATCTTTGGTAATCCTGTGGGGTTAGTAAAACACTTAGCAAAAGGAGTTTATGATCTATTTGATAAACCTATTGAAGGTTTTATAAAAGGTCCAATTGAAGGTGGAATTGGAATAGTTAAAGGAGCTGGAAGTTTAGTTAAAAATACTGTAAGTGGAGTCTCCAATTCTACTAGTAAGATTGCTGGAAGTATTAGTGGTAGTTTGGCTTATATTAGTTTAGATAAAGTATATAAATAAGAGAGAGAATAAATAAGAGTTGTTAAACCAAATTAATTATTGTCTGGAATATATTTTGGAGGATAAATGTTATACGTATCCCTTACAAGAGCTGTTGTAGGAGTGTTTGATTTACCTGTCAATTAAGCTAAAAGAAAAGGAATGAAAGGATTAACTATTGGAATACTTGAAGGTACTGCTGGTTTTTTTATTAAACCATTTGCAGGAGTATTTGATTTTGTAAGTAAGACAACTGATGGACTTAAAGCTACTGCATAATATTGGGATGATAAAGCAAATGATAAGAGAACCAGAGATATTAGGGTTATGTATTAATAAGAATAATTGTATAAAAATTATAATGAGAAAGATGCTAAAATTATGTAATTTTTAATTAGCATGAATAATAAATTAGAGGATTATTATTACTATGATAGTTTTGAATATGAGTCAGGAGGCACAGAATTAGTTTTCGTTTTGATGTATTAACAATTCTTTAATTGTGACAGAAAGAATAAAAGATTTATATGGTTAATCGATCCGAATAGTGTATAAGATGTTTAAATGATTAATGATGGTGTTTTGTTTTTGTTAAAAGATTACAACGAAAAGTATAAAGTACTTTTTTTGAGTTATTTAATAGGCTTAACAAGTATAATTACATATGACATAATAAAGATAGAAGGAATAAGTGATATTAAAATCTTAATGGCTCTTGAGTAATATTTGATAATAATTTATTTAACTTTCTTTTATGCCATATCTATAATCTTTAAGTAACACGTTCAAAAAGTTTAATGTCTATACAAGACCTGTGAGTTTATTACTTTTGAAGGAATAAGGACATAGAACATATTTGGGAGTTTTCCTCACCACAATTCTTGTGAGCCTTGTAATTTTAGTTTATTACAGTGGATTGATGTCACTCATAGTTAGAAACAATCCAAGTGTTATCACTTATACACAATATTAGGAACATCAAAGTGCATTTTATTTGACTCCCTCAAATTTCAGCATTGCAATTGCTTAGAAAGGATTTGATCTGTTAGATTCTTATATTTTAGAAGGAGCCCTTGGAGGAGTAGACAGGTATTATAATAATTAATAAAATAGTGATAACTTTCAGGAAATACCATTAACAAAATGTATAGATTTTAAATTTAGTGATCCTTCTTTGAATGCTTACTTCGATAAGACGGATCAAATCTGGTACTGTTTAGACTGGAATTCGATTGGTTCAATAATGATTGAGGGTGGTTTAGAATCCTCTAAAGATAAATCATTATAAATTATAGTTAAATAATGCACCTCAATGTATATTATTAAATTAATCCTAGAACCTAATGTACATATCCTAATATATTAGATAGTGATTAATTCCTATTTAAAATGACATCAGCCAATACAGATATCTCTAACTTCAAAACTCCTGCATCTCTTATTGGCAAAACTTTCAGTCTTACATCTCTGACTAAGTTTGCCAAATAATTGAATATTATACTCTAACCACAATAAACCCAAACTGATAATGGGTATATCATTCAAGATTAATATTAAGATACACTTCTTTCTATTTCTAATTATTATGAGACCATTCTTGATAAAGATTTTGATTAGCATATATTTGAAATTAATATTTCACTGGATCAAAAAACTTTAATTACTTAAAGATCCTATCCAAGAGTATATTAATTCTTAGGAGACATAGGTGGTTTTTGGGAAATTATTTTTCTATGTTCTCTTTTATTCATTATGCCCTTTAATAATTTATCATACAGAGTTTCTTTATTAAATGAACTTTTCAATTTTGAATTAGATTATGATAATAAAATACATCCAGAACATAAAGGTAGTACTAAAGTTAAAGAGATCTTAAATAAATCTGTTTAACTTGAGAAATTTAATAGAATGTCTAAAGTTGCAGAACATGATGAATAATAAAAATCTAAATTATTAGATTAAATTTCTAATGATATCACATAATTTTTTAAAGAATAAGATAGTAAATTAGATCTATAATTATTTGATTATTTTGGCTGTTGTTAATGTAAAAAGGGAGGAAAAAGAGATCTAATTAATTTTTCTATGAGTAAAATCACTCACACTCTGGATATTACTTATATCATTAAAAAACTTTAAGAAATTGATAAATTAAAATTGATTTTATTAAATTCTGATTAAATCAAGTTATTTGATTATTTACCAAAACCTAAACTTGGATTACATATGAAACCAAGTGAAAATGAATATTGTTCTATTCTAAAACCTGAATTATCTGATTTGGATAAAGCTTTAGAAGCTTAAAAAGCTTTTCAGGCACTTTAGGATTAAGAAGATGAAATTACACCTAAATTAGTCAAACTTTTAGATGATGATCTTGTTTCACTTTTCAAATTATAACTAAATAAAGGTGTAAACCGTTTCGTGAAAAAACCAGCTTAATTAGCTGATGCAGTCTAATAATTAATGCTTATTAATGCTAAAGAAAAAGAAAATAAAAAGGAAAAAGATAAAAAAAAAAAAAAAAAGAAAAAGAACGAATCTAGCGAATCAGAAAATTCATAATCATCTGGTTCTGATAAGGAATGAAAAATATAATTAAATAGCATTTAACAATCTTTTAATATTTTTAAATTTGAATCAAAACAAAATGTTACTAAATATTATTATTTTAGCTCTATTAATTATTTTTGAATACAGAAATTTAATTTCTATGGTTATTAAAATTTTTATCTGAAATATTATAAACGAAACTTATTGCATAAAATTACAATAATTTCACACTAATTTTTCTATAAAAGATCAAATAAAGTTGTACGCACTTTGATATTGATATATAAATTTTTTAATTAATAAATTCAATTAATCTATTAAAAAACTTCTATAAGTTAAGGAAATTTTAAAGAATACTAATAAAGTTTATATAAAATCATTTTATTGCAAATTTATGATTAAGGTTATTATAGAATATATCTTAAACATTTTAAAAAATTTAAAATATAAATTTGAGCAATAAATAAAATAGTATTTATATGAATATTTATATTTTCAATATTAGTAGGTCTTTCAAAAAAGAAGTTGTTCATCTGGTTTTTTAACTCTATGTTTAGATCTAAAATGAATATATTAAATTTTAAACCTAAGTTAATTTAAAATTTCTTTTAATTCATTTGAAGTATAAGGTAGATCATCATACAATTTAGGGGTATATTCTTTTAACTAAAAAACACATGGTTTTATATTTTATTAAAAAAATTATTAGTTTATGGTTGGAAGCTTTATATTTATAGGAGAATGACAAGATTTTGATATTTCTGTTAAAGATCTTTTACTCTTTCCATCTTTTGAGATAACTACATTTCTTGTATTAGGTTATACTGATAAATAGTTTATTTGATAATCCATAAGTTAAGACTATTTTATTTAATGTTACTTTTCTTATGAGGATCCAAATGCAATTTTAGATAGTCGTCTTTTTTTCTTTTTTTTTTTAAATTACCATCTATTATCAATCTAGTTTTTGAGGATGAATGAATGAAAATTCATTTATCCATTGATATTTAGAGAATTTTACATTATAATTTAAATAAAAAAATTTACATATTTTTTAATTGTCCTAATGGTTTCTCATCTATTTTCAAGTGTTTATAGATTGGCTTTAAATTAAAAACTAAATGTACTTTTTTTAATATTTAATACAAACTTATTAATAAAATACTTTTAAAGATAAAAATATAGTTTTCATGATATTTTGGATTATTAATTAATTATATATTCATTGTAGGATTTCTTATAGGATATTTTTTATCAATTTGATACACTCTTCTAATAATTTGTCATAGGATTCATATTAACACTTAACCTTTCTAACATTTGGAAATAATTCAATAATTTCAGTAATTTTTTTTGTAAGTCTTTCAATCTTATTGGCAATTAGATCATTTTAATAGATTTATTCATTTGCGATTATATTATTAATTAAATCTTAAATTTCCTTATTTTGCAAAGATATCTGATTTGATTAAGTTTTATGTTTTAAATTCAGAGATAATATTACCAGAAAGTGTTATCTAAAATAAATATCACATATTACATTTAAGCTAAATGCATGATTTTAGTTTGCAATAATTATTAAAATTCTGTTAATTCCTAATCCTTGTTATTTTATACTATCCAAGAAACTTCGTATAATTTTTTAATTTTTGATAAATATCCTTATTCAAGTATTAATGTTGGATCAATATTTTTCATTACATCAATAAAATATATTTATTCTTCAAGAAACTTTTTAACAACTTCATGATTTGGTAATTGTTTTTTTATATCATTGATATAAATTTAAAATTTCTCCTTTCTTAAATTTAATATCTATTTATTTTCTTAAAAATAACTTTTAATATAATAAAATCCAGATTCTTTAGCAGGTAGTAATTTTTATATAATTTCAGGATTTTATTTAAATAAATATTCTGAAAGCAACTCAAAATCTCCGTATCTTCTAAGTACGGTTATATTGCCAGTTGTAATTGGGTAGTAATAATGAGAATTTTAATAAACAGGATCATTGACTAAAATAACTTAAGAAATTTCTTATTATTATTCTGCAAGTAGATTAAAGATAGTCTTATTAGATGAACTATCTTAGAGTATATCCTTCATTCGATTATTTATCATGGCTTCAATAACTTGAGCTAAATAGTGATTAAAAAGAAATACAATTGAGGAGATTATCCATTTGCATTCTATTAATTGTTATATATATATATTAATTAATAGGGCAAAATATTATTTCATTAAGATTTAGCACAACATTGATTATTTTTAGTTGCTGAAGGTTTTTATAATTATTTAAATCCATTTTGATCTAAATGAACAGGTCTTCTATTAGAAGGTACTGTTTGCTGTTCGAATTATGATTAATTTACTATGAAATATTTGAAAAAGATTACCTTATGATTATGTAATTAAAAGAGAATGATCAGTGGGTAAAGCTAAGCAAATTTATTCCATAGCTTCTTCAATTCCCTTACCTGTTTTAGCACTAACTTCATAATAAAGTATATCTTTTTTCATAGCATAATCTTTAGCTTCTTCTAAACTAACTACTCTTTCTGCATCTATTTTATTTCCTAAAATCACAATTAAAGCTTCATTGCCTCTTGTCTATTTAACTTCTTTAAACCATCTATCCAAACTTTCGAATGAATGTCTAGCTAAATATATAAAAATTTATGTACATGTTACATCAAAAACAATTACAGCGCATTAGGCATCTCTAACATATCCTGGAATCAATGAATAAAATCTTTCTTATCCTGCTGTATCCCATAAAAGCAAGCGCATAGTTTTCCCATCTATTGTCATATTCTTACTGATAAAATCTATTCCAACTGTCGGTTGAGATTTTGGATCAAATGTATTTTAAACAAATCGTTCAATTATACTTGTTTTACCAACGAATGAATTTCCTAAAAATACTAATTTTTGCTTTTATCTTGCTTCTGATTACATTATTTTATTTTAGAATTATATTTTTGAAAAAAATAATACTAATTCTTATTTTGTATAATAAAGAAATAAATTTAAAAAATCATTAACGCTAAAAGATTTAACTTTTCTATTTCATAGTTATAAAATATAGCAATCATAATATTTATATGACTTTAAATTATATTAAATAAGAAATTCTTATTTCGATATTGTTTATATTCATTTTAAAACTTGATTGAGTAAATGAAATTTGAATTAATTATTTTCAAATAAAATATTTTACTATACTCATAAGATTCTTATTTCATTTTAATTTTATGATTTTAATATTTTCAAATATGTCTCCAATTTTTCTTAATTTTATATAATTAAATTCTTAAATGAGTATAGGTTAATATTGATATTAATATTCTTCAGAGTTCATCAATTCATATTCAAACATATAATTAAAAGTCAAGCAAAATTAAAAATTGAGAAAAGGTATCTAGAATAATAAATTAATTGAGAAAGCTCATTAAAAAATCAAAGAAATGCTTTATAGCCATATCTAAAGTTATTTTTAGATCTCATAAAATAAAATTGAAAATTAGAAGAACTCCAATAAATAATATTATAGGATGTACCCAAAAATGATATTTTGAGCTTTTTTAGTATTATAATTTTTAATAAAGTCTAAGTATTAACAATAATTTCTTCTATTTTATTATGACAAAGGTTTTTGATCTAATTTATAATTTGCTACAATGTCAGGATATATTCTAAACAAATTCTCAACGGCATCATTCGAGTATCTGCATTGCTCAAATCAAATGAATTTTTTTCATTTAGAATCCATTTAATTATATGACTTATCTCCTTTTAAATATTTGAGTATGTCTAAATCATTTTAAAGAGACAAGCAATCATCAAACTGCTTTATCATGAGTATTTATTAAATTATGTCTAATCTTCAAAAGTAATTGCATGTTGAATTTTTGCATATTCTGTTGAATTCAATTCATCAAAATACTATGAAGTGTAATTCTAATAAATTATAATTTCCTGATTGAATTTCATATTCAAATATTATATGTTATTATTTGAATATGTCTTCTAATTTATCTAAAAAATATTATTATTATAGTTGTGAAGTTGATTTAGAATCATTGAATTCACTACCTATTCATATTCTCTATAAACAATATCACTCATTTTAATTAATATACTCTTACAAAACTAAAAATAATATATAAAAATATTAAAATTTAATATGCGGGGATTTTTGAGCCTTGCAAAGACTATTGTTTATTCATCATCAATCATTAAACCTACATAATAAATTAAAATGCAGTTTCGATTGTACAGAAATATTTATATTTTAGGGCAAATCAACAATTAGCATCATAATTCAGGTTGTGTTCCACCATTTAAATTTTGAGATTGATGAATTTATAAGGAGTCAGTTTCAATTCTAAATTGGAAGAAACAGATGGTATTTAATAATTATGGATTATTAGAACAAGATTTAGAATCAAACATTTCAAAAATACTTTCAGTAACCCTAAAAAGCAATACTGAGAAGCATCGATTGAAATTCATAACTAAATGATATCATATTTGGTTTATATCTAAAATTATATAGAAATATAAATTTAACTACATTTTTTTAACTATTTTGAGATTTATATTTAATTTTCTAAATAATCCATTTTAGATATTTTTATAAATGAAGGATTTATTAGATTGAAAATAAAATTAATAGATTATTGAAAACATTTTATTCATGATTTTTCTAATAAGCTTGAAGGTTTTAATTCATTCTCAGGATGATGATGACTATGTTAAATAGATAAAATTACATTTCGATGTTTTAACTTTATAATGTATTGTATCTAGTAAACAAAGTATCAATTACATCATCCTCAGATATGTAATCTTATTTGGAGTCGAAATCATTTACCATATTACTCAATTAATAAGTATTTAAAATTGATTTATTAAAATCATCGATTTTGAGTAATTAAATTTAAGATTCATTCTACAAAGATTTCTTTCTATCTTATATGATGTCATGAGTTGAAGGTACTTTTAATGAATTGCTATAATTTTGATAGAATTTACTATTTATTTTATTGAGAAATAGGAGTTTTTTCAAACTATTACAAAGAGGTAACATATATAATTGAGTTCTCTTATTTTTTTTGATTTAAGTTGTGTGTTTAAGAAATTGTCCAATCATAGATATCATCATAATCAATCTTTCTTGACTATGCCAATTTCCTAAACAACTATATCAAGTAATCATAATCAGGATCGCTTTAATATTATAAGGATCTAATATATCTATTTTATATCAATATATCTACTCTAAAGCTTTTGTAAATTCTATTGGCAAATCCAAACAAATTTCTTAAGGAGTCATTTTAATCTTCTTTTCACCAATTTATCTTTATCGTTCCTTATTATTTTAGCCTAACATATTTTACCATGGCAAAGATCTTTAATCTAAATTAATAATTTATTTATACCCATTTATTAATAGAATAGCTATATAAATTATTGATTCTAAATCATCTTTCCTTCCTATTTCATATCCCTTATGAGCTGCTATGGAAGCATACCTTGTTGTACCTACAAAAGATCTTCCATCTTTAAAAGGACTATATCAAATTTATTCAAATTATTACACATGCTTTAAGTTATTATCTCTATACAACTTACTTATCCCATAATCAATAATAAATATCTACTTAGAATGGTACATTATATTTTCTGGTTTTAAATCTCTATGAACTACTGATTTGTTATGAATTCTCCTAATTACTTAAAATAAGTAATCAATTATTATTAGCACCGTTTTCAATGAGAAATTTCTATACTCCTTTAAATAACCCCCAATATCTTTACTCAATAACTATTACACTAACACATTTTAATTATTATCTGTTCCACTCCAAATTAATTTAGGTACTCCTTATGTACCCTATAATCTTGTTAATATATGAATTTCTCTATTCAAAGTTGAACTCTTCTCTTTTTTCTCTATTTTCACTGCTACCATTTAATTCTTTATTATATTCTCTGCCTCAAATACTATTCCATATGATCCTGCTGATATTTTTTTCTTTAAACGAAATTCATTGTTAATCACCCTACTATTTGGACTGCTAGGAGAATTCATTATTTTTATAAATTAAAAAAATACAAAAATTTACTAAATTTTTTTATCAAACTTTCTCTCTTTCATATCTATAATAAACTCAAAATATTTTTCTTATATTAATAATCTGTATCACACTCCTTTATTTTCATTTGCATATATTTTTATCTATCTTTGTTTGATATATTTATTTTATTTAAAATTTATAAATTGAATTTCTAATAATGAATTAAACAATTTTAAAAATTACTAAATCTATGTGACACAAATAATAAATTTAACCGATGATTTTGATAAAATTGTAATTATATTGAGTACCTTATATTATCTTTTTTTAAAAACTTTTATATAATATCAAACATTTAAACAAAATGCAAAAATTAGATTAAATTATATTTGTATTTATTATATATGAAATATTTACTTATTAAAATAAAATCTAAAAAAGCTATTGCTGATTTTAACAAACTTGATCTTTATTTTTAGATTATTATATTATTATATAATATGATTTTGAATATTACTCAATTAAATATAAAGGGGTCTAAAACTTACCTATATTAACAGATCAAAAATTAATATTCCTTTTAATATTTTTATTTTAAACAATATATTGGAAATAACTAAATATCATTTATTAAAGAATATGTTTAATCTATATAATTTTTCAGAAAAAGCTTGTTGATATTAAAAAATGTGTGAGAAGAAATCTCTTTAAGTAAAATAACCCTTGCTTCAATGTTATTTGATAGGTCTGTTCATATAGATGTTTTTAAGAATAAATTGTATTACAGATAATAAATAAGTTGAAATTCATTAACGATAACTCTTAAATGATATATCATTGTCTTAAAATCAATAAGAAGTATTAAAGATAAGGCAATGTAGTATGAATTTAATTTTTTAATCAGCTTCTTTTACCAATAAAGCAGCATTAATTATAATGCCAAAGAAAAGCATTTAATTTTATTGTGAATGCGTTTTATAAGAATTTACTTATATATATTAAACTCAGAGTGCGAAGATTAATCAAGCCTGACTTTATATATGTAAGTTCATTGATTGAGATTCAAACATGCTTTTATTTAAGTAAAAGCTTTTGCTCATAGGATTTTGAGCATTTAATCTACATCTTTCTAATTGTAAATTCCATTCACTCTATTTTATTGTTATTTAAGGTTTCGGAATCCTTAGGAAATTAGAACTATTCATTTAGTAACTTTTTATTTTTATTTTATTTTTGAAATTAATCATATTATTTATTTACATTTAAATTATAATTAATCAAATGTAAGTATTATAAAGATGAGTATCAAGGAAATAAAAGCAAACCTTTGATTTTTCCTTAATCAATTATTTTATTTAATCAATGACTGATTTAATATGTTTTTCAGAATAAATAATTGAGGTTAGAGTTTTCAATTTTTCTCCTTTTTATTTAATGTTTTTTAGAAAAATTCATTATCTTTCTGAAAATTTACTTTATTTAATCTATTAAATGAGTTGCCAAGAAGGATTAAGCCCTTTATCTAAATTATGGTCAGAATATTGTTAAAGTGAATTTCTTACTTATTTATTTTCAAATTCATTCATCAATATTTCAAAAAATTATCAGATTTCAGTTCTTAAAACTTTTATTTTAATTTTATATGTTATGACATTTTTGTTTGCAATCTGTTTATATTTGTGAATTAAATTTATTTGAGTTATTGATTTAATTGATCACTTTATTATTATTATAAGGTTTTATAATTTTGGAATTAATCTAGGATAAACTCAGCTTTAGTAGAAACTTCTAATGTTAATTAAGTGTCTTTCATCAATAATAATTTGAAAGTTTAAACTTCTTAGTACCGGAAAATTTGTTTAAGGTTAATGAATATTAAATATATTTAATAATATTTCTTAATCAAACTCTACTACCAAAAATAGAGCTTAAAGGTCTTCCAAACTAACTTTATTCTTATTCTGCATCAGCATAGGGATCCTCAATGCCTTTTTCTTTTAGAATTTTTTTGAAGTTTTTTATCATAGATTCGTTGGCTTGTAATGAATTAAGGGCGATTTAAAGTTAATTTTATAATTCTACATTCTTTTGAAATTCAAATGGTTATAATTTTTATTTATCGAAATTAGGGCCTCTTAAGATTTTACCTTATTTATTGTTTTTTTATGGTAAAGATTATAATCTTGCTTAAGCACTTCCTTATTTATTTATATTTAAAGCTTAAGGTAGAATAGGTTATTAGGATTATTACATCAAATCTTCATTCATCATCTCAATGTTTTACTAAATATATTTGTAAATATAAATACTTCTCCAATATTTTTGCCAATTTTAGTTTATAATACTTTAATTTCTTATTTGTATTTCTCATTTTCTTTTTTGTATTTATCATTTTCAATTTTTAAATTTGATTTTTCTGTTTCATAATCTTTACATTATTTTCTAATTTCATTTAATTCATGTATTAATTATTAATTTTCACTTGTTCTTTTATAAATTTCTTTTTCTCTTCTTACCATCATTTTTTCTGTGCTAGAATTAATTTAAATGGCACTCTTTTCTAAATGATTAATATGTCTATTCATTTCTTCTATAGAACGAGGATCATTAGAACTCTATTTAATTTCTTATTAAAGCACATATCTTTAATATAACTTTGTCATTTCTTTTTTCCATTCCTAAATATATAATAAATTTATTTACTTTATCATCAATATAATGTACACAATTATGAATATCTCTTGTAATATTTTAGATAGTATTTTCTTTTTTTTTAGTAGTTTAAATTTATAAATTTAAATCATGAGTAAGAGCATTAGTTTTACTAGTTTCTTCATTAATTTTTGAATTTAATTCACTATTAATTTTTAATTATTTAGCAAACTCACTTTCTAATCTAAATAATTCTTCTTTTAATTTTTCAATTTAAGCTTCTTTAGGTTCTAAAGATTTTTTCATTTCAGTAGTTCTAAAAGATAATACATGTTTAGATTTTTATAAAACATTAATTTTATCTTTGTATTCAGAAATCTTTTTATCTTTTTTTTTTAATTAATCATCTTTATCTTCTAAATCTTTACATTAAACATCAATTTTAGTTTCTGCTTCTTTAAGATTTTTTTCTAATAATTAATAAGCTTACTCTTTATCTTATAATCTCTTATCTAAATTTTCTTTTTCTTATCTTAACTCAGAAACTAATTTTTATTCTTATTTAAATTTGGAATCTTTTTCAGCTAATAAACATTTAAGTCTATCAATTTCTTTTTTTTATCTATCATTAAGATCTTTAATTTCAAATTCATGATCTTCTTCTTATTATGCTAAAATTTCTTCATAAGTAGCTTTCAATTAATCAGCTTAATTTTAATTATTTTCTAAAGCTTTAGCTGTAATTTAGAAATTTTTATAAAATTTTTCTTTTAATTCTTCAATATATGAAGTATGTTTAGATTCAAACTCTTTTGCTTATGCTTAATTTCTTCTTCTTTCTTCCATTAAATCTTATTCCAATTAAAGATATTTTTCATTTTCAAATGCTAATTTTCTTTCATATAAATTTTCTAATTCTTCAACAGCTTTTAAATGATTATTTTCAACATTTTTAAATAAATTAGCTGATTCTTTTTCTGCAGCTGATTTTTAAGCTTTTAATTAATCATAACGAGCAGCCCAAGCAGCAATTTCATTATTCATTTATTTTTCAATTTCTAATTTTTCTTTTTCAACTTTTCTTTTTTCTTCTTAAACTTTAAAATCAGTTTTTTAATCAAGATCTTATAAATCATTATGAAGTTTTTTCATTTCAGCAATATAAGTTTCAATTTCATTTCTTGATACTAATAAAACATCAGCTAAATTTTCATCTACAACACCAGCCTTAGGATTAATTTTATCAATATCATCCATTTATTCTTTAGCTTCAGCTCCAGTTTTTGAAGCATAGATTTATCCATCATTAGAAATTTCAGATACTTAATATATAAATAAAGCACCATCAGATCCAGTTGAAAATACATATCTACCATCTGGACTACATTTAATTCTAGTTATTTCACCCTAATGAACTGGCATAGTTTCAAAAGCCATTTAATTAAATATATAAGAATATATTTTAATTTATCCATTTTCTGTACCTCCAATAATTCCAAATTAATTGTATAAGGATTAAATATAAGCTAATTATGTTAATTTTTATTATCCAAGATCATGAAAATGATGATCTTTACCTGTACTTATTCCATTCTAAACTATTCTCTATTCTCTAACTATGTATTTAGTATCAATTTTATCTTATTCACTTTTATCTTTAATACTTTCTGTTCCTGCAGCTATTAACATTCCAATTGGTGGATCATAAATTAAAGAAGTATATTTATTAGTATTATAAACATAATCCTTTCTTGACCAATCATTTGGACTCCATTCAAATATACTACCATCTAATCCACAACTAGCTAAAAATGTATCTTTTATTCCCCAAATCAAATCAGTTATTTAATTACTATGTCCTTTTAAAGTGTGCATGAATTCCATTGTATATGCATCATATATATTAATATAATAATGATTGCTTTTAGCTCTTGGATATGCTACTGCTAACATATGACCTCCTACACTAAATTTTACTTATGTGCAACATTTTACAGCCATCTCTTTATATGCACGTAATTCACTATGCAAAACATGGAATATACGTAATTTATCTTAAAAACCTGCTGCTAAATAGTAACCTGTTGGATGAAATCCTACTGAACATAAAGGTGAAATATCTTAAGTTGTACTTTAATTCTCTTTTGTTCCTAAACCTTATTAATTACCATCATCTCCTAAATAAAATTTACGTGCTAATTCACATCTAGGATATGCATAATTCCATATTCTTATTGTGCTATCATATTTGCTTGCTGTAACTATTAGTGGTCTTTACAAACAGACATCTAAATGAGTGATTGGAGCATTATGAAATCCATTAAATAAAAAATCAAATTTGACTTCTCTCTTTAAAAATTTTTCATTATTTTTATACGATTCCAACACTTCAGTTGAGTTTGGTAATACTTATCCCATTTCTATTGTACAAATATCATTATTAGAAAATGCAACTGCTACTAAATCTTCTTATTTAGTTATATCCATACTAACTACTTAACTTTTTCTTTCGCATCTCCATTTCTTTAAGAATTATAAATCCATTACAACTTCAATACCATCTTCTGTTTTTTATTTATCATGATCATCACCTCTTATCCATAGTGCAAAGTGACCACTATCTGATCCAACTAAAAATCCTTTTGAAAATGCAATCAAACTAGATACTCCAGGACCTCTTATATCATTAAAAGCATTATTTATATATTATCTTACATCATTATCATGAATAATGAAAATTTCAGCTTTATCATTTGCCAAAATCACCTTATTCTCCTCAAACCATGCATGATCTGTAAATGTCTATATAGGTGCTAATCTCTTTATTTAATCTGTTAATGATATAAAAGAGTTTTCTTGAACTCTCAATATTTTAAAGTAGTTTTTCCCACTTACAGCTACCATATGATTATCTTTAGGGGAAATTGATATTCTTGTTAGTTCTTATCCTATTGCAGATAATGCTAAATGTTTCATTCTTATTAAATCTACAAATATTAATAAATATTCAGGCGGACCTGTCAAACAAAGTAAAAATCTAATTTAAATTTATATCATAATTATTACCTTGAATCTGTATGTGAAAATGCCATACTAATAAATGTTGATGATTTTGTATCTAAATATTTATACGGTTTTTTCTCAGCTTCCATTTTACTTGGATGAGCTTTCAAATTATAAATTACTAACTAAGGAACTGTTTCATTTTTCATTTTTTCTGCAACTGCTAATGTCCTAGTAAAATTAAATCATTATTTTATTACCTCTTATTTGGAGCAACAGCCATACAAGAAACTATATCAAGATTATCAGATAATCTAATAAATTAAGTATCTGGCTTATCAATAAATTTCTAAGCTATAAATTTACCAACAGGATATAGCAATCTCCTTTAATCATCTAATAAATTTATATTAATTCATTATATACCTTCTATTATACTTATGCTGTCTTTAAATTTTGCTGAACATAAACTACCATATGATTATATCACATCTAATTTAAGTCTTCTATCTTCATTTCTACGTTTCTTATCATCCATTTTAAAATAATTAATTATATTATAATTATGAAATTACATATAATTCTAACTTTATTCTTCATCTCATCTTTAGCAACAATTGAAAGAGATTTAAATCAAGAAGCACTAGAAGGAGATTGGTCTTATTTTAATTAAAAAGGCCCCTTTACAATCATTAAATTTGGTACTGACTAAGATTATAAAGATGCTTATCTATTTACAGGATAATTCCTTATTAAATTAGATTGCCTCAATATCTGAAATAAATCCATTTATTTTTGAAGGCAGATAATTCTATAATGTATTCATACTAAATAGTCCTTACAACATGATACCACAAATTGTATTAAGAAGTTATTAATCTTGAAAAAATTTTATTTTTTTAAGATATTTAAATGTTAATAATATATTGATTTTTAAATTAGGATATGCAAATAAATTTTCTAATAAGCTGCATATATATTTAAATTCATTATTCTTCTATATTTTCTTTATCATTATCTAATTCTTCTATTTAAAGTGCTCTACCAAAAGGGAAAAATTTAGTTTCTTTTTCTTTGATACATTTATTAACATATTTTTCCAACGCATTACAATCATTGGGATCTTTATTTTTAATATAAATAATGTAATATAGCATATGATATACACTATGTTCTAAGTAAATATGATAATGCCAACCCTTGGTACCTCTATTAAAATAATAAATTAAAATAATACTTAGTATCAATATCATTTTTTTCTTAGCTACATATAAAGCACTTGCCTTCAATTTCTTTAACCAAAGCTTATCTTTCATCTCTTAATTCTCCAAAAGTATCCAAAATAATACCAAATATGATTTAGATAAAAAGGATATTAAAAATGATGAAAAATGTGAAATCAAAAAAGTATCTACCCCAATATAATGTAGGATCATCATAAGCATCAGGATAACTAATTAATGATTCTCCTAAACCTCCACCGTTCCTCAATCCAAAATTGATAGTTGAAGTAACAGCAAGAATGAAGGTTTAACCAAAAACACCATTTTCAGCATCAAACATATAATCAAAATTTGAGAATGCAATAATAGCATAAATTAATAAACCAATTAATCCTAAGAAGGAAAAAATTGCTAAATTTCTACCATTTGATGTAATAGATCTTATAATATTTTAGAGATCCTCTGATCTTTTAATTATGTCTAATAAGAGTACAGCATAAATGTAAGGATTAAAAAAGGCATATACTGTTAGGCCAAAAATACAGATCTATATATTTAAAAATTAATATCTTACATTATAGAAATTGTCAAAGTCAAAAAATATAACCAAAATTAATTTCTTAATATTACTTTAATTAACTTTATCTTCTTAAAACTCAGATTCGAAATAACCTATCATACTATAATATTTCATTGTCAACCAAGAAATCGAAAATCCTGCTTCCTTTTTTAAAATTTACACTCTTTTTGCATTTGTCTATCCTCTATTATAAGTAATAGATATTGGATATCTTTCAATAGCACAAAAGAATACAATAATTAGATTTAAAATCAATTATACTATTGTAATTATCTAATATAATATAAGAATTTATACATTATTCAAATAGCTAACAATGTTTTCTCCTTGGGTAACATTTTAATCTTCTGGTGCTTCAGTATTAGATCCTATTTTACTATTTATTACTGTATCATGCATAAAGATAAGTAAAACTACAATTATTAGACATAATAAAAATGATAAATCCTTTAATAATCGCCAGTATACAGCTCCAAAATGCATAAGCTTTCTATTATTAATTTATTGGGAATGCCTCATTTGAACTGAATAAAATTCAGAATACTCAATTAATCCTAGCATTCTATCTTCATCTGTTTCTCTATTGATTTCATAAATCAAATGTTATTTTATATTTGGAGTAATAAAATTGCAAAAAAACGGTTTTTAAAAGAAAACTTTTTCTAATTGATTGACTTCATTTTGAATTTCAATTCTTCCTGTGAATTATCTATAAAATTTAAAGAATCTCTAAGTTCTTTCAAATTTTAACGAAGGATCCTTTTGAACATCAATTAACATCTTTTTCAAACTTAAATCCTACGTTTTAGATTCATCTTTATATAACAAACTATCTCCTTCACCTTAATTATAATTATATTTGCTTTCTGGATTATTTATAGGTAATATTTTTTGATTTGATAATGTTTTCTTCTTTTATATATCCTCTTCTTAAAAATCATCAGAATCTAATAAATCTTCTTCTTCTTCTTATTATTAATCAAATTCAAACAATTTCAATTAAGGATCTAATGGAAAATGTTCAGATAATTTAAGACAAATAATAAAGATATTAAACCCTGTTTATATTAACATATTATCTTCATCTGTTCTTAATCCAAAAAGACACAAACTATTAGTACAATTTTGATGAATTCCTGTATTTGATTCATCACAAATATTATCTAAAACAATATTTCTTTATTTTGGTTTAATTCTTTCTTCATAAATAGATTTTGCTATTCTAATTAAAATAGTAATATTAACAGTCTTTAAAATAAATTCTAATGATTTGATATCAGATCTTCCTTATGTTAGTAATAGAAGCAATTTAATAAACGATTACAAAGTTTAATATGAAGCATATTTTTATTTTCCTTCATCTTATTCAATCCCATCTCCATTTATAAATTAATTTTGATCCATCATCTAATTTATTTCCTATTTTTCTTATAATATTATTCCGTTTTCTTATTCAAGTTAACGAAACATTTATAGGTCTTTAATTTATAAAATTGAATTTAATAAAGTAAACAATCTAGCATTTTTACATAACTCTTTTTTATTTTCTACATATCCTGTAGAAAATTCAACTAAACTTTCTAATGCTTGTCTATATACTTCTTATAATTTATAAAAAACTTTTTATCCTTTTTCTAAAAGGTCAGCTAATAGACTGGCAACTTCATTTACAATATTAATATTAGCTTAATATGAATCATCATCATATTGAAATACTAAGAACTTTTGAAATTCCATATTTACATTTTCACACAAAGCTTAAAGTAATTACAATACCTTAAGACAGAGAAGCTTATATTCTGTATTATCACCTTCAGTTTTTTCTAAATCTTTTAATTAGCTATCTAAATCTGTTAAAAAGAACCCTCTTAAAAATACTAAAAATTTTTATTTCACCTACTCTTCTTTTAATAATTTATAAAACTTCTTTTATACATACTCATTTCCATAATCCAATAAATGAATTAGAAAAGATAAAGCTTCTATTTTTTCTTAATTATCATCAGTTTAATTTAACATATCGAATGCTAATATATCAAGTTAACCATCAGCCATTGCTTTTTAAAATTTAATGTATATTTCTTTTTTTTCTCTGACAATTTTTTTTTATTCTTCATCCTTTGCTTCTGTCAAAGAATCTATTTCATCTTATGTAGGTCTTTTTAATGATAAAAATATTCGACATAATTTAATAAGATAAATTTCTTTATCTAAAAATATCTCTTAACATTTTTTCAAAAAGTCTTAAAGATTTTCTTAATTAAATATATTAGTTTTCTATTTCTCTAATGCTTTAATTAATAATTCAATTTGAACATCTTCTGAAATTAAATTTCCACTTTATTCAAGTTAACCTCCTAATTTTTTATAATAATGTGATATTAATCTTGTTGTAGCATTCGAAAAGTCTTATTTTAAACTATCTAAACTTTCCTATTAACGTTAATATGTTTAAATCTATTAAGTAATAATATTAGCATTAAATTTTCTTTCGAATAATTCTCTCATTGCTTATTTAAATAAATCCCAATCTAAAAAATCTTTATTTCTATTATTTACACTCTCCTAATTTTTAATTCTTGCAACATCATTTTAATAGATATTTTCAATATCTTTTAATAATATATACTATTTATAAATGTTGCAAGTTTTAACAATTTTTTTTGATTTTTCTTTATCATCTAATTTTTATGGATCTTTTTCAATAAATTAGCAAAATTATAAAATGTTAACCTTATATCTTATCAAATATATTTTAAAGTTTCGCCTAAATGGATTCTCAATCCTCTAAACATTATCTTATTCTTGAAGTTTTTTCTCTCCAGTCTAATCTTCTTTTAGTGTATCATATTTATCAAATAATAATTTATCAGCATTTTTATCTTATATAAATCCAATTCTAAAATTCTAACCAAACTTTGTAATTTTTCTTTAAGGTATAATTTCCTCAATTGAAATTATCAGTTCTCTATAATCATCTAAATCCAAATCTTCCTTTTTTACTCGAAAATCTCTTTCTAAAACATTAAATATTTCTTTTATTTTCTAAACATTTTGTTTAATAATAGCAAATTCATCTGATAAATTAGAATTCTCAGGGTTTTCAATATCAATTCTATCCTTCATCTCATCATATGTATATACTAAAAAATGGATAATACCATTTTTCCTTAAATATGTCCAAAACTCACTACTATCTCTAAGTATACCTAATTCTTTATCAGCAGTTGAATCTATTGATAATCTTTTTTCAAAATAATTTCTTTTTTATCTTGCAATCTATTCTCTTAAATCCTTTTAAGTAACCTTTTTGCTTTTATCTTAATTTATTAATTTAGCCAAACCTTCTAAAAATTTGCATATTTGTTTTTAATCTAATTCAGGAATAATTATTCTTGATAAAATGTCTCTCACTTCATCACTCTCGACTGTATCATTACTTAAATCACCTTCTTTTACTTTATTTATATATAATTCAAATAAGCATTACAAGTAGGCTCTCTTAACAATATATTCAGCATCAGGATATAATAGAATTGATTTCAATTATTCATATAATATTATTCTTTACATTTCTTAGATACCTAATCTGTAATATTAACAACATTCTGTTATTAGTATTATTAATTAAGCATGCAACTTTATTCGATGATAATGCAAACTATCATTCTCATTAAATTTATTAATTTATTGATCTAATTCCTATTCAGGAACTAATACTCTTTTATAATAATTTATTGGTTCTAAAACTATTCTCAAAAAATCATTTTTTAATATGGAACTTAAAATTAAATGTTTATTCAAAGGAGATTATTCAGCAGGAATTTCAAAAGTTTTAGTTAATGACTTTAAAATTCTCAAATATTAAATTAAACTAAAATAAGCAACTCCATCTTAATATTTTTATCTAGGAGTAATTTTCCTTTCAAAAAATACATCTTTCAAACTAAATGGATTTTAAAAAAATTCCTAACTGTCCATTAAATCTTTTCCTAATTTTTCAATCCTCTCAAAAATATTATTGATCAAATTATCATGGTCATTTGCTGGAATTGTTGATACTAATAAAATTACAAGTTTTGTAATTTTTATTGGAATATAATACCAATCTTCTGCATCTTATTGTTCAATTTGTATAATATCAAGCAGTTGATACAAATACTATTTTTTAGCTAAAATTGCTATATTGGTATCATTATCTTTTATAAAATATTCAAAAAATAAAATTAATCGTTTATAAAAATAAACGATTTCAGGTGAACTACAAATATTTTTGGGATTTATTAAAAATTGTAAAAACACTAAATGAACTCCAGCATTTCTGACAATATTTTAAAAAGATTTTAAATATAAGGCTTCTTAAGAGTTTGGTTTGAAGAACTACTCAAATTATTCTATTATTTTTGATTAATAATTTTTTAATTAATCAAAAGATGTAGTACTTTTTTCTGTATTTTTTTTCCTTTTATTATTTTTAATGTATTTAATTGCTCTCTTCGTTAAGATATTTGCTTCCTTTGGACTAATTATCTAAACTGAACTTGAATTTCCATTTATTATAGAAAAATATTTTAATTCCATTTAATTATCAATAATTTCTACTTCTCTAATTTCATTTGTTGAATTTTTGGGTGCATTAAAATTATCAATTAAAATTTAAAGTAACTCTTCATTTAATTTATTTCTTTTTTCTGAGGAAAGTAAACAAGTAAACAATAAAGCACTAAATCTATTACCATCAGGTTCTTTAAAAACATTACAAATGGTTTTTAAGGCTGGAGTTTTTTATCTTTTAAGTTAATCTTCCTAAGCGCTATTTGGAATTTCATTAAAATCAAATTCATCTTATTCTCTAGAGCTAGGAGAACTTAAGTTTGACTCATTCAATTATTATTTGCTAAATAGAAACTACAATATTTATAAGTTTAATTTTAAGGAACCCAAAATCTTCAAAATTTTTAAACCCTCTAAATAAATTTTCATTTTTAATAAGTTATCATTACAATATTAAAATGTCCATAACAAAAAATATAGTATCCAATTTCTTTTAAATTAAATGTCTTATTTGCTTTATTAATCAGGTTTCTCTTCTAATTTATTTTTTTTATGCTTAGATTTTTATTTTCTCTACTCTTATAATTGTTAAGCAGTTGGTAAATATGTTGTAACCCAATCATTATTTCCAATTGATTAAATTAATTTTTATAAATTAGTATCAAAATTTTCATTATCTTAAAATTTATGATATTTATTTTCTGTTCTTTATTGCAAAATTAATGCAACAAATATATTAGGTAATACCGAAAATATACTTTAATTTTCATCCAATTAGTTATATCCTAAATCAATACTATTTTTTACAATTTACAAAATTCCTAAAAAGTATTGTAATTAATAATCCGCTAATCTTTTATAATCAATGTTAATTTATTTTATAGTTGATTTTAAAGGTTAAAATATATGATTATTAAATTCTTCCACTTTTAAATGATCTGGATAATCTATTTAAGTAAATATTTCTAAATAATATACTTTTAAATAATATATTTACTCTCTTGATATCATTTTTAATGCATACTAATTCAAATATTAATGCTCTGATTTTGAATCTTTTTAATTTATAAATTTTTAATAATCTTCATTTCTTTTTAATTATTTGGAAGCATTATTTTCATAGAAATAAAATCCTGATTTATTCTAAATATTAAATTGATCTAAATCCTCACTTAAATAACATTTATTATCAAATTAGGATACTTTTATTAATGGATCAATGTCTAGATATAAATTACAAAACAATTCTATCAAAGTTCTTTCAAATCTAAGTTCTGTTTTAATACCTTATTATCTTTTTAAACAAATTTCTAAAAATTTTTCATTTAAAAAACAATTTTTCATTAAACATTTAATGCTTTTTTAATTTCTACCTTTACATAATGATGAATATAAATCCATAACATTCATTAAATAATTTTCATATTTTAAAAAGATTGGTAAAACTACTTTTAAATCTTCTTGTCTTACTAATTAATTTTCTTTTAATGTTTCTGTAGTGAAGAAATCTATAGAGACATCAACCAGAGGAGGTCGTCTTGTATTAAATCTTTTTCCTAATTTTATTTACTTTTCAACAAACCTTAAATATAATTAACAAAAAGTAGGATTGTTTTATCCAAAAGTATGTGATAATTATAAGAGTGTTCCTTTTTCTCTTTTTGGTGAAAATTAGACAACTGGATAATAACTTTAATTATCTTCATGAATATCTAATGCAATTAATGCTTTTTAAAAAGGAAGAGAAGAATTTTGTTTATTCTTTGTTCCAAATATTAATCTTCTACAAGTATCTTAACACAGAGAATTTGGATTTTCATAAGGATCAATCATCATCAAACTTAAAATTTCAATATATAGTGCTTAATCTTCAATATTATCTTCAGTAATTGGTTTGAGTTCATTAACCCATTTTTTAATACTGCTTTTTGTATCACTCATATCAGTGTAACGTACACTTTCTTTAATAAGATTAGAAACATGTTCTCTTTAATTTTTTAATTATTTTAACAAAAAATCTAATACGCTCTCTTTATTCATTTCTAAACTTAAAACATAATTGCTAGTTTCTGGATTACTTTAGACACAAAGACTTAATACATAATAGATTTCTTAAATGCAATTTTATTTTTGAAATTCACTAATTGAAGGATCTAATTTCATTTTAGCTATTTTTTAAGGACTTTTATCTAGAATAGTTTTAGTATTATCTTAGAGATTTCCATATATCATACAATTACATAATCTTTAAATAGCAAAAAGTAGATTAATTATATCATTATCCATCAAAGCTTATTATTTTCTTTGTTATTATTCATTAGATTAAGGTTTACCTTCATTTGTTAAATACATTTTTAAATTATCTAAAGTTTAAAAAAGTTATAAGATTTCATCAAATAATAATTTTTAATTATTGAAAGCTTCATAATATTCGTATTTTCGTATTTCTTCTGAATTTTGTTCAATAGTTTTAACGATACCCCAATCCTATAAAAATATATAAAATTTTATTAAATATTCTTGAAGGGAATTAATTCTAAAAGATATTTTAGATAGATCTTAAGGAGCTTACTTTAAAAGAAAAGTAGCTCTTTCAATGTTTTATTTTTAGCTTTTTCTTTACACAGCTACACTATTTTCATCTTTACAAACAATCACTATTCCATCCTAAGCAACATAATTATCAATAGAATAATTAATAGCAGATTATATTTTACAAGCCTCACTATAAGAAATGTGATCATTTGATGTTTTTTTCGATTTTAAATTAAATTAGCATTCTAATTTTAATCCATCATATGTTAATCCAACTCCATGATTTGTTGTATATAAAAATAATCCTGTGCATACATGTCTAATTAAAAATACACTTTCATAAGTTGGTCTTGAATATATCAAACTATCAATATGTTAAATTTACCAAAGAGAGTTTAAATTTTAATCTGTTTCAGATTTATCTACATATAATTAATACATTTAATCTATTTTTTCATTTCTTATTTTATCTACATCAAAATAGTATTGATCTATAGCATAATTTATATTAGTTTCATAATCTTTAACAATTAATGGTTTCTTATCTAAGCCATCTGTTATTCTTTATTTTCTTTAAATACAAAGATATCCTCCCAAATATCTATTTTTTATAGTAACAATATCACCACTTTATAAATACTTTCCCTTTATTTATTATTTATTTATATCTTCTTCTGTTTTATTATCAATATAACTTGAAATTTTTAATGGAAATTCTATTTCTGATGCATTTACTTCTAATCCATCTTTCTTTTCAAATTTAACAGAGGGCTTCTATATTCCTAAATTCCATTTTATTTGACTCGAATTTTAAAGAATTATTTAATCTCCATATAATATTGGTTCTCCTTGATTCTTAACTTTATTCATAGATAAAATTCTAAAATTTGAATTTTCATTTGGTTCTTCTTCTAATGATAATTCTCTACAACAATTTTCTTTTGCTAAAACATTAATATTTAAAGAAAGAGTGCATCCTGAATATATATGTTATAACTATATCTCTTAACCATACACAATATTAGATCCATACAAATGATTATATAATCTTTCATTCTCCTTTTATTCTTCTTCAAACTTTTTTTTAAACTCTTCTAGTTTTTTCTCTTAATCTGATTTCAATTTATCAGCTTCCATCTAATATGTTTCATCTTCTTCTATATTTATTTATTGATCTGTTGGTTTATCTTTTTCTTCTTTGTATTAATTTTAGTATAAGTATTTTTTTCCTGTAATGATTTAAAATAAACTTTTTTAAAATGATAAACTCCCAACCTTGTACTATAAGCTTTTTTTAGATTAAACATCTTTTAATTTATTTTTACCTAATATCTAAATACATTCTAATTTATTGCTTGCAATTCCATCACCAGATATCACTCCTTTAAAATCATCACTTAAATAAGATTTAAAATAGATTATATCACCTACTTTCAGATTGAAGTTTCGTCTTTAATATAAATAACTATTTACTTTAAATGTCTGTTATTTTCCGCATTTTATGGAATTGGAATGAAATTATGAGTTTGAGCCATGATGTTCTCAGCTCCAAGTAAGGATTGTTTTCTCAAATTAGGAATAGGTGGCAAGTCAGCCATTTTACTAATAATTAATTTATAATATATATAATGTTATATTATAGATTTAATTGCCAAATTCTTTTAATTTATCAATTTATATTGATAGAAAGGATAAATTATCATTTAAAGAAATTTTTAAAATAATCTCATTATCTACTAAGATTCTAACTGCTAAAATTTTAAATTTCTAATCTAATTCGTTCTATAAACATTAAATGATTAAAATTATCAATTAAAAAACCATGATTATTTCTTTTATTTTCTTTTAATAAAGCCATAGAAACTTTATTTTATTTTCAATAAATTAAAAATAATTATTAATTCCATTTTAACAAATTTCATAATAAACTTACTTTATTTATAAGCTTCATTTTATTTACTATCATTTGTATTTGCTTTTATAAAATCTTTATGAATTCAATAAAAATTCTTATAATATGAAAATATTATATGATAAATAATTTATAAATTGCACCACTAACTGCTCTTCACAAATTACTGTCAGTAAATAAACCAATCAAATTTAATGATAAACTTCATGAAACATAGAAATAAAAGAGTCTTTAAAAATCAATTTAAAATTTAAGCAGTAGCTAATGTGAAATGTTAAATGCTAGAATGAAAAACAAATTACCAACTCCAAAAAATACTATCGATTCATCTTTAAGATAAAGTATTGGCAAAATTAGTAATAATAATGATAGTGGAATTAAAATCAATAAAAATATCAAAAATGAACTTCTATAAGTATTAAGAAAAGCTTAGAGCTAAAATAAAAAAACTAATAATTTAGAAAAATTATTATGCACTTCTAATAGTCCAAAATAATTTAGTGATTTAGAAAGTTTTAAGAAGAAAAGACCTCCTTTGTTATAATATTTAGGTGAAGAAAATGAGAAATTAAATATTCAAAGTGCTAAAAGTGCTAACGAAAAAAATAAAAGTCCAGAAAATAGATATTCATCTGGTATATTTTAAAGTTAATATAGGATTTTTTACTAGTACAAATTAAAGATAGTAATTATTTGGATCTTTGAATCAAGTTTTAAAATAATATATCTAATGCAAAAGCTTACAGAAATGTAGATAAATTTATTAATTTAGAGGCTGGAACTGGTGAAGGTATCAAGGTTTGTAAATCTGCAAGAAGTACCCATCAGTAATTATTAATAAATGAACCAAGCAGTCAGGAAAAATATTTCCCTAAATAAAAGTCTGATTATTCAAAAGGATAATCAAAAATACTAAATGAAAATTTACACAATTTATTTTTAAAGACTTCAAATGTTTTAGCAAAATATTAAGCCAAAGAACTTTAATGGAAAAAATAAAAAAAATAATTGAGAGATGAAATTAGGATTCTTAAACAATTATTGAAATAACAGCAATTATAAAATTAAATATATCACTGATATTATTATTGTATTTATTCTTCATACCTATACCTTAAAATATTTTCTTATGGATTGTTCTGATTCTTTCATATAATCAAAGATTTCTTAAAAACTGCTTAATTCATTCACATTCTAATAGATCAATTAAATAAATTAGAAAAATTGTATTTGTTAATTTATCGAAAAACTTTTATTCATTATTTACTCTTGCATTATAATATAAAACAATTTATTATAAGTTTTAATATTTTGAAAATAATTTCATTAATAAATATAAATTGAACTTTCCTAATAATTACATTGAATAATAACTACAAAAATGCCCAAAAATATTAATATTTGAAAATAAGTGAATTAATCATAAACTCTCATCATTTTATCTAATAATAATTTTGAAAACCTAATTTAAGATTAAGAATGACTTTATTAGTGATAATTTTAAAAAAAAACAAAGGATTTTAAAAAATAATAATATCAGTTAAAAGTTCTTGAGAAATTTTTGAAAATATTAGAATGGAGATAAAAAAAATTTAGAAAATATGAATTTTCATCATAATTTAATAAAAACGACTACAATTTACTTTTACGATATATTATAAATAAATCAGCTATTCTTTTATATTTATAAGGTTAAAACATATGAATAATCTTCTATTTTATTTGGAATTTAGAATTTTTGATTTTGATAATTAAGAGCTTTATTCGTTTATTTACTCCTAAAAACACTTAAACTAATAAGATTTATGTTTTCAAAAACAGATGTTGCAATATATTTAAATAATCATTAAATAAACTTATAATAATAATACTATAATATTACATAATTCTTATTGATATAATTGATTATATTTTGAATAATATTGATAATTATTTATAGTATTCGAAAATTTCTTAAAAACAATATGTCTGACAAATAACTGAAGACAATAGATAAAGGGTTTAAGTAAAAGTTTATTCTAAACAACATTTATATTACATTTAGATTACTGAATCTAATATTTATTAATTTAATGAATAATTATTAAATTACAACCTCCCAATGTTCTCCAAATAACATATTAGCAGTTTGTGTTGTAATACGAAGGCATTTTTTTAGAGATAGATAATATTATTTATCATTAACTTCGAATTCTCTTACTTTGAGTGATGTAATTTTTACGAGAAGAATTAAATAGGGTCCTAATTAAAAGTCAATTAAATACACATAGCTTCTAGGCTTAGATACTGTGTTTACTTGGTTAACTAATGAACAAAACATAATAGGATTTACACTATTATATAGGGGAAAAATTAAGGAATTTTATGGAAAACCAAGCGACATGTAATATTTAAAAGACAAAATGGGATAAATAGTAATATATGATAATATCAATAAATTTTATATTTTGGAAAATAAAAGTGAATAAGGATCATTTGGAAAAGTAATTTAGATTTATTTTTAGGTTATGTTAGGTATATGTAAATTTACTTAGAAGAAGGTTGCTATAAAATAATTAGAAATTCTAAAAAATTCATAATCAATTATAAAAAATGAAATTAATATTTTAAGAACCATCTATAATTATCTATCTCAGAATATCTTAGAGCTAAAAGAAGTATTTAAAGATAAACAAGCTTATTATATTGTTACAGAATATATAGACGGATATAATTTACAATAATTATTATCAACAAGAAAAACTCCATATTCTTTAAAAGAGTCATTAAACATTTTTGAAGTATATTTTTTTTTAAATAATGTAGTAAATTTTGAAAGGATTAACATAAATCCATCAATGTCGTGTAATCCACAGAGATCTTAAACCATCTAACATTATGTACAATTATAACAAAATAAAAATTATTGATTTCGGTCTTTCATGTTTTTGTGGCAAATAATTGTAGGAATTTCCAAATTGTGGTACAACAGGGTATTGTGCTCCAGAAGTCTTAAATTCATAAAAAACAACATAATCATATAATTATAAAGTAGATATTTTTAGTCTTGGATGTATATTTTATGAAATATTAACTTTAAAAAAAGTTTTCCCATACAATAAAGAATAATCAATTTATTATTAAAATCAGAATTGCTTAATTTGCATAGAAGAATCAGGATAAATTTATGATTTAATAAAATTGCTTTTAAAAGAGGATCCTAAATAAAGGTTGGATACCTATCAAGCTTTAAAATTAGTATAAAACCTAATAGAATTGAAAAATTTTGATGTAAATACATGGTATAAGATATAATTTGAAAAGGATAAATAAAGAAACAACTCTGAAGAAAATTTTCCTTAAAATTTTTCAGGTTTATTTAAATTTTGATTAAATACTGGATATTTTTTTTATTATATATTATAGTTAATGGTTTAATCATATCAAATCATTTTATGTCACATCAAAAACATCTAAAATTTATGGAAAGAATTTAATAGTGAAGAAAGAAGAACAATTGTTCTAAATGTTTAATAAACCATAATTTTAATTATTGTATCTTAAATTATTATTGTTATTTTACTGATATTTCATGCAAAATTTTCTTTGTTAATTAATTTTCTTAATATTAGTTTAAGACTTTCTCTGCTATGTGTTAAATAATCCTACGGATTTGTTAAATGTACATTTATATATAATTCGATCAAGTATTTCAGTTGTAAATTGTCTTATAAATACTTGACTTTAAAATATTCAGTATTTTAATAAAAATTTTAATGATAAAATATTTTTCTTTAAATGAATTAATTATGATCATTAAAAAGAATATTTATAATATTATAGGAAAGAATAATGATCTATTATCAGAATCCATATTAATAAATAAATAAAATAAATAATTTATCATAATAAACTAACGTTCACCTATAATATAAATATGCCTCAGCTTCCAAACACTTGAATCTTGACTAATTACTTATTTTTTGAAATTTGCCCAACCTCCTTTCACAATCATTAATTTTTGCTAACAAACTTTATGGTTATTCGAAATCCAAAGATAAATTAGTTTAATCAATGATACTTCCATTTAAAAGCAATTTATTTTGAATTGCTTTCACTTATTTCTATTTAATTTAGTCTTATAAGTTAATGTTGAAATAATTCAATTTGTTTAAGTAGTCATAATCAAATTTTAATGTTTCGAGTGCTTTTTATTAAAGTTCATCAGGTGATAGTAAAATTGATTACATGTCTGGTGATAAAGCTTCTCGATTTAACAATTTCTCTATAGTAGTATCCAATTCTGGTTCTACTCCAATTATAAATTTAGATATAATCAATGCTTTAGATATATTTTTTCTAAGTTTAAAATGATATTCAAATTATGAAATATCATTTGGACAATTAGGCTTAATTTCTTTAAAGAATGTATGAATGATTTTTCTATTTTTATAATAAAATTTACTTGCTTAAACCTTGAGTCTTTAAAATAATTTTTGTGATGGTTTTTTCTACACGAAATATTTATTTAAGAATCTCATAGTTCATAACTACTTATTCAATCATATATTTAGGATCTTACACTTAGCGATTTTTATCGAGAATTAAATCATTAAAAGCTATTTTATCATCTAAAACATATTCACATAAAAGATTTCTTAATGTTTTTTCTGTTTAAATCTAATAAATTTTAAGTGATAATTACATTAGGTCTTCTTTTAGGACTATCAGTTCTACTTAGTTTCATTAAACTGCTTGAATTGAGATACTAAGATTTTCCATCATTCAACTAATCTTAAAGGGCTCTTTTTATATCTTAAATTCTAGGTGATTATCCATTTATTGATCTATTTTAATAAAAAGCTTAATTCCATTAATCTAAATCATATTGTCTTTTCGAAATGTTATGAAATACTTTAATCCTCTTTTTTGTTTTATTCAATTATTCTGTTTGAGTTTTTTGTAAATTTATTTTAGGTAAAGTTTAATTTGATGATGACATTTCTATTGGTTTTATTGGTGAAGAAATTCTTTCCTAATATGATTCCTCTTTTTATTTTTTTCTTGCTGATGATTTTTATAACGTAATTAGTTCATCATGTAAAATTTAAGAAACTGATCGGCTCTTAATTAGCTATTACATTGGCATATTCATACAAAACACTTTTTTTTATCTTTGCAATGGTAATGTTTCAAAGGTTCCAAAATCTTGATCTTAAATATATTTTAGCATTAACAATGCAATTAATTTATTATTAAATATATAGACCTATAAATCATAAACTATTCAAATCAATAAATATATATCTTAGTACTAATATAAACTATTTAATTTATAATTTAAAAAAACAATATATATTTCTCTATTTCGTCATCAATATGGCTTGTAAAAAAACAAGTGTAAATTTGAATAATAATAATTTTTTTCTTTCAAATAGTATACATTTTTAAGACCTAATTTAAATACTATTTACTTCTAATTGAATAACTTCTATTAATTGTCAATTGAATGATATCATTTTGACTGTTTAAGTAGGAAAAATTTAATCTTTAACTATTAATAGAAGTATATTTTATTTATTTCAATAAACCCAATTAGAAATTTTATAGATTTAAATTTTGTGATTATTTAAAAAAATGAATTACTTTAAAAAATTTATCTTTATTTATACAATTTAAAAAAAGTTTTTATGAGTAATGTAAAAAATTTTCTATAGAAGTTCAAGATATTTTCAAATAAAATAATTTAGTATTATAATTGACATAAAATTTATTATGAAAAATTATAATTCATATCACTAATTTAGATAAACATCAGTTCCTTCAGAGGATTCCTCAGTTAAATCATAAGTAACAATTCAATCATATTTAACTGTATCACCTGTAGTAATTATTTAAAAATATTATAAATGATTAGAAATAACGAAACTAACTAATTCGTTCGTCTTTTAAAGTTTACTTAGAAATGAAGTAGGAAATAAGCTAGAATTAATAATGTAAATTATCTTTAAGATTTGAACAAATCCACTTATTAATGGCTACATAGAAATTGTTTCTACATTTATAAAAAATGCAAGTTTTTTATCATAAGCAAAAAAAATAAGAGGCATTTTAATAGATTTTAAGATTAGGTGCAATAGATTATAGCAATAATAGTAGTATATTTAAGACTCCTTAGAGAAGTTATTCTCCTGGAATAGTGTCGAAAGATATAGGGTAATATTTTATTAAATGATTTTAGAATGGAAAAGAATATATAAAATTAATAACTGATAAAAATAATTTAAGAATTGTAATCTCAAATTGCTGGTAAGGAACTTTGTAAGACAATTTATTTAATTTAAAATAAGATTATGAAAGATAGTTTATACTAAATAAAATATCGAATAAAATTATCATAAAAGTTTGAGAAAATTAAAAATATTTTAGATGTTTCTTCAAAACGATTTGTATTAAATGAATTGAGAGAAAAGAATAATAAGAGCAAGAAGATTGAAGCAGCAAGTTATTTATTAGCTTTTAAATTGGAGAAATTTAAGTTAAACATTTAATTTACTTTTTTTTATTAACTAAAATTATCACAGATGAAATAATAATTAATAAAAAAATAATAGATCTAAATAAAATAAAATGGATATAAAATAGGAGAGAAAAATGAAAACATAAAATTGTTAAAACTACATTAGATTATTATTAAATTTTGTTACAGATTTCCATTTAATTAATTGAAAAAATAATAATACTAATAAATAGAATTAAATTAAAGAAATAGCGCTTCCTTTTAGAGATTTTCAATAGGACAATTATCATAAACGATNTATAGAAGTTCAAGATATTTTCAAATAAAATAATTTAGTATTATAATTGACATAAAATTTATTATGAAAAATTATAATTCATATCACTAATTTAGATAAACATCAGTTCCTTCAGAGGATTCCTCAGTTAAATCATAAGTAACAATTCAATCATATTTAACTGTATCACCTGTAGTAATTATTTAAAAATATTATAAATGATTAGAAATAACGAAACTAACTAATTCGTTCGTCTTTTAAAGTTTACTTAGAAATGAAGTAGGAAATAAGCTAGAATTAATAATGTAAATTATCTTTAAGATTTGAACAAATCCACTTATTAATGGCTACATAGAAATTGTTTCTACATTTATAAAAAATGCAAGTTTTTTATCATAAGCAAAAAAAATAAGAGGCATTTTAATAGATTTTAAGATTAGGTGCAATAGATTATAGCAATAATAGTAGTATATTTAAGACTCCTTAGAGAAGTTATTCTCCTGGAATAGTGTCGAAAGATATAGGGTAATATTTTATTAAATGATTTTAGAATGGAAAAGAATATATAAAATTAATAACTGATAAAAATAATTTAAGAATTGTAATCTCAAATTGCTGGTAAGGAACTTTGTAAGACAATTTATTTAATTTAAAATAAGATTATGAAAGATAGTTTATACTAAATAAAATATCGAATAAAATTATCATAAAAGTTTGAGAAAATTAAAAATATTTTAGATGTTTCTTCAAAACGATTTGTATTAAATGAATTGAGAGAAAAGAATAATAAGAGCAAGAAGATTGAAGCAGCAAGTTATTTATTAGCTTTTAAATTGGAGAAATTTAAGTTAAACATTTAATTTACTTTTTTTTATTAACTAAAATTATCACAGATGAAATAATAATTAATAAAAAAATAATAGATCTAAATAAAATAAAATGGATATAAAATAGGAGAGAAAAATGAAAACATAAAATTGTTAAAACTACATTAGATTATTATTAAATTTTGTTACAGATTTCCATTTAATTAATTGAAAAAATAATAATACTAATAAATAGAATTAAATTAAAGAAATAGCGCTTCCTTTTAGAGATTTTCAATAGGACAATTATCATAAACGATGTCCTAATAAGTTTCATAAGTTTTAGAAGCATCACCAAAAAATGAAGAATAAAAAATTGAAGAATAAGAAGAATAATAACAATCGATTGTAGTGTAAAAACAAAAACCAGTTTAGAAGGTAAATGGAAAATTGGCAAAATCAATTAAATTATACAGTAATAAGTGATAATATTTTAATTAGTTAACAAATGTGAAGAGTAGAAACAGTAAGCATAATAGTAGAAATTAGAATAAATTACAAGATTGTCAAAAAAAAATATTAAGGATGAAATAGAGTTACAGAAATAAAAACAAAAGTCTAAAGTTTAAAGTAAATTATTTTTAGTGGCAACATTAATACTTATTTTATTATTTTTATTTTGTGTTATTTAATGAATTTTAAATAATTAATAAAAAGTAATAAAATTTATTAATCTGTTGAAAATTATCGTTTAATAGATTGTAATGTTTAGATATCATAAAATGATATATCTTTTATAAAAATAAAGGTATCATTTTAAATAATCGACATCTCCGCAACACATCATAATTAGAACTTAAGCTTCATGAGTTTTACTTTCTATCAGTTTTCTTATCCTCTCAATCGGAATTTCTTAGTCATAGTTCATCTTTACTGCCTAAATAATTATTTATAGTATTAACATCAAAAATTGATCTAGTAACATATTCAACCATATTTGGTACGCTAAGTTCACCTTTTGAATCTTTTAACATCTCTTCCATCATAAAAATACATCTATTTTTGATTTCATCATAGGATAAAGATCCATTTTCATTTTCATCAATTAACTAATCTATAATAAATGAGTTTACTTTTAATATTAATTCTATTTTATTATCATTTCTTTTTGCTTTGATTAAATTAATTGCTTTCAAAAATCCTTCAAAAGTTAAAGTATTTTGTTTTGCAAAAAATTTAAATATCTAGTCTACAACTCCTGGTGGTGCCATAGATAATTCTTCTAGACCAGCATTAAATGCTTCCCTTGAAATTCCATTTGGTATCACTTTTATTTAAAATAAATAAATTACTTTGTTTAGTTAATCCTGGAATTTATTAACATTCATAACTAAGTAAAGCTTTATATCTACTATAAACTTCATATATTTCTTATCTATCAAATCCTGTTTCTTACATTAATAATGGAAGATTGTAATTGGTCATATGAGGAAGCTTTCTTGCAATATGATCTGGAATATTTGTGTATTAATTTCTGTTATCAATAAATAATTATACTGATTCTTTTGTTTAATGGTTTATTATTTTAAAATCTCACTATATTATGTTTTAAAATTTGGTAATTTAAGATCTATTAGAATATTAATAACTTACATCTACTTGATGATCTTTTTTTACTTGGATTATAATAACCTTCTTTTTCTAAAATTTTTTAGAATTCAATAGGTTTAGGATGAGTAGAAGCAATAGTAAAATCTCTTATAGTTTCTTTTTCTATTTCTGGTAAATTGATTATTCTTTCTGAATACAATTAATAAGCAGATTCATCTATTAGTTTTTATTTTTGATGGTCATAAACATGAATACTTTTATAATATTCTTTCATAGCATCACTATTTCTTTTCATTGTTAATAAAGATTCATCTGGTATAATATCTTTAATTTCCATATATGTATAAAATATATCTTTATCAAAAATGAATTTTTAAAGATCATTAATATCATTGATTTTATTTACGATTGTTAAAAGTTTTACAAATTTTTCGAGAGTGAATTATAGATTGTGATAATTCAAAATAATAGTCCAAAAGTCTTTATTTACAGTGTTACTTAATATTAATGTGTTACAATTTAATGGAATTTCTTCTGTAAACTAAATAATTTCATAATTTCCCAATGATAATTAATTGAAAATTTTAGGAACATTTAATCCTAATTGCATCTTTGATAATAAATTTTATCTTGTTTGATAAATATCTTATTAATATTATTTAGTCTGCAATTCAGATCTTTACATAAGAATGACTTTGAATTGACTCATATCTTGAATTGATCCTTTGAAAACGAAAATGGATTATAGATTAGTTTATAAATTGATATCATAGGAACTCATTCCCAAACGGGTTGTTGAGTGTTTCTTTCTGAAGCATTTAGATTTAATCCTTAAGGTAGGAATCTTAAATGAATAACCAATTCTATCTGATTATGATATATTGACTAATGAAGATAATTTTTCTTTAGGTGATGACCCTATTTATATTAATTAAGAAGGTATATATGATTAAGAACAGTTTGGACTTTTTCCTTTTAATTTTGGACTATATCCAATATATGTTAATTATTATCTAGCTGCATTTCTTGAGACTCTTATGTTTTAGTAGGATGGTTATGTAAGAGCATTCAGTTTCAGCTAATTAATATTTTTAGTTGTCATATAAAATAAAAAAAATTTAATGTCTCATGAAAAGAGAACATCAGCAGACTTTTTTAAATAAGTCTTTGGAAGAACAGTTACTGTTAAATTACATAATCGAACAGAATATATTGGTGTTTTAGCTGCACTTGATGGAAATATGAATATTGTTTTGGAATAATGGTATTGTATAAATTAATAAATTATAGTGAAGAATATTTAGAATCAAAGTTAATCAACAAATATGGATAAATATTATTGAGAGGAAATAATGTACTTTACATTAGTGCTAAATTTAATCAAACAAAATAACAGGATGTAGAAATTTGATTTATTATGTATATTATATTTATATTTATATGGATTAAGAAATAAACAATATCAATCTACCTGATATTAAAGAAAAAGATGATTCAGATGATTAAGAAGATTATAATCCTTTTATTTATCATCATTAATAAGAAAGCTATCATTCTTTTGAAAAAATATTTTAGAATCATTTTGATATTGTCAATAATAGATGGATTACAATACCAAGAACTAAAATCTATTTATTAAGATCAGCTATGCATAAATTAAAAAAATGGTTACTTTATTTAAGACAAGAACATCATATTATTTAATCTATCATTAAATAGAATGATGATCTCAAAACACAATTAAAAAAGAACCAAGAATAATAATCTAATTATTATATTGTTGAACAATAAAGGATGAATTAAGTATTAGTAAATAAATTATTACTAAGTTATATGAAGAAATTAGAAATTTGAAATAAGAGTTAAAAGATAAAGTTCAATAAATGAATGATCAAATAAAATAACTTAAAGAGTCGATTACTGAAAAGGATAAAAAGATATAAAGATAAGAATTAACAATACAGAGATTAAATGAAGTAAGCAATGGATATGAGAATCAAAATAAAGGTTTATAATAATAAATTAACAATCTATAAAAAAATTTCACATATTTCAATAATATTAAAAGGTAAGGTTTCATTGATGAAAAGGCATTAATTGGAGGAAATATGACAACTTTTGAGTTAGTATTTGCATCTAAGGTTAAAAATAAGATATTATAATTCTTGTCTTTAAAAGATTATCAAAATCTAATGATTTGCAATCGTAAACTTTATTTATCATTAATAACACATAATACAATCATTCCTCATGCTGTAAATTCACTTAGTTATAAATTTAAACACTAATTTAAATTATTGTAAAGTGTGAATGAGGAATTCAAAGTATTGAAATTAAAAACAACCTATAATAGAGTGTTATCAAATAGAGTGATGATCCTAAACTTAGAGAGATCATGATTAAGTAGTTTGAATTAAAAATTAATTTTTCTGAGTATATCATTCCTACTTTACGTGAATGTTAATCTTTGATAGATGGAGATAATTTTATAGGTTTAAAAAATAGTCAACATAATAAAGATTGTAAATTCTCATTATTAATTTAGTGATGGATCTTTTAGAAGGTTACTTAACTTAATAATCTTAAAGTTATTAGGCAGCATTATAAAGTTTAGTTTAAGATAAATTCCCTTGGAATTAATTCTTTCCTAAAACTTAAACAACTGTCTAATAAGTTTAATTATAAAGAAAATAATTTCCAACATCTTCTTAAATGTTTGCTTAATAAATCATCACTAGATTGTATGATCTTAGTACAGTCTGTGCTTAAGACTCTTCAATTTTTGGGATGTTTTTATCATAATTATAACGTTGTTTAGCTTCATTATTTGTTTATGGTTAACATTTAACATAAGAAGTAAATGATTTATAATCACTTAATTATTATATTATGACTAAATTTTTCTTTTTATTAAAAGAAAAGAAAAATATAGAAGATTAATATGAAGATTTTAAAACATAATTAGGACTATATTAAGATGCGAAAAGATTCTTAAAGTAATTTAATTAATTAATAAAAGCGAAAAAGTAAAAGATTTAGAAAAGATTATTTAAGATAAAAATGAAAAAATTAGTAATTTAAGTTAATAAGTTTACATGAAGGAAAGTTAATTAAAATAAAACTAAATAGTAGTTTAAAGAAATAATGAATCAATAAGATTATATTAAGATAAATTAAAAATATTGGCAAGAGAAGTAATGGATGTAAGAAGAAAATATAAGAATACTTGTATGGAGTATAATGAAATAGTTTCTAGGTTTAATATGTTAAAAATTTAATTGGATAAAATGGAAAAGCATTAAAAAAATTGAGTATAAAATTTATATTAAAAAAAGTATCCTTTATTTAAAATAAAATGTCTTCTTCAAGTTCGTCAAGGTCACGATCACCAAAGAAGAATAAGAAAAGAGTATATGTGACAGGATATTCTCTTAAAGAGGATTAACATGATATAAAAAAATTATTCAAAAAATTTGGAAAGATTGAAGAATTTGCTTGGAAAGGGAAATATTGTTTCATTGTATATATAATGAATTAAATAGTAGGAATTTAAAGATCCAGAAGATGCAGAAAAAGCTGTTAAAAAAATGAATAAGGAAGAAGTAAAAGGATCAGTGTTATAGGTTGAGATGGCTCGTGGAAATAAGCCGAGCAAAAATAATGGCCTATGTTACTCATGCGGTCGTTCTGGACATTTGTAAGTTTTCTTATAGCATTAATTATATATATATAGAATACGATATATTTTTAATTATATTCATTTACCATTTTATTAGCGCTAAAAATTGTAGATATAGATCATCATCATCAAGTTCATCTAGCTCTAGTAGGTAAATAATTAAATTTAATAATATTTAGTGAGTCTAGAAAAAAACATAAGAAGAAACACAAAAAAAAGAAGAGCTCTTCCAGTTCAGATTCCTCATCAAGTAGTTCATCAAGTAGAAAGAAAAAGAATAAGAAGAAGAGTACAAAAAGAAAATCAAAGTCCTCATCAAGAGGCTCATCAAAAGACTCATAACATTCAGAGTCTTCTCCCGGCTCGTACTTTTAAAGTTGAATTCTCTTTAGCATTAATGGTGAAAAAAAAGAAGAAAAAAACCCTATTGAACAAGAGAATCAAGAAAATGAAGTTGATGGTAAGTAATGAAGTACCAGTGATATTATAAATCAAGTTGTTGTCCAATATATATTCTTATTATAAAATTATTATTGTCAAAATTACTTTTAATTTATTTCTTCTATATTTTTTTATTTAAATTCCATCTAAAAGTTATCTTAATAATGTTGTTTCTAATAAAACTAATCATAATTTATTTAAGATTGACCATAAAAACTAGAATCAGGCTTTTCTGTTTTTATTTTAGACATTTCTAATTTAATCAAATTATATACATTGCTTTTATATTTGACCTAGATCATGTTGTTTTGTTATTTTTAATATCTATTATTTTAAATTTTCTTTTTCATTTTTATGTAATTCAATCTCTAATTTTTGCTATTCATTTTAATCTTTTAATTGTTATGTAATTTATGCTAATGCCGCATAATCATTCAATAATTATTATATTTAAGAAGATTATTTATCATAATTAATTAAACACTCTTAATTCAATTTTATCATGCTCTATTATAATTATTTAATATTTTCAGTTTGCCTTTCTATTTATTTTTAAGCAATCTATAATTAACTTTATAATTCATCACATTTTAATTCTAATTCTATTTTTTTTTATTACAATTCAAATCTCTCTATATCATTTTAATAATGCATGTTTTATACAAGATCTAAACTATTTTTTAATTACTCTATTATTTCTTAATAATTTTAATTTAAATCTTTTAATTTTTTTATTTCTTAATCTTTTTTTTATATTAATTTATCTTATCCTTTTAAAAATTCCTAATTTTAAGTATTATTTAATTAATAAAATGAATTTGTAGATTATTAATTATTTAAAATTTATTATTGTGCGATTGATTATTTTAATCTTTCTATTTCCTATATTAATTCTTAATTTTTTTGCTTTTAATTAAATAGTTAATTATTTAATTAATCTTTTTCAATAATATGAGCACTTATTTCTGAGAGTAATTTTTCTTTTTCTCCAATTATTTGAGTAAATCCAAAAATCGATTCAGAAAAAGCCCCTCTACTTTATTTTAAATTTTTGGTAGCTTATAATAATTTTTTACCCATTTGATTAATTTAAGCTGATTTAATTTTATTTTAAATTTCTGTTCCTAATTTACCTTATTTGATTAAATCAAGTGCATTTTTAAAAATTTAAGGATAAGTCTTAATAGATTATAAATTATGATTGGTATTAGTAAAATAAGTTTTGATTAGACTACTTTAAAATGCAGAAAGGTCTGTTTTTAATGCATCCTATAAATGTTCTTTAATAAGTAAAGTGCATTCTTATAGTAATTCTTTAGGTGGCTTATTTCATTATAGTTATAGTTACCCTTTAGATTTGCTAATGATTAATGACTTGTTTTATTGTAAAGTAAGAAAGACAAGGAAATTTAACTTTCATAATTGAAAGTCTTTCTTAGGCAATTTTATACAAACTCAATTTCCCTATAGCAGTGTCAAGAGGAAACCATTTACTCCAAACCCATATACTCTCTAATGTATATCGATGGAAAATATATCCAACTTATTCCAATTCTTTAATTTATTCATATTTTTTCATAGATTGCTGTAGAAATAATTATTTCCCTCTTTCATCATCTTAACTCTCTTTTCTGAACATGGCAAAATCTTCTAAAATTGGCAATATTCTTTTCTAAGCCATTTCAATCCATTCATATTCTTGTAGTTCAAATAATTCATTTATAAACTAAAATAATAATTATAGATACTTTCAAACATAAGAATTTTGAATAATGAGATCCTTATTAATTATCTGTGAGTATATTTATTATTACATCAGCACACAACGTGATAATATCCCTTATTTTATTCAATTAAGTTACATTCTTTACTATTAAACTGCTTCCATATATTCTTTTACTCCATTATAAGTATTATTGGAACTGAGAATTTTTTTTAATGATTCATAATCCATTTCTGTATATTATTAAATACTTATATAAAGTTTATTTATTAAAATAAATCATTTAATTCATTTTTATAAGATATTTTTAGAGATCTGCATAGTTTATATATATTGTATAATTATTCATGCAATTTTCATACTCCACAAGCAAATATATTAACTATACCAAGTGCATTATCACTTTCTTATCTTACTGATACAGATCCATCCGTATTATTATCCCAATAACAAGAAGCTGACAGGTTTATTCCGAAATCAGCTTTTTAAAGTATGAGACAGCTAACAACGAATTTAAAATGCTTGTTATTTAAATCTTTAAGTTTCGTCAGGATCGTATCACATATTGTATTACTTTTTTTTTATGCATCATCAATATTATCATATTTGTACTTTTTTATTTCTTAATCAAGTATTCCCTAAGCTACTTTTGTTACTTCTCCTTTCAAAATGTTATTAAAAATATCCTCTTTTTCAAAATTTGCCATAATTTTTAATATTTTCTATTATTTATAAATTAATTTATTTTTTATAAAGAATTTCGAACATAACTAATATACTATTTAGATAAATTTAAGTCAAATGAATCAATAATAATTAATCAAGTATTTTTTATAATTAATTACATAAAAATATCTCACTTTCAATTGAAATATTTTATTGCTTAGAAATATAAATTTAAATTATAAACCATCATATATTTTGATTCCTACATTTATTGTTCATTACAATTATTTATAAATTATTAGGATATTATATTTGAATATCAAACCTATAGAAATCAATTAGAAACTCTTTTTTATCTTCATCTTCAATAATTCTTTAAAATATATTCCATTTAACTGAATTTTATTCTTTTTTTCTACGTTTATATTTTAAAATGGTTATTCATTATTTATATTTCTTATTTCAATTATTTCTTATTTTTAAACTGATAAATTCGGAATTAATAAATTTATTAAACCCATAATTTTAAACTTTTGATTTTTATATATAAGGAAAAAAATAATTAATATAAATTCAATAATAATTTACAAGTACCTTACTAAGAAGACTTTTAGGATAGCAAGCAGTGCATTAGGAAAGATTTGATATTAATTATATGGATGCATTTATAAACGCTATCTTTATACCTATAATAATTTAAAATGAAATATTAATTCGGATTCTAAGTTCATTTGTAGAGGGATTTCTCAAAATAAATACAAGAATATATATATTTTAAAGAAAAAAAGTGTTTCATAGTTTTGTATTTGAAGATTGGCATTTTAGAGTTTAGAAAAATCTTTTGGATGCGTGAAACTGAAAAAAGAATTTTATCACACTCTAGATGTCAGAAAGATCTTTAGTTTTGTAAATAGTTTGTTAAATTATTCTCCAATTATTCGTTTAGAAGATTATTAATACTTTTATACTATTTAGAATACTAAAAATTATTAATTATAGTTTACCATATTATTTATATGTTTTATGAAATGCTTTTCATTGAAAAAATGGAACATTTACTAATTACTTTATTTATTTTAGAAATTTTGCCTGATCCAATCAATATGATTATCTAGAAATTTTTTAGTTGTTTTCTCATAAAATTTAGAATTATTTTAAATTAAAATTACCGCAATTTGTTATGAAAAATAAGATTTTAATAACAATTTGAAAATTTCTTTAGAGTTTTTCAAGATTTTCTTAATTGTCTAAAAAATTGATTTTTTCTTTTATATTCGGAATTTTGGAATAGTTCTTATTATTTTTTATAGAAAAGATAAAGAATTTTTTATTTTTAGATCCCTTTTAGAGTACTTCTTTTATTGAATATATTTTTATTTTGGAAATCAGAATTTATAAAAAGAATGTATAAGAATTATAGAAAGATTATACCTTAATAGAGTTAATAAGTTGGAATAAGTAGATATTTAGGAATAAGAAGCAAAGAATGGCTATTACTAAAGAAATAAGATATTAAGATTATTATTTATTATAATAAGATACTTTTATTTAGAATTACTTTCTAGGAAACTGTAGAATATTGTAACCTTTTAAAATTTAGCTTATTATTTAGAAGATTGATTTAGAACCTCTTAATTTTAGTATAATATTGTTGTTTTAGCTTACTTTTATTATAAATGATTTTTTCTGAAATGAAATAATGCTTTACTTTAGAAATTAAGTGATTATGTTTTAAAATATTGAAAAAAGTGTTTTCTTTTCAATATTTTATGATATGATAAATTAGTTTTTATTATAATTCATTAATTTTATTAAGTAAAATCATACTTTTTACAGCCCTGCAATTTAAATTTATTGTTTTATGTATGAATATTTAAACAATTGAAGTTTACATATCATGTTTAAGTTACGAAATGATGTCCCAGAGGAAACTAGGAGAGATGTTTTATTATTTCAGAAGAAATATTTCAAGTAGATAACTTTATAATAGGATTTCAATCTTGGTTACTGTTTCAAACTTTTTTTACCAAAATCTAGTGCTTGTGCGCTAACTAATTTACTAAAGCAAAGAATCAATGGAAAAAATTTGAAGAAATAAAAACTATTCAAAATAGAAAAAGAATGTAGTTAACTTAATTTTAGGATAAAATTACTGGAAAGAAGAAAAGAATGAGACAAAAATGGATGCAAATAGAGAATAGAAATAGAAGTAGAAGAAATGCTTTAGAGAAAAGAGAGAATTGAGAGAAAAGAGAGATAAGAGAGAAAAAAGAGAAAAATAGAGAAAAAGAAATACTTTAAAAGAAGTTCAAATGTTCTTTTCACCAAAATCAGAAGATAAATAGAAATAAAAAGAGATTCTTAAGAAAAGACTAAATAAAAAAAATAAACAAAAAACTAACTTGAAATATTTAACGTAGATAGATTATTTTTAGGCTACGTTGCTAGTGTGGAGTAGTTTTATAATAGACCTATAATAAAAAATAAAAGTTTGATCTGAAACTTAAGATATCATAATAAAATTGAAGTAGATAAATTAATTTTAGGTTCAAATCACAATGCTTTGTTTTGTTTGAAGTTGAATTCTTTAAAAATAATTAGTAAAACCACCTTAAGATTACAAAATAAAAGTTTCATTAGAAGAATAACTATATGAAGTAACTAACCTTATTTTAGATTCCTCACCTGTTGTAGAAGATATTTATAGTTAAAATAGATTACTAATAATAAAAAATAAAGAAATATATGAAAATTGTATAGAAGATAACGAAATTTTTGACAGAATAACTTGTAAAAAATAGCATAGAAGATTAATTTAATAAAGTAATGGATTCTATAATAGATTCAAAAAGATTCGTAGTTTAAAGAAGAATAGAAATAAAATTAGAAGATAAAGATTAAGATTATAAAGTAATTATAATAAAAATCTCAGAAAATAGAATTAAATGTTTTAGTCCAAGTAACCAAATGATTTTGATTTCTTTCTTTTTAATCGAGAACTTTAAGAAAAACGGAATTTGAAATATAAGACCATAGAGAATAGCCTTGAGACAAATATGACCATAAGAGATTCAAGGACCAAGAGAAAGAGAATGAGAAAGAGAGAGACAATCCAAGAAAGACATAGAAGTTTTCTACCTTTGTTCTTTTCGAGTTGAGCCAAATAATAAATATCTCTTAAGAAACCAAGTAGTCTAAAACCTGAGACAAGATTAATAAGAGCGAAGTACTTTGTTACAAGGGAGAAAAAAGACAAAATAGAATTCCAAAGATTTTCTTCTAAGATTTCTTTCAGAATATTTCTCAACTTCTTTTTTGACTAGATGCCCTAGATTTAGAATTTCAGATTACAGATTAATCTTTCTAAGATTCTTTTTCCCTTAAGACTAATAGACCAATCTTATTAAGATCAAGATAATCTTTATAGACCTTATGTCAGATGCCCAATATTAAATATTTGTTTTATCAACCTAGCTGTAATTGAGTCCCTAGATTTTTCTAAATTATTTTAAAACAGAGAGACATTTAAGAGCTTTATTCCCCTTTATATATAAGAGCTTTGTTCCCTTTTTAGATTGTTCGTTTATTTTAAGAGCCAATTCAATTAGAATATTTCTTTTATATTAAAGAAAGGTTTTTTGAAGTCAAAATTAAAGAGTAATAATAATTCCTTATAATACCAGAATAAAATCTAGACTAAAGAGAGATACTTATATACTTTTTTGTTGATTAGTCAAAAATGCTAAAAATTCCTTTTTTTATTTAAGAATAATGATTTGAATTTACATCCTGAATTTTTCTTACTCAATCCAAAAGAATAGATCTTAATTTTTAATAATTAGATTCTTAACTATCCTTTAAAAAAAGAAACTTTATAACTTTATAAAATCTATTATAAGAATAGTGATGATGCTTTTTTTTAAGAATAATGAATAAATTCGTCCCTTGTGTCATGAACAATGATTTGAGTGTTAAAAGTGCGACCCAATTAAAGAGAAGCCAATTAAGAGTTGTGCCACCTTTAATGAGTTGTGACTTGAGCCACCAAACCATAAGAGTACATTTATTGATAATGCTTGTTGACCCTCCATTTGTATCCAATGAATAATTAAAATTCATGGAAAATTGGTCCCTTCCCATAAATTTTATGGTTGCCTTAGAATGTGTATATGTGAAATTAAAAGTCCCTTCAACACAATGATGTGTTTGATATATAAATACCTTGAAAGTTGATCAAGAAGAGATACTATAGAGTCGACAATTGACATATGCCAACTAAGATTAGACAATAAGAAAATATAATAACAGAGAAAGACATAATAGATGAATATTTGGATATTTTGAACTAATTAAAGAAGAACTTTAGAAACGGAATTCAGAGTAGAAGAGATCTAAGAATTAGAATAAGAGAATTAGAAAAAAAAGAATAAAATAATAGCAATTTATGCTTACAGGTAAATATTTATTAATAGGTATTAATGAAATAAGAATGGAATGAAATGACACAACAGAATTGATTCAGAAACTTAGACCACAAAGTGGAAAGAGATATTTGGATCAAGTTTGGATGTGAATTTTAGACATTTGTATATATTATTTAAATAAAAACAAACAAAAATATCAATTTTCTTGATCATCTTTGAGTTAACCCTTTTTTTTATTACTATTATTTTTAGCTGGAGTAGCAACTTACCATTCAGGATATGAGGAATCTCTATCATGATGTAAATATCTAAAATCTAACATAATATTTTACATCCATATTTTTTTTTCTTAATCATATTTAACACATGGATCAGTAGATTAATGTAATCTATCTAATGCTCCTGAAATAATAGAACTCATTTTCTCTTCTGGTAAATTTTCATTAATGTATTAAGAATCTCTTACTAAATTAACAATATCAGCTCTAGTTCCAAATCCTTTAGGCAATCTAGCTGAAGCATCTCTTACAAGTGATAATATTGTAACATATGTAGGTCTTTCATTCTTTAATAATTCATGTTATCTTGGTTTCTAACTTGATCCAGATATTAATTTCTTAGCCACTGGTGCTACTGTTACTTTAGAACCATCTATACATGTGAATGTATATGGTTAAAGTGGATTTTAATATCTTTCTCTTTCCTATTTCCAATAAAATTCTAACCATTCTCTATTAGTTTAACCATTTGGAATATTAGACTCTTAAACATTTTAAGTTTAATTTTTATTTTATTATTTTATTGATTTTTTTGCTTACATCAATGCTAAAGTCATTGCTGTTGTAGCCATTGATGTAGATGTTAAAGGTGGTAATGGTGTTATCGGAGTTATTATAAATAATGATTATGCAGATGGTATAAATTATTATTAAATCTAAGGTTGAGGCTATAATGAATATTATTGCATATTTGCTGATGATTATGATTATGATGTTTATGTTGAAAATCCTTCCTCATCTTATTCTTCATTATCATCTAACTTTATTTATTTACTTATTTCATAATCCTCAGATATTGATGATGGAGATCTCTAAAATAATATTCTTTTCTTTCTCTAAACTACATTCTAAATTCTATTCCCTTCTCTATGAAAATTATCATATAAATTTGAATAATATTCATTCAAATGATTTCTAGATATCTTCTATTCCAATTTATCACATATTTCTTTATTTCTTGTAAAATATCCACTTTTCATTTTCATCAGAAAAATATTTAATGGACTTCCAAAATGAAAATTTTTATTTCCCTCTATCACTTCCTAAAATAATCTCAAATCAGCTTCAGGTAACAAACAACATAATGAATCTATCTCTTATTTTGTGAAATTCTCTATTGAAAATACCTATTCTAATATATTTATTTACATCCTCTAAAGAAGATAATCCCATTATACTTAAAGGTAAAATGTATTATTGACCTTTGTAATACAGTATTATCTTATCTCCTTAAAATACTAGAATCAAATTTATATTATATTTACTCACTTTATTCTTCATCTTCTCCTTCATCGCTTGTAAATTACTTAAAATTATCATAAAGCATTTCTAACTTAATTATCCTAACTATTACATTATTCTACAAACTATTCCAAGTTTTTCTTATTTATTTAAAAAGTCTTTTGATAATGATCAACACGCGAATTCATTATTAAATTTAGAAAATAAAAATAAGTTCTTATAAAATCAAATTTAGGGTTCCAATAACTTCTATACTTCTTTAATTACAGAGATTATATCTATAATCCTGATTGGTTTTGATACAAAAGCATCAAATCCTTTCTATTAACATTTCTCTTTTTCTTTCAAATCATCATATCCACTCAATGCAATAATATAGCTTTTTGGAACGAGATTATTATTTTCCTACAATTTATAAATCTCTAATAATACCAAAATACGAATCTATTCTGTAGCTTCATATCCATTCATTATTGGCATTGTCAAATCCATAAATATATACTAATATCTTCGATGATTCATTAAACCCATCTTTATCTTCTAAATTGCTTATTCTCCATTATAAGCTTCTTCAACTGTTATATAATCATATTTTCTTAAAATCAATCTAAATGCAATCACATTCACAGGTGAATCATCCACTATTAATATTATACATGGTTCTGGGAATAACATTCTCATCATATCATCTATCGATTCTGTTATCTACATTGGTTTACATTATCTATTTTAATTAACAGGGGATTCTGTACTATCAATATGATATAAAGGTGTATTTATTTGACTATTATTATCAAGTTATTTATTAGTTTTTTATATTTATTTAGCATGGGTTATTTCACTACTCAATTCTAAATATTATTCAATATTTTTTGATTTTGAATGATCTGAATCTTCAACACTACACAAATTGCATAGATTACCTATATTAATCTAATCTCGTTTTATTAAAGATTTCTTTTATGTTTTCTTTCTTTAAACTTTTCTTAACTAATAAATTGAATTACATGATTTTTTATCTTAGATTTCTTGAAGAGTTGATATGTCTTTTTTATTTAATTTTTTAACGTTCTTTTAGTTTTACATTTAAGATGCTAAAACTGATTAATTAAAAATTGTGATTTGAGATGTTAATAATTAATTTGCAGAATTTTAATCAAATGATGTCTATTTAGTTTCTTACTTATAAAAATTAGTCATCTCTTTTGAATTATTAATAGTTGTTAAATTTCTTTAATCATTATTAATAAAAACATCAAAACTAAATTTAGATCCAATACCAACTTGACTTATTAGTTCAATATTATCAGTTGGTCCTAATAATCCAACTAATTTCTTACAAATAACTAAACCCAATCCAATTCCATGTTTATTTGAACCATTATTAGTAAAATCAAATGTACCATACATTTAAAATAATTTAGGTTTAATATTATCAGGAATTCCTACTCCAGTGTCTGAAACACTTATATTAATAAGTTTAACTTATTAATTATGAATTTCACTATTTTTATAATCAACAACAATATCAATTTTACCCTTTTCTGTAAATTTTAAAGAATTACTTAAAAGATTCAATAAAATTTATTTAATTCGATTAGGATCTGAATACATCAATCTATCTCCAAAAGTTATATTTTTTTATACAATAATCCCCTTTTAATTTGCTTACAAAGAAACAAGATCAATAATCTCTTATACAATTGCTTAGATATAAAAAGTTGTGTTGGTTAATCTCAAAGAGTTCTTTTGAATTCTTGAAAAATCAAGTATATCACTTATCATATATAGTAACAATTATGCCCATTTTTTTAGTATAATTAAATAGTTAATTTCCATTTAATTAACAACTACTCTAAAGAAATTATAAATATAAATACTATTCCAAATATTAAACAATTGCCACTATTCCATTTATGGGAGTCTTGAAATCATGTGATACACTTACTAAGAGATCATCTTTATATTAATCTCTCAATTTTAATTCTTCAATTTATTATTACTGTTATTTTTCTGATTGTGATTAAAAAATTAGCATTATCGCTGGTTACTAATCCCAAATGACTTCAAGTACATCAATATCAGTTGGAAAATAATTTTTAATTTATTCTTTTTCTTATAGAGTTGGTGAAAATATTTCAAGAGTACAATGTTCTAATCGCTTTTTACTATGATATTAATATTATCTATTTTTTTTAAACTTTTATTTATTTAAATAAGTCGCCAAGCATTCTTTATTCGATTTTGAAGTAATGTTTTTGATAATTTAAGGCGTAAGTCCATAATAATCTATTTTAAATTAATTTGTCATAAACTTGTATTCTAACTTTATATTCATTACATACTTTCATCTTGAATTATACAAAGTGATACAGGAAGGGATTCTTAAAAAAAATCAAAAATCTATCCAATCTAATGTTTTTCTATATTCGATGTTTTATGCTTTAAATATAGAGCTTTTTTATAAATTCAAATAATTACTTCTCATAACCAAAATAAAATATCCAAATATTGTTAGAAATGACAATGGTTATGAATAAATATGAGTTCTAAAAAGGAAGTAAAAAAGAGAAAACAAAAAGTATATTACTTTTGAACTATCAAGTAATATGAAAGCACTCAACAATAATCTCATACTTAGATAATATCCTTATATCTAATTTAAAAAATTGATTTTACTTCTTTATCCATATTTAATAATTCATTTGACAGACATATGCTTCCTATAAGCAATATTAATAATATTTTCTATCCAAAACAACCAAATATTAATAGAAAATCTATTAGTAAATAGTAATTATCTGATTATTGAGTAACTCCATTATAAATTGCTAGTATAATGGATTATAAAATCAATGTGGCAATAATAATTATCATATATTTAATTAAATATTTATATATAATTATTATTTCTAATCAAGAACATTCTCATATCAACTAATAAAACATCAATTAAACTTATAAAATATGTAAAAATAGATCAAAAATAATACTTGCCAAGTATTTTTTTTAGTTGTAAAGTATTTATAGGTTTTGGCAAAATATCTTTCATCCCTGATTTATAAGCTATATCAATATTTTCTTTACTATCGAAAGCACTACACATAATAATAAATGAAGTAATATTTTTTTGTTGTAAAAATAATGAAATCTCTTTACTACATTGATAACCATCAATTCCAGGCATATCAATATCCATAAAAATTAATTTATATCCACATTAACAATTGTCATACTTTCTCTTAACCATGTCAATAGCCATATTTCCATCATAAGCACTATCACATTTTATATTAAAATATTTTAAAACTGTGGTAAAAGCTAAATGATTAAAAGGGATGTCATCTACTATAAGAACTAAACTACAATTACATTTCTTTTTAGTTTTACTTTAATAGGGGATTTAAATAAATTCATCAGTTGGAATAGTCAGAATCTCTTCTTATGTAATCAAATCTTATACATAAAAACGACTCTTTGTAAATTGATTTAATGAACTTGTTATAATTAACTCACCTTTTTAACATAACTTAAATGCAATTTAACTTGAAACCTTCAATCCTAGACCAACATATTATATATAATCTTCATCTCCTCTTTTTAATATGTCAGTTTCATGATTCTAAAGGATTTTATTTATAAGATAGAGCTTTTCAACTGATATTCCACAACCTGTATCAAATACTTCAAATGAATATATAGAACCCATTCTATTTATGTTAAATTATATTAAACCATTTTATTTAGTAAATTTAACTGAATTATTTAATAAATTAACCAAAATTTAGACTATTCTATCAAAATCATTATTTATTAAACTATCATCACAAGTTTAAATAACAAAATGTATTTATTTTTATTAACATTCATCCTTAAAATAATAATCTATTGTATTAATTAATGTTGATATTTTAAATTAAGTTGGTCTCAATTCAAATGTTGAAGCTTCAAAAGTTGCATAATCAAGAATATCATTAATCTAGTGTAATAATTTTCTGTTCGAAATTATTGCAGGTTTTAAGTATTTTTATTCAATTTCATTATGCTATAATATTTCATTAGATCTTAACTCCTATTCTAAAATTTATAAAAGAGATAATGAGCAATTTAACGGTGTTTTTAATTCATGAGAAAATGAGTTTATTAACATAGATTAGAAATGAAATCTTTCACGAATTTCTGATTGTTTTTCTTTTTTTGAAATATTTTACATACAAATCAGACTACCTTAAGAAATCTCATATATTTTAATTTCATATATCTTATTAGTAATTGAATCTTTATATTTAAGAGAGTTTTACTTATCTGATACTCCCTTTATTGTTTTGTGTTTATTTATTATTTAAGTTACATCTATCAAATTACTAAACTATCTCTATTAAGAAATAGCTTTCTTTCTTGTTTAACTGAAAGATTATAATCTTCTCATTTAAAATTCTGAGGCTTGATCTTCAGATGAATTAAAAATAGATTTTTTATCTAATTATTATAAGCAAGCCCTTGTTTTTAAGATAAATTTTACTTTTAGATCATCATAAATAATTAAGATTGTAAATTTTCTTCTTTTATGTTAGAACAATATTTTTTAGCTTTTTAATTAGAATTAGTTATGTTTTATTTATCATCTAAAATGCATATACCAAAAGGTAAAAAATTAAAGAGATCAAAAATATCCTACTAATCACTTTAAGAGTTAATATTAATATATGATAATTTCCTTTCAGATGTGATTTAATTTTTACTGTTAAGTAATTTACTCTCCTAAAAATAAATAATATAATACATGAGAATAAATATAGAATATAAATGAGATAAACAAAACTCCTAAATAAACCCAATCTATTATTTAAAAAACTTGGAAATAAATAAAACCTACTCTACAGCAATAAAAGACCAGTATTACGATCTTAAACTTGATTTTAAAATATATTGTGGCTATAATTGGAGGTGAAAATATGTAATCAAAGAAACATAATTCTAAGAGAAATATAATTCTGAAATATTTCCAAATTGAATGCAGATTCTTTTTTAGCAATAAGATTAATGTAATTAAATTAGCAGCTGATATTATTATTAGATAAATATCTTGAGAGAAACTTGCAGTAATAAGATGTTTAAGAGCAAATAAAATTTGTATTCCTCTTTTACTTTTATATTTAATCATAATATTTAAATAATTAATAGCGTAATAAGGAATTTCAACTAAAATAGCAACATTAAAATAAAAATTAAATAATAAAAAAGAAATAATGATATCAAATGATAATAAATCTTTTAAAGATAAAAATACTGATAATGTGTGAATATCAAAATCATTGTGGTGTTTGTTAGAATTAAAATTATTATTCATCAGACATTTATATTCTTTTAAATTATTGGGCTGCTTAAATAATGATATGTCATTACATGAAAGCATTCTTCCTGTAGATCTACTTTCAAGGGATTTTCTAGCTAAATCATTATAATCTTAATTGAGTTCTAAAATAAATAATTAAACATAACTTGTTCTCTTTAGAATAATTTATTTGTAAATTTCATTCTTTTCATTTCCTGGTTACCAATAATTTTTATTATAAATTGAAGAAGCTGATTACAATCGAGAGAGAAACTTTTAATTTTCTTCATTAATTTTGTATTTCTCAAATTTTCGTTAATTAAGATTGCTGACATGTGATAAAGATAAAGGCAACTATCCAGAACTTTAACTTCTTAAATTATGTCTCTAAATATCCATCATTTTAGATAACAATATGTTATTTTAATGCATTATTTTATTCTCCTCCTCTTTATTAATTTTTATATATTAAATTACAATGAGTATATTTGTTATTAACTTTGGATAATGAATGAGAAGGTTTCCATGGTTCACCATTATTGATTGTTTTTCTCATGTTTTTACAATTTAATAGTAATCTCTCTTAATCAGAAACTAGTTTCTTTTTCTAACAAATTGGATTAATTGAGATTATATTCCACATTATAATTATTAAAATAATAACAATATATTGATATAAATCATGAAATTTACACATTCATATAATTTTTATTTTTTTTCTTCATGTTTTCTATTGAAAATCTCCATCTTCTACACATAATAATGCTGAATGATAAAAAAATAATGAAAATTATAAATCCTGAAATTAAAACTACTTCAATAAGTAATTATGATTAAAAATCTAAAAATTCTTCGTTAATTGACAGACTCATAAAATGTTATTCTTAACAAACAATAAATGGATTATTTTCTGCATTTTTACACTATGTTTAATTAATCATAATGATATAACTTTATTCAATCTAATTTTCAGAAAAACAATATATTTCTGGATATCTTTCTCTAATACTTAATCCATATAAATAATGAGGAGATATTCCTAATGAGAAATGTACTTTTGAGTATGAATCTTCATATATAATACCTTTATATTCTTAGATTCTTTCTAATAAAGGTATCATAATATCTGTTCCATGATAAAAATTATCGTCAACAAATCCACGATATATGTTTGTTCTCACTAATTTATGTACATCATAACCAATCAAAAATTAATATTCTCCTGATTCTTACACATCTTTTAATTACATATCTTCTAAATAGAATTTGTTATAATAATATTCATAGTTTGCAAAGTTTATCAAAATTTCAATTCCAAATCTAACATTATCTTCATTCTGAGAAACAACTAAAAATGAATTATTATTGTAAACAAAGGAAATTGGATATTCTATTGGAATGAAAAACTCTAATATATTAATTAATTTTATTACTATCAATTATAAAATTATCTTCTTTCAAAGATACAAAATGAATTCCTTTTTTATCATCTAAAATAAACAGATTATTTTCTTTAGTTTAAACTTTTATAAGATTATAATCCAAATTAATAGTGTAAACTTTTTTAATCTCTTCATTTTCAAACTTATAAACAATTACTCCCTAAATACCAGCAACAACAAAAATTCTATTAGAAAATTCATCATAATGGATTTGATTAATATTTTTCACTGTATCAAATTAATATTTTGTTATATTAGGAAGAGTATTATTTACCCATTATTTTGAATTAAAGCTTAAAACTCCATTCTCTGATATTATGAATAATTATTCTTTAATTTTTAAAAACTTTGGTTTCCTGTATTAATTAACTTTTAAGTCCCCAGAGATATCTAAATGTTACTATTAAATATGGATTGTCTAAAAAAAATACTGAAATTTGTTATACTTTCAATTATTTCCCTTCAAATAACACTTCTGTTTTAAAAATCTTATTATCATTTCTTAATAAGAAAGCTGATAATCCAACAACAGCCAAATCAGTAAAAATATACTTACCATCATCAGGAAGTTGAACTTGTATTTAATCTTCGACTTTTATTTTCCTTTCAAAATATGAGCATCCTTTTCCTAATAATTAAGTATTATTTATCTTTTCATAATCAGTCAAATTTTTTGAATTACTGATCCCTTATTGGTAATACACATCTATATCATATGCATTAGGATATTTTAAACGATATTAATTATCAGTGTTAATGGATACAGATGAATCAGATTTATTAAAATTGTCGATTTTTATTTATGGGGTTCTTGTCCAGTTAGAATAAGTTATTCCTAGTAGTGTAGATAAAATTAATTATGAAAACATTTTTATAAAAATAAATAAAAGAATTTTTAATATGAATATTTGTGATTTATTGCCCTAGTTTAAATTTTATGTAAAAAGAGAGCTTTTAAAATATATAAAAGTTGTCATTTATCAATTCTGGAAGTTTTTAAATCATTCATTTATATTTTTAATTTTTGAAAGGATGCTTATTTACATGACTTATTTATCTCTTTAAAATGTAATTAACGACCAATCAAGTGGTTAAGAAGCTTATTCAATTTTGATTTTTTAATTTTTTATCTTATTCACTGTTTTAGGTACAGTTTTTACTTTATTTTATATAGGTTACTCATTCTATATTTTGCTTATTGATTATTTAACTAATATTTTTCTAATAAAAATAAGATTATTTGAATTATTGAAATAATTTATTTTCTGAAATCTAACACTACTCTAATTAATTTTATAGCTTATAATTTTTGTTTTTCACAATTTGGAGAATACAGAATAAAGTATACAAAAAGTAGGGATAGTTTATCATTAATAATAATTATGCTCTTATTTTTATATTTATCTTTTTTTATTTCCTTTTTGTAATCATATATAAATGTACTATATAATTTGTAATAACTCATTCTTAATCATTTTCTTCTTACTATTATTTTTAATTATTTGGATTAAATTACGATTTATCTCCGAATGTTCTTTTAAATTTATGATCAACTGCCCATGCCTCATTTAAATATTGTGGTTTCATCTCATCTAATTTTAAATATCAATTCATACTTAAAAAATTATCTCTCCAATAAACCAAAAATTCCTCTATTTCTTCTTCTGTTTTTAATTAATCTACAACTTGTTTACCATAATCTGAATTATCCTCACTCTTATTGAATAATTCTTCATTTTAATTCAAATATTCAATAAAAATTTAAAATTATTCATCATTGATACTTATTAAATTTTCTTCATATTTCAAATTATTCAAATCAAATTTATTTATTTAATTGAATTATTCTTAATTTTTTATATTTTCTACTTGTTTAGTAAATTAAATCTAAAATTTTTAAAAGGCTTCTTTTGGTAGATTTTTGTTTTTCTTATTAAAAGCTTATACAGACTTAATTAAATTCTTAACTTATTCTGGTAATGAATCTTTTTTATTTTATTTTAAATTTATATTATATTTTTCTGCTATCAAAACTTTTAATTTATCTGATTAAGCACTTGCCTTATGATGACATGTTAAACACAAACAAACAATATCATAAGATCTCTTTCCTTGAATATGCTTTTTATAAACAACTGGAACAATCTAGAAATAATTATACATTTACATGAAATTTAAGAAGTTCATTTTCTTTTCCACATATTACACATTAATTTACTCTCTCTATTGTTATATATTATGGTTTATCTGAACCTTCCTCTTTGAATCCACTTGGATCAAATTTTAATTATATAGTCGGAGGATCTTCGCTTATTAAATCTGCTAATCCTTATTTCAAATACCATTTAATTTTCTTTTCATCACAATTGCACAAAAAGAAATTTTCTTTTGTATAAATTTTACAATTTCCATATGCTGGCTTTTTTCTTGTATATTTTTCAACAAATTCTGTTTATTTTTATTTTTTTTCTTCAATTTTCTAATTTGTTTATTGATTCTTATTATCTGTTACTTACATTGCTTCATAGATTGATGTTAATCCAAATTTGATAAAATTAGTATCATATATAAAGCTCTAATAAAGTCCTTTGCAAAATGATTTAAAATATATTTCCCAATCTTAATCAATTTATTTTGAGATATATTCTAATGTAATTTAATATTATTAATTTTTGTAATTTAAAAAATCAGGATAAGTCATCTTATAAATTGAAATATTGGATATATTTAATCTTTAATAAATGTGAATAGAAATTAAAAGGACTTTTTCATTCTCTTCTAAACATTCAACTGGATCATTATGATTAAGTGCATATTCCTATCTTACTTTCATAATTTCTAATGCAATAAATTTAACCAATTACTAAGCAATAGGTTGAGATTATAAGAATTAATATATTGGAGATTTATCATCATATTCAGTTACTACTTACATCAATAAGTTAAATTCTTTTGAAATAATTTTAGCTAGTTCTTAATTTGATAAAATAGGTTTTTTATATTCTTTAAGAACAACTTAATCAAATTTACGTTTAATTTTAACTTGCTCTTTGATATCAAGTTTACTTAATTCTTAAAGTAATACATATCTTAAATATGGTAAATAATAACAATCATATGCAGCATAAATTAATTATTCTTAAGTTAAAGGTCTTTCAGCCCAATCTGAAGTCTACATATTAGTTTTATAAGATTTGGAAACTTAATGATCGCAATATAATTTCCATAAATAAATCAAAGCGCTTCCTCCTTCTATAATAGATATCATTACGAATCATACTTAGTTTGCATTTATCAGCAATTTCTTTGATATCACAAAAATTTTAAATAGTAATTGAAAAGTCTCTTTTCAACCATTAAACATCAGTATTTCCTGCATAAAATACTTTTATTATTTTTTCATCTTCAAAAATGAACTTTAAAAGTTTGATTAATTTTTGATTCTCTAATCCAATTTCAATAACATCAATTATGTAAACATCTTCTTCATCCTTAATTTAAACAATACTGATCTATCCATCAAATCCAATATCATTTGTATGTTCAATATCAACTCCAATAACATTACCTTTTAATTAAAATTAATCTAATTCATTTTCTTTAGAAATATATTTAAACAATTTTGATAAATGCTATTTTTACTATATTTTAAAATTTGAAATCACTTCTTCAAATGTATTACCTTAGACTGAATATAATTTTTAAAGAATTTCAATATTATCTAATTATTCTTACATAAATTAAATTATTTATTATTTAATATCATTATTATAATTATTAATTTTCTTATAATTAATCCTAATTTTCTTGTTCTGCTTATCTAGCTGCTTCTTCTTCAGCCAATCTTTAATCTTCAATTTCTTTAAGTCGCCTTTCTTCTTCCTATCTTTTTTTTTCTTCCTTCTCTCTTTTTTTTCTTGCTATTTCTTCATATTTATCATTAATCTATTATTGTCTTCTTTTTAATGAATTTGAATGTTCAATTGTAATAATTTCTTCAATATTATTTAACATATCTTAATAATGTTAATGATTATTTACTATTAAAATTGGAACCATTATCATTTTCATCAACTAACTAACTTAAAACGTTTTCATAAACCCATGGTATATATTCATAAAATAATGCAGTTTCTAATGGGTCTCTAAAAACACCTAAATCTTTTAATTTCGTAAAAGTATTTAATTTAAGAGGATTAATTAGTGATTTTGATAAATCTCTGCAAACTATTTTTTAATGACTTTGCTTTTAGATTTTTAGATAAGTCTCATATTATAATTTTCTTCTTGCATCCTCTTAATCTAATCTTTATTAAACAGCCTCTAATCTTTGCATTTCTGATAAAACGCTAGTCTTTTATCTTTCATGCTGTTTCTATTATTCTTTCATTAATTTAATTTCTTCTTCTTCTAATACTTCCATTCTTGATTGTTCTAATATTTTATTCATTAAAACTTGTAAAATAGGTTCTACTTCTTGATCAAAATCAAATAGATCTCCTTCCCAAATTTAAGTTTCCTATAATTTTGAATAATTAATACTTTATCAATTCCATTTTTTTTTGGTACAAATAATCTATCAGGTGGTTTATCAATATAATAATCAGTTTAAGCATCCATTTCTTATTCAGGAGGTTTATCAGTCAAAATTTCTAAATATTCATCTGTTTAAATATCTATATTAACACGATTTTAAAAAGGTCTTGGAGTACTAGGATGTAAATATGTAGTTTATGGTTATTATGTCTAAACTGATAATTTTAATATGTAACTGCTTTTTATTATGGTTTTTTGAATGATTTAAGTGTCATTAATTTTTTATCTCCTTAAGTTTAGACACTTGCATATGTATTACCTCTAACAACTCTTTTATCAAACATAATATTGCATCCTAATAATGAACTAAATATAATTATAATTTACCAACCTATTTTTTTAATCATCAGATTATTATAATGGCTATTATCTATATTTAGTTTTGGGTTTAACTACTTCAGGAGCAGCTTTGAATTCATAATTCTCTCCAGCTATTGCTTATGCCATTAAAATTATTAAATTATATAAATATGTATATTTATATATTATGAACATTAAATAAAACAATTCTCACAAATCATTCAATTTTTGAATTCTTTGCTGCTACTTAAATTGCTTATATCATATGATTCCAAAATTCATTAACAATTACTTTTCTTGCATATTATATTGTTGGTTCTAGACCATAAACTCCCTTTTTATCAATAACAGTTCTTCCGTAACATAATTTAGATTCACAATCAACTGCACAATAAACTGGTTTTAGTATATACATCTCAGGATGTAGTGCATAAAATACAGCAACAGCTATAAAATAATAAAATATAATATTTACGATCATGAATAGGAGGATAATCAAATTCTTGTGCTTTATAAGCTGCTTAATATTCTTTAAGCATTTCTAAACACCAATCTGAAAATTTAGTATTAATATTTTTAATTCTTTATTAGAGAGGTTCAAGTAATTAACATGTCTAATTTAAAATAATTATAAAAAATATTACGTAAGTTAAATCTAATGAAATCATTACTAATTTAAGTTTATGTTATTTGCATGTATCAATTATAAACTAAGCAGCTTCAGGATCTGAATAGATATTGTATTCTGAGTTTGGAGTAACATTTCCAAATCCTGATGTTCCACCCATAAAAACAATCTCTTTAATTTAAGAAATTATGTCTTCATGATCTCTCAATAATTTAGCAATATTTGTCTATGGACCAGTTATGACTATTACAAACTAATTTATTCATATCTTAATACCTGTTTATCTTCAGCAGTCTTTTTTATCAAATCATATAAATCTCCTTCAGTTATAGGTTCAAAAGAAGAAATCAACTTATCTGTTGAATACAATCCTTAAAATGATTTATCTAATTCATATACCTTAATTTCCATGCATTTTAGTGGTGGCTCTTGTAGATTTTAATGAAAACTCTGCTCCTTTATAAACTGGTACATCTGTTCTTCCTACAGTACTAAGCAATCTAATTGTATTATTTGTACAGTTCTCAAGACTACTTTTACACTCTCACTATTACCTTGTGTTTCCAAAACATGTAGAAATTCCAAGTAGATTTGACTTTGGATGAAACAATGATAAAAGAACTGCCATAGCATCATCATTTCCAACATCACAGTCTAACCATATATTTACTTTTTCTGTTTCCATAAATATCGTACAATTAAAAATATTTAAATAATCACTCATCACCTAAATTAAAACCTGTTTTATATTATTAAATTTCATTTTCTATATTACAATCCACCAAATCTTTTTTGTTCAACTCATTATTTACAGCTACCTTCATAAAATCATTTATCTAATTGATGCTTGCTTTTTTCTATTGGTAGGCTATCTCACAATTCTATAACTTTTTATTTTTCACTACTATTTTCTTTTTTTACCTTAATTCCTTTTACATACTTAATTATGTTTATTAATAATTACCATCATTTTATATTTATAATTCTCAAGTAACAACATATCTCAATTCTATATTTAATTCCATATCATCATTTACAAGTTATTCATTTTTTTACCATTACTTATTTATATTTTATATTATCCTCATATTAAACTTTTTTTTAAAAATTTATAAAGCTATTATAATTATTGAATTTCCATTTATTATACATTCTTCCTCTTCCTTGTATTCCTACTCTATTCATTATTCTAACATTTTTTCTTATTTCATTAACTACCAAATAACTTTCAAATCTTTTGTTATTCAAGAAAGTAATCTCTTTAATCAGTTGAAGTATTAAGTCTCTCTATTAACTCTAAAATTTTGATTATTTGCTTCTAATAATCTTTTACTTTCTTTCTTCATTTACTCTCAAGAAATTTTTATCATAAAATCATGAATTAATCTTAAAATTATACAACTATGCCATTAATTAAAACTTAATAAAATATCAACAGAAAAATATAAAATTGTGTTTTTAAATTTTTAAGCTCTGATCAATTTTACAAAGTCTTTTTATTTATCACTTATAAACGATTATTTAAAGTTTTGAACAACAGAATTTTGATAATGTTGTTAGCGTTAAAAAGAATTTATGTATTTTTTCAAATAAATTGATTCAAAAATTTTCTAAAAAGCTTGTATATATTTATTATCAAAAAGTTTTTTAATTTTATATAATGTCTAATTATATAATTTATACTGCTATTGATTACTCTAAGTATTTCTTATATAATAATTAAAATAATTTTTCTTAAGAAAAACATAAAATTTAGGTATTTTTTAATAGGAATTGATATAATTTATTATTGTATCACTTTTCATGCAATTAAATTAAGAATTCCTATAAAAGTTTATCTAAATTAGCAACAATTCCTTTCTCACAATGCCATTTAAAATTTGATGGATTTTCTTTAGTTCCTACAAAAAGTTTTGAAGGTTTGCAATTCAAATGTAACTAAAGACAATAGTAATCATAAGAATTTAAATCACAAATTTGTTTTAATTCTTTATCATTTAATTTATCAGCAATTTATTCGATATGTCCACTTCCTATTCCTGAAGATATTCCTTATACAATAGATTTCAATTTTCTATCATCTGTGTTGTCAACAGCAAATATATATTTTTTATCTGGAACAGTTTCGGAAACATATATAATCATAGATATCAAATCTTTAATATGAATAGTTGGAACTAAATTCTTACCGTCTCCTTAATAATATAATTTAGTTTGTTATTATAAATAAGCTGCCTTTATAATTAGAATTTTATACTTTTAAATATTTATAAAACAAATCTTCTTTTCTTCCATAAATTAGGCCTGCACTAATAATTATTACTTTTAAATTCTCATTTTTATTACTCAAAAATAAATCTTCCCAATCTTATAAATCCTCTTCTTTCTAAGATGAACATCTTGATTTATAATCATTTTCGTCCCAAAATATATCTTAAAAAAATGTTTAATTTTGTTAATAATCAAGTTAAAGAAGTTCTGTTTAATCTTTAATTTAATTATTTTACTAAGTTTTATTTTACTTATCAGGAGTTGCCTGCCATGATAATAGTGATGAAACAACTATTAATACCTTAGATTAATTTAATTATACCTTCTAATTTTATTTTTGATTTTATAAATAATCATACATAAAATCAAGTTCTGCTTAGGTTGATTATTAAATCTGATAAACAAAAACATCACATTCATTTATAATATCTTTTCTAATTTATTATAAATAAGAATTGATACAGATCCCAAAAATTTTGTATTATCTTAAAATTTTTAAACTTTTTTTATTGGTTTAAATTTGCAGATCCAAAATGAAAACTTTCTCTTTAATCTAAATTAGATAATTAAGAATAAAATTCATGCCCAAAAGGTGTATCAAGATTATTTATGAAATATTTCTTATACATTAAATATATTATGAGATTTGGAAAAATAATAATTTTATAATCATTTCGAGATCCTTTTACCTTTAATTGCAAAATGATGATTCTGAGTTTTTTTTAGTTTTTTAGATTTAAATTATGTGGTCCTTTTATTTTTCTGTTATTATAAGGAATTTAAACTATTGATATAATCAATTTCATCAATTTGAATGATATTAAATTGATCTATATTTTCCTCTTAAGAAACACTAGAAATTTAGATTTTTGGTTATTCTTATTGTTAAATACTTTTTTTTTGAGTTGATTTGTAAATAATGGGTTCAGAAATTATTTGATCATGTAAATCATAAAGAAATAATAATTCTTCTCCTTATTTTTTATTCTTTTTTAAATTATTAACAATTTCAGTCATTTCCTCAATATCCTCAGAAATTCTCATTCTTTTGAATTCAAAACAAACTGATTCTTCATTTTATTTTAATTCCTCATAGTATTAGAAGTATTGTTCCTCATAGTCTTCCCCTTCCTTAATCTCTTTATCAGGCCTTTTTCTTGCACCAATTTTCATTATATTTCTACAAGAAAACATTATTGAAACAAATATTTAAAATTTTTCATATTGATTTAAGTTTAAATAACTAATTTAATAGAATAAGAGATTAATATCTTATAATTGTTTTTTTAATAAATTTTATTCTTTTCACTCCATTGTTTATTAAATTATAAATAATATGAATATTTTATTTGAAAAACTAGTTTCAATAAAAAAAACAAGAAATTAATAAAAAATATACAAATAACTTAGTAAATAATATAAAACCAGAAGATTTATAATAAAAGAAATTTATCAAACAGAGAAAAAATATGTAGAAGACTTAAAGTTGATTTATGAATTGATTGTCGAAAAATATATAAATTCATATGGAATTGAAGAGTCGAAAAAATTGTTTTCAAATATTAAAGAGATTATAGAAGTTAATGAATGGTTTTTAGACAAATTAAGGTTTAGAATTGAATCAGAAAATCTAAAATACTAGAGAAGATATAAATTATAATATGAATTATAGGATTATTATGGACATGAAAATAGCAAATTATTTTTTTTTAAAAATGAACAATCAATATTGACTTAATTTGAATGTTATTTTAAATATTGTGAGAGATATAATACAAATAAACAATAAAGAAGTAAATTAAAAGAAGAGAATGAATATTTTAAATAATTGATAATTGAAGCTGAAAGAAATCCTTAAATGAAATCTAATTAAATAGAAGATTATTTTATAAAACCAATTCAAAGATTACCTAAATATATTTTGCTTTTTAAAGATCTAAAAAAAAATACTCCAAATAAATAAAGTAGTTCTAAATTCTAGTGTAATAAAGATTTTGAGCATCCTGATTATAATAATATATGTTTATTACTCAGTGAATTTGAAAAGATTAACGATTAAAATAATGAAAAAATAGGTGAATTTTAAAATATATAAAAAATGGTTGATATACAGAAGTAATATGGAAGTGAAAAATTAATTATACATGATAACAGAAGACTATTTGTTTTTGAGGAAAACCTTGAATTTTATGTAAATTCTTCTTCAAGAAAAAATATTTCTTTATTATGTTTTAGTGATGCCATCTTATTAATTGAAGTTGATTATTCAGCTGTATTCGGTGCTAAATAAAAATGTATAGCCATGAGTGAATTCTCTCTTGCATCTGAATTTAATACAATTGATTCCAAATAAGGTTTGTTATTTAAAGTAACAACCAAATAAAGAGTATTTATTTTTATTGCAAATGATATCTAATAATTATAGAAGATTGAAAGATTATTAAGAGAAACATTTGATAAATTCATTTAAGACAAAAAAAGTATGCTTGATGAAAAAGGAGGCAATAATGAGAATAATTGGGATTAAGCATAAATATTAGTACGTATTGAAGGAACTGAGGAATATAATCTAGCTTCTCTTCAAAATTATACAGTATATATAATAAAAATATAATTACAAAATATATAATGGAAAATATATTTGAGATATTCAGAGATACTTAAAATTTATAAATACATCATAAAGCGTGATTCTAATTCTAATGTATCAAAATTATAATCTAGTAATTGGTTATAAATCCATAATAATAAATATTTAGATTCCCTTAAAATTAATATTGAAGCTTTTATTTAAAGTATATTTTAATGGAAAATATTTGAGAAGTATAAATCAAAAATACTTACAAAATTAGGTATTCCTACAAACTTTAATATATTATCAAAATTTATGGGAGATGATAATGATTTAAAGATTTCAAGAAATCAATCAGTAATATCTGAAAGTCAAGATTCTATTGAATTTTTAGCTGAAAAACTAAATCAATAATTTTTAGAAGAGTTAAAAATTTCACATTTATTAAAATCTTATATTAGTAAATCCGATGACAAAATTATCTCTTTTAATATTAAATTGATATTACCTGGATGTATAATAGTAAAAGAGGAAGTTATCAAAGATCCAAACAGCAAAGTTGTAAGTTGGATTATTAACAGTAAAACTAAATAAGGAGAAATTGTTATAAAAATAGATAATCTAACAAAAGCAATGGAATTATGTGAAATTATAGCCAAAGCAATATAACTATAAGAATTTTATGATTTTAGATTATTTGTAACAGATTAAAGAGGTAATACAAGATCATTAGAAAATAATCAAATTGTTTTATAATCAGTTCCTTCTCATAGAAACATTCTTCCATCATCAAGCTCTAAGTTTTTCACTTTATTTGATGAATCTTATTAACTAGAATTTTGGAAGTATATTTTTTTTCCATAGATAATTGAATAACATTTATATAGATAAGATGAAACTAGATTAAAATTGATAGTGGAATAATTTTTAAGAGAAGTTAAAATTAGTCATTTAAATCCAAAAATATGTTCAATTATATATACATTATATATTCTAATTTATAAAGACAATAAGGATTGGGAAAAATAAACTAATTTATTAGATAGGGAAATTTTGAAGAATCTTATTTTGTCTTATATTAGAAAATCATAAACAGATCAAACATGGAATGTAATTTTTTTGTTAATTAATAGACTTTAGTAAAGAATTAAATGAAAGTCATTTATCCTGAGATTAAAAATCTTGTAAAATAGAATGAGAAATTAATCTATTAATAACACATTAATATGAAATAATAATAGATTTTCACAAATATCTAAAATTTAGCTAGAATTGCAATGATAAATTAATATTCTTAGCTTCCTTTTTGGGGAATTGTAATTTTTTATGTCGGTATTAACATGATGGATGAAACAAATAAGATTCTAAAATCAATTATTTCAAATGAATTACCTAACTTATATCTGGGTATATCATATAATATGTTTTAACTGTTAAGCCCTGGGACAAAAAGATTACTCTGTTCTTTTAATATTGCTTAAATAAATAAAGTTACTGTAGAACCCATTTACACTTATATAGAAATTTCAAATATACATTTAAATGAAGAAATTAGAATCATATAATTGAAATTTAAAACTATTGAAGGATATAAGATATCATAATTAATCAATGATTTTAAAAATCTAAATTAGCAATATCCTCAATTATCATTATTATAAAAAAGTTAGAAATGAGATTCATTAAAATGCATATTAATTAATCAAATATTCATAAATAAATTTTTGTATATCCCAATTTTATTTTAATCTCTATATTTATTATTGATTGATAGTGTATTGATTCTAGGAAACATTCTTAGCAAATTATTGGATTTAGAGTAGATTGTTGATTTGATTTGTTGGTCTTGGAATTTTAGGCTACATAATTAATTCAGATTTTTGAATAACAGGATCGGATCCTTTACGCTATCCTCTTTTTTCTGGTAATAATTATTCACTAAAATCAGAAGTTGTTGATTAATTTTCCTTTTTGGAATAATAGGTTGATGACGTATCTGTAATGTACCATTTAATTAATTTATTTTGTTTTTGAGGGAGAATTCCTATAGCCTCACTTAGAATTTCATCATTTTCATTAGTTACATCATCACTATCATATTATTGTTCAGATTTAGTAGCTTAGAATTCTTGTTAATGATTTAAGAATCTTTCTCTTTCAGTTTATGTATTAAATACATAAATTTCAGCTTTGAGATTAAGTTTTTTGCATATAAGATAATGGTTACCAGGTTTGCAATCAAAAGAATGTTATTCTCCAAATTTCAATTTTTTACTTTCTTATTATTAAAAAGTAAAGGATAATCCATGTTCTTATTCATTCTTAAGAATTAATTTATCTTATTTCAAAAGATATAATCTATTTGGCATCAATTCATGATTACAAATGGTAATCATTGATTAAATATTATAAAATATTATATAATTTACTTAGCATAAGAATATTAATGATATGAAATAAAAGTATATTGCATCCGTTGATATATGATTAGATTGTAGAATTAGAAGAATTAAAATAAAAAAAAGTATAGTAAAAAAGATAATTGAAATAAGATTTGAATTTAAGAAAAAAGTAGAAAAATCTGGATGATGAATATTTTATAAGTTCACTTTTTCTATTTGTGTTGAGACTATCTATTTAAACTTTAATTTGATCCCAACAAAGCACTAAGACCTTTTTTGACCTTTTATTAATTTGAAGCAGTTTCTTAATTGAGTGAAAGTTTTTCTTATGCTGCATTTAATAATTTATAATATTATTGATAAAGTTGCTGAGATGTGACTTTGGGTTCTGTTTATGTATATGAGACATTCTTTTAAATAGTAATTGATGATGTATTAGGAAAAGATGGAGCATAAGTTTTATTAGGTTATTGTTAAGTCTATAAGAATTGTTTAGTTGGTTTATTAGAGTTTTATCTAGGATTGATAAGTCCATTTAAAGCAGATTGGACTAACTTTGGTTATTTAGATTTAGATTGACCTGAATTCCTTTGTTTAAGTGGATCTTATTATTATTTGGCTGAATCATAATACTTAGCTGAATCTTATTACTATTTAGCAGAATCCTATAATTTAGCACTGTCTTATTATTATTATGGTTTAACTTCTTAAGTTTATGGTCTTTCTCTTAATTGATTAGAATCTGAAACAGGTGGAGGAGAATGTAATTATGAATTTAAATCTTCTTAATTTCTAATACTGTATCTTTTGCGTGTAGCAATTTCTTCATAGAGTTTATCTCTATATTCATTTGCAGAGAACTTCTGATTATCATCAATTGCTAAGGTGATTATCTTATCTGATTTTGGTTCATCTTCTTCACTATGAAATCTATACATAGAAATAGAATATTATACTTTGAAAAATATGGATGAGCTAGAGCTTATTCTGCTGTGAGTCGAGTATTTGGATTAAATTTTAATAAACGATACATTAAATCTAGAGCATCATCACTTGCAGTTGGAAATAATTCATGAATTGGTTTCACTTATGGAGGATTGATTGCCTCTAACATTGTTTGAGCTAAAGGACTTTATATTGCTTCAACATCTTCAAATGAAGGCTTTCCTGTTAATTATAAAATCCTATTCAACTAATTTAATGTCGAATTCCCAGGAAATATTGGCTTTCCTGTTAATAATTCACCTTTTATTTATCTTGATTATTTATACCTAATATACAACCAATACTCCACATATCTACTCCTTTTGTATATGTATGAGATCCCAATAAAATCTCAGGGGCTCTGTACCATCTTGTTGCTACATATTCAGTCAATATTGGAGATGGCTCATCTTAACGACATGCTACTGATCTCACTAAACCAAAATCAGCAACTTTTACAGAACAATCACTATTTAACAGAATATTTGAAGGTTTCAAATCTCTATGCAATAATTCTGCTGAATGCATATATTTAATGCTTTTAAGTATTTGATATATTATATATTGTTTATGAACCTCCTCCAATATACCTGCTCGAATTACAGCATGTAAATCTGTTTCCATATGTTCAAAAACCAAATATATATCTTTATTGTTTTCTGCTCGATGCACATTGTATAGTTTTATTATATTTTGATGATCCAATTCATAAAGGAACATAATCTCCCTAAATGTTCTTTGAGCATCTGTAGCATTTTAAAATGCATCAAATATTTTTTTCAATGCTACACATGTGTTCTTACATCTTTTGTCTATCGCTTTCCATACCTTTGTTTATACATTATTTTTATTACCACTCCATAAGCACCTTTTCCTATCTTTCTCATTATCTCATATCTTTTTAATATATGAGGTTCGATTTCGTCTGACATTATATAATTATTAATAAATAGTCATAATCTTTAAGCAAATCCAAAAAAATCAATCTAACAATCTTATCTAAACATCTTTCATTTTCTAAATTTACTTATTTCTTTTTTCCCTTTAAATTCAATCCTACTCTCTTTTAATTTATTCAAATTCTTTCTCTAAATCAGATATAAAATTTCATCCTCTTTTATTTTACAATTATATTATATTTCTAATTAAAATAATATTAGATTTCTTTTTTTTAACTAACCATAATACTCACAAATATTTTCATCAATTTTATATATATTTATCATGTTTACTTTACTTTAATTTTAATCTATTATTTATATCTTTCTGAAAAACAAAAATAATTAAATTTAATTGATATATACTAAAATTAATATATGATCAAATAAAAATGAACCTGCTCAACAAATAATCTATTTTTAATGATTATTTTTATTTAAATTACATACTATTTAATTTGTAAATATTATAATGGAATATCTATTATTCTCATATTTATCATGACAAAAAATATATTTATATCTGAAACAAAATATTTTTATAAAATTCAAAATTATTTACATTGATCAAAGATTATTTTATTTTTTTTTGGTTTCTAATTCAATACGTCATTGTCCAATATTTTTAAACAGTTTTAATTGTTAAAAAATTAATATTAATTAAAAGTTAAAGTAAAAATGGGTTGTACTAGTTCGAATCAAACAAATGATCAAGTTATTTGTTAAATTTCTAGTCAACAAAAAAAATAGAATGAAAAACTTAATATAGGAATCAATTTAGATACAGAATATTCGGAAACCAGAATGTATTAGATTAAAAAAAATCCTATTGTGCAGAGAAGAATTCTTAAGTCAATTAACACTAAACAATTGCTTTCAAAATAAAATACAGCTGAAACATATACATCTATTTATTGAAAATCTCTTTTCAGCTAAATAACTTAGAATGATATATAAATTTATAAAATTTTATTCGATCTCTCTAAATAAGATCATTAAATATAGTATCAACTTTCTGAATTTCTAATTTTGATGTTCTTATAATCAATCCTCAATTAAACAACGAATAAAGATATTCTAATGAAAGAAATTGATTTAAAACAGGTTGTGCTTACTATATTATTTTATAATTCATAAAATCTTATTTAACATAAAATTTTGAAATGAATTCTTATTCCGTAATTAGAATTCAACTTTTTCCGACTTTTCAAATTCGTTCAATTTGTAAAGAAATTTTTGAATCTCTTTTATAATTAAACATTAAATCAAAGGAAGAAAATGATTTTGAGAGTAGATTTTAGGTATTAAATTTAAAGAATGGATTTTGCATATAGAAATATTTAATGCAATAATTAACATCCAACTAAAAGTAATTAACTTATTGGCAGATTTTATTGTATAGATTGACATGAATGATCAATCCTTAATTATAATATCTTAATTATAATAAAAAAATATACTATATAAAAAATTGTGTTAATTAATTTTTATAACAGAATAAATAAATAATTATAATCAACTTAAATTTAGAATTAAATAAAATTTAGAGAATAAGATACATTCAACCAAGTATTAGGAATGTATAAAAACGAAGATTTTCAAGTTTTTAATTTGGTAGTGGAAGAGATCTCGCATTTTTGGATAATTAGAAATGATTATTATTTTATTTGATAATCTAAAATTAAAATATGAAATATTTGATGATTATTTAAACATGTTGAGTTTATTTTTAAGACCAAAATTAAAGCCTTAGAGAAAACTATTAAAAAAAAGAATGTTAATATAAATTAGAAATGTCTTTAAGGGAAAGTAGCAAGATAAAAAATATAGTTTAATTCATTAATATTAACAATTTTTTATTGTGATAAATATAAATATATCATAATGGGGAATATTTGTAAGCCTTAGGTTTAGTTAGTAGAAGAAAATGAAGTAGATTTAAATAAAAAAGCTGAAATAGAAGAATAACGAAAAAAAGCAATTGATAAATAAGAAAATATGCATGATTAAAAATAAGAATCAATAACGGACGATTAAAAACATTAATAAGATAATGAGGATGGATAAAAGATGAGAAATGAGAATAATTAAGAAGTACATTATAAAGATAGTTCTTTAGTTAAAAAGAAGAGAAAATAAAAAGATGGCATAAATTGCAGCAGTTATTGATTAGGAAGTAATATATGAAAATATCTAAAAACAAGATAAAGGGAAAAATCCATTAGATTATTAACTATTATTGAATGCATTTTCTAATAGTTTTATATTTGCTTAGCTTTAAAATGATGACAAGTATCAAAAATTGATTATTATTTTGAGCAAAGGTTATTGATAAAATGTTCTATTGTACAGTGAAAGATTAGGAGATGGTATTTAAACAAGGAGATAAAGGGAGTTCATATTTTTTGATAGAGAGAGGTTAATGTTAAATAATAATAAATAATGATGTGAAGAAGACTTTAAAATAAGGAGAAGCATTTGGTGAATTAGCATTATTATACAATGCTCCAAGATCTGCTTCAGTGAAAGCAATAGGAGGTAATTTAATGATTAATTTAAAGATTGTGCATTTTGGGCAATTGATAGGAATACAGTTAGAAAAGTTATAGAGGAAATTTCATTAAAAGATTATGAGTAAAATAAGGAGTTTATATAGAAGGTTTAATTTTTTGGTAATAAAATGAAATAATAAATTAGAATCTCTTACTGATGATTAGAGAACAGCAATTACATCAGTACTAATAACATTAAATTTTAAATCTGGTGAAATAATAGTAAATGAAGGTGATTAAGCAGATTCATTTTTTATAATAAAAAAAGGAGAGATAGAGATTTGCAAGGGAGGGAAATAATTGAGAATAATGTAATAAGGAGATTCTTTAGGTGAGTAAGCTTTATAGAGTAATTCTGTAAGAGGTGCAACAGCAAAAGCACATAAGGATGTAATATTATTGGCATTGTCAAGAAATGATTTGACAAGAATTTTAGGAGATAAAATATAGACAATTATGTTTTTGAATTTATAAAGATGGGCATTTGAAAGACATCCTATTTTGAAATAACTTACAAAACTTTAAGTAGAAAGGATTGTAAGTAATATGGAACAAAAATAATTTAAATAAGGGGAAGTAATTTTAGAGAAAGGTTAATAATGTACTCATTTAATTGTTGTTTTAATGGCAAATATTTAATATGGATAATAATCAATAGAAAAAGGATAAATGTTTGGAGATAAATTTCTAGAATAATCAAATTAAATTCTAACTGATTCTTTGATTATGAAATCAGATGGATTGATAAGTTAAATATAAATAAAAATCTTTTTTGAAATTATTGGTGGTACTTTAGAACAAATATTCTTAAAGAATGAAAAAGCACATGATAGATTCATTAAAAAAGAAGAAGGTTAAAAAAAAGATTAATATGATCATTTTAAATTAGAAGAATTAATCTCAATAAAGAAATTAGGCTAAGGATAATTTGGTAATGTATATCTCGTTCATAATAAAACTGATAAAAAAAATTATGCACTTAAATGTATATCAAAAGTTTAAATAATTGATTAAAATTTGGAAAAACATTTAGCTTAAGAGAAACAGACTCTTCAAACAGCTAATTTTCCACTTATTATGCATTTCGTGAAAAGTTTTCAAGATAAAAATTACATATATTTTTTAGTAGAATATATTAAAGGAATGGAATTATTTGATGTAATAAGAGAAATTGGACTTTTGAATACATATGATTCTCAATTTTATGTAGGATCTTTGATTCTATGTATGGAATATCTCCACCTTAATAACATTATTTATAGAGATATTAAACCAGAAAATGTAATGGTTGATGATAAGGTAATTAATCTAATTATTTTAAGGGCTTTATGAAATTAATAGATTTAGGAACTGCTAAAAATTTAAAAAATAAAAATGGTAGAACACATACTATTATTGGAACACCTCATTATATGGCTCCAGAAATCTTATCAGGAAAAGGCTATACATATGCAGTTGATTTATGGTCTATAGGAATTTGTTTGTATGAATTTATGTGTGGAAATGTACCATATGCTGAAGATGCTGATGATCCGTAAATCTTTATTTCATTTATTTAGATATGACATTTATGAAGAAATCTAAAAAAAACCTTTGACTTTTCCTTCTGTTCTTAAAGATCGAAAAGCAAAAAAGTTAATTGAACAACTATTAAGTAAAACTCCTGAGTTGAGATTAGGATCTTCATATGCAAGTTTAAAAAACAATTAATTTTTTGAACATTTTGATTATGATTAATTGATGAATAGGGATTTAAAACCTCCCTATGTTCCACCCAAAAGCAAACTATAAAGTGACAAAGAAATTCAAAAAGCAATTTAAGCTGGAAAACTTATCACTGAAGAAATCAAAGTATATTATTATCATAATAATATAGAATGACCCTACAACAACCAATAACATCTATAAACCAGAAAAAGCTAGAGATCCTAATTGGGATAAGGATTATTGAACAAAAATTATTTCTTATGCTATGACCACACATTATATATTAATCAATTTTTAACTTCAAATTGCATCAGATTCCATTAATTCAAAATCCCAAAATAAAGCTATTTATCTTTACAACTGATTAAACCTTTGTAGAAATACAATTATAATTTTGCATCAACTAATTTCTAATCATATAAGTATATTTGCTTATCTTTATCATTTACCTTAAGTATTTAAGTTTTTATCAATTACTCTTTTAATAATTCAAACAATATTGCATTTGAATCTTTAAAATTCATTAAAGCAAAGTCACATATCTAAAATATTTAATTTTCAAACTTATTTTTCATCTAAAGGACAGTTTTTCATTCTTAGAAGATTGAAGATTCTAGAGTGCTTTAGGGAAAACTTATCTTCAACCCACTTGATCTCTAAATTTTCTTTTAGTTCTTTCTGTTTTTATAAATAGATTGTTTAATCCTAAAAGTTTGAAATCCCATAAATTTATCTTAATTATTCCATAATTGCCTAAATTATCAAAAAAAAATTACATTATTTTTAACAGTATCTATTAATCCTGTCCAATTTATCTATAATAGGGAATTCTATGTAACTGATTATTATTTTTGAGATAGAATTTCTATTTTTTTATTTGCCTTTTAAGTTTTTTTCTCAGATTTATTTTTTGTATCCTTATGTATAGTTTCTTTAACTTCTTCATGCTGATCTGGTTATTCTATTTAAACAATTTAAAGCAAGCTTTTATCAAATAATTCATTAACTAATATTTCCAAATCATTTTCTTTAATATTATCAGAAATTAAATTCTGTATTCCAAAAACCCCTTTTTTCAATGCATAATCAATTATTATGTTGTATTTTTTTTCTATGCTCAATAATTCTGGTACATATTCTCTACCCAACAAGGCGATATGATTAACAAAAATTAACCCTTTTTTTTTTATTTTTTTTTTTTTTTAATTAGGATCATCTTGACTCTTATCTTTATCAGAAGATTTTTTCAACTCAATTCCATTATCCTGTTATGTTTTAAATTTAAAACCAATAATTTAATGTTTTATTCCTAGAGTAATCACAATTTCAAGGAATTTTAAGTCATCAAACCTTGTATATTTTAAAATGTCTTAGTATTGGATTGGCCCATATTAATCAAGCACATTAACAACCTTTCCCATAGCTTCTCCAAAATGCTATTGAGCTAATTAAGAAAAATATAAAGTTCGAAATGTATTCATTAAATATATTAATATGATTAAAATAACAAATCCTCTGATAAATTTTAGAATTAAAATGATAAGAGTTTAATGTAAACCTTATTATAATGTTAAATTAATTAGAGATCAAATTATGGATGTTATGAATGAAGATTTTTAAGAAAAAGATGGGCAAGGGAGTCTTCATTTATTTGTAAAGGAAACCTTATAAATGTTTAAGTCATTTCAAATAACCAGATTGCAGTATACTTTGTAACAGAAATTGAAATGAATGGCAATATTTTGGAATAATAAATTTGTAGAGACCCATTATAAAAATTTACTATTTTATATAATTCTATAGAAATTGATCCTTTACGATTTTGAATTGATTAAAAAATTGATGATATCTATTTTATTTTTAATTATACACAATGGGAAATAATCAGTCATAACATAAAAGTCATTCAAAGCCTAAAATGAAGAAAAAAGAACATTTTAAGAAATTTTTTGTAACAAAGAAAGATATGTAAGCTTCTTAATTAAGTATATTAGTCTCTTTTCTAAATTATCATAAAAAACAGCATCTCTAATTACAAGCTTTATAAATATTTAGGAGTTTAACAATTTAATTTAAGCATCAAAAACTACATATGAAATATTTAATTAAACATCTGGTTGTTTTTAAATAGAATGCTAAAGACTTCTTAATGTGAAATGTGAGTTAATATAATCTAAAAATTGGAAATTTATATTATAAAGTGTAATAAGCATTCCAATAAGAACACTTCCTTATGGAGAAGCAATTAAAAGTGTGAGATACTATATTAAATAATTACCAATCTTTTTAGAATAGAAAATAAATTATAGTGGATTTTAGAAAGCCATTCTATATTCTGAAAATTATCTAAATTAATAGAAAAAAATTATTAAGAGAGCAGACTACATGGAAGCATTATTATTTGCATAAAAAAATACAAATACAATATTAAGATTAAGGTAAGGACTAGATATTCATACTTAATTACCAGAAATGCTAATGTTAATCTATAATTTGCATGATTATGTCAAAATTTTTTGTTAATATCTGGAAATTAGATTTTCTCGATGTAACTTGGAATAATTTATATAAATGTGGCAACATTATTAAGGGTGGATTAGTTCAGTTGAAAATTAGACTTTTGACTTAATATTCTAGTTTAATAATATTATTGATGAAAGTTTTCTTTAATATAAATTACCAAAATATACTGTCAGACATTTTATGGTATGTGAGTGGCTAAAAAAAGCAGACAAGGGAGAAATTATTGTAAAGTTAAGAGAAGAATTTAGATTGAAAATGATAGAATGTAGAAATCAAAATATAAAATCTTAGTTTTTGAAATAATATGTTTAATACCTCATTGATATAAGTACTAATTAAAACAACATTAAGAAATATGGTTATTATAACTTCAAATACTGTTCAGAACTTAACCAATTAATTAACTTAACAATTAATTTAACTCCTAAATTATAAATTGAATATTAATAAGATGAAAATTTGTTAATTCATATATTTGGATAGTATGTATACGATTATTATATTTTTGAAATGTCAGCTGCATTTAGAGTAGAATAATTAAAATTTGAAATAAAGTAATTTCATAAGGAAAGCCAATAAATGTCTAAAGTATTATTTAAAAATATTGAAGATTAAAATATTCACAATAATTTATTAGATAATCATCAAGTTTCTGACTTTAAATACCATTTATCTATTAACTATAACATTTAACTAAAAATTAGATCTTTATTTAAATAGGTCACTTAAAGGGATGATGATATTTAAAATTCATTAAATAATATTGTATCAGAAAGCTTAGGAACATCTGGGATATCATTAACATCTACTAATTGTAGCTCAGTATTTTCAAGCGTAAAAAATAATGATTAATTATATCATTATATTAAATTTTATTAAAAAGAATTATTTAATAAAATTCAAAGATTTTATTGCAAGGAATAAGAAGTGTTACAATATTCATTAGAACAGGAATAAGGAACAGAAACTCTATATGATATACCAGAATTAGCAGAGTATGATCTTCTTTAGAATTAGAATCTAATGGACTTATTTATCAATAGAACTTAAAGATCTAATGCCATATATTAATTAGAAAGAAGATAATCTAGTTTAATATCTAGTTACCAGAATAATAATTAACAAATCTAAACTCAAACTCTTAATCTAGCAGAATAACTCATTAAATAAGTTTTAAAATGAATTTTAGTTATTGTTTATTGTATTTTTGTGTATTTATAACATACAAAAACAACCAAATTTAAATTTCATTAAAAAAAAACTTAAATTTAGCCTTCAAATATTTTTTAATTTGTTCATTTTATTTAATATAGAAATTATTAGTTACTAATAGTTAGAATGATAGAATCACATAATTATGATTGTTTATAATATCAAACTATTTTACCAAGTGTATTTTTAATATTCTTAAAATTCATTAAGACTTAATTTAATTTTGTTTCGACTTAATCTTTTTCTATTTTAATTTATTTAACAGCTTAGAATAAAGTTTAAGTTTTTTATTCTTTTTCTTTATTAAGATCTTCTAACTATTTTTCTTTTTTTTATAAAGATTAAATTTGTGATTTTTATTCATAATTTAATTTATTTAAAGTAAAGATTTATTCTTCAGCTTTAATTATTCTTTCTTCAAATCTTTTTGCTCTATCTTAGATATAATATTTCATTTCTTTTTAAGAATCTAGTTCAACTTTATAATCATCTATTTAGGACTTTAATTAATAAATTAATTTATGTTATTATAGTAGTAGTTTTGAGAAGTAATTGCATAATTATTATAATTATTGGGATTCTAAATGAAGATAATGTCCATGAGCAACGAATTTAGAAAATGTCATTTATAAGGCTTGCATAAAGTCTTACATTGTAAATTTAGGTTGATAAGTAGATGTTGGTATACATTTTCTTCCAGTTTGAAATAATTGATGGTTAATTTATACACTTTTTTTAACTAGATCAACCATTTCTTTTCTGGTTTATATGATCTATGCTTTAAGAAATGGAACCTATAAGGATTCTAGTATTAGTTAATCTATTTCTTAATATTCTTATTGAAGTTAAAGAGATAAATCACTTAAAGATTTAGCTTATTTTATTTATTAAGGTTGGGAAGGACTGTTGTTAACATTTTTATTTGAGTTTTAAGTGTTGTTACCTGCATAAGATTTAATTTTAGTAAAGAAATTTGAGGCTGTTAATGTCACATTATATTATGTTGTTGAATTTTGTTATTTTTATTATTATTATTATTATTATTCATCTGTTTCACTTAGACCTAATAAATCTTCATTTTAATAAACTGAGTCATTTTATAATTATGATTATGATTATTAATAAATTTGTTATTAATTTTAAAATTTACCCTCAATTAATTCATAAGCATCATTAAATATTTCATTCATATATTATCCAACATTGAATTTAAAAACTAAAAATTTAGCAATTCCAATTTAAATGAATTCTTCAGGAACTTAATAAACCATATCATTAAAATATCTATATAAGATTATTGCATTTACTTTGATTCAGTCTTTAAATATTTGATTTCTTTATTTAAAATCTGAGTTCTATAATTGACAATATAGTTTAATAATGATCGATTATTTTAGATAATAAAATACATTTATTTACTTGTCAACATTAAAGCAAATATATCTTTAGGTTCTAAAAATGATAATATAGTAGATTTATATTTATTTGTCAAAAGAGTATATATATTACTTTCTTAATATTGTTATTTTAATAATTTGAAAGCACTTTGAATAAATAATGCCCCTGCTCTAATTTCTTTCATTTATTCTAATTCTTTAGATATAATCAGATTATCCTTTTCAGCTAGATTAAGTTTGATATCCAATTCATTGACTTTTGATTCTAAGTTTTTATTAGTTTTAAGCAACTAATCATTTTAGGTTAGATATCTTATATTGATTTCTTCTAACTCTTTATTTCTGAGTTTTAATTATTCACATTCTTTGACTAAATCAAATTATCTTTATTCATAATTATTTTTAATCTTTGAATAAATAGAAATTATATACTTCTTCCATTTATTACATATAGGTATCTTCAATATTTTTAATAATTTATTCTTTAGACAATATAGCTTTGATTTAATTCTATAATTGCTACTTGAGACTATCAATCTCATTTTGTTGCATTTAATAATCATTTAGGATTTCTCTAAGACTTTTGACTTAATCCTTGACTTCTTGTATTTTTGCAATTCTCTCTTTATCTATACTAATATGGAATAAGAGATAATTAAATACAACTATTTAGATTATTTAACATATAGTTTATCTACATCTTTTTGAAGAGATGAGTCCATAAAAATCATAAATTTGTATTAAGATGGTTATAAAATTATCGTAGGTTGAACAGACTCATCTTATTTAATTTACTATTTCATATATATTTTATATTTTTATTTAATTAACGAATGAAGTATTTCCAAAATGGATTGAATTAAATATGTTAGTAAATAATTAGGCCAGCCAGAGCGGAATACACAATTTATGATTTATGTATATTTTGTTAAATTTATTAATAGCTTCTTTTCAGATTTAAGAGGAAAGTCAATACTTAAGAGAAGATTTTGATATAATCAATCCTAGATAGGAAGTGATTAAAGTTAGTTAATATATTGGATAATAAAAAAGTGATGTTTGCATTATTTATTTACATACAGCCAATGGTTCTAGAATGGAAGTAACAAAATATGTATCCATGATAATCAAAAATGGTTTTGCTTTAATTTCATTTGATTTTACTGGATCTGGTATGTCAGATGGAGAATTTGTCACTTATGGACATAGAGAAGTTGGAGATTTACAAACTGTTATTACTCATTTCTAATCATCATATAAATAAATAATATTATGGGGTAGATCTATGGGTTCTGCTATTGCCATATAATACATGTAGAAATTCAATAATTAACTTATCAAAGGTATGATCTTAGATAGTCCTTTTGTTTGCTTATTAGATGTAAATCAATAATTCATTCAATATAGGTTATTCTCTAAATGGCATCTAACAGAACTAAAATTCCTAATTTCATTTTAAAGAGTCTTTCAACATTTGTATCAAATGAACTCAAAACTTAAGCTGGATTTGAATTAGATGAAATCAATTGTCTTAAAAAAATTTCTTTAATCAAATGTCCTGCTATTTTCGTAACTTCTAAATAGGATACTATTGTACCTCCTGAATAAACTGAAAAACTTTTTAAAGCTTACACTGGTATCAAATAAATATAATACACTAATCAATAACATAATTCTATTAGAGAGCATCCTTTTATAGAATCTCTTATAAATTGGTTTAAAAAGAGAACTCCTATCTTTGAAAGATTAGGGGTTGGAACTTAAATTAAATAGAGAATTATGCATAAATCAAAAAATACATTAGGACCTATTAAATAAGTTTCTTTGGATTTATATAAAGAAAGATCTTCAACATTAGAATGTTTTAATATTACTATTAATTTTAGATTAAAAAAGTTTGAATACTTCTATATCTCCAAGGTAAAAGATTATGAATTAGAAAAAACCAACAGCAGAAGAAAAGTACAATTAATTGTTGGAAACCTAAAGATCTCTTTATTTAGATAAATCAGCATCTGCATAAAGAATTTAAATTAGCAATTCTATTGATTATTAGATGTCTCCATTGCCATTAGCACCTTTGAGTAATAAAATAGTAATGTCTTCTTAACATAATTATTTTTCTCATTCAAAACCTATAACTTTTACAAAAGTTCCTCATAAGACAAAAGATTGCACGCATTTTTGATTATATTTACTGATAATGATTATGTTAATAATTTAATTTAGTATTTAAACAAAGAATAAATTAAATTGTTTTTGAGATTAAATATTACTTACATTTGAATAAATATAAATTTCCACTTATAAACATTCGAATTAATAAGTATCGCATAGAAAGTTTGAATGTGAAATATCAATAAAATTAAGAAATATAAAAATTAAAAATGGGATAAGAATGTCAGAAATGCAAAGGTTTTTCAGGATAGGAGGAATTTGACATAAAGAACATGAATGAAGATTTAGGAGATGAGAGTCCTGATATAGATTAATCATTTTTAGATGAAGAGGATGAATTTAAAAAACATAGTATAGAAAGAAATTAATAAGTAAGATAGGCCACCTTCTTTAGAGAATTTTAAGAAAAGAAGAATGTTTGGGAAAGAAGAGTTTTATGATTAAAAGGATGGGAAACAATCAGGAACAATAGAGAATAGGGAAATAGCTTTAACAGAAGAGCAAAGGGGAGATGAGATGATTTTATAAGATGGATCAAGATATTAGGGTTAAGTATTAGATGGTAGAGCAAATGGGAAGGGAAAGTTATGGTTGAATAATGGTGATATTTATGAAGGAGAAATGATGGATAACATGATTTAAGGGAATGGTGTTTATTATTATAATAGAGGGCCTATATATAATGGATAGTTTTTGAATGGGAAAGCAAATGGTATAGGTAAGGAGATGTGGCCAGATGGATCAGTTTATGAAGGATAGTTTAAAAATGGTAAAAAAGAAGGATAAGGTTTATATAAGTGGAGTTAAGGATGTATGTATGATGGAGAATGGTTGGAGAATATGATTAATGGTTAAGGTAGATATGAATGGTCAGATGGTAGGGTAATTTTATATATATATCTATAGTATTATAAAGGATATTGGAATAAGAATCAAATGCATGGGAGAGGAAAATATCAATGGAAAGATGGGAAGTATTATGATGGGGAATATGAGTTTGATAAGAAATGTGGGTTTGGAATTTTTGTATGGGCAGATGGTAAATAATATTAAGGTTATTGGTATGATGGTAAATAACATGGGAAAGGTTTAATGATTAATAAAGAAGGGAAGAAAAAGTTTGGAGAATGGATGAATGGAAAATTAATTAGTTGTAGTGATGAGACTAATATAGAGATTATACCTTAAGGTTGGATAGATAAGGTTTGATTCTTTTGTTTATAAAATGCGATTACTATTAGTTTATTAGATCAAATCATTTTATTTAATAAATTATATGGAATTTTTTGCTGGGATTTAAAAAATACTTTTATTATTATTAATAATAATTATTATCAATAAATGGCTAATCATCATATTCCTGTTGAATTTAATAAAGATGATGATGAATTTAAATGTCATCCTTCTCAAAGTGGTTCTACAGCTACTCCTACCCTATTTGAGAATCAAAATAATTCTAAAGTGTTCTGCGTATAGTTTTTTGAAGATCAACTACATTAAGATGGTATTATCAATTTTTATTTATAAAAGATGATGAATTTGATGAATTGAACTAGTAATTAAATCAAGTTTTACTAAATGATTCTTTTAAACCTTCCCTTATATAAGCTTTTACTGCTGATATGTATTTTTCAATTTTTAAAACGAATAGGTCATCTTATCTAAGTCATGAAAAGTTAACTAAAAATTCTAGAAAGATGCAACTAGAATACTAGAATGCCAATTTAAGAGAAAAAGAGTTTGTTTTCAATACTTATATTAAAAATGATATTGAAAATTTTAGTTTAGATAAATACAAACATTACGTTCTTGAAAAAATAATAGAAGTTGGTAATCTTATATTATATATACTTTAAGGTCCACCATCGCATAGAAATCTTATCTTAGATAGAATATATAATTAAATAAATAAACTCATTAAAGATCTTTATGCTTGTAAAGTAATGTAGAAGGGTCTAGAGATTATGATGTGTTATCCATAGGATTCCACAGAATAATTAAATAATTATCTTTCATTTATACATTAAGATAATATCTAAATGAAGAAAATATATGTTGATAAAATTGCTAATCAAATTATTTAAAAGAGTTTAGAAATTTTAGAAGGCCAAAATCTTTTAAAATTGTTATAAATTCTATCTAAAAATGTATAATTTTCTTATATATCTAGATTCTCAATAATAATAAAGATAAATTTGAATTATCAACTGATTAATATGGATGTTTAATTGTCAATAAAATCATTGATATCTATCCAAAATAATTTGATGTTTAAACTAAATCAATTTGTAATAATATTATAGTTAGAACTATTGAAAACTGTTCTTGTCTCACAAGGAGATAGTATGCTAACTATATTATTTAATAAATATTGGAAAAGGGATAAGATGTTCATAAAAGATTACTTATGGATTAATATCTCATTAAAGATTTTATCTCAATGTCTATGGATAAGTATGGTAGTAATGTTGCAGAAAAAGCAATTATTTATGCAGGACCATAATGGAGATTGAAATTATGGGAAGAAGAAGTTTCAATTTCTGAGAGGTAAAATATACATCATTTTTTTAAAGCTCATTTAAGAAATTGATTAATGATTAATATGCCAATTATCCAATTTAAAGACTATTCGAATATTTAGAACAATAACAAAGAAATGAATATCTTGCTTTGTTAAATAAATTACATGAAAACAATCAATTAAATAATCATGGCTAAATTGTTTTGAAATATGCTTAAACCAACTATTCTGTTAAAAGATTCACTTAAAAGATTGTCTAGGCAGAACTATTAAAACAAAATAAGAATCTAGATAATAATAATAAACAATTGAAAAATTAAAAATAAAATTGCAATTAGTAAATTCCTACATACTAAATGCTTTAATAATAATAATAGTAATAATTATATCAATAATCGATCCAATAGATGTATTTATAATAACAACAACAATAATAATAATATAAATAATTTGATCAATAGTAGTATCAAGCTGCTGTTATGCAACAAATGCTATTCTTCTAATAACAATAATAACATTTATTAGCTTAAATGCCATAATTATATAATTAGGATGTAAATTGTATACCCTATCCAATTATGTCATAAGAATAATAGATGATGATGTTTAGATGGATTCAACAGTAGTAACAACTTTGCAATTCAAATATTAAATTCCAAAATGGATAATAAAAATGACAATCATGTTAATGATAAATATATATATTATATATTATATAGTATAATTATAATTATAATGGAAGTCTTACAAAAGATAATATAAAAGTCTGGAACCAATTTATCTCTAATTGAATTAGAATTTAAGTAAAACAATACAAATATTAGAGACAAATTGAAAATCTATAAGAATTCCTTCCACTTCTAATTCAATTTAAGAATCTTAAAGAAGTAAATAAAATCAATATTATAATAGTTAAATTTACATGGTAATAGATTAAGACAATTACCTGATGATTTATCTTAATTGAAATCTTTAGAAACATTAGATATAACTAATAATATGTTTGAAAATGTAATTTTAATTTTAAATTTAGTTATAATAAGTAGTTCAATCATTAAAAACATTGCCTTCTTTAAATCATTTGGAAATAGCATTAAAATCTAAAGATGAAGAAGAGTTAATAATTGAAAATTTACCATAATTAGTGATGTTGAATTAATAGCCTATAAAAATTGATGATTAATCAGAACAATAAAGTGATTTATAATCAGAAAGGTCAGCATCAGGATTAGAAATAACATTATAACAAGAAGATCTAGAGTAGATGGCTGTAAAAACTCTTTTAAAAATTAATAGTTACTTCATGATAGTATTAAAGAGTTAAGAAAAGAAGATGAGGAATCAGAAAAATAAATATCTTCAATTTTTGAGAACTCTGTTAAAACTATAATGAAAGAATTATAAACTAAGTTAGCTTTAAAAACACCCGAACATATTACCAATTTAACAATTCTAAAAGTTTTAAATTTATTGATTATATAGGCTAAATTCAATTTATATGAAGTTTGCTTTTAATTATTTATAAGATATTTTAAATTGACTGATAAAAAATTAGAATAGATTTTAACAAAATTACATGATTAGCATTAGTAAATATTTACAGATATGTCAAATGTTATAATGAATGTAAAGGATAATTAATCAATTTAATCAATACAAAAGAAAATATAAGAAGCTAATACAGGATAATTATATTAAGATAAGGGAACAGAATAGCGACTTAGATAAGAGTTATAAGAATTGTAAACTTATAATAGAGAAATTGAATAAGAAAATAAAGCTTATTTAGAATTATTGATTAAATTTGGAAAAGGTGAAAAGATTTAATTAAATTCAACTATAAACAATAGTAATAATTAATAAAAGACTGATTTATAAAATATTGATAATTTATCTCAATTGAATTATTAGAATAATAATGATAAGATTATTGCTTTAAATTTGATAAAACCATAATAAACATAATATGCCTCAATTTAAAATAAGAATAATTAATAATAATCTAATGTATTAGTTTAGACACCTTAATTGGTTAAAATGTTAACATTAAAATAATTTAAAGATTTGATTATAGAAATATATGAAAGTAAATTGAAATTTGATTAAAAATGTTCTGATTCTCATTTACCAAGAGAAACTATGGAATAACATATGTATACATTTTTAAATTAGAAATATGGTTTAAAAAGTTTAATACTTGAATGGGCTTCTTGTATTATAAATGCATTAAAAAGATATGGAAATGATGATAATGATGTTGCTGTATTTGGTAAAATATTGAGAAATGAATGTGATGAAGAATTTAGATTTTTTTAGGTTAAAGTTAAGAATACAATTTTGGAATTATTGAAAGTATATATTTTATAAAATTATTTAAGATGTATTTAAGAGGGAAATTCCCTTTAAAGACAAATGCTGATATTAAAGAAATGATGGATTAAAGATTTAGTAGTTTTATATTTTAAGAAGAAGCAGAAGATATAATTAAATACATGTATAATAATCAAGATGATTCAGAATTGATACTTAAAAAATTAAAATAATACTTTATATAACCAACAAAATAGGTAGAGAAAAGAATGACAAGAGAAGAGTAATTTTAAATAGTGAATGAAAAAGAGAAATCTAAGATTGAATTTTCAATATTTTAGAAAGTTATTTTAGATTTTCAGATGAAATCTCATGAAAAATACTTATCAAAATTTATTTAGCATTTTAGATAATTGGATTAAGATTAAAATGGTATAATAGATGAAGTAAGTATTATTGAATAAAATTAGAACGAATTTCGATAGTTGATTACAGATTTGAATATTGGATCAAACGATTTTGATATTTAGAGATATTTAAATAAGATAGATCCATATAATAATCAGTAAATAACATTTTCATAATGTGTTCAATTGTTTTCTCAGGAGTAAGCTCCAGGAACTAATGCCCCAATAATTCAGAAAATTTCATTTGAAAGTTTTTGAGCTATTTAATATATAATAAATTCTTAAAATACAGATATTTTGAAAATTTGATCGAAAAATAAATATTTGACTTTATTATATATTTATATTCATAATATTCTTTAAAGATTATTAACAATACTGTTAAATGAATGAAGTTTAGCATACAAATTTTTGCGCTTGTTATTGTTATTATTTTAAATTTAAATGACACAAGACATTTCAAAAGAAGTTCTTGCACTTTCAATTCATGTTGCAGCAGCTGCTTCCTAAATCACTATATAAACTCAATAGCGAATGACTTTAGTTACAAATAGTGTTTTAGACAGTGTAGACTAAACTTTGAAGATTATCAATTAAATAATGATGCATTCTCAAAAATAATCTCATTTGGATGCTGTTATTGAAGAAATTGATGATGATTACGGAAAAGATTCAAAAACAAAGGAATGCTATATAGATCAATAATAAAATGCAATTTAAAATGAAAGGTTAGACTCAATTAGAATTGAAAATTCAATTTGTTAAGAAAATTGTAATCCAAATATATCAATCAAATCAACAAGTTCAAGTTTGTTAAGTGTTTAAAAATCTAAATCAAATAGTTAAATAATAGAAGAACATCCATCAAATTAAAATATTTCTAATGATACTCCAATGTAAAAGAAGAAATAATCACTTCTTTCTTAATAATTATCATAAATTAAGGTAGATAAAGTAAAAGAAGCTCAAGAATAAAAAGAATTAATGCTCTTGATTGAATAAGTTGATCCATAAGAATTAATTACAAAATTGAAATCTATAGAAATGCTTGATACATATTAATAAGAAAACACAAATTAAATGGAATCTATTATACACTTAGATGAGCCTCTCATTATTTAAAATGCTGAATAAGGATATAATGAAAAAAAATCATCACCAAAAAAATCAGAATGGTATAACAGTTCTTCAGTTGAATATAAAGCTACTTCTTATAATACTAATGAATCATCTAATCTAGATCATCATTCTTATAAATGGAAAAGCAGTAGTATTGAGGATGAAAATTTATTACAAGATTGTGATTTTTAATTTCAATCCTCAGTTTTTGATTTCCCATTTCCAGAAGACTTTTGTACTAATAGTATAAATGTTTTGTAAAATTTTTAATAACTTGAAAAACAAAACTAATTTACTCCTAAAAAGAAAAGATTATATTGTAATAATAAGAAGGTTCCTCATTGGGCTGAAAATTTATAAGTAATACATTTTCATATTCTTTAGAAAGTTTAACAATATTAATCCTAATAATAACATCTATCCTAACATGAAATCTTTGGTAAGATGAAGGATAGAGTTTTAGAAATTGCCAAATAATTTTCAGAAAATAGATATTAAAGAAGAGGAAGCTCAGCTTAGTGGTAAATTCCAAAATAGACTTTTGATATGATGTAAAATTAGATGAAAAAACTCTAATAAATTTAAGATTAAAATATTTAAAAATTGTAGTAATATTAAATAGATGTAATAATAATTATTCACTATTAAAGTCTGCATAAAAAAATTAAGGCTTATTTGCTAAGACATAATATTTTTTAACTAGTATCAAAAAAAAGATCCTCAATTCATTTGAGAAAGATTCAAAATATAAAAAATGAATTTAAATTTAATTATTTTTCAAACCATATTGATTATCAAACCAATTTATAGATTTCTTATGAGTAATATTTAGAATATAAATAATTAAAATTATATATGTTTAATTTTAAAACAAAGTTAGAGTAATATATTTATTTTTAGATATTAAAATTCTCAGGGATAGAGGAAATTTGAACAATTATTTGAGGCTTATTTTGATCCAGAAAACTAAAATAAAACATCAAGCTATTTATCAATTTTGAAGAAGTATATTTTACTTATTATAAATTAAGAAATAAATAAATTAGATTTTTAACAAGGGCATTTGTTTTTACATTTCCAATTGTATTTGGATTGTATTTACTGCCTGGAAATCAATTTATGATTCAAATTGAAATTAAAAAGTTTGTTAGAAAATCTATTGTTCAATTTTACAAATTTATTTATGATTATTCTGATCTATCATAGTAAGTATCATATTCTATATGATTTAAGAAAATCGGCTTTTTCGCAACAATATATTTTAGCTTTAAATTAATAATATATGTATTTTGATGAATAACAACTAAAAAATGAAGGGATGTTCTAAGACATTATTAAATAATATATATTTATATTGAATGGTATAAAATCTAATTAATAAAGAAGAAGATCAAAATTAATTAGAGTTTGCATTGTTACATTTAGATGAGTTATTTTCAAAAGTATTGGAATAAAACAGATATCATTATTTTATTGAGAATACAACATTATTGATAGATTTATTAGATATTTTAGCAAGGAAAGTTCCTGATTTGAATGATGCTCAACTCTAATTTAAATATTAATTTGAAGTTTAAAAGTTAGAGCCAATAACAACATTATTTTGTGCTTTATTTTAATACTGTTTAAAGTAGAATGAAAGGATAGAAATATATTAGTATTGCATAATGTTCTTAAAAAAGAATTTGATTATGGCCTTATTGTTAAAATAGCAATTGAATTTATTATTGCCAATATTTTATAAGGATTTAGCGATATAGGATGATTAGATAAATTTGATTACGATAAAGTTTTTAATTGAGTTTTAGAAAAGTTTATGTATAAATTAGAATAATAAAAGAAAGTAGCGATTTATTAGATAAATTATTGAAAGATCAATTATTTTCAAATTTGATAAGTGTTTTAGATAGAAAGTCTGCTGAGTTTAGAATGGAACTGTTAAATTTAATAAGAATGGTGAACGAGAATCAAGAGACTTGTTATTTAATGAAAGAGACAAAGATATATGAGGAAGAGAAGATTAGATTGTAGAATTTAAAAGTAAATAAAGAGTTATAAATGATTATAAAATAATTGATATAATGATAAATATGACTGATTTGGTTTAAACATTCTCAATTCATTAAAAAAAGCATCACAGGTTAAGATGATGTAATAAAAGTTAGTACTTAGAAATAATAGAAGGGATTGTTAATCAAAGGAGTGACAGCTAGAAATAATATGAATCTTAAGTTATGGTTAAATGAAGTAATGAATAGGAAAGAGATAGATTTGAAATTGGGAAAAATAGACATAAATTATCATAGATAAGATAAATAGTTGAAAAATTATAATGATGCAATATTGCCAAGCATATTTCGAGATGTAGAAGAAAGTCTAATATTTCCATTGATTTGTTATTAAAAAAGTATAGATTAATAATTTTAAAAGGAACCTGTAGACAATTGATGAGAGAAAGTAAGATTTTGATTTTACATTAGTTAGATTTGAATAGAATGTGACATCTTTATTACCAAGTGATAAAAGAAATTCTATATTATATGGATTAATAAGAGAATTGTTATATGAGATAGAGTTTAGAGAAGAAAATATTTTGATTTGTTAATAAAAGGTTACTAAAGTGTTTTACATATATTTTACTGATAGTTAGATATGTCCTATATCTAAATGTTGTTACACATCTGTAGTATTAGTGTTAGGTTAAATTTTTGGTGGTTAAATAAGATGTAATAATGAAAATTGTCCAATAAAGATTCTTGTCACCTTTGATATATAGGAAGATTTATTATGGAAAACAAACTTAGTTGATTAAAGCAATTTATATTCTAAATATATTATTAGTGGTAAATTTAAAATCAATAGTCTAAAAACATCGATATAACCATCAGATAATTCAAGATCGAATCATAATCAAAATATTAAAAGTCAAATCAGTTATACTGATAGAATTTAGACCAAATTAAACTTATCTTAATTAAGTAATTACTAACAAAAAAGAGAAAAGAAAAATAGAAATAGAAATAAAAGTGGATTTCAATCTGATGATTAAAATATATATTAAAAATGAAAAATATTATTTTAGAATTCTCCTAAACTTAATTTTTTTAATTTTTGGACTCATTCTCACAAACGAGTTTGTTTTTCTTAAAAATTATCTTCATCGAAAAAATAGGCATTTCTTATTATTAATTATTTCTGGGTAGAAAAAGTAAACTTAAATAACAATTAAAAACTGAGCTTTTGTAATGACAATAAAACAAGAATAAGCAGAATTTAATGTTATCTTTGAATTAAAGATTTTAAAAACTTGAATTTAAGTAAAATTTATTTAAAAGTACTGACAATGTAGTTTTAAATCTATATTTGTATCTTTAAATGTTTTGAAATTATAAGTAGAGAAATATTAAAAGCATAAACTAATATTACATTACATAATAGCTATGATGAAAATAGTTTGATTTAGTTAACAATATTTATTTAATTTAATAAATTTTTAAATTAATTTTTATAAAATTCTAATGAAGAAAGTGTTACCATCTATTATGAAACATGTAATTTAATGTAATTATAAAATAATAGGTAAACTAAACAGAATTTGGAGGACCAAATGTTCTTAAATTAGGTGAATCCTTAATACCCTAACCAAAAACAAATTAATCTTTAATTGAAATTCATTCAACATCTGTAAATAGAGCTGATATTCTACAAAGATAAGGCAAATATCCTCCTCCAAAAGGAATTACAAATATATTGGGATTAGAATTTGCTGGCTATGAACTTGATTAATAAGGGAATAGATTAAGAAGAGTAATGGGAATATTATCAGGAGGTGGATATGCTTAGTATGTTGCCATCAATAAAGATCATTTAATTGAGATACCTTCTAACATTCCATTCCATACTGTATTATTATTATATTTATTATAGGCTGGTGGTATTAGTGAAATATATTTGACTGCTTATTTATAATATAAATTATCAGAATTATAATAAGGAAATGCATGTTTAGTTTATGCAGCGGCTTCTGGAGTTGGTTAAGCTACCTTATAATTATGTAATCTCTTTGGAGTTAAGGCTATTGCTAGTTGTTCATAAGATAAAATTTAGAATATTTAACATTATACTAATTTAATTGTTCATAGGAATCAATCTATTTAAGATTAAATTTCATAAATTAAATAGTATTAACCTTAAGGAGTTTAAGCAGTTTTTGATTGTGTAGGATAATAAAATTATTAAATTACTCTAGATTCTTTAGGTATGGATGGTAAATGGATACTATATGGTTTATTAACTGGAGGTTCTATTGACAAATTTAATCTAGCACCATTATTGATTAAAAGAATTCATCTAATCAATTCTACACTCAGGTATCTAAACTTATGATTCCATAAGATCACGCTCTGATTAATTTAAAGCACAACTTGTTTAAGAATTCAAAATTAATATTCTACCTTTTATTGAAAATGGACAAATTTCTATTCCAATTGAATCTGTTACCAAAGTCACTTGGGATCAATAAGGAATCAATTAAATTATTGGATTACATACTCTTATGGAATCTAATAAAAATGTTGGAAAATTAATTATATAATTTTTAAATGAATGATCAATAATATAATAAATATATTTCAAAATTTAAATTTAAACATGATTTTTTCACATATTTAACTTAGTAATTGTATTATTATAAAGTTACATTTATAAAATTTTAGTTTGCTTATTTAAATTTTAAAAAACATTTAGAGGAATATTGAAGAAAACTAGATTCATTAGACATATACTTAATGTCTAAAATTCTTATATTAATGAGGGATGTGAAAATTTTAATAGTAGGATTTCTTTGAGTAGTTAGACTCATTAGTATTTTTGCTAAACTTATAAATTAGGTATGCTAAGGCCTTCATATTAATTCAAGTTCAATGCTTTATTAATGGACATTACAAGGTTACTATTAGTAATTGTGCCTAATAGGTATGGGTAAAATTTCTAGGTATAATGTTTTTTTTTTTATAGATATTTAAATAGATACTAATGGTAATATTTTAGGCCCCTTTAATACCTAAAAATAACTACATTAAAAAACATGCTTTAAAGAATATAGGTTGGTTCCCTGTAGTGCTGACCTATTATGAAGTAAAAATTGCGACTTTTCAAATACAAGAAATATTTATATAAAATTACAATATAAAATAAGTAAGTCTTCATTCCATTTAAACTTTTACTTTTGAAACTATTTCACCAGTAAACTTTGTATTTATTCATTAAGCAAAGTTTATTATTTTAAATATGTAAGGATTATGGAAAAGGTAATTCAATTTATTGCACAAATATATCAATATATCTAATTTTCTTATCAGCTTTTTTTTATGATTTATCAATCATTCACCTCCTAAGTCGATTATTTTCATTTCAAAAATTTATTTTATTTTAGAAACCAAATTATTAATCAATTTTATCAGATTTAATTATACAAGTATGAACCAAAAAAAAGTGTAACTATATTAATCACAATTTTAAATCTTGTTAAAAAATAATTTTCAGAATGAATTATTATTAAATTCGTGTTATTTTACTTAAAACAGGATAACATTTGATTATTTAGGTAAAAAAAAAATTATCAAATTGCGTAATCAATAAAAAAGTGAACTTTAAGAAATTTTTTCCATATGATTAATCTTGTAAAACTAATAGATAATCAGAATTTAGTGGAATGTTAATGGAATTTGTTCATAAACAGCAATTAATGTTTAATTATTTTTTTTTATTTCTTATAAATATCAAAAATTTTATATTATTCTATCAAGCATAATTTCTAAGTCTTAGTTTAATCTAAAAGCTAGTTATTCAATTGCATTTATAAATTGAAAGAAATCCATCTAATTATTGTTACAAGATTTCAAAATTATTTTTCTGAATAACAAATCATAATCATTTTTCAGAAATTATTAAGAAGTCATTTATGGAAAGTTTGCTAACTTTTAAAATTTTGAAGAAGTTAGATATTCTTAAAATTTGTATCCAGATAAATAAGCATATAATTACATCATTTTTGAAAATATGGTTTCATTTTAATCTACTTCTAATTTTCTATAACTTCCAAATTCTAATAATTCTTCTTAATTTTCTTTGGAAATAACAGCTAATTTGATTGCATCTCCCATAACTAACTCTTTAACATAACTATCAATATAAGACTCTTCAAAAACAGATTTTCCATTAGCTGAAAAAATTTCATGTTCAATTGATAAACTTGGATTAGAATTAACTTCTAAAAGCCATGGTTTACCATTTTCATCAAGCAAGATATCAAATCCTAAGACTTAAAAACATTTAACTTCAGCAACTCTTTTTTGAAAGATTAATTTTGAATTGAATTCAAGAAAAGGAAGAAGACTCTATAAATATGCAACAATTAAATTATCAATTTAATTTTCAATATCCTAATTATTGTATCCTAAAATTTCCAAATTTTTTTTAATAGATGAATATGTTCGTTTTGTTCCGTCATTTATATCTAAAATATTTTTCCCACTATAAAACTAGAAATTTGTATTTCTTTTATTTAGAGAATAGTTGGTTAAATGCATAAAAGGATTTCTCAGATTTTTATCATTTGGCTTTTCATAGTCAACAGTGCAAAATCTAGCAAGACCTTCTCTATTGATATAACATAAGTAAGGATGAAGAGATGTAATTAGAACATATAATCTTAAATCAAATTTCTTTTTATCTATTAACAATGGTTTTGAGATATATTATTAAATAACCATACTTTCGTTAGTCTTAATATCTTTTAATTTCTTAATAAGATAAATTCCATCTCCTTAAGATCCTGCATCAGGTTTTGCAATATAAGTTAGAGTGCTTTTATACTCTTATTAAAACTTATCAATTTCATCAGGTATTATGTAGGTTTTAGGAAAGAACTCATATTGTTCTGGGAAATATTGAGCAAATTTATTTAAGTAAAAAGATGATTAAGTCTTATGAGCTAATAAATCCATTCCTGGAAATCTATTTACATATTATGTGAAATATTCTTCAAGATTTTAATATTAAAATGGTAATCCAAGCCAACAAACATCACCATCAATAAAAACTTCCTTCCAATTATTTTTAGAAATCAATTTACGTATTAATCTAGTTTCTCCTCTACAATTAGTAGTATTAAGTTTTATACTTTTCTATTTTTGATATTAATTCTACTATTATTAAAAGTTCTCATAGGAGGTTTTGAATTCATCAACTTATTATTCAGTAACAGTTAAAATATCTTAATTATTTTGATTCCATGGTGATATATCTTGAGATTATTATTATTACATAATGATTGAATTAATTTAATTAATGAAATTAGTTAATAGCAAGAAATCGATTATAAAGTAGGAGGATTAAGAATCTGATAAATAACGATAGATAGGAGATTATCTGTTAGGTTGGTGTTTAGGTTTACAGTAGTTAAAACTCTTGGATTGGGTACATTTGGTTTAGTAAAATTGGCAATTCATTCAATAACTTAAGAGAAAGTAGCAATTAAAATCTTGGAGAAATCTAAGATAATTGATGTTGCAGATGTGGAACGAGTGTCTAGAGAAATACACATATTGAAATTGATAAGACATAAACATGTTATTCAATTATATGAGGTAAAAATTAAATTGATAAACTAAGATAATTGAAACCAAGAAATACATATTTTTGGTTATGGAATTTTGTGATGGAGGAGAACTTTTTGATTATATAGTAAAGCATTAAAAGTAATAAATTGAAATATTAATCAAAGATTATCTGAAATTGAAGCATGTAAATTTATTTAAGAGTTGATCTCTGGAATTGAGTATATTCATAAACTGAATATAGTACACAGAGATTTGAAACCTGAAAATTTATTATTAGATTATTAGAAAAGTTTAAAAATAGTGGATTTTGGATTAAGTAATACATATAAATAAGGTGAATAATTAAAAACAGCATGTGGTAGTCCTTGTTATGCAGCACCTGAAATGATATAAGGAAACAAATATAATTCTTTATTAGTTGATATTTGGTCTTGTGGAGTAATTTTATTTGCATCAATTTGTGGTTATTTACCTTTTGAAGATGTAAATACTTCAGCTTTATATAAAAAAATATTGAATGGAGAATATCAAATTCCAAATTTTGTATCACCAGAAGGTACTAGTTTTCTTAAAGGGATTTTAAATATTAATCCAGAAAAGAGATTTAATTTAGAATAAATAAAATGTCATCCTTGGTTTAAATTATATAGAAGATCACATCCTATTCCTCCAGGTATAGTAATTGGATTTCATAGAATTCCTATTGATAATAATATTGTAATATAATTAAAAGAAAAAGGATTTAATGAAGATTATGTAAAAATTTGTTTAGATGCTAATAAATAAAATAATGTAACAACTTCATACTTTTTATTAATTAAAAGACATCTTAAAAGTGGAGGTATATCAACAGCAGATATTAATTCTGTATATTTTGATTAAAAATTATTAGAACCAATTTAAAGGACTCAAAAAAGTAAAAATATGAAATTAACTTAAATATAGGTCGTGCTCTTGGATTTTTAGATGAATCTATGTTAAAAACTTTGAATTCTAATAGATCATAATCTAATCAAAGTCGTAAAAATAAAAAAATGCATACTTAATAAAATAGAGGAGGACATTATTATATATAAGAAGAGAAATTTAATAAATCAATTTAATTAAAATAATCTCACCGTTAAGATAGTTTAGATTCAGATGAAGAATTTAATAAATCTTATTCTTAAAATGTAACATAAAAAACAAAAAAATAAAAAGTTAGAACAGAATCTAATTATAATGCAGATTCATCATTAAATTAGACTACTATGATTGCTGGTAAAAGGTAATCAATTTCCCCTGCTAATGCCAATCTTATTTTGTAATATATTAGTAATTCTTATTTAAATATTAGAGCAATAAAAAAAACTAACTCCAACATCCATTAGAAATTCTTGTCAACAAAAACCTAATTTATTCTCTCTAAATTATTAAAGAAACATTTAGACAATTTATGATAATGATGGATTAAAGATTATGAATTCAAATAAATAATAAACAAATGATTCTAAGAGAAATGTAAATAATTAATGGATGCCCTAAACCTTAACAAATCATTATTAATTACTATTATAATTGAATTCAAGAAAAGGATCTCGTGATCTAAGTGCTCCTCATTCAACCAAATGTTCTAATAATCCAAAAAGTAAATCAATTAATAGATAATTTTGATTATACTTATGAATAATTTAATTATTAATGAATTTCTTAATGAATCTCTTTGGTTAAGGCTCTTCAGGACCATAACCTGAAAGTTATGAAATTAATGGTTAAGAATATCATGAATTAAATTTAATTGCTGAAGGAGGTTATGGATTTATTTGGAGAGCTATAGAAACTAAAACTAGAAAATTTTGTGTTATTAAGAAAATTATTTGTCAAAGCAAAGAAGCTATTGAATAAGCTTAATAAGAATTAGATTTACATGTAATAATTCTTATTTTATATAAAATCAGAGAAAACTTCAACATCCTAACATTGTTAAATGCTATAATGGTGTTATCAAATTTAATAAAAAATTAAATCAAACTATTGCTTATATGGTTTTAGAATTATGTGAAGGTGGAACATTGATTGATTTACTCAAAAGGTACAATGAAAAAAGATTGAGTGAATAATAAATACTCTTAGTCTTAAAAGTTATATTTAATATTATCATAGTAATTAGTCTAAGCAATCAAACACCTTCATACTTAAAAACCTCCAATTACTCATAGAGATTTGAAAGTAGAAAATGTCCTATTGCATAATAAAGTATTCAAAATATGTGATTTTGGCTCTGCCAGCACTGAAAAAATTGATTTGAAGTATATATTTAATTGATCTAGTTCATCAAATAAACAACAGATTTCTTAATACGAAGAAAATTTTGCAAAATACACAACTGAAGTTTATAGACCTCCTGAAATGACTGATTTATATTTAAAGTATGATATCAATGAAAAAGTTGATATTTGGATGCTTGGATGCATTTTATATACAATGTGCTTTTACAATTCACCATTTTAAGAATCTTCTAAATTAGCTATTGTAGAAGCCTCTTATATTATTCCAAAAGATAATAAAGTATTGTTCTAAATTAGTTTATTAGTATTCAAAAAAAATGATAGATTTAATTGGTATAATGCTTCAACCTAATCCAAAAGACAGAGCATCAATCTTTGAAATAGAAGAAATTTTGAATAATTATGACACTCTTACTTAAATAGTAATTAAATATATTAATATTTAGCAAAATAAAAATATTCAAGATGATGATTTTGGTGAATTTTAAGCAGGTGATCAAAAACCATAAGAATAATAATAAAAGTCTGTATAATATGATGATTCATTAATTTGATATTGTGTACATTTCATGGGTATTTCTTATAAACTTTTTGAATATTCATTTATATTTAATAAAATGAATTCTTTATTTACTATTCTTAAAGATATACAAATAAATGTGCCCTAATCATAACTATAGCATACTTTTGTCTTATGTGGTTAAACTCAAAGTGGAAAATCATCAATTGTATATTTTTATTTTAATTAGGTCTCTAAACTAACTTCACAATAAATATAAGAATAAGCTGGGTTGATATATACACAATAAAAGACTAATATTATTGGTTATTAAGCTGTCCTTTAATATTTTGAAATTTCTGGATAAGCATTCAAATAATTATTGACTTTGCCATTAAATAAGCAATCTTATTAATAGTACAGTTATATCTTAGTAATTGATTTATCAGATAACCCTCATGAAATCTTAAATATTTGTAATTCAGAAATACGATATATCAAAGAAGAAACTGAAAAGAAGTTGTAATAATCAATTGATGTAGATACTTTTAAACAATTAGAATTAAATATTTATGACAAAATCATGACGCATCACGATAAAAATAGAATTGTGCCATTATATGTTCCTATAATTATTTTAGGATGGAAATATGATTTATTCACTAAGAATTTAGATTAAGAATCTAGAAAATGGATAACACGAGGTTTAAGATATTTAGCTCATACAAATAATTGTTCACTTGTATTTGGGAGCAATTAAGAGTATTAATTAGTGAGATAAACTTTGTAATATCATGTAAAACCTTCTGCTTCAATTTATTAATACGATCACTTAAAGTAATTGTGTATAACTTAACTTTCTGATTTAATTGAAAATATAAATTTACCACCTTCTGGATCCAATCCTTTAGATGGATTTAATAAAATAATTAAAGATTAAATTGTTGCAGTTGCAACTAATTAGAAAAAAAAAAAGCAATCTAAAATAGCAGATGAAGATTGGAATAGTTATAAAGAAGATAAAATTGATAGACTTATTAAGCAATTTGAATTTTAATAAAAATAAAATAAAAATTAGGAAGAGTAAGTATTAATTTGATACAATATTTATATATAAATTTATTTATGATTTTAGAATTTATTTTCCTATTAACAGGTGTATAATCTATCATTCTTAAATTCAAAGTTTAACCTGGACAATAATAATGTATAAAGGACTCTGTATCATAAAATACACTTGTTTATGGAAATTACGATGCATCATCTTCTGTTTATAATTTTACATTGAGTGTAATCTATTCATATTATTAAACTATAGATCATAGATTAAGAAGATTAAGAATCAATAATAATCGAATACTCTGATGGTATTAATGAATAATTTCATTATGTAATGGAGCAGTCAGGAGAAATTGCAATGTGTTTTGAAGTTGATGATTTTGCAGATGTTACAATATTCAATTTATTTTATGAAAGTGGTACTAAAACTTTATGATAATTAATTATAGGAGCAGAAATCTATGATTAAGATATTTTAGCTAAAAAACAGCATGTTCTCAATTTAAATGAGACTTTAGATACAATGGAACAATTGTAATAAGATATTTCAAGAGAATAATTATTAATTGTTGATAGAGAAAATAATAGAAAGCATAGTTTTAATGATATTTAAACTAAAATTATTGGTTTTGCTGGCATAACTTTTGGATTATTAATTATTGTAGCTGCCTGTTAAGTTATTTATGTCAGAAGATTTGTAGTATATAAAAAATTAGCTTGATTTGCTTGAATATATTTTTAATCCATTTTTTTAATTTATAACTCAAATATTTAAGTTATATTTATATTAAAAAATATGATTATTTAATTTATAAAAAATGTATCAAGAGGAATCTCCTAGATTAGTTTAATAATATGAAGTGTTGACTCTAATATTTTTTATTAGAGATTAAGAAATTTCTTATGTCTTTTATGTTGTTTCACTGTTTTAATGAAATTTTAAAGTTTACTATTGGGATTTTGCTCTTGATTTTTAAGATCTCTCATTCATTTGGTCTACTTAAAATATTAATTGATACCTTATTAATTAAATTTAAATTTTGCTTTTGAATTATCTAATATCTCATCACTTGTTTTATTCAAAAGGGTTAAATTACGTTTATGTTTCTAAATTTTACAAATATTGATTGTTTAATTTTTCTAACTGTTTGTTATTATACTATTATAATCATTTTCTTATATGTCTGTATGATAACGATTCTATAATTTTAATTATGGAACCCTTAATTTTGTGTCTGTATTCATTAATGTGTGATATTTTACTGAATCAATTTGACTTTGTTTTTATTATGGATTTTATGCTTATAATTTTTATTAAAAGAAAGAGATTAGTTCATGTAATTAAGAATTTTTGGTAGCTTATTTTAATAGTATCAATTTCTAATTATTAATTTCCTTTCAATTTATTTATTTGAATACCTAATCAAGCTCTTTTATCTTAACTTTTAATTGTTAATTTTCATATTTCAATTCTGTACATAATTTGTTGAGAACTTAACATTCATTTCTAAAAAAGACTAATTTATTTTAAGCATTTACTACCTAGTATTTAAAAAAAGAATTACATACTTCAGTTTCATTTTCATGGTATGCGATGTATTCTTCAAATTTCTATTATAGATTTCTAAAATCAGATGATATTTCTTCTACAACTATTTTAAATGCCTTAAAAAAGCTTGTTTGCTAATTTTATAATAGTGTAGAAATTCTAGAATTAGTGTTCATCATTAAGCCTTCTATGTCTTTACACATCTCTTTTAATTTTTTAGCTGCATTCTAATCAAGAGATTCTAGAATTGGTATTTAAGCCTCGGTAATTAAATAAGACATATTAAAATTTGTTATATTATTGAATTAAAATAAATAAAGTTTAGAATTGAGAAATCAATTTTATTTTTTTTCTAATTAAACAAAGAACTTTGATCGTCTAGGCAAATCAACATTAAATCCTTTTTGGACGAATTTTTGTAAAACTTGCTGAAATCTTTAAATGTCAAGTCTTTCTTAATTGTTGAGATATTCTAATATTTAATTTAAAATTATACTTCTAGCTATTGAAGGCTTCATGCCTTACTCTTAGTATGATTCTTATAAAAACTTTTCGAATTTTTATTAATCCTTTAATTCGTCATGCAAATATTAACATCGTATTCCATATGGACAAAATCCTTAACTAAAATATCTGTTGCAAGGTTTTGTTTTATATTTCTAATGAAGATGAGTTTTAGCTTGCAATTCTTAATATCCATGAGCGAATGAACACTAAAAAATAAATAAGTTTTATACATCATCCCCAAATTTACAAAATCCCATTAATTAAAAGTTTTTGCATAATTCAGTCTTTTTCTTTTTTGTATATTCTTCAATAAATTATATTTTTTCTTCAATTGTTTCAAAGTACTTTTTTTTTGGTTAAACACTAAAATATATTAAATACTTCATACTCTATTTCAAATTGCTCATAGTCTTCGTCGTCAGTACTTTCACTTTAATCGTCAATATTTTTAATGTTATAATAGAATTCTGTAGGAGTTGGGTTAAACATNAATAGTATCAATTTCTAATTATTAATTTCCTTTCAATTTATTTATTTGAATACCTAATCAAGCTCTTTTATCTTAACTTTTAATTGTTAATTTTCATATTTCAATTCTGTACATAATTTGTTGAGAACTTAACATTCATTTCTAAAAAAGACTAATTTATTTTAAGCATTTACTACCTAGTATTTAAAAAAAGAATTACATACTTCAGTTTCATTTTCATGGTATGCGATGTATTCTTCAAATTTCTATTATAGATTTCTAAAATCAGATGATATTTCTTCTACAACTATTTTAAATGCCTTAAAAAAGCTTGTTTGCTAATTTTATAATAGTGTAGAAATTCTAGAATTAGTGTTCATCATTAAGCCTTCTATGTCTTTACACATCTCTTTTAATTTTTTAGCTGCATTCTAATCAAGAGATTCTAGAATTGGTATTTAAGCCTCGGTAATTAAATAAGACATATTAAAATTTGTTATATTATTGAATTAAAATAAATAAAGTTTAGAATTGAGAAATCAATTTTATTTTTTTTCTAATTAAACAAAGAACTTTGATCGTCTAGGCAAATCAACATTAAATCCTTTTTGGACGAATTTTTGTAAAACTTGCTGAAATCTTTAAATGTCAAGTCTTTCTTAATTGTTGAGATATTCTAATATTTAATTTAAAATTATACTTCTAGCTATTGAAGGCTTCATGCCTTACTCTTAGTATGATTCTTATAAAAACTTTTCGAATTTTTATTAATCCTTTAATTCGTCATGCAAATATTAACATCGTATTCCATATGGACAAAATCCTTAACTAAAATATCTGTTGCAAGGTTTTGTTTTATATTTCTAATGAAGATGAGTTTTAGCTTGCAATTCTTAATATCCATGAGCGAATGAACACTAAAAAATAAATAAGTTTTATACATCATCCCCAAATTTACAAAATCCCATTAATTAAAAGTTTTTGCATAATTCAGTCTTTTTCTTTTTTGTATATTCTTCAATAAATTATATTTTTTCTTCAATTGTTTCAAAGTACTTTTTTTTTGGTTAAACACTAAAATATATTAAATACTTCATACTCTATTTCAAATTGCTCATAGTCTTCGTCGTCAGTACTTTCACTTTAATCGTCAATATTTTTAATGTTATAATAGAATTCTGTAGGAGTTGGGTTAAACATTAATTAATAATTAATTATTAATTATTGTTTTTTCTATTTTCTTTTTATTATGAGAATCGAATAATATAGAATATTCTTTATAAATCAAATATATTTTGATTCTAATCAATTCTTATGAGTTTCTATGCTTATATTCTATTAAAAAATGTTTAATTGTATTACTATATTAACTTAAATTTAAATGCCAAACGTTGGATACATTTTCTCACAATAAGTTGATAGGCTATATATTTAATGTATATATTATTTTGAAAAAACTTCTGGTGATCTTAATGAATGAAGATGAAAAATAAAGATTTTTCCATTTTATAAATGTGAAAAATCTAATTAAATAATATGAAATGTATCTATATACATATTCTCAAACCAAATTTTATTACAATCTCTTTCAAATATTAAAAATCATTTTTTTTTATAAAAAGAGTTAAACAGATTAATTGACAATTAAATCAGAATAAACCCATTTTCATCAATTTTGTTTTGGTATAATTTTTAAATGCAAACCAAAATGATATCATTAATAGTAAAGTATTTGAATATTAAAATAGATTTTATACAGTTAGAGTGACACTAAAAAGAATTAATTTTGCTCTTAAATTAAAGGTAAATTTTAATATATAACAAAAAAAAGAATTGTATTTTAGACTAAAAATTTCATTAATAAATATTAAAAATTACTTTTCTATCTTTGAACATGATTTATAATAGTAATGAGATGTATTTAGATTTTAATTGAAATCAAAATTTCAGAGAAAAAATTCAAAGTTTAAAAAAAAAATAGTAAAACAAAATACATACTATAATTTTAAGTCTTAGGGATGAGGATTAAGATGTTATCATTAATTCTTTAATAATTTTACTTTATGCATTATTATACATAATGTATTACATTTAAAAACGCCAATAATAAATATAATTCATCTATTTTTTATATTTAATCTTAGAGATTAATAGATCTATGAATTCTGAGAATGAATACATTGAGATTCAATAAAAAAATATTTTAATATTATTTTAGAAGATAAAAATAATAATAAAAATTGAATGAATAAATAATAAGAAATTAATAGAAAATAAACTTGTTTTATCATCCTTTATTTTTTTGGTAGGATATTCTGAAATAGATTTAAAACCTTTATTGAATTAAACATAAGATTGCAAAAAGCATTTTGATTGAGGTTAATTTAAAATATGCATATTTACTATTTATTAATACTTGAATTATTTATTGGTTTGAATGATTAGTTAAAAGAGGTCTAAGTTTGTTACCAATAATTATTAAAAAATGAAATTACATAAGTTTAACTAGAACAACTTTAAAGGCATCAGATTAAAATATTTTAATAATAGAATTTTAAGAAAATCCTGCATTATAGTATTTGAATATTAAAATTAATTCAGAAATTCTTAGTAAATTTTTCTTTAATTTATGCACAGTTTGGTTTATACATTTGTAAATAGAGCTAACTTTCTTATATTTTTGGATTTACATCATTTTTGCTGTAACAAATGGAAAAAATACAAAATAATCATACATTAAATGATGTATAAATATTGCCAAAAATTTTTTATAAGATTTTTCAAATTTGAAGGCCTCTCATAGTTAAAACTTAAGAAGAAAATTTTATTATTATATAGCACGATGTATGTTAGATAAATTAATATTATGATTTCCAGATGAATAAATATTAAATTTATTTTAATATAAAAGAATAGTAGATTTTTATGGTTATGTTTCTCTCATACAATAGCAATAGTGGGTGAAGAAATCACAAACTCATTATAAAATTAAAATATGTAAGTGATTCATAAACCTATTAAAATTAGATTTAATAAGATTATTATAATAATAAGAATCTATAAAGGTTATATTTATTATTACCTTAGTTTGAGGGAGGAACAATAACTAATGAAGATAGAAAAAGAATTCTTGAAAGAATTACTATGATTCTAAAAAGAGAAAAGATAAGAAAGAAACGAAGAAGAAACAATATAATTGTTCCATAAAAATAAAAGAATAGGAGTTGGTCTATTAAAATTATATTTAAAAATAGAAATTGCAAAGAGTAATTTAAATAGATTTTTATGAGTCCATTATTTGAATTTATAAATTATTATTTATATTATGTAGTAGTCATTCCAATTATTGAATAGATTTTAATTTTAATGAAATTATTGAATACAATGTTAAATAGTTGTGTAAAAACTTTCTTTTGAAATACTTTTAAATTTTTATTATTGCCTTCATCTACTCATTTTTATTTATTTTTTCTAAATTATGCTGTTCCACTTCCTCAATCAAAATTTAATTCATAAAATTAATTAATCTATCTTTATTTTTAAATATTTCATAATTTAAAATATACTAATATATATCCATCTTTCTGACTATTCCTTCTTGAAATGTTGATTCCATTTTTCTTTCTAATAAAAGATAATTCTCTCCATGTATTTATTATAATTCCTATTTTACTTCATCTTAAGTAAATTCTTGAATAGAATTTAAACTTTTAATTTAATTAATCCATAATTATTAAGTTGCTACATAAAATGCATTAACATTGATTTATCCTTTAGATATCATATGTACTTCTCTAAATAATTCAGTAATCTAACCAGAACCTAAAGGAAAGTTGATTGATACAAAATCATGAAACTTTTTAAAACTTATAGGAGGATTTGGAAAAACTGCAAATAATTATTTGTATCTTTAATTTCTATCTACTCTAAATAATTCTAATAATAATTATAATACATATCCTGTTTAAATTAATTAATTATTATTAATTATTATTGAAGCTTGTTTTAAAGATTTTATTATCATATTTTAATTCTATTTATTGAATTTACTTAAAAATAATTAAATAATTTTTTCTGCTTTCTCTATTTTTATATAATTAACTAATTCATATATTGCATCAAATTATTAAACCCATACACCTTTAAGTAAGTATCTGATATGAAGATAGAAATATAATTCTTCTTTTGTATATATTTCATTTAAAAAATGACGAAATTAAATGATTTCCCAAACTTTATCAAAGCTAGGTATCATCAATTATATATAGAATCTATTTAAATTTTCTTAAGCAAATAATTTATTTTCTTTTGGAATCATTTAAATTTCATGTTTATCTAAACAAAAAGTACTCAACCAAGAAAAAACATAAGATTAGAAAGACATTGAAGTCTCTTTTTACATTTCCTGATACATTCCATCCATTATTGCTCTTAGAATACCCATGAAATTTGTAGACATTTATTGGTTTTCAATTTAATGAGATAATATATCTATTGTGGTTTTATCTAAAAACAATGAAAAATTTGGATAATTGAATCGTAATAAAGAAATATCAAATTAATCTTCTTATTTTGTTTGTGAATTTTTATTGTTCTAATCTAATGTAGAAGATAAGAGATATTTAAAAAAAGCCTATTCTGATTCTAATGGTTTTGCTATTTATGCAATTTACACTTCCTCATAATCCATTCTACTTTAATATGGAGGTTCTATCTCTTTACTTCTTTTAACTGTTAATTGATCTATTCTTTTTTATAATACTTTTATTATATCTTCAAATAAAGTTATTTTATTGAGTTTCTATTAAATTGAATATTTATAACTATTTAAATCTTCTCTTGACATCTAAAATAATTCATAATATCTTTGCTTTTCTTTCTTTAAAGATTCAACTTCAAGTTTAGAATTTCTTATTTAATCTTCATATACCTATACTTACATTTATAATTCTTTGATTATACTAATTTGCATTTTATCTTATCTCTTTGAAAAAATAAGTTATTATTTCATTTCCATGACAATTTAATCATTTTCTGTTTGAATTACTTGTTATTCTTCAATTATTTAAGTTTGTTCTTAAATCTATTTTTTTATTAATGGCTTTATTACACTTTCTTTATCTTTTATTTCTTTTAAATTATTGCTCAAAAGCTCTACTGTTCTTTAAAGTTATAAAATTCTTAAAACGTATTAATTTTTATCTTAAATTGTTAATTTATTTTGCTTGATTTAATCCTTTTCTAATAATAATTAAGTATACTCTTTTAACTTCATCTCTTTATCATCTTTATATTTATTATATTATTCTTCTAGTTCTTATATTTTAATATGCAATTCATCAAAATATTTTAGACAACTTTACATAATCTTAATAAATTAAGTAGTTATTGTATCAACTCTAATATCATCAAACATACCCAATAAAAAGAAATAATGCGAAACTTTCTCTTTTACAGATGGAAATCTCAAACTTATTTGACTAATCAATTACTAATATCTAAATTACTCAAATTATACTTTTGTTATTCATATTTATCATAACTTCCTTATCTAAAAGAATTATTGAGAGGCTTTAAAAGTCTAGGAGTTGAAGGATAGCCTTTTTCAGAATCAAAATTTTTTTTCATTTCAAAATAATATTTTTTTTTATATTCGCATAAATTCAATATGAGTAAGAGTATTTTTATAAATTAATTAATTATCTAATTCATTTTTTTCAAAAAATTTAAAGTTAGTTCTTTTTATCATCTTGCAAATCTTTTTAATTTTTGAGATTCATTTTAAAAAAAGCCTCTCTAATTATTTAAGAAAAAACAATTAAAAATTTAATAATAAAATTTCAAATGAATTATTTTTATCTTATTTGTGTATAAAATGGGATAGATATTATGTTAAATACTGTACTCTACAAGGATTTATATATTAATTTTAAGATCTAGTTATAATATTAAAAAACCTGAATATATTTCCAACTCTATAATAGAAATTCTTATTTTAGATAATAAAGATTTAAATATTAAAGGAAAATATTAGTTCAATCATAAAGAATATCTTCAATTATAGAAAATTAAGTTTAAATAACATGTTTTGTTTTCTTTTTATAAAAACCTATATTGGATTAATAAATAATGAGAAGAAAAAAAGAAATAGTTAAAGTTGAGAAATATAGTAAAAAATTAATTCTATTATTTTGTTATCATTTCAATATATGAATGAATTTAGATTATTTTAATTATGATATTTAAAATTATCTATATATTTGTATTATATTAATTAAATAAAATAAAAAATGTCCAAAGGTGATGCTAAAACATTGAAGGAGGAGATTCAAAAACTATATGATCCATTGTTATTTTATTAACATGGTGATAATCCTGCTTATAAAAGATATATTGAAATAATGTAAGAAAATGCTTAAGAGGGTAAATAAATAGATCCAAGAACTTATTTTGTTAATAAATTGCAAAGGTAAATATTTAATAAAAGTAATTAAGAATCCATGTATCAAGAAATATATAAGATTTTGTAGAAAGAGACTTGAAATGTTTTAATTTTGTTCGTATTTTTCCAGTTTGGATATGTACTACAGGATTCTTTTTACAAGGTAAAATAAGCAATAATATATAAAAGCTGCATTAACACATAGATAAATGTTTTTACCAATAGGATAAAGAGGTATTACCAGCATTAGACAAACCTCATTTTTTTACAAGTATTCATTAATAATTAAATAATTAAAGTTTTGGTTATGTTGGATTAGCTGGTTATGGATTGTATTTACTTGGAGCATCTTATTTATGGTGGTAAGTAACTAAAATGACAGCCACTAAATTTTATAAACATTGTTTATTAGGAGAAAGATAATGGTCATATGAAAGGGAAAGATAAAATAACACATACGGAAATTACTACTTTAAGGATGTTCCTTTGTCATGTGAAGAAAATTTCCCTGATCTAGCTAGAGGAGAAATTGCTAAAAAGCAAAGACCTAAGCCAGAATGGTGATATTATAATATATACATTCACAAATCAATATAGTATTATTACATATTATTTTAATTTAAAAATATAATATATATTAGATTATCTTATCAGAATCAGGAATTGATTAAGTATCAATATATATATAGTATACATATATTAAAATTTAAAATAATTCAATCTCCATTTTATGAAGCTCTTTAAATAAGCATTTGGAAAGAAAGAATAAGATAATAACCAAGAAAAATTAAAATAATCTAATGGTACTTTTACTATTGATGAATAATTTATGACCCCAGAATTTTTATATAAGCCTTCATAAGATGGATCAAAAAAATTATCAAAACAATTCTTTCTTTCTTTATCTACTATTGAAAATACTTTTAATTTGTAATAAGTTAAATCGCATTCTTTAATTGAAGAATTAGTTGCTATGTATTAAGAATGCGTTTAAATTTATGATGGATTAATGGATCCTATAAAATATTATTTCGTTGATAAAATAAAGAATATCTTGAATTAGACAGATAAATTTTAAGGAAGAAATCATTCAGCTTCCTAACATGTCTAATCTGTATCTACAAATAATTTTTAAATGACAATTCAAAATGATTAAAAACCTTTTTTCAAGGATTTCGAAGATTTTGCAGATAAGGCTGAAAAATTAACTGAATTTGTTACACCAAGAGATGAAGAAACTTTTTATAAGAATAATTTTAATAAACATGACGAAATAAAAAAAAAAATTGACATTTAATAATAGATTATATAATAATAATAGTAAGAATTATAAGCAATGAAAAGAGATAATAATAGTACAAGTAGTTATTTATCGAAATCTCTCAATTAAACACCAACTGTAGCATAATAAATAAATTCAAAATAGTCAGAAAATAAATATCAAATTTAATCATAATTAGAAAATTAAGAATTATCTATTTAAGCTAGATTATAATTACGTTAAAAAAATTAAAAAGTAAAAAAAGAACAATGATCTTATATAAATATAAATTAAAAAATACAATATAATATTTATTAATTAAATCAAACTATCAATTTATTCAAAATCATCCTCTAATTGATTAATAAAAAAATAAAGGATAAAAGAATGGAAAAAGTTGTTCAAGAATTAAATTCCATAAAACAAAGACAGTTATATATTTAGGATAATAGTAGTGTAAGAGAGAGGAAATAATAAATTAATGAAAAAATTGAGATTAAGATAATATATTAATGATATATAAATTAAATATATATAAATTAAAAAGATGTTATAGCAGTGCTTGAAAATATTTAGGTTTAGTTTTGCTGCAAATACACCCTCATTAGCTACTCCATGGTCATTGAGACCATTTAAGAATGAGGTATCATTACCTATAATAAGATTTCATGATGCATAACCAACAGGATAATCAATAACATTAGATTAAGGTAAATAAATAATATTATTAAAATATAGAAATATTTAATTAACCTATAAGAAGAGATTTAGTATAAAGATTAGTAAGATATACAGATTTATATAATAAAAAAATAACAAAAGCAACTTTGGAATTAAGAGATGCAGCAGCATCAGGAGCAAAGAATCATCCATAAAAAAAGACAGGAAAAGCACGTTAAGGTCATAGATAAAGACCTGGAAGATATAAAGGTATTAAAGCACATGGAAGAAAAATAAGATCATTAAGAATTGATTTACCAAGAAAAGTTAGATTATAAGCTTTGAAGGTAGGTTTAACAGCAGCACTTATTGAAGGTAAATTCACTGTTATAGATACTGAAAAATTAAATGAAGGAAGGACTAAACATTTGGTTTAATTAATGAAGAGTTTTTAATCATATACTTAACCACTATTGATAGTTACCAGTGTTGATCCAGATGACTTTTTTTTAAGAGCTTCTAGTAATTTACAAACATTAGAAACTTGTACAGTTAAAGAATTTAATATTATCAAAATTCTTAAATTTAAATCAATTCTAATTACTAAAGAAGCTGTTTTGTAATTAACAGAATCATTAAAATAAAGAAAATTAACACTTTTAGGAGAAAATAAAATTGTTAAGAAAGTATTTAAAAATATTTATTATCATTTAGAAATTTTCTGAATATCCAATAGAACAATATGATCCTACTAAACCTTTGGATTTAAAATTCAAAGTTTTAAAAGAATATTTAGAAGATTTTGAAAAATTAAAATAAGAAGGATAATTAGATAAATTCATTTAAGATATGCCTAAGACTAAGAAAGTAGGTCGTATTAATACAATAAATCATCATTGAGAAAAATTATTTATTTTTAAATAAAGCATTCATATAATTATAATAATCATTTTCAAATATATCTTTGATGTTAAGGATTTTATTATATTTCATATTCTCTTTGTAGAGATTTCATCTTTTATTTTAAATTTTATGATGAAATTGCTGCTTAACTCAATGTTTTTTTGAAATTTTCAGATTCTTATTTTAATCTTTCCCATCCAGAAGATTAATCTAATTAACTATTATCTTTTATTCCACTTTATTAAGATTATTAAGATACATAAGAAGATTCATTTTTATAATCTATATTCATAGATTATTTGTTATTACTTTAATTATATTTTTAAGGTTAATATGCTTTTTCTAATTCTTATAAAAGTTATTCATTTTAATCTTTTAATTATTAAATCTCCTATAAAATATTCATTTATTATTATCTTTCTTATATAATAACTTATTCCATTTCATTTATTCTCTTTTATTCCCAAGACAATTAAGCATCTTTTAAATCTACTTATTTTTATAAATCTCTGTTAGCATTTTCAATGTATTATTTTTCTCTTTCTAATTATGCAATTTATCTATTAAAATCTTCTTAAGCTGCCTAAAATCCTGTAGATATTTTTCTTTATGAATGATACTCTTTTCCTAATTGCTAATTGAATAGATTTAATAATTACATCTCTATCTTTTAATAGTTCTCTAATTTATCTTTCATATTCTTCTGATTTTCTATTCAATCTCTCTATTTCTCTTTCATATTATTATAATTAAATCTAATATTAATCTTCTCTTTTTGAAGCATTCTACATTTAAACTTTAAAAAAATCTTCTTATTTCTCTAGTTCAACTCCTCTTTATAGTACTTCTTCATGTTACAATGATATCTATTAAATTGAAACTGTAAGTCTTTAATTCTCTGCACATACTTCACTATAATTTAATTATAAATCATGCATTTCCATATCAAACATTTTAATTTGTTCTTTAAGTCTAATCTCTTATTACTATAGAAATTAAATTTGTTATTATTATAATTCTTTTTCCTATGTGCATTTTATAATTTAATTATTTAAAGATTGATTATCTTTACTTAATATTTAAATATCTGATTTCATTTCATGGAATTCTTTTTCTTTTATTTATAAAGTATATTTTAGATTTTCATTCTCATTTTATAGTTTTTGATTCTTATAAATTTAATCTCTAAGTTTTTCTTCTAATTATTAAGCAGCTTCATAACCACGTTCACCTTTTGTACTTACTTCAGATAATTTTGATTATTATTTCTAGATTTCACTATTCATTTACTTTATCTATTATTATAATGTAATATTAGTCTCTCTAACCTCATCTAATTAATTTTAAACTTCATCTCTCTCTAAATCTAACTATTCTAAAGATCTTTTCAATATAATATTTTAATCAGATAATTAATTTACTTTTTCTTCTAAATTTTCATTTACCCCTCTTAATTAAAATACTTATCTTTCATCTTCTATTTTAGTACTATTCTTTTATTACAATCTTTAAAGTAATTCTTCTTTCTATTTTTCTAAACTTTCACATAATAATTTAAGTTATCTAATTTAATTTTCATAATCTGTTTTTTATAATTTAAATTAAGATAATTATTATTGTGATTCTGTTAATTCATTATACAATTTATTAGATCTTTAAATCTCTTTTTACAATTATTCATTTATGTCTTATAAAGTCATTTCATAATTATTCACCTTTTCTGATAGTTTTATTGAAGTGTTTTTTATTTCATGATCATTTGTTTTCAATCCATTAATTATTTACCTTAATTCTCTTGCTTCTTTCATTGCTTCTTCTTTTAATTTATTTTAAAATTCCATTTATTTTTATTATTAATTTATTAATGATTCTAATCTTAGATTTTCACTCTAAAATCTTTCCTTTTCTATCAAATTCTTTCTTTCTTAATCTCTTAATCTTTCTATTTCATTTGTCAAATTATAGTAATCCATTTCTTTATCCTTATTTCTTAATATATTTTATTAAAACTTAAATTTCTCATCACTTTATTATCTTAAATTAATTTATAATTTATCATTTTCTAATCTCTACTCATTTAATAATTCTTAAGAAATTTTAAGTTTCTCCTCTAATTAAGAATTAAATATTCCTAAATCTGAAACTTATAATTTTAATGAATTATTCTATTATTATAATAATTTCAACTCACCAACAGTATCATTCTCAATCTTTTATTTTTATTCTAAGATATTTTATTAATTTAATCTCATCTTCGATTATTCTCTTTTTAGTTCTTAAACTTCCTGTTCTAATTATGCAATATCTTATATTTTTAACTTCACTTATGAATCTAAATTGGCATTCTTCTATGCTAATTCATTCAATTAATCATTTAATTACCGCTTTTATTATTTAAGTTCATAATTATCTCTATCTTTCTCTCCCAATTCTTTTCTTATTGATTTTATTAGATTTTCTGTTGTTTATACTTCCTTTATTAATAAATCATTTTCCTTTCTTAATTAATCAATAATAAGTTATTAACCTTAGTTTGGATTTTATTATTAAAATTACTAACTATTCTTTTGCTCTTATTTAAATTTTTATAATAAATTATCTAAATTTTATTTAGATACATCCATTCTTTCAAATTCTATTTTTAATTCTCTAATTGTTTGTTTTTCTTAATCTAATTCTCTTTCTAAATCTCTTTTATCTTATCTTAGTTATTATACAAATTCTTTTTCTCTTTCGTACTCATCATTTAATTTCTAATAATTTCTATCATAAAGTTCTTTCTCTCTCTATAATTATTAATATTCAGATTTTTATATTTGAAGTTAATCATCCATTTCATTTAATTAATACTTTAATTTTTAATTATCATCTTCTAGATTTTTCAATGTTTATACCGTACTTTCTTTATCATTCTTTAAACTATTTACAGCTTTACTAAAAACCATCTTGTCAGTTTAATATGCTGTTACTACTTATTCTGCATTTTAAGCTTTTATTTACAATTATTCATTTTATTAATATAATTACTAAACTTTTTCAATTAATTATTATTTTTCTTATTCTATTTAATTTAATACTTTTCTAAATTATTCTTAATTTTTGTCTTTTTCCTCTTCAATCATAGATAATCTCTATTTTATTTAATTTAATTCATTTTTTTTATCAGATTTATTAGGGCTTTACTATTAAGGTTAACTAGGCTTCTTTCTATTTCGAGATAATTCTTTTTTTAAATTTGTTAATTCATCATTTAATTTTGTATTTTCCTCAGTTAATAAATCTAATTGTGTTTAAGTTCTTTATGCCTTTTATTGGGTTTCTGAGAGAATATGTTCTTATGCTAATTTATCTATATTTGTTCCTTATATATCTAACTTTGACTTTAATCTCAAAATCTCCTTTTCTCTATTTTCAATTTAAAATTCTAAATGTTTGTATTTCTCTTCTAATAAAACTTTTGAATTATCATTTTCTCTTGATTCTTGTTATGCTTACAATAATCTAGTATAGGTAATCATATTTAAATTACTTCTTTTCTAAATCTTAGATTTGATCTACTAATTTTAATGTTTTATCTGGTTAATTACTTGATGATAAATTATTTTCATTATTTTTTTTAAATAATTCTTCTTGCAATTTCTTCTCAGCATTGTTTTTTTAACTTAAGATAAATTTCCAATCATTTCTCTCACTTTCTAACATTCTCACTTATGATCTCCATTTATTTTCTTTACTATCACATTCTTCCTTAATTTGAATCATTGTCATATGTAATTAATTATTTTCATTAATAATTCTTTAATTCTCCTTTTTTAAGGGTAACAATAATTATTCAAATTTTGCTGCATTAATTTTAGTCTATTTTATCATATAAATAATATACTTCTTCTAATTATTTTTTTAATTATTGAAATCCTTCAGTTGTTTTAACTAAATCATTAAGTAATCTTTCAACTAAAGGAACAGAATCTATTCCTAATGGTTAGCAATAATGTAAAGCATCCAATCTTTTTTTTAATAATAAAAACTTTCTCTCTTGATCCATATTTGAATAATTATATATATGTTAATTAATAATAATGGAATTTTGAAATTAAGATTATTTTAAACTGTTAATATTTTATATATATGATTCAATTTTGTCTCTTCTAATTCCACTCTTTAACATATCTTATAAAGGCTACAAAACTTAACTTTAATTATTGATTTTCATTAAATATCTGATCTTCAATTATAAAGTCTTTGAAAAAATTGTCACTATGTACTTTTTAATTTCTATTTATTTTTTATACCAATGCTATTATAAATTAATCACAAAATTTAAAAATCTTTTTGAATTAATAAATTTTGATGACAAGAAACAATTATTAGAATGTGATAATAATGTTTAATACCTCAATAATTTTTTGATAGTTAAAGTTTATTTATTGTATAATTCAAATTATAAGCTTAAGTTGTTTAATTTTATATTAAAAGTTGATTTATGCTGTATAGGATTATTGAGAAAGTCTATAAATAAATTCCATCGAAATATTAGTAGAGATTAAAAGATATAGAATTCGACAACTTATAAAGCATGAGAGTAACAAATGATGATATAATAGATTGAATTTACTAATGGTATAGTACAAAAAACATATAATTATGAAGTTTTATCAAACAAAATTCAATTAATCCAAGTATGATTAATTATAAATAGGCATCTACAGTAATCAAAGAATTAGTTAGAATTTTATTTAGAATGGAAACTCTCCCAATAATTCCTTTAATTTATTTACTTACTTTACCAGATTTATTTTGGTCTGAATTCTTTATTACATTGTATACAATAATATGCTTATTATTGGATATGATAATCTCATACCTAATACTATTTTATAATCTAAAATAAAGGTGGAAATTAGAAGACGATATCAATAAGTAGTAATGTAGAGTGTTAGCAGATATAGATTCATTGTTATAAACCTAAAAGAAAACATCCTCAAAGAAAATTTAATGGTAGTAATTAAAAGTAGGTTAAATTGTTTGCCTTTAGAAGGGAGAAAAGAGTCCAGCAGATATATTAATTTTAGAGTCAAGTTAGGAATAAGTATTTATTGATTTTAAGATTAAATACCCTTGTCCTTGTACATTTGTAAATTAGGCATCTAAAACTAAAGGTATTATGACAAAGTTTCTAATAAATTTAAGTGGTTGGATATAATTTTAAAGTTATAAATTAGGGACTATTAAGTTAAAAAATGATCCAAAAACCACTTAATTTACAGATTTAAATTTGATTTATAGAGGATAAATTTTAAATCAAACAGATTGGATTTTTGGAATAGTAATTTAAGTAGGACATGGATGCTTTTCATAAAGAGATCGATATTACAATTGGAACTACTATAATTAGAATAGCTTTTATTTATTTTTAATGAATATTCTAATCTTTTTGATCCTTTTAATTCCAAAGTTAGTTATTTAATCATACTAAGAATTTCCAACTTATCAAAATTCTATAATAATATGTCTATTACTTATGCCATAAAACTATTTTATTATAAATTAAGTTTGGTTGCTAATGCATCAACTAAACATAAATAAATTAGAAATAAAATAATCAGTGGATATTAAATCAAAGACAACTAAATAACAATAATAGTAACTTGTAGAGTACTCTGATCCAATAGTATAGGAATATGATAAGAAAGTTCTTATTTAAGTATAAAAAGTAGAATAAAAAAATAATAATTCTATAATAAATATAGCTTTAAGCAAGAAAAATCCAACTTAGTGTAATATTTATAAATATAATCAATTATCAAATTAAAATATCTTAGAATTAATGAAGACTGATGTAATAGTATTTGAAAATCCACAAAAAATACTAAAAGATGATATTAGAGTTTGTATAATCATACATGAAAAATTTAGATACTAATTTAATTATGAAAAATTATAAAGTATAATTTAAAAAACTACTCCTAATCAAAAACATAATTATGAAAAATTACTTTTAGATACTAATAGATTTTAAGCTTATGATGAATAAAAAACATAAGATATTGAATTATTATTAGCTGAAAAATAATAACCTACATTAAGAATAATAGATGAAAAAAAACCTATATAGAAAATGGGGTTCTTAAAAGACCAAACTAAATTAAGCTTATTATAAAAAGAAATGAAAGATTCAAAAGATCTTAAAAAACAAAGTGGAGATTAATAAAAATTAAACCCAAATAGTTCTTTTAGAAAATAAAGTGCAAGAAACTTATTCTAATCTAATACTTTAGTGTAACAATAAAAGGAAATTCATTAATAACAATTATTATTAACTTAATAATTATCTCAATAATCTAATACTTTAATTTCACTTTAGAGTTCTCCTAAAATTTCAAGATAAAAGAGTAGTAATCATCTTTCATAAAGTTAATTGAATATTCATATTAAATCATAAGGAGGATCATTAAAAAATATTATTCCCCCTTAATAAGATATGAGTAGTGATTAAATTATTGGTGATGTATTAAATGAACAAGATTTTATAAATAAACTATTAAATAAATCTGATATAGTATCAAATGAAATATTAGTGGTTTTACTATTATGTAATAATATAGAGAGTGTTTATGATAAGAAAGTTAAAAAGATTGAAAATATTTATTATAATTCATTTGATTAATCAATACAAGATTTTGTGAAAATATTTGATTATAAATTTATATCAAGTGCTACTATTGATAATTTCAAAGTTGAATATAACCAAGATTAAATAATTAAGAAAGCAGTATCAATCTAAGGAGTTGTTAAAATCTTTGATATTATAGCAATATTGAAGCCAACAGATAATAGATAAAATACTCTATCTATTTTAGTGAAAGATCCTGAATCATTTGAATTAGATGAAGGAGCTTTATTATATACTAGATAAGAAATATGTGATAATAATTATAATGATTAGAGATAACCTATAATAAATGAAACTATTGAAGAAATGTTTTGGGATGGATAAAAATCAATTAAATATTATAAAAAATAATTAGATTTCTAATAAGCATAATAATTCTTGAACAAACTAAATTCTATTAATGAAACATATCGAAATAGAGAAGAAGAGTTAGATAAACTTTATTAGTAGATTGAATAAGATTGTTAGTTATTCTTTGTTTTAGGATTGAAACAATTTATACCAACGAAAAATTAATTAATTACTTAAGAAATTTCAAATAATAATCTTAATTAAAAAAAAATGTTTTAAACGCTTTTAAAACACAATTATAAAACTTGCTTTTTAATTGATACCTATGAAGAATTAATTTCCTTTTTAAGAACTTATCATATTGCTGAAAAGAATTAGATTGATCTTTTTTTAGAAGTCAATACTATTCATTATAAATTTAGATAATCTATTCAAAATTTAATAGAAAAATAAAACATTTTTGAGGTAGAATAATAAAAATTAGTAGAAAATTTCATTGTAATTAATAATGAAACACTTGAAGCAATAGTAAAAGATGATTATCTTAAATATCATTTTGTTTTGCTCTTTTATTTTTCATAAGGGGTTGGAGCTTATTAATTAGATGAAAAACAAAAAGGAAAACTTTTAAAATTGATATCAATTACTGAAAGATATATAGCCTCTATTGGTTCAGGATTAGACAATTAATATTTTTTTTATAAATCTAATTTCTCTTTTAATATATTTAACTCAGATCCTTAATGTGCACTTTCTAATCCAAACTTTTTAATAGCTAAAGTTGATTAAATGTTCAAACTATTATTTTATTATTGTCCAACCATATACTTAAACTATGAATCTATCATTTTAATCTAGATTTATAGATGTTTTTTATTTGGTTTTTTATCATATTTGATAGACTTTTAAAATCCATTTTATAAATTAAATGAACTTATTTTCTTTTTTTTAGTGCCAAGCAATATAGCTACATGTATGCTGAATTACGAAAATTTTATACATTTTAAAAGGTATGAAAATAATTAATTTGAAATTTATCGAAAGAGATTAGAATTGATTAAATCAAGTAATATTTATCTCAAAATAATCAAAATAATCTTTATAGCCTTATTAGATTCAATATTAGTTGAAATTTGCTTTAACATATTTGATATATTCAAAAATTAAGAACTTGAAAATTATTCTGTTTATATGTACATTATTCTAGAATTAATTGAAAAATAAAAATATATTATGACCCAATTAAATTCACACTATGAAATTGGAAAAATGCTAAAGCTTATTTTCTCATACATCATAATATTATCTCTATTAATATTGATATATAGTCTTGTAATAACAGATATAATAAATTAATTATCGAATTTAAATTTGATATTTTGGATATTCGGATTAATATTTACCTTATCGATTTCATTTATACTCTAAGAAATACTAATAATAGCAGAATTTGACTTTTCATGCTAAAATGATATTTTATTTCATATTGAGTATCAAGTTGAAATAGAGAAGATAAGATAATCTTTGAAATTCATAAAAAAAAGTAATTCTAATAAGTCGAAATTGTTTATTGAAAAATTATTTGAAGGAAAAGATATAATGGATGATTAATTATTAAAATAAATTAAAGGAGAATAATAGATGACTGATTAAATGGAAAAAGATTTAAAATTTACAGATAAGAGAACAGAAAAGGATTTTCTAAATTAACTTAAACCCTAAAATAAATATATTTATCTTATATATGAATTAACAATATTCGGAATAAGAATCTATTAATAAATTAATAATCTTTAAATAGCTTATCTGGTTATTTCTGTAATTTAATTTTTTACAATGAGTTTAATGTCTTAAATTTAAAATTTCAAATTAAAACCATTAGTCTTACTTACATTGAGATTTGTATTTTTTATAGTTCTACATGCCTTACAAGATACTGATTTAAATGAAACATTAATGTTTTTGATTTCAATTTCTTTGATTCATCATCCATTATTAGGAATTTATGGATATTATTGTGTATGTTTTATCTCTACAATAATTGATATGGTGATTGTAGGATTATTAAATAATGCTAATCCATATTTTATTCTAAACCATGGTTTAATTTTAGTAGAAATGTGTCTTCCATTAATAATTTAAGTTTATAAAATAGAATTTTTATAAAGATATTAATATATTCTTTAAAATAAGTTATTAGATGAATATAAGAAACTTAATGATGCTTTAGGTCTTTTAATGCCTCGATTTATAAAAGAAAGAATGTCAAAAGGATAAATATAAATATCAGAAGATTAGGGAGATGTTGCTATATTATTTTGTGATATATATGATTTTGATGATATAATTAGAAATGAATAAATAAAGGTTGTAGAATTTTTAGATAATTTATATCGTTAATTTGATTAATTCTGTTAAGCAAATGAATTATAGAAAATAGAAACAGTAGGTAAAACTTATATGGCTGCAGGTGGATTAAAAGATTATAACATATCAGATAATTAGAATTCAACAGAAAGAATTTTAGATACAGCTCTTTAAATGTAGGAAAGTGTTAAAACTATGAAATATGGAGATAATAAAGCTGTTATATTAAAAATTGGTATACATTATGGTAGAGTAATTGCTGGTGTTATAGGGGCACATAAACCTTAATTTTCTTTAATAGGAGATACAGTAAATACAACTAGTAGAGTATGTTCAACATCAGAACCAGGTATTATAACTTTGAGTTCATAAGCTTATGAAAAAGTATACAATAAAAAATATTAATTTAAATTAAGAGAAGTTGAAGCAAAAGGCAAAGGAACTATTAAAACATATTAATTTGTTAAAGGCAATAAAAAATAATAATAAGCTATTCTTAAAGTTGCTGATGATATCTCAAAATCTCCTAATCCACAATTATAAAATTAAATGTATAAAAAAATTTAAGAAAATCTTAAAAATAAAAGAAAAACTATTTTAAAAAAACTATCTACAAATGAAGATAAATAAGATATTGGTCCAATCACAATTTAAAATACAAATATAAATTAAAATACAAAATTATTACCAATTATAACTCCTTAATCCATTTAACCAATGATAAGACCATCATCAAGATCAGTGTTTAATTCTTCTTACTAAATGGGATTACTAACACCTAACGAATAAGAATAAGATAATAATAATAATAATATTAATAACAACAATAATAATAATAATAATAATAATAATAATAATAATAATAATAATAATAATAATAATAATAATAATAATAATAATAATAATAATAATAAATAGGAAGATAAGGAAAAAGAAAGAATTAATATTAATAATATTTAAGCTGATGGATTAAAATCTAGTATTCCTATTGGAGGATATGCTGCAGTAGGTTCATATACAAAAAGAGTATCAAATCTAGCATTTGAATTAAACCCTATAAAATCAAGAAAATCAGTTTATAAAAGAACTAATACTAAAAATAATTTACCTGAATAAGATTAAATCTTAGTGATTGGTACTAGCTGTTAAAGATTGACAGAAAATATAAGAACAGACTTATCTGGCATAAAAAGAAAGAAAACAAGAATAATAGTTGAAAAACAAATTGATTACATTAATAGTATTGAATCTTTATCAGCTCATAAAACCCCAAAAGAAATGAGGCTTTAATCTCATGTTGATGAATTAGAAATAAGAAAAATAATAGATATAGAAGATACCATTTATTAAAATGAATATGACTTAAAAAATATGGAAGAAAAAGTTGAAATATAAAAGTATGGTATTTAAGAGTCTGATTATAAAAGTGATAGTCATGATTAATATTTCTCAATATATGATTAATACAGAGACTTTGATATTAAATAGGTAAAGATTTTAATTGTATTTATTATAATATTGTTGATAATCAAAAATTTATTGTATTATCTATTGTAAAATATAAGTTAAGAATTATAGATTATATTTTTTAGCTAGTCAGTTAGTTGTTTAGTATTATCAATAGTAATTTATCATGTTAAAAAGATATACATTTTAAAATTGTTAATTGGGTTATATTTTATAATATTTTGTATAGATAGCATTTTAATAATAAATGTATAAGATACTCAAATGGAATTGATATTTTAAATAAGTTAAATGACTGCTGTTTATTTAAATTTATTATATTTATAAATTTACAATAGAAAGGATAAATTTAAATTGTCTATGTTATATACAATACTCATATTAATAAATTTAGTGTATAATGAATAAATATTGAATATTATTCTCTTTTGTATTTGCATCACATTATCTAATTTGATGATTTAGGAAAAAGAGTTGAAAATCTTGGCTGAAAATTATTAATGTTTTTCATAATTTGAGTCAAAAAATGCAAAATAAACATAAATTTTATAATATTTATTACCCTAACATATAATAGGTAGATTTTTTTCAACAGATATTACAACAACAGATAATTTTACAGATGTATTTGAAAATTGTACAATTTTATTTGCTGATATTGCAGGATTTACAAAATATTCAAGTTCAGTAGAACCAGAATAAGTAGTTAATATGCTTAGAATATTATTTTAATAATTTGATGAGGCTTGTTAAAAATTTTAAGTTTACAAATTATACACAATTGGTGATTGTTATGTGTGTATGGGTATCATAGATGCAAATAATAGAGATCCAGTTGGTGAAGTATATAAATATATTATATAGGCTATAAATGTTGTTTTATTTGGATTAAAAATGATATAGATAATTCAATAGATAAATAAAGACCCTTAATTTTAACATTTGAATATGAGAATTGGAGCACATACAGGAAAAGTAATAGGAGGTGTTGTAGGAACAGATGTTGTTAGATATGATATTTATGGAGAAGATGTTACAACAGCTAATAAAATGGAATCAAAAGGATAAGAAGGTAAAATAATGATCAGTCAAGATACTAAAGATCTAATAGAAAGTGATGGAGAATGTATTGGTATTTTCGATTATGAATTTGCATAAGAAGTTTATTTATCATAAAATAATACTACAATATCTACTTATTTTGTAAACTTTGATTAAAATGATGATGATTAATGAATCATTTATATATTTTAAATTAAACTCAATTTTATTAAACATTATTTCATTATTTTTTCTTAATCTTATTTAAATCACTTGGTAGAATAGATTCATAGAAATCATTAACTTTTTTTAATTTATTTAATTGTTCTTATTATTTTTTCCATCCGAAATTTATTCTATCAGGCTCTTCATAAGTGCCCATTATTCTATCCCAAATTGATGTAAATTTACCAAAATTTTTCATTCCTCCTAATCCTGGTTCATGATGTATTGTATGATGAGTACTATATAATAAAAATTTAAATGGTAGAGCTGGAACATTATCATGAATTGAAATTGCCTTGATTTTAATATATATTGATATATACCCATGATGTTGTACATAATCCAAAGAAAAGAAATAAATTCATGTGAATGGGAAAAAGAAAACATGATGTAAATAAAGGTACTGCTTAGGCAAATGCATCTAGTGGATGAAATGCAAATCCACTGAATGGTGTAATGTCTTTTGAAAAATGATGGATTCTATGTAATTTAATATACAAATAAGGATATGTATGAAGCCATCTATGTACCCAATATCTAGAAAAATATGATAATTTTATACGTCAATGTTTCATCATATATAGTATGTAAGATTATACTTATAGGAATATACCAATATCCATAATCACTAATATTATAATACATCAAACTGAATCTTGGCTATGCAACCCTTATTATTGATACTAAGAATGTTTCAAAAAACATGTTTATAATTGACCATTTGATATCATAGAAGATATAAAATTTAGCATTTAATTTTGGTAAATACCATTATTTATTCTTCTTGAAAAAGTAATAATATGAAGAACATGAAAGAGTGAAGTATAAAGCTAATGCAAACAAAAATGTCTAACAAACTGTTGAAATATATTCACCAACTATTCCATCAAATCCAAATCTTATAAAATTACCTGCATATGATGGATGACTTTAATATTCATCTAATTTTATGTTTCGATCTATTTATATCAATCCCAATAATTCAGCTTGTATTATTTGAATTTATATATACCTAAATACCAAATCATCTATTAAATATTGATTTATAATTTATATTGATTAATAATATCTGTATGAAGTAATGTTAAATGTCTGTTAATTAATATTATAGATTAATCTGATATTTTCACCTTTTTGATACTTTATAAGTTGAATCACAAGTATTTCAATAATAGCAAATTTAACTTTTTTATATTAATAATTTCAGTTTTATTAAGTAGCTATCTATAATATAAATACATTCGTTATTTAGAAAAAAACAAATAAAATTAAATGTCAATAATAATTATTCTTTTATCCTCACTTTATTTAACATAATAGATTTCATTTATTGGATAGACTGCTACAGGTAAGATTAATTAAATATAATTTAGAACGATATTTTCCATAAATCATGAATTGGATAAAGAAATAAGATTAAAAAATTGATCAAAGGGTTGCATTTGAGTCGATATAATTGATGTTTAAACTTGTAGAAGAAGAACTTTCTTATGAAACAGAAAATAATGAATTCTTAGAGTTGTTCTAACAATAAGTATTAATATTCATTTCATTTTTTTAGATTTACAATCTCTGTTAATCTAAAGCAGAATCTGAACTACAAACTTATTAAGCAATGATTAAATTTTTAAATGAAGAACTTAAAAATGATGTCAATTACTTCAAAAACATGATCAAGGATAAAGAAAAAATGTTGGAATAAGATATCAAAGAAATTGAAAAATTAAAAAAATAAACCAAAGATAAGAGTAAAATTCAATAGAAACTAAAAGAAATTAATTTTCTCATTAAAGAAATAGATAAAAATTTAGAAATCGGCACTTCGGAAAAATTATATGGATTACTTGAAATTATAGAATCTAAAGCAGTTATTGGGTTATTTTAATATTAAAATGAATATTTTGAAATTTAATAGTACTTAAAAAATGTAGATTTGCTTTTTAAATCAAGAAATTTTTAGTAAGATAAAGTAATTTTATCATAATTCATTTTTAGTTTGAAATTATCAACTTAATTTCTATGGTGAAAAATGTTCTTTTAGATTTACATTAAAATATTATTATCAAATTGTAGGATGAACAATTAGAAGAATTTGAAGCAATGTCTTTTTTTGAAAATAGTAAAGTTACTCATCAAAATGCAAGAGATTACTTTTAAAATGAACTTCATTCATTTTTAGGTATTTGTAATTGATTTAAAAGAAACCTTAATAAAAAAATGGGAAAATCTCATATTGATTCAATAGAATACATAAGAGAATTCAGAAATCTTTAGAAATCTGTTTTAGCAACTTATTAAGTAAAATAATAAACTTATTGAAACAAACAATCATAGTATACAATTAATAAATTTCTCTATTAAACATTTGGAACAAGACTTTTTAGAATAAATACAAAGACAATGAATATATTTAAAACTGATTTAGAGTTATATATAAAATAATAATTTAAAATAATAAAAATTTTCCATGTACATAAGTCATATAAAATAATTATATTCAATAAATTTTGAAAAATAAGAAGATCAATAGAAATCCTCCTAATATGAACCAAAAAGAATTTTTTTTTAACCAAATTGACCATTCTAATTCTGCTGCTTTATTTTTGAACTGAAAAAATAATGAATAAGAATTTTACTAATTTTGAGTCTTCTTTTAAAGATTTAGCCTTTTCATTCATGTCTAAAATTAAGGATAAGATTAAACCTTGCAATTTTTCATCTCTATCAAAAAGCAATTTAACATTTTCATTCATGATTTTTTTGAGTTCTGATATTTCCATTTTTAATCTTTCTAAATTTTTAGATGATGATTAATCTTAAAATTCTTATTTTTTCTTTTTAATAAATCTTTCTTAATTTTATTAAGTATATATAAATACCAAATTATTAAAAACAATATGAATCATTGCTTTCTATGGTTTCTAATTTAGATCTATAATTAACATTAGAAGTGCCATATCGAATTTATAATTCCTATAGTAATAAAATAGAGTTACATCTTGAAATCCCTTTTCAATTTCATCAAGATAGCAACAAGCTAATTTGAGATTAAGTGCAGAATCATAAAAAACTACATAACAAACACCTAATGAAGTTTTGTAGACAGCTTGTAATATATTTTGAATTGAAAAATACCTTTGACATTGGTTTATTGAGAATCCAATTATTAATATTATACATCAGATGCTAGATTGCCACGTTTCAATACTAACTTGATTTATCTTTTAACTTCTAAGTTTAATTAAACTTTTTCATTAGATTGTACTTCACAAAGCAATAATCCATCAATGGCTCTAGCTTAATAAATGATTATTGAATATAATACCTATAATTGTATCAAAAATCATGAAATTTTTATTAATAAATGGAAATAATGAAAATAAACAATTATTGATTAAAATTTGAATATTATGATTATATAAAATAATAAAGATGATTGAATAATAAAATGTTTGATTAAAAATAATGAATATATATAAATCACTCAAATATTTAGTAATATAAAATAAATTATTTGAATTTATGAAATGAGTAAGGAATAATAAATAAATAAGAAATGGATGATAGTAAAAGTGAGAAGTAATATGCCCATAAAATGGTAAGTAATAATAAGTAAATTAGAATATTGATCATATAAAAGATGAAAATATATTTTGTTTAATATGCGATGAACAAGATTATACAGATTAAAATTAGATAGTATTTTGTGATGGATGTGATGTGACTGTTCATTAAGAGTGTTATCATGTAGTAAATTTAGGAGTAAAATGGTATTGTTAAAAATGTTTGGCAATAAATGAAAATAGTGATTAAGAGATTAATTGTTATTTTTGTCCAGAAAAATATTAGATCTTAGAAAATATACAAATAAATGAATAATAATAATGGGTATAATAATTATATAATAAAAAAGGCACATTCTAGTTGTTTAAGATGGAATCCATTTTTAATATAAAATAAAGAGAGTCATAATTTATATAAGTGTGATGTGAATATTTAGACAGGCTTAAAATGTAGATATTGTTTAAAGAGTGATGGTTTTTAATTAGAATGTTAATATTAAGAATGTTAAGAAGCATTTCATATAGGTTGTTTAAAAGTAAATGGAGGTATAATGAATAAAGAATCTATGGAATGTTTATTTAATTATATGAAACCATATTTGAAAATTCAAGATTAGAGATTATTATCATGTGTAGAACATGTTGACTAAATGTTGGAGAAATTGAATGAAAATGATAGAAATGTAATTGAATAGAGTAATTAGAGATTTATTGATTTTAGAATTTTTGTAATTGAGACGTGATAGATTGAATTAATATTATATATACAATAGAAATAATAGATAAACAGAAGATAATAAGAATGATACAAAATCAAGGAAGTAATAAAGAAATTATGAAGATATTTTATTTGATGAAGTTGTTCAATTAAAATAATTGAAATAAGCAAAAATACCAATAAAAGATAAGAAAGTTAAATTGTAGTTTAAAGAGTATATGACAAGAAAATTAAATGAATAATTACATAAATTGAGAGATGAATTTATGAAAAAAAATCATAATGATTTAAATGCAGATGAAGATACTTATATTTAGATAGATACTCAATTAAGTAAGAAGTTGTTTGATAAATTGGTGGATATCAATAATTTAGAAGAATTTGATAAATATTTAGTAAGTTATTTTATATTTAATAATATGATAAGAAAACCTAATAATCCAGAAATATATATTAGAGAAGTAATTATTTATATATATAAATGATAAGGATAATAGTAGTTTGACATATTGGAAGAAAATATTAGATGAATTAGGAATTAAAAATGGAGAATAATTTTCAAAATTCTTAAATGCACTTAGATTAAAGAAAATGAATATAGTTAGTAGAAATAATGAGAAATTATAATATGAATAGGATTTATAATAGCAGTTTGAGATCTAAAATAATGAATTGATTGAATGATTAATATTTAAAAATAAAAATATCATTTTTAAAATAAATGGGCAGAACAGGAATTGCAGTAGGTTTAAATAGAGGATTCATAACATCAGCTTTAACAAAAAAGCAATTAAGAAGAAGACCTTCATAAAGAAAAGGAACATTAGGTAAGAGAGTACTTTCTGTCAGAAAAGTTATTTAAGAAGTAGCAGGTTTAAGTCCATATGAAAAAAGAATTATTGAATTATTCAAAACTAATCAACCTAAAGATTTAAAGAAGGCAGGAAAATTGGCAGCAAAGAGATTGGGTACAAATAGAAGAGGAAAAAGAAAGATTGAACTTGTCTAAAATCTTTATAGAGCCATGAGAAAGTAATAATAAACAAAACATTGATATATTACATACATTATACCAATATAATCAATCTTGCTTTCTTTTTCTTTTTTAACAAAATAACCAATCATATTTTAATTAATAATATTCCCATAATCCCATTCCTAGTTCTTATCTACTCATTCCTCTCTCAATGTTTCTTTTTAAATACTTATGTCTATCTTTTAATATCTTTCCTATTATATCAGTTGTTGATATTCCTTCAGTTCTTTTAGTTGCCTATGAATATATGTATCTTATTTTTACCTTGAATTTTCCTAACTTCTTACATAAAGCATAAGCATCATCAACTTCAGCAGTTTAATATGGTATATCATCATGTGCTACATAATCTATATTATGATCATTTAAGAATTTCTCATCAATTATCCATGGTGCAGGATATACTACTTCATCAGCCCTGTATTTAATTAATCTATTTATACCATTTACAATGTTTTACACTCTCATATCTTTATTAACCATCCATCACTGATTTTCCTTTAAATTTCTCTACATCTTCTTAAGAACACACTCCAACTATCAAATAAGTGTTTGGGAATAACTTTTTGCATTACTCTAATTAACGTGCATGTCCATAATGAAACATATCATAAACCCCATCTGCATAAACACGTACTTATTTTTCTTATGTATTCATTTTAATAAATTAAATAATAAAATTATGTAAATAAATGGCCGTTTGTAATTTGACTTAAAAGTAGATAATAAAGATTATAAAATATCTGGTAACATTTTCTTAAAAGATAATATCTCTACTGATGTTGATAAAGAAGCAGAAACTATTGCCAATCGAATCGTTGAAAAAGTCAGATAAAAATCATTAAAGAAATCAATCAATAAATCTGCTTAACATAAATATGAATCATAATCTGCAACCAAATTTAGTCAAACTGAACATTTCAAATCTAATGAATAAAATAATTCTCGATAAGAAACCTTAAAAAATGACTATAAAAAACCATATATTTCTGAATATCAAACTGAGTATAGATCCTCTTGCAAATTTAATTATGATGATCAATAATTAGATATTTGTGAATTAATTACTCCTTAAAAACATAAAATAAGAAATACTCAATCTTAACAATCCATCAAAAAAGAATAAACAAATATTAAATAATCTACTATCCCACTTGCTGAAAGCCAATATATTATAGAAAACAGTTATTCCAATACTAAAGATGGAAAATAAATTATTCAATTAATGTATACTTTTTTTTTTATTATCAAATTAGAGATAATGCGCACAATCTGATTAAAAAAAATTCCTAAATTTTGAATAAAGTTTAACTCTAATCTCCTCTTAAATCAGTTATTAACACAAAAACATCTGTCAGTATGAAAACTTCCAATAATTCATAATCTAATAAAAAAAAAGAAGATATTGTTACTTAATTATTAGGAAGTTTAAGAAATGCAAAAAAAATTAAAGATGAATATTAAAAAAGATTCTTTTGATTACTTATATTTATTATTAAAAACATAAAGTAATATCATTTCAAAATTTATTTTATTTCATATCTTAATTCTAAAAAATGTCTATATTCAATAAGATATTTTTAATTATGGGTTATTTAATCTAAATATTATAATAAATCATTTTGATTAAATTTAGGTAAAAGTCCATATTTATTTACAATTTCATAATATTAGGAAAAGGTTTTCAATATTGATAATTCTTTTGAATACTATATTACATTCTAAAGTTTTATCCTTGTATATAAATCATGATTGAGTTCTTATATTCCCCTTTTAATATAAGATAGTAAACCTTCTTTAGTTAAATTAGTTATTAAACGAGAAAATTCTTAATCATATTTAATAATATCAGTTGAAAACTCCTAAATTGAATTAACTTTACTTAAATGATCTTAATATATTTGTTAAATATTTGAATTTTCATAACAAACTTAATCTATAACTTATTATTTAATTCTATGATCTCCATTACTTTAATCAAAGGTTACTAAACTAACAAGTGCTGCTGATAACATAGTCATATGTAGTGTTGATAAAATACATAATTTTTCTTTTAGCCAAGGAGATATCAATTTATAATTTTCAGACAAAATGAATTTAATTAGACTAAAATAATTTTAATAGCCTTGTACTGCTAATTAGTAATTAACTTAAAAACTAAGTAATCCATTTATAGTATTCTCATAATTGATAAATTAATCAGAATCATTTTTTGAGATTTTTGGAATAACAGGAGCAGCCAGTCTATCAACTTTAACAGTTTTAAAATTAGATTTATCTTATTGTTTTATGAATAATTTACTATTAAGAATATCAGTAATACTACACCGAAAATTTAAATCAACAACTAAACAACTTTGAATTAATTATTTAATGTAATTTGGTATTTCTGGTTAATCTGGGTAAAATATTGAATTTTTAGTTATTTGATATATAAGATCTCTTTCATTTTAAGCATTCCAAGGTGGTCTTCCATATAATATTTCATATGCCATAACACCAAAACTCCAAATATCACTTTTTAAATGATATTAATTTTTTATTAAAGTTTCAGGACTCATATATAATGGAGTTCCAACATTCATTTCAGTTCCTAATTGAGCCATATCTTTTGCAAATCCAAAATCAGCTATCCTTATAGTATTATCAGAAATTAATATATTCTAAGGTTTTAAGTCTCTATGAATTATGTCTTGATTATATAAAATAATATAATACTTTCTTATTACATTGATGCTATACCATAAATAATTTAAATTATTATTTGAATTGCAATATTTAAATTAAATTTACCATGTTTTTTTATATATTATTGTAAATCACCTTATCTACAAAATTCTGTTATAATATAAATATTATTTTTAGTGTAAAAGTAATCATAAAGTTTAAGAATAAAGTTCCCTTTGAGTCTAGATAATATTGCTATCTCATTTTAAATTAATGGAATTTGATCACTAATTTATCTTTAAATCACCTGATTAAGTTATTTATTATACTTTAATAGCAACCTCTTCTTAGGTATTATCATTTACACCTTTATAAACAATTGAACTAAATCCATGTCCAACAATTTCTCCAACAGAATATGAATAATTCATTATTCCTCTACGTTAGAAATGCATTTTGTATTTTTAAAATTAATTAAATAATATTTCTATAAATATTCAGTTTTAACAAATTATTGCTATTCCTCTTATAATCCAAAATTCTGGAGGTTCATTAGTCTTTAGTGAGATATCCATAATCTTTTTATTTCTTTTATTTGTATTATATACAGGAATTTATAAATGATCTTCACTTATTTATAACTAAGTAGTAAGATTAATGGATATGAGAGGAACTTATGAATATAATAAATTTATTTTTGGTTCAACAATATTTTATTGTTCTTCATCCCATTAACATTAATCAAAAAGTAATCCTTCAATCAAATATCCTTCAAAATTATGATTACAAATTTTAAATTCAAAATTTAATGTATCAACAGGAACTTAATTCTTTCTAGCATAATCTTATTTTACACCTGTTAAAAATGTTTGAGGATAAAAAAAATAAGAAATATTTATTAATTCTGGAATACCATTTTCTAACCACTTCTAAAAATATTTAATTCTCTCTTATAAATTTTAAATATAATTTATTAAATTATTTGTTGTCAAATATGATTTCTATAACCATTTAAATGGAATTACACCTTATAATAATTAGTAACATATTTATTCTATTTCTTAATTCATAACCTCTAATCCATCTAATGATTTTAAAATATATTCTAAATCATTTTTTATTTGAATGATTAATTTATTAAATCTGTAACATTCTTATATAAGAATTGTATTAATAGGATTAGAATATTAATATTCTAAATGATCACATTAGAGCGTATTCAAAGATATGGATGATATTAATAATCGCAGTTATTCTCCTTAATCATTTATATCTAATACACTACTGATATTGCATAGCTTCTCATTTAAATCATTTGTTTCATTTATTTTTTAATTAATTTCAGCATTTAAGTGTAAACCGAATAATTAATTATCATCTTAATAAGAAAGTTTATTTATCTATTCTAAATAATCACTCAATATCATTGGATATTCAGAATCTTAAATTACTAAATATTTATCTAATAATATCTTTAATAATAATCGATCATTATTATCTATTACTCTTCCTCCATAATTAAGTTCACTTATTAAATATTTTAAGCCTTCCATATCATAATCTAAAAGTTACTTTTAAGATATCTCTAAATCTGCTTAAGAAAAATCGTAATTATAATTCCATCCTATATTTCTATACTTTCTTCTTCCCAATACAATTGCATGAAATTAAGCTAAACCATATAATTGACTTTTATATTCTAATGGTTTATCATTGAATTACTTCTCTTCAATAGATGAATATATCCTTTATAAATTATTTTTATATCCCTATGGATATTCAAATGTAAATTTTTCAGATTTTTACAATAATTTAATAGAAAGAGAATCTATTGGATTACTTGTCAAAAACAATCTGAACTTTGAATCTTTTTATACCTTTTATAAATCATTTTCAGATATTTACTCAATTAATCTCATGAAACTTTTTGCTAGATGTAAATTTTATATTATTATCCATTAATTTTCATCTATAGCTTTTTTAATGCTCATTTCAGCTATCTAATTTTACCCTTACCCTAATGATAATGTTTATAATTTAATTTTCTAAAATTTTGCTTCTCTTCTAATAAAATTAAGTGGATCTGATCCAGATGATAAAATAAATAATATAGGGGTATTTGATAAAATCTTTAAAGGCTCAATATTAAATTATGGAATTATTGTAAAATGTTTATCAAGATAGTACTCAATTGTTTATTGAAGTTAAAATATAAATTGTTAAGGTTTAATTATCTTTATTATTATAAGTAAATGAAATGGTTTAAGTTCTAAAATATAATTATTATTTATAAATTCAAAATAATTAGTTTTTAATTTTTGGATTATTTGATTGTTTTTAAATTAAAAAGCATAATCATTTAATTAATTCCATTAAGATTAAGTAAAATATTCTGGACATTAAACTTAACTTTAAATTAAAGCATAATTAGAATGTAAATTAAGTAAAAAGCTTATTTCTTCTTATGTTATAATATTTTCTATTAATAAGATTTTAAGGAAAAGCATAGTTATAAATGTTAGTTTATCCTTCTCTAATAGTGATTAACAAATATATGCGTAAAGTAATTTTGTAAATTATTAGAAAATATATTTATTTTTTTCAACTTATTGATTTTAAGAAATTGATTTAAATGATTTTATAGATTAATCAAATATTTGTATATATTTTTCTAATGACCATATATATACAAATTCTAATTTCTATAAATCTCTTATAACAAGATAAATGATAGATATTTTTTTTGTAATAGTTTTGTATTGATTAGATATTTTTTAGAAAGTTTCTTTGTCATTTTCTGCTTTTTTTAATTTATCTTCAATTTCAATTTACTCATTTTTTGATTTTTACAAAGTTAGAATTAAAGTTTCATCTTCTAAAATATTACCATCTGTTCCATGTAATAATTTTAATATAGAATCTTCTGTTTATTATTATTTTTATTTATTATCATAATAATCTTTAATATTTCTTTACCTTATTTCTTCTTTTTAAGGTTCTTCTACCCCTACAATATAATTTACTAAGAAATCTTCTAATCCTTCTTATGTTACTTCAAAATTAATAAATTTCAAATGTATACTAATTTCTGGACTATATTTTGGATTTTTACTTTTTATAAATAACCTAAAATCTGGATGCAATTCAATTTTTTTATCATTTAATTTAGCAAATGTTCCATAAGGAAAGGGAATCTAATTTTCTTCAGGTTCTTCTAATAAAACTGGATGACCAATCTACATAGAATTTTCAAAATTAAATTAAGAATTTAATTTTTGATTCCATATTTATAACCATTAAGATCCTTAATTTTAAGGATCAATTAATAAAATCCATTTCGTAGAATTTTAAATAATAATAGCATTATCAATAGATAATTGATCATTTGGTAATTTCATTTAATTAATCCATTATCCAACTGTAATTTGATTGGAAAGTGTATTCAATAATGAAAAATTCTAACTGATGGGTATATTTTATAATTAAACTTTAAATTATTCTAAAATAGTATCTCTGAATCCAAGAGGAAATGGCCCAAAGAATGTTATTATTGCACTAGATAGCATACAATCCCCTTATAAAAACTATTTCTTTGATTTATATTAATGAGCCTTTTATTTCCAACTATCTTTTTCCTAAATCAATCCATTAATTAATTTTTCAGCTCTTTCAAGTTATATCTAACATCTATTAACATCTTATTATAATTAATCTTTTTCTAATTTAGCTTAATTATAATCATTTTAAAGAGTATGTAAGAATCTTAAGATTTCTTTTAATGCATCATTTTTTTATTTTAATTCTAATTCGGTAATTTTTAATTATTGAATAGCATTCTTTAATAGAATTTGTTTTGGATCTATAATTAAATAAGCTTCATAAGTATCAACAACAGCTCTAATCCATAAACTTAGATTTCCTGCAGCTTTAGAAGCATTAAATACTTTATCATCTAATTGAAGTCCCTTAATTTTTTAAATTCTAATTGATGTAATAGCTTTTATTTATTCCTCTTTAAAATCTCTTACTTTCTTTATTAATTTATCATTAAGTAAATTCTTTTTAGCATGTTCCCAGAAATCTTAAACTTTTTCTTAAGAACCTGGTTCTTTTTATTTCCATTTAACCTATTCATCAAAAATATAACACATTCCTTCCATTACAATTGAAACAGCTAATGGAGGTTTTTAAAAGGATTTTAATTATATCATATCTTCATTAGTAATTTTCTCTAATGCAGATGTTGCTGATGCTAATAATGGTAATACTTTATCCAATTCATCTTAACACTCTTATCTTAATTTATCTGCTTTTTATTTCTCTTAATTACATTCATATTCTTCTTATTCACATTACTATTTCTTTATATCTGCCTCTTTGTGCTTTTTTTATAAATTTATTAACAAATGAGAATTCTCTAAGGTTAGTTTATGTAATTTTGGATGTAATTCTTATAAAGTTGCTTTCATCAATGTTACATCTGATTCTGTTTATAATATTTTATCTACTCCATATGTATATCTTTAAATAAATTTATCAGTTTCATTCTATTTTTAAGAATATAATAATTTATATTGTTCTAAATATTCTAAAAAAGATGGTTAATATATTTGAAAATAAGGTTAATAGTTTTTAACTTATCTACAATATTATTAACTCTCCTTTTTTATTATACTAAATATACTTAAGACATCAATATCAAATTATTATTAAGTTTCTATTAATGCTTCTTATGGCCATTCAGTAAAATAATCTAAACTTGTATTGTTTATTAATGTAGGGAATTATCGAATACGATTTCTAAACTATTCGCCATTTGGATTAATACTAAGAATAAAGTGTAAATTTTAATGAGTCTAATTTACAAATTAAGAATAGTTTATATGATATTCATTTAAATCTTCAATCAATTTATTTTTATCTTCACTTGTATATAAATTTTACATTTCCCCAAAATTTATTAAATTACATATCTATTCTAAATTTTAATCTTTTATTTAATTGCAATTAGCATATAATATTGTATTTTTTAATTCCAATCCTGCTTATTTTAATATTTATTGTAATTCATCTTTATCATTAGTATAATTATTCATTTCTTTATCATATAAGATATAAGAACTTAAATTTGAAAGAGATTATCTCCCACTGCCAGTCAATCCTATTAAAAGCATATTCCCAAATCCTAATCCTCTAATAATTCTTATTATATGATTGATAGCATATTCAAATAAAACTATATTATTATCTTATATGATTTTTTAATATTCATTTAGCTTTGAATGCAGAAATTCTTATAAAACTTATTTATCAACACTTTAATAGATCTTAGATTTATTTTAGTTTTCAAGATTAATAGGAATAATATTAGTATAATAAAATTACTTTAATTCATAATTCTTTTTCATATTTTAAACTATTAAATCTAATAATTTTTAATTGAATTTATCGAAATCGATCATTCTATCTGAAAATACCCTTTAACATTCATACTACCATAGATTTACTAAATCTCTATCTTTTTGAATCAATCTAATATCTCCTTAATATATTCCTTTAAAAATCTTCCAAACATCTTTCAAATTAAATATGTAATGACATCTTGAAGGAGTTGGTAAATACTCTTATTTAACAAAATTAAATAATTCAATTGTATTATTAACAATAAGATTACTCATTTTTATTATGGCATTATTTACTAATTATTTCTATCCCCATTAATTCAAAATCCATTAATTTAAAGAATTAAATATCTTTATTAATGATTCATTTGAATATTATGGAACATACAATAACAAGAAATGTCTCATAAATCTTGGATTTACTTATTTTTAAGTAGCACATACATAAATAGTATCTTCTAAATGTTTCAATTCTTTTGTTTCTATATCATACCATCCTTTCATATCTAAATGTTATCTTATTAATTCATTTGGTGATTCATTCATAGATAAATCATCTATAAAAATTGAACAAACTGGTTTATTTTCTTCAGGACCAAAATGTCCTTTACATCTTCTTTAATTAACTTTGTTTTCTATTAATTATTATATATAATTAATTTAAGATTATCCACTGAATGTCAATTACAACTAAGCATAATTTTAATATTACTATCTAGTTTATTAAATTAAAATTGTTTTTCCAGATCCTGTTTGGCCAATCAAAATTAAATTTATTTTTTATTAAAAACATTAATTAATCCAAAATTGTGTTTTTATAGTATCTATACATTTTATAAATAGATTATCGAATGATTTTTATTAATTAATATAAGACTGTTAAGGATCTACATTCCAAAAAAGCCAACAATTTTTATTGATATCAAAATAAAAATCAAATAAGTTAGGTTTATTTATAGGTTCTATGAATCTTAAATGCAATGCTTATGGCTCATATTAATATTTATTTTTTATTGAGAATTATTATATTACATCATTTGATGCAGTGATAAGTTTCATTATCATTTAATTTAAATTTTTTCTTTAATTTTCATCACATACACCTCCCATAACCCATAAAATACAAAATAATAGGACATTTATTTGTTAATCTTCATTTTGATAATTAAATGTTTTCATCATTTTCAAACATTATTAAACTAATTAAGTATCTGTACAAGTAATATAAAAATTTCCTTACATAAAGCCTAAAGTACAATCAAATAGCCATAAAGCTTTCTTTTATATAGTTTCATTAAAATTTTGATTATCTAAAATTATTTTCCATTCTAATTATTCCATAAATAACATTCCACATCTACTAACAGTTGCAGGAGATGCTTATTATAAATCTGAGGTTTCAAAAATTATTAATGTTTTTTCATACAATTTAATTATTTCTCCAGAACTTAAACATAATTTTTTATTATCATCTAAAACTGTATTTAAATTCTCAATCCATAATGTATCAACAGGACCATCAAAAACGATTAGTTGATTGATCTATTATCGAAATATTATTGGAATGACTCCATCAAAAAATTATTTAGTGTTTCTATCCAATTTTCCAAACAATTAATCAATTTATAACGCTTTAGGATTTATCTTATTTATAATATAATTATGTTTATGTGCTAAAACATCAATCAATTTAGATTTCCCACTCATTGTTTCTCCAATAATCATAATTCCATGTCTAACATTCATCAATTAATCCATTTAAACACATTTTTTAATAAAAATTTCATTTGATTCAAGTTTTAGAATTTAACAAGTATCTAACAAACTTGAATCATTATAAGTTTATTCAATATTATTATTGGGAAATAAATCTTAAATAATAGAGAAAAATAGTTAAACATCTTTGTTAATTAATTTACCCAAATTCACATTGATTAATGCTTATATGCATTTAGTTTACTCATCTTCATTTTTAAGTTGAGAAATAGTATGTAAAACAGTCTTTAAAGATCTCATTCCAAAATCATAATGATCTTAAGTAGATAATTATTCTTATGCTAATTGTAATGCAATAATAATTTTATTTGATAAGAAATTAGCCTATTGAAATCCAATAGAATATAAAAAGATTTCAGCAATTAATTAATAATCTGGTTAAATCATAGCACAAGGTCTAAAGAGTATTTTAAGATTATCTGGTAATTCATATCTGCCTACATATCCTGGATTCATTGTAATATTGATTTAACATGATTTATTTAATGTATATTCATCAGTTTCAAAGTATATTAATTTTTTCTTTTCTTAAATACCTTATTAAATGATAATAATCTATTAAGCAACAACTGATAAAACCTCTAGATCAATTCGATTGAATTCATCAAAACAACACCAAGCTCCACAACATATTAATCCTTTAAAGAATTTACTCATTGATATAACATTTAAACCTTCTGAACAATTAAACACTATACATTAAATTCCTAAACATTTAGCTAAATCTTTAACTGTCTCTGTCTTACCAGTTCCTGCAGGTCCTTCAGGAGCACCTCCATAATGATTTTAAAATGCCATTATTAAAGTTCTGTAACATCTATCAGTCAATGGAGTAATCACTAATCTTTATGTTAAACCATAATATTCAAATCCATATTAAATATTACAAGATAATAAAGAAATTCTTAAAATCTTCTCATCATAGAATCTCAAATTAATTAACCAATTAAAATCAGTCTCTTTTAATGATTCAAATTTACATAATCTTTCTGTTTAAGTTCGATTATGTACTAAAAGTATTATTATTTAACTTATTTAAATACATTAATATGTATTCAAATTTTTTTACTCTAAAATCTTAACTAATATTTAAATTTCTTATTTTATTTGATGTAATACATTTTCTAAAGAAATTTAAGAAATTAAAGCTTATTCAATTGATTAAGTCCATTTAATTTATGTAATTGTTTAAATACATTAAGATGGCCATTTTATATACCAATTTTTATCGTTATCTTATGAACATTCTTTCATTAATATTTTCATTGTTTCAATAATAATTTAATCAGTTTCTTATAACCATTTTTCAACATTACCATTTTTATCATTTTCTATTACATTACATGATTTATAGAGATTAATTACATTTTTTTCTGGTGAAATAATGTTATGAATATTTTCATTATTTTCATCAAACTATAATTCATGTATACCTTCATAACATTTTGAAATATGTTTATTAATAAGTAAAGGTTCTTTTGTTTAAGCTAAGATTTCTAATAATCCATCATCAGATAAAAAAAAGAATCTTGGAAATACTTTTCTTTTTTATTCTAAATAATCATTTAATCCTTTTAAAATATAATCTAATAAATCATTACAATGTTTGCTATCTTATTTATATCTTTCATTTTCAATATTTTCCCATACTAAAGGATCTTTAACAAAGTTATCAATTAATTACTTCCAAAATCTATCTATAAAATCAAATTTGTTTTTTTCTTATGGTAATTTTTTTCTTATATCTTCAGATTAAAAGATTGGTTATAAATAAATATATCCTCTCTAAGTAGATCTCCAATTTTCCAATGTATCTTATATAAGAATAATCTTTCTTTCTACAGTTACAGCCTTATCCATTACAACATAAGGACTCTATTTTAATAATAGAACAGTATTCAATTATTCATCTAATAATATTTATGTTTCATCAATTTTCATTATATTAGAATTAATAACAAATTCTATTTTGATTTCCTTACATTTATCAACAACTAAATTAAGTCTTTTTTCAATATCATATTAATAAGTAGCTCTTTTCGATATATCTTCAATCTATATTTTAAATTATAAGAAATTATGTTCTAATAATTAATTAAGTGTAATATCATCTCCAACATAACCACATATAGCATGTATTTCATCCCAAATCTTAGGTTTCTTTTATATGGCTTCACAATTCAAATATTCAATTAACCACATTATTTCTTTAAATTTATCCAAATCTTTTTTTAAATCTTTTAATAATCTCATAGCTTAATTATTTTAATTATCCTAAAAAAACTTTATTAATATCATCGTTTCTTTTTAATAATATTATATCATTTTTTATTCAACTTAACTATATTATAACTTTATAAATTAACCTTAATACCATTCTTGTTTATCTATGTCATATTCTATTGCTAAATCCCAAATTTTATAAAATGGATCAAAATCTTATTTAATTTTATTTAAATCATCATAATCACTCAAAGGCTATTTAAATAAACTCTCTCTATCATTAAATGATCTCACCTTATCTTAATAATTATTTATTTTTTCTTTTAAACCCATTACATTTTATGCAAAGATCTTTACTTAAGAATAATCTTCATAAAATTTAATTTCCTCAACTTACTTTTCTAATACTAATAATTCCCTTATGAATTATTCCTTTTCTTAATCTAATTTCTCTGTAAATTTTGCCTCCTTTATATTAACATTTCTCTAACCCTCAACTAATGCTATTTTTATTTCTGCTGGCCATTATTTTAATAACCATAAATTTTCTATTTCTTTATTATCATATTAATATTAATAATAATGTAATAAATCCAATGTTTAAAATAACATATTTACTTCATTTCCTAACTTTGCTAAATTTACTTCCGTTTCTGCTATAAAATTCTTTAATTAAACCATCTCATGTTCTTCTTTTGGCTCTTCTAATATTTTTTCACACATATCTTAATATAATTTACCTATTCTTTATATATTATCTGTTAACACTTCATTTAATCTATTTAAAATTCCACTAATAATTTCTTAAGATTTTTATATTAATGTTTGCTTTGCTTATTTAGTTTTCACTTAAAAAAATTAAAAATTCTTTTCATCTATACATATTCTCTCTATTTAATAAACTGTTTATAAATAAAATTATAATTTTTCTTTTATTTTATCAAGCTCTATATAAGTTATTGAAGGTTTTTCTTTTGAATCTCCGAATAATCTTTTCATCATATGACTTTAACTCTTGGTATATAAATAAGAAAATTAATTAAACTAATCTAAAATTAAATTTGGCTTTGTAAAAGATGCATCAATAAATGAAACAATTTATTCTATTGCCTATTCAAATTAATATTCTATTAATTCCATATCAACAGATTATGTTTATTTAATTTCTATCAAAGGCATTATATCATTTTCAACCTTATTAACTTATTAAATAGTTTCTTTTATTAATTAAATTGGAGTTATTAATGTAGATATAATCTATTATCTAGTTGGTTAAAATATCATGTATCTCTCTTCTCCAAATGTTGATTACTTATGTAAAACTGTTTTCTTACGAATTAACTATTGTAAAACAATGTTGATTTATAAAAAAGATTCCTTACTTAAATATTCAGATTCTTCTGTAAAAGATTTTATATGATTAATCCATTTATTTATATTCATTTCAACCAAATTTTTCATGTTTTAATAACTGAACTATTGATCTATTCTTTTTAATATTAAACATAACTATGATTTTTAATATCCTATTTCATCTGTTTAATAAAAATTAAAATGTGTCCTTAGACTATCCTAAACATCTTGAATAACTTAATTTCTCCAATTATTGAACATACTTAGTTTTAATACATTATGCATTTATTAATTAAATGATTCTAAATTTTATAAAATAAATGGAAGTTATCCGTAAGTATAACTAGTAGGAAGTAATTCAAAAGATTATTCTTTTATAGTTTGCATTTTTACAAATGTTTAAAGAATCTATTTATTATTTAAAATAGGTGATAAAGAAATTTAGTATTTAACTTATTAAAAATCCTTTTTTAAATTCTTTAACTTTGGATGCTTTTATAATATATCATTCATATTTCTAATTTTTATTCTATTCTAAATAAAATCTGTAAAGTAATCACTTGAATTCATCCTTTAAAGTGTAAGGAATTTCTTCATAAATAATTTATATTCAAAATCTATTTATTCAAAATCGATATTCTATAACTTATTTAATTTCAACTTCTTTTTAATGTTTATTTTTGTTTAAACAGGAATTGTAGTTACTAGCTAATCAGGTATGTTTGTGACATATTTAAAAAATCTTAATTCTTCTTCTGCTTATTTCTACAATATCCTACATTATTAAAGTCTTTAATTAAAATCTGCCTCATTTTCTGTCTTTAACATTAAAGATAATCGAGTAACAGCTTTTATTTAATCATTCTTTAGAATTTTAACAATAAACTTTTATTGCTACTCATCATAATCTAAAATTTAAACATCTGTCCATAAATATCCATTTCCTTAATAAAATGGGCATTTAGCATGATAGGATTTATCATTCTTAAATTATTCTATAATCTCTTATGGAGTTTAGGGATCATCCCAAGTTAAATAATTTTTTAAAGTTTTATTAGTATTAAGACCTTATAATTCAAAATTTATTTCTTCATCATTTACCTTTTCTTGAAATGATAAATTTTTTCTATTTGACAAACGACTAAAATTCTCTTATATTTTTACAGGATTTCTAGCTGGTTTAGGTATATTTGTTTTTATATTGTTTTTGCTTAATTCATTCATCCATTAAAAATTTGAATCATCTCTTAAAGTAATTATCATAGAATTTTAACCTCTATTCCTAGAACTTGATTTTGCTTATCGAGTAACTGGTTTAGTAATAATTCTTTATTAATTTATAAATAATTACTTTTATTAAAAGATTTCTCTGCTTGGTTCAAGTTTTTATTTAATTGCCTAATAACTAATTTATTAATCTTAAAAAGATTAATTTACAGCTTCCATATTTTTCTCATTGATAATATTATTGATTAACTCCCTAAAGTTAAATTATTAGATACTTAGAATCATGAAAATGTTATTGTGTTTATAATAGTTAATCAACTAAAAGTTGCTCCCTTTTAGCTTATGTAAAATTTATCTTAGGTAACTAAGCTTTAACTATTGGAGCCATATTCATTCTCTTTTGGCTCATTCTTATTTTAATTAATATTTATTATATAGAAACTATAATTAAAATTAACATCTATTTATCGTTGATTATTTTAAGATTTTCAAAAAGAAAAACATAAAATCATTCTGACTTTTAAACTTTTGAAAAGGTAATAATTCAAACTTTATTTTCTCTTTTTTATATATTTATGAATTAATTTAAATTTTCATTAATAATTATAATTTATGTCTTAATAAAAATAAACAGTTTTTAATTATAATAATGAAGAAATGTAACAAAATAATTAATAATTAGCGGTGGCTGTTTGATGTTGATGTATGATTCAGATGATGAAGTAGATAAATTTAATTAAAGTCTTTAAGAAAGTTAAATCCAATTATAAAAAACAACTACAAAAATGCAGCAAATTTAATTATAGAATAATCATCATATAAAAAAATGATAATATATTAAAATATTTATCTATATTTATAATGTATTAAACAACCATTTTAGAGGACAATGAAAATATATAAGAAGATTGTAAATCAAAAAGATATGCAGCTAGAGGCATAAAATTTGAAAATTAACCAAAATACAACAGCAAATCTATAAGACTGGATTCGATTAATTGGCATTATTTGTGTAACATATCTCTTAATTATTTTATTATGGGCATTATATATTTGATGTGTATTATATGAAAATTAGGTTTTATAGGAATTGATAGTAATTTTAAACTACCTGTAGGTATTTTTATGGTCTTGTTTGTCTTATTTGTGATTGGAATTTTAATTTATTGGTATTATGGTTTGGGAAGAATTAAGTCATTCAATTCAATGATGTTGAGTAAATGGTAGGATAGTTCTTATGAAATTAATAATTGATTAAATTACAATTTAACAATTTTCATGATATATACTATTAAGTGGTTAATTATTTCTTTTTTAAATACTTGAATATTTAATAATTTATCCTCTTTTTTTAATAGTAATTTTAGCACAATCCTAACAAATATGAAGGGAATTTATAATCCTAATTACAGCAGAAATGTCTTACCTTTTTGCATTTTCAAATCCGCCCCGTCACTTTGATTATTTACCATTAATTAAAAATTTTAATTAATCCCGTTGTTTAGGATAATTATATAATTAACTCTTATTTATTTAAAATATTGATCTTTTGCTGTAAAATTTATTTATATCTATTTTTTATAGAAAATCCCCTAATGATCAAAATACTTTAGAATTAGGAAACTTAAAACTCTTAAGTATTTTTTGTTTGAATGTTCAATGATTTCTTGAATCATTTCATTGAATCATTTCAAAATTATTGCTTATTAAAGAACTAAATGAAATATCTTAGAAGTTCACTTCTTTAATATTTATATTAATAAAAACGAAGTCTAATAAAATTGTTTTCATAAAGCATGTTTATTGAATTTTTTTATGTTAATAACTCAATTTAATATAAATAAATATTACAATATTTTAATAGAATTCAGAAGATAAAATGGCAAAATATAATATGACACTTGTAATTTTAATTATATATTTCTAATCTTTAAAATATTTTCTTGGCCAACATGGATTAATAGACTAAATAAAATTAATCTAATGATAATAAAAATGAATAATAGGTAAAAATGGTTTGAACTTTAAGGATTTGGCTGAAGAATTTCAATTAAAGGAAAAAGTTTAGAAAGCTTTAAAGTTAGATTGCCTAATGTTATTTAAATATTTTTTTTATTCTTTGATCTAAAAAACCATTTTATTTATTTAAAAAAAAAAATTTGGCATTTCAAATTCACTTTTGGCTCTTTGATGTTTTTATAGAATTTATTAACTCTTAAATTAAACCTTCATAAAATAATCTTATATTCATATAAAATAGAGTACTTCTATTGTAAAAGATATCCTTTAATCCAACTGATAAGGAAATTATAAAAAAATACATATAAAAACACATTTATATAAAAAATGCAATGATATCTATAAATATAGTTTAAATAATTCTTATTTTTACCTTTTTGTATCAAAATAAAAAAATAAAGAGAAACAAATTTTAATGAAGTTATTCATCTGAAGAATTTTAGATACTTCTAGATCTTAAAAGGCATTTAATTCTAAATATTACTAGTTGAATAAGTTAAGAATTTGGATATTTTATCATTCATTATATTCAAAAAATTTATTTGATTATAGTTATTATGCAATATTAAACTTTGTAATTGTATTTTAATCAAGATCCTTATATTATCTCAACATATTATATAAATTTAAATTTTTCAAATAGATTTTATTATAGAATAAATTGTGTAATTAGATTATTTATATAAATTCCAAATAATTTTTAAATAAAAATTAATAAAATCTTGAGTGGTTTCAATAAATAAATTAGACATTTTGTGGATATTTTATGTTTCCTCTATTATGATAATATTAACTATTAATTTCATTCAACAAAATTAAATATATTATTGCTGAACTTAAATATGAGTATTACGATTTTTTTAATAAAAATTATTAAGTCTTTGATTGAATATGAATTTCTTGAGATTGAAAATCTTAAAACATCAAGCACAATAGAAATAATAAATACGACATTTTTCTTATTAAGTTATGCAATCCTGAAATTTAATTTTTCCAATATTTTTAAGATTTATATTAATCATTATTTTTTATTGAATTTTCTTAAAGTAATGTGTTAAATCAATGAGTTATAAACAAAAGAAATTTTAAAAGTAACTTAAATCTATATTAAACAACAAAGAAAATAGTATTTATTGTTAAATATAATTATAACTTTATTTAAAAATTTATATACCAATTTTAGTAATAACAAGAATAATAATAACTATTAGTTTGGTAGCTACAAAATTCCGATTAAAAATAAGAATGATAATTTTAATAATGTTATGAAGTGAGATTAGTTTATTAAATTTATTGATAAACAATGATATTAGTTGATTATCTAAGTATAATTGAAAGAGAAAACTAGATATATTTTGTGATTATCAATCATAAGTTTATTTTTGGATCAATTATAATATGAAGTGAAGGTGATTGATAGAATTGATATTAAATATATAAAAATAATGAGTGCAAAAGTTGTTGAGAATTATTCACTTCTTGAAGTAATAGGTTCTGGTCAATATGGTAAAGTGTACAAGGCAGTGAACATAAAAAATAATAGTTTAGTTGCAGTGAAAGTAGTCAAAATAGAAAAGTTTAAAGAAGTGCCAAAATTGGAAGAATTCACAATGAATGAAATCCAAACATTAGCTAAGATTAATAATCCATATGTAGTGAAGTTTATTGAAATGCTTAAGAGCTCTCGTAATTACTATTTTGTTTATGAGTATTGTAATGGCTAAACACTTGAAGCAGTTATTTAGGAGCAAGGGTAAAAGTTTATATAATAAGGGTTCAAACTGAAAAAGAAGCTTTATGCTATTTTAGACAATTAGTTTAAGCATTCTAATCTTTAATTTAAGACAATATAATGCATAGAGATCTCAAACCAAGCAATATTATGTTACATAATGGTTAAGTTAAACTTGGTGATTTTGGATTTTGTAAAGCTTTGAATGGTCCTTAAGACTTATCTTCAACTATGGTTGGTTCTCCTATATATATGGCTCCAGAAATATTAAAAGGATAAGAATATTCAATTAAAGCTGATCTTTGGTCTCTTGGATGCGTTTTGTATGAATTATTATATGGAATCTGTCCATTTGAAGAAAAAACTATGGCTTAATTGATGTTAGCTGTTGAAGAGAAAGAAATTTAATTTTTAGACTAAGTTAATGTTGTATCTTAAACGACAAAGGATTTATTATAAAAACTGCTTACAAAAGATCCAAGTAAAAGAATTAATTGGAAAGAATTATTTGAAAGAGAATTAACTTATGCAGAAAGTAATACAAATGGTAAATTTTTTAGGAAATAAAACTAATGAATAACATTCCAATTAGATTTAATAAGAATTAACCTTAAATTCTTAAAGAAATAAAGAATCTAAAGCTTTTAAGTATTTATTGATGGAAAGGAATAAAATATTTTATTTATATAAAGTTGTTGAAGAAGTATTAGAATTGAGCAAAGAAGAAGTTTTTTATTATTTATAATTATTACTTTTAGAGAGATGAAACGAGAGAATCTTAGAGCGTTTATTGCGGTTATATGATAGTTAAATATATATGCTATTTGATAGAGATGATTAGAATGAATCTTGTTGATAAATTTGATGTATCTGCTTTTCCACATCTTGCTAAAAAATAGGAATTATAAAATGATATCACCAAAACATTTGAATATAAAAGTTTTTGCACTCTTATTTAAAAAGAAGTTGAAACAGCTCGAAAGATGTTTAAGCATTTTTAGGAAGAAGCAGATAAATTTTATAAAACATAAAATAACGGATAACATATTTATTAAGGAACAGAATTCCAACATTTTGAAAGTGAACTATAAAGAGAATTATCTACATCTGAAATTTCTATTACTTTTATGAAAAAAATTGTATTAAAATATTGTGAAGATTTAAAAAGTCAATTTTTATAATAATTTTTAGACAAGAATCCTTAATCGGGAAGCAAGTAATCAATTAATATATTAATTTAGATAGTTGTTACACATTGAAAAAACATTAGAATCCTTAATTCTTGATGAATTTTTTGAAAATTGTATGGATATCCAATAAATAGATCTAGAATAATAAAACTATTTTACAATCCTTAATAAATATTCTAAAGCTGATCTATTATAAGTCATCACTAATAAAATGGACTATATAAGGCATAAATTATACAAATGACAAAGATTTTGTATTTTAATAATAAAATTTTATTTTTATTTCTATAACTATTTAGACCAGTATATTATTCTTTTTATAAATAATTGTATTTCTTTAAATAATAAAAAAATTTTCTCTTTAATTTAAAATAGCCTTTCTACGCTAATTATATAATTATTCCTTAAATATTAAGATTCTACTCTACTTGACTAGTTTAAAATTAAATTGCTACTAAATAATTTATAAAAACTAAATTATATCTAAGATTAAGATAAATAAAATAGATATCAAAGCATTGGGTTTCTAATAATGAGACGTTCAATTTGCTCTATTTTATTTTTTTCTTAAAAGTAATTAAGTTTGTATAATGTTTACTAATATTTGATATATATAAGATCAAATATTGTTTAAAGAAAAACATGAATAATTAATTAATCTAATAATTGAAAATATAAAGAGTCTGGATTAGATTTCATATAAAACAATATGATAGTTAAATTTAATAGTTCATTATTATTAATTCAAGAAGAATTTATAAAGAGATATTCACTAATAGAATTGAATATATTAAATTTTAAATAATCTATGTGAAATTTATTCAATTTTTATATATTCATCTATCAAAATTCAAATAAAATAAAATTTGACAATATTAGTAAAATTTATGAATTATTTGATGATATAATGTTTAAAATCATTTAGAAAAAAAGAATAGTTTAATAAATGATAAACAATATCAATTTTTGATATTGATCTCATTTTAAGTTGGTTGTATGAAATATAAAATTTAATAATATAAATAAAATAATAATGTTTGAGAAATTACCGAAGCTGAGTCAGAAAAAAGCTAGATCATAATCATTATATGAGAATCAAGTTGCCACATAAAAACTTAAGGAATCATTGTATAATTTATAGACCAGTCGTTATGGTCAGAGACCTTAAAAAAATCCTGTTATTGAGTAAATTGTTAAAGAAGCTGATGCAGTTCTTACTAATTAACATTTAAAAGAGAACTTATTTAAACTAAAGGAATTAGGTTTACTAAAGAATTGTTAGCCCAAAATATAAACATCGTCAGGATTATAGAAGAAAGAATTTATATTAAATGATTATCATAATAAAAGCACATTAAATGGGTACTCAAGGAATTATGGTGGATTATTTTACAATAGATGATCTTAATTTACTAAATATGTTATATCTGTTATTTATTATTTAATATATGGTACTTCAAATTCATTCTATTTTATATATTCAAATTAAATAACTTGCAAAAATAAATTAATATATATAAATGAATAATATTAAATAAATAATAGAAGCAATTAAAAAATGTAAAGATTCTTTAATATTAAAAGAAGACATCTAAAAGTTAAATGAATATAAACCTTCTCCTGAATAGGAGTGCGGCTGTTAGAAAATGAAATTAATACATTTGGCAGCTTCTTAATCTAAAGTTGAAAGTTTACAATATTTTGTTGAAAATTTTTAAAATTTAGAAATCACAGACTCTGTATTTATAAAAATTAATTGAAATTAGATAGGAAGAACTCCATTACATTATGCGATTAACTATGGATTAATAGATAATGCTAAATTATTGATATAAAAAGGAGCAAACATAGAAGCTTAAACTTTAGGAGGTGATACTCCTTTGATAAAATCTGCATTATTAAAAAGAAAAGAATGCTATTAATATTTAATAAGTAAAGGGGCAAATAAATAACATCAAAATTTAATTGGTCAAAGTGCTGAATAAATATAATAGTATAATTGAATAACTAATGAGGATAAAATATATAAAAATATTATAGGTTTCTAAATATTTATCATTACTTTTCTTTAAATTTTATTCTTATTTTTATAAAATTGGAATTAGATTGCTAGTTAAAATGATAAGATTCTTATTATTATAGTATTTATATTAAAAAAATGCAATATATTTAATACCATCCTTAGATTGTCGATGAGTTGAAAATGAATGAAGCAAAGAGCTTGTTCTAATAAATTGAAGGTTCATTAATAAAAAAATTTGAAGACATAGATGTATTTAAAGAATTAATCTTACTTTACAATCATAAAAAAAAAGAATTAGTCTAATAGTCAGTGCATTTTGGATTAAATTCTATTTTCGTTGAAAATAAATATATTCTATTATGTAAGTGCTATTATGAAATGAGATTTACAAAATTAAAACAAAATGAGGGATTTTACATAATTATCTTATATAATTCAAAAGGTAAGGAATATTTGATAATCAGTAATTTTAATTAGTTTTCTAAAATATAAGCAGTAATAAAAAGATTCTGTGTGAGTAAAAACTTTTTCAATAAATATCAATTAATTTAATAAAGAAGCTGTCTTCCTATTGTCTAAAATTGTAAAGTAATAAATTTATAATAAAAAAGAATCAAGAGTTGTATTGTGTTTTACAAATTGATAAGAGATAAATAGTATCTGAATTAGATCAAGAACAGTTTTATAATAGTATTATTATAATGAATTATATGAATGAATAAACAAAGATTCTTAAAATTTATGAAGAAAATTAGATGTACTTTTTATTTATGAAATACAATAAATTATAATCATTAGAGTCATTGATCCTAAATGATTTTGAATTTAGAGAAGCTCCATTAGTATGCATAATCTATCTCATTCTTCAAACTTTATAAAAATATAAAAACTTAGGAATATATCATGGTAACATTAGCTTAAAATCTATCTATATAAATATGTAAGGGGCCTTTTTATAAATTATTATTTTATTTCCAAAATATTTGATGGATAATAACAAAAGTTCAACTCTAGATATTTTAAATTTAGGTTAATTACTATATTAAATAACATTTTATGAAAAAAATGATAAAATTAAATAGTATATAGATTAGAAATTGATAACATAATAAAAATAGTTATTTTAAAGTATGAATATAGAAAACAAATTTAAATATTTGTATAGAATCAGTTAGTTAGATTTATTAAATCAATTATTAACATAAACAATAACAATTGAAAATGCATTAAAACATTAATGGTTTGTAACTGTTAAATAAAATCTTAAAGCAGAGTTTTTGAAGGAAACAAAAGAACGCTTGGATTTACATACAATTATTGAATCAAATAATGAATTAAGTATGACTTTATCTCTTGATAAAAGAATTTCGACAAAGGAATTTGCTGAATGTGGTATAATAATTATTATATAATAAATTTAGAAATCGAAGATGAATTTCCAGTGAAATGTTCAATTTTAAATCCATTTTAAATGAATCCTTCGAAATAAAAACATGACAATTGCATTTTAAAATCAAAAAGTTTTTCGAATTTTGATTTAAATTTTGAAAATTAAGAAAAGTACTTTACAAATGAATAATCTTTGTTTATTTAATGAGATAAATTTTTTTTGATTTTAATTGAATAATCATTTTGCATTTGAAAATGTTTCCCAATATTAAATTTACTACACAACATTATGTGGAATAATTGCTTTTTCTGGACCAACTTCTTAAAATACTCTTAGAAAATCCAATCTTTTTTTTAATTCATCACTATTTTTTATTTATTTTTCTGTTGTAGTTTATTATTTCATTTATTTACTATTCATTTCTAAAAATTAAATAATTTATTTAGCTTATAGATTTTCTCTTACAGCTTTTCTTATACTTGACTCTGATAAATCAGCTATTATTAAGATTTTAAATCTTTTTTTAATTTCAGAAAATAAATTTAATAAATTACATAAAATTTCTTCTTCTTATTAATCCCCAGAATTTAAATATGCATAAATTCTGAAATTAGCTTCAACTACAATATTACATTATATTCCAATAAATACACTTGGAGGTTCATATAGAAAATTCCAAAATAAATAGGTTATTCTCATATGTTATTCTGTATATTAGGTAAAACCAAATTCTTATAAATCTTTAATTACATTTATTTACCATTCTTCATTTGGCATTTGATAAATCTTCATAGGATCTAAAACACTTAAACAAAGAATAAATCTTACAATATTACTCTATTATTTAGTAACGTAATATTTGAGTATTTAATTAATTTATTTATGAGTTGAACTTAAAATAAAAGAAAATCCAACTCCTAAATTTTTTTCAAGTAATTTAGATTCAATTAATGTTTATCTAACCTATTATCTATAATTCGAAATATTAGATCTTTCTCGTCTACTAATCAAATCAAATAAGTCTTTCCATTTTCTACTGCATTCTTTTTTTAATTATTCTTAACTTTCAGTACAATCACCAATTTTTGTTAAAATGCTTTTGCTTTTTCCTTCAATTGCATCTCTTAATGAGTTTTAAAAATTAGAATCCAAATAATAATATGAATTCACGTTTTATTATTATCTTTCTTCTGATTTTGTAATAAGTTTTAATTAAATAGCCAATTCTAATATAGAATTAGGAGTTTATCCATAATTTTATGCTTGTATCATACTTTCTGGGATTTTCCTTTCTTCAAAGAAGATCATTCTTTAAATAATAATTCTTAAATTTGGCGGCATAGATCTAAAAACTGGAATACAGGCTTATTCTTAAGGTTTATAAATGCTTGTATCTAATTATTATAGACATCCTAAGAAATCTTCTAATTACTAAGCCATTTATAATAAAATAAATATTATTTATTAAAATCATCTTTTTCTGCATTTTTTACATTTCCAATCCATTTAATCAATTTCTTCTTATGTTTTATTAAGTGGTATTCCTGCACAACTTTAATGATACCAACATTTTTTTTCACTACATTCAATCCATTTAGTATCTGTACCAGGACAATTTGTATTTTCACATTTTTAATTAGTTTATTCTTCTCTATCAGATGTTTTTTCATCATTGGTCATAAACATACATTCATAATCGCTTCTAACTCTTTTTTCAGGATTATATGCAATTAAATAAGCTTTCTCAGTTTCTGATAAATATTTATCATCTTATTAATTTATGTTGGCTTTTCCAAATTTGATTTCATTTAAAAAATCCTCCTTTTTGAATTAAGATATTGTCTTTTAATTTAATTTCAATTTCATTTATTCTAACGTAGCTCCAGGAGTCCAATATTCTAGAGTTCTTTTGATATTTAATTATTCTTAATATTAGAGATCCATATTAAAAATTATTGTCTAATTATTATTAATATTTAATAATGAAAAGCATAGTAAAAACAGAAGAAGATTCTCCTAAAAAACCAATTTGGGAATCTTTATTAGAAAGGGTATATCTAGTAAATAAATTAATTTAGGGTTCATGTAAAAAAGAAGAAATAAAGAAAAAAATTGAAGAGAAGAAAATAAAAGAAGAAGAATTAGATCCAGAATGTACATTTAAACCTTCATTAATCAATTAAATATGTAGAGATTATAATATTATGATTTTAAGAATTACAATATGATAAGCCATTTTATGAAAGATAATTAAAATGGTTAGAAGATAGAAAACAAAAAATAAATGATAGAAGAGATGGATATAAAGATAAGAGTTTAGAAAAATGTTCGTTTTAACCATAATTAGGACCATCTCCTTAAATAGCTGAAGTAGATATAAGAAACACTAAAGGAATGGATTCATTTATTTAAAGACAAGAAAAAGCAAGAAAATAAAAATAAGAAAAGAATATGTTATTAAATAATCCATATTCTCATTTAAGTTCAGAAAAGAGATGTGTTTAGACAGTACATATAAATATTCTATCTAGAACTAATAATATTACAGTAACAATCATCCAATTTCAAAGGAATATGAGTCTATTAAGAAGGCAGAAAGAATAGAATTTTCAAAAGCAGTAGAAACATCATAAGAAATAGAGACTTAATCTTAAACATAATAATAATAGAAAATGCAATTAGGAATGGCAATGAAAATGTTACACAATCAATTATATAATATTCAATTTAATAGTGAATTTTGATGTGTTTTATACTTACATTATAGATAATAATAATAATATTATATTTACTGTGATAATATTTCAATATGTTTTTTTGATTCTCTCAGCATTTTTAGGAGAATCATAAACAGTTGGTGGTCTACGCATTTCATGTTAGAAGTGGTTGTATTCAAATGTTCTATTTGATCTTCTAGTATAAGCTAATTCCATTAAAAAGTCAAACATATCATCCTAAAAATATTAAATCAATATTTGTACTGTGCATGCATAAGCAGCCTCATAAAACATTGCATAACATGGATAGACTTTAGCTCTTTTCAAATAATCAGCTTCTGTTTTATCCATTTTAAAATGTTCAGCTTAATCACAATCAAACCATTTCTAAAATCTAAGTGCACATAATGTAAAATAATCTTATTATGATTAATAAGTAGGATAAGGAACATAGACTTTTTACTTTGGAGGTAATCCAACTTAAAAACAATTTGTTCTACCTGTAGGTGTTGTGCCTCTGAATGGAAATAGACAATCTTCCAATGCCCCTATAATTGATTAAAGTAATATCTTACATCCTTCAAATAATATTGTGTAAACATCATCAGGTTCCATTAATGAATATTTATTAGCTGTTGTATCAAAATAGAAACACTATTCATTTATATTCATAATACTTTTGTATATAATCTAAACCAATCTTTCAATTAATCCTTCTCCCAAACAGCATCAGTTCTCAATACAAAATCTTTTTCATAATCTTTCCAATTTATTCCTTTAAATATATCATAATATATTACCTCTATGTGAGAAATCATAATTTGGAGGCATCTTATGGAAATCTTTTGGTAATGTTTCTAATAAGGGTTATGTAGCCATTTATGTTTATATTTAATTTATTTATATAAATACATATTGTAATTCCATAATTAGATATTATCAATAAATGTAATATACTAACTTCACTCCTATTCTTCGGAAATAAAAGATATTTCAATATTAAATTAATTGTAAAATTATAATTAATTAATAATTCAATGGATCCTGAAGATGATTAAGAAATTATAGATTCTATAGTAAATGGTACTCAACGCACTTATTTCTTAGCTTTAGAAAGTGATGAAGAAAGATCCTTTTCACCTTCTTAAACTAGATCAGATACTAATAGAACTTATTCTCCATAAGTTAAGAGATTACAATAACCATAGTATTAAATACTCATATTAATAGATATTCAATCAAAAAAATTTAAAGTCCTATTATAGGATTCAAATTAGATTGTTGGACAATTTAGACATTTAGTTTAGATGATGACTTATATTTAGATGGAGATTTAGTATACATTAATTTATATATTAGATTCTCAAATGTAAAGATTAAACTAATAGCAGAAAAATATAAAGTCTATTTGAAAAAGGAAATGAGGAACAAAGAGAATTTATATTTTTAAAATTATTACCTGGTATTGCATCACTTGCTAATGATATATTTGGAAACTATGTTGTTTAAAGAATTTTAGAATAAGGAAATCAATAATAGAGAGAATTGATTTTTGAGCATTTATCTTAATCAATTTTAGTTTTAAGTTACAATACTTATGGATGTAGAGTAGCTCAAAAATTATTAGAAATATCTTATAATACCAATAAATTTGAATAAATATTCAAGATAATATCATCTTAAATTAGAAAATTGGTTATTGATACTAATGGAAATCATGTCATTCAAAAAATTGCTGAATTAGTTAAATCATAAAAAACTGATTGGTTAATTGAAGGTGTCTTAGGATAAATTTAAAAATTATCTAATGATTCACATGGATGTAGATTAATTTAATAGATATTGGAATTATCATCTATTTCATAAGTAATCATATAGATTAACAAAGTTAAATGAAATTTATAAAGAATTATTATCCTTATAAGATGAATTATGCTTGTCCTAATATGGAAATTATATAATTTAAATCCTTTTACAGAAAGGCCCTACTGATGTTATTAATCAAATTTAAAATACTATCATTAAAAATTTAGAGAAATTGAGTTGTGATAAATTTGGAAGGTATTTTCAAAACTTTCTATTATAGCAATGTGGTTGATAGAAGTGTTAACATATCTATTTATATGAGAAAAGAAATCCTTAAAGTATTCATACATAATATGAATATCTTTTATAAATTATCTAATAATTGTTATGGTAATTATGTAATATAGAATTTCTGCAAATAGCTTGAATTAAATTAACTATTAAAATTATCATATGATTCAACTTAATTTAATACTCAATTTGGTTAGCATGTATATTAAACATTATAAAAATTGAAAAATTGATTTTATTATTAGATGATATTTAATATCCAAAATATACATCAATATAAATTTTGGATTTTAAATATTATCTTGTATATATTGTAAATATAAATCTTAATATAAATATTAATTATATTATCTAAAAATATAAGATGGGTAGAGATTTTGAAAAACTTAAGTACTAAAATGTATCTATTTTAGTCTAACTAAGGAATCTACTACAAAATTGAATAAAAAGGAAAAAAAAGAGAAGAAAGAAAAACATAAAAAGAAGGAAAAGAAATAAAGAAAAGAGGGCAAAAAATAAAAAATATAAAAGAAAAATTAATGGGGAAAATATGGTACAATAAGGTAATATATTATAATTATTAAAGTAATACAGATATGTATTTAAAACGTGAAGAGTTTTTAATGTGGCTTTCAGATGTTAAAAAATTAAATATTGAAGCAATTACACCATAAGAAGAGAAAAAATTTTTTGAAGAATATGTTGAATGTTATAATACAGCAACTTTTCCATCAAAGAAATTCTATAATTTTAAAGTTTGGTTTGAGAAAGAACAACTGAAAGGACATTTATAATAAGCAGAAATTGAAATGCTCACATTTGATGATGAAAAAGAAAAACAGTATATTTATTATTTTTTAAATTTTTAATAGAAAAGAATAATAAGAGGAGAAAGAATTTTAAAAGAGGTAGAAATTATAAAGAGAATATTAACATCTTCATGAATTTAAAAATATTGTAATAAATTATTTATTTATTAAGGCAATAGACATGCAAAAATAAAAACAGCTTTAAGAACTCTTGAGACATTATTTTTAAATGGGCAATCATGAAGCTGCTCTGAAAATTTAAAAATAATTAAATCCAATCCAGACTCTTGATATGAATTAAATCTAATAATAACCTCCAATAGATTATGACTATGATTATGAAAATTTCTGATCCTAAGACATTTATTTTAAAAAAAAAAGATATTCAATTTAATAAAATATATGTTAAAGTGTATAATAAAATTAAAATGCGTAGCTGTTAATTTATATAAATAATTTGAATATTAAATGGCAAAAATAATAGATAATTATATATTAATCGAAGGAATAGGATAAGGAACATTTGGTGAAATACATAAAGGCAGAAATTTAATATCTAAAGAAGCAGTGGCTGTGAAAACTATAAAATTAGATAGATTTTTAAATGATTCAATATTAAAAGATATGATAATTAACGAAATATAAGCATTGAAAAAATTAGAGGATTAATATATTGTTCGAATGATTAAAATGCTTAAATCAGCAAATAACATTTATTTAGTTTACGAACACTTAAATGGGGGATCGTTAGCAAATTATTTATACGATAAAGGTCGTCTAACTGAATAAGAAGGAAGATAAATTATGTCAAATGTTTTTAAGTATTATTTTAACCTTAATTATAAAGAGGATTCAAGACTTTAAATCATGAAAAAATTATTCATAGAAATATTAATCCGAATAATTTATTTTTTAATGATGGAATTATTAAAATAAAGAATTTCTTTTGTTGTAAATCTCCTGCAAGTTAGAAATTATTTGATCCAGGTATTTTTGATTATTTTTATTTAGAAAATCATATTTATTCTGCTCCTGAAATATTATTAAAAACATAATAGCCATAATATGAAGATAAATGCGATATCTTTTCTTTAGGATTGGTATTTTATAAAATGTTTTTTGGATAACTTCCATTCCCAGAAAATTTAACTTAAGATTAACTTATTGATTTGTATAAAAATTAATAATTCAATCCTATTGTTGAAGATTTATCAGAGAATACTGCCTATATTCTAAATGGAATGTTGTAAATAGATTAGACAAGAAGAATTGAATGGCAAACATTGTTTCATGAAGATTAAGTACCTACTATTTCAGGTTTAGTAAATTCCACAAATACTAATTTTGCTTCTAATTACTAAATTAATTCTTAAGTACAACAATTTGAGACTGGTGGATAGAATTTTTATATTTCATAACAATCATTATAAAATCATATTACAACTAGTCCAAATGAATAAGTAAAAAGGAAAACAAATGCTTCTGACAAAGAAAATATAAAAATTAATAAAGAAAATGATTAAGCATAAATATTCGCAAAAACAATAGAAAAGGAATAAAGCATATCATAATAATAATCTTAATAATAAACTTTATAAATTTAATAGTCTAATAATAATAATTCTTTGCAAAATGTAGTTAAATAAATTCAAAATTAATTAAATGAATTAAGACATAAATTTAATATTATAATATAAGGAACATGTAAAATTGAATAATTAGATAATTGGTCAGCTAAAATAAAAACTGAAATTTGCATGATATTCTTATTAAAAAAGGCAATTAAATGCATAAATGAAATGTTAGATATTTGCTAAAATACTGATAGATAATGGGCTATTTCAAAAAATAAATCAGAAATAATTAAAATTTTATAAAAAGATTTTGATGATTTGGTAGCGAATTATAAACATGTTAAATAAATGGTATAAAGTTAATAATCATTTTTAATAGAATACTTGTCCACATGAAGAATTAAATACACATGAAATGATAGATGAATAATATGTGGATAATGTATTAATTATGATAGCAAAATAAATTGCTATGGATTTAGGATAAATTCGATCAAGTATGAGAAGTAACTCTTAAATTAAAAGCAATGTAATTGATATATTTTTATCAAAATTAGTCATTTAATTATGAATAAACTAGTTAAAGGAATGGAAGTTTTATTGAATCAAAATAAGGTACTTCAAACTAATACATTTTTGCAATCTTTTTAATAGATTTAGTTAAAGGAATGAATTTTGATGATTCAAAGCCTTATTTTAAAAAGTTAGAAGAATCAAAATTGCCTGAGTTGCTTGATTTTAAACTAAAATCTATTTGATTGTATTTTATAATAAACATATTAAATAAAATTATTTTTATGATCTAAAAATCTGAGTACTTAGCTGATGAGGCAAAAGAAAGGGAATCAAGAATCCAAAGTAAGGATTACTTATATAAAAAAAGGAATGGAAAAATAATTAATTGAAAATTAATATAGTAAACAAACATATCCAAAAAAATATGATTATACTCATACAAAAAATAATTATGCAGTACCAATAAATCAATTGGATTATAAATCATTTTATTAATCTTATTTGCCTTTAGATCAGAGAGAGATAAGTAATAAAAATTAATAAGTTACTTAAAATAAAATTTCTTCATTTAAATTAAGTTATGACAACAATGAAAAAGATTTATCCCCTAATAAAAAACAATAATAATTATAATATAGGGATATTTTATAAAAATAAGTTGAAGAAAAGCAAAATTTATTGAAATAGGAAAAAGTTAAGCATGAATGCACTGATCTCTTTACAAATAATTAATAGAGTACACCAGTACATAAAATGAATAGTTTAAGTAAAGCAGAATATTAAAATTATTTGTAATTATAAATTTAAGAAAAATAAGGCCATAATAAAATATTTTTTACTCCTAATAAAAATTAATAGAAAATTGAAGAGAATAAAGATAAAAATATTAAGGAATCAAAAGAATTTTAAATAATTTAAAAGTAATTAAAATAATATTAGGAAGAAAAAAATTAAAAGGATCGCAAATTCTTATTACAATAGAAATTTGAAGAGTCAACATCAATGCATGAAAAAGAAAAGGATAAATCATTTTCTCCTGAAAATCATAATAAAAAGAAAAACTTAAAATAAGACGATGAGGAAGAAAAAGCCAGAATTCAACAATAAAAAAGTTTTGTTTCAAAAATTTTAACAGAATAGATGTTGGAAAAATAAAAAAAAAAAGATGAAGAGAAAAAGTAATAAGAGACAGAAGATAAATTAGCAGAAGAAAGATGGAAAAATGAAATTTCGATGATGAAAGAAGAAAAAAAAAAAGAAGAAGAATTGAAAAAGGAATAATAAGGAAGTAATTGAATTATCCTTAATGAATTATTTAGAAATTTAATAGGAAAATATACGAATGCATTAACTGAAACTTAAACAATAATAAGCAAGAAGCAGAAGCAAATCAAATATTATCTAATAATCAAAGATAGATGAAGAATTTAAAGAAGAGTTTGATATGAAATAACAGGAGATAGAGTAGGAATAATTAACTATCTCAAAAATTGAATTTTAGGAAGAAACGTAATAATAATAATAATAATAATAATAATAAATAGCTGAATCTAATATTAAATAGAGTAAACCTTTCAGTTATATTGATTAATAAAATTTAGAATTAGAAAAAATAAAACATTAAATGATTGAATAATAATAATAATTGGATAGACAAATTTATGCTGCAAAAAATTTGGCATAAATTGGATTATTAGAAGGTAAGAATAGAATAGAAAAGGAATTAATACTTTTAAAAAATAAAAATAACAAACATTTTAATGAAGATTATGCAATTTCATTACTCAATAAGCACTAAAGTAAATATGAATATGAATTACCATTTCTATACAATTAAAAAATTTAGCATGATTAATTATATAGAGATAATCTTTTAGATAAAGTACATTTAAATGCCTAATCGAAATTGATTCCAATATCTAATAAACATACTTAAAATCCATCAAAATATTTGGGAAACTTTTAATAATAATAGAATTAAGCTCGTTCAAAATCAATTTCTCAACAATCAAAATAAAATTATCACACCTAATTATTAGATTTATAAAAAAGTAAATAAAAAGATGCTTTAAGTTAATTACTTTTAGAGTATCATGAATGAATTAATGAATATTAACTTTTATCAAGAATAAGTTGTTTAGTAATTTGAATTTTAATAAACTGATTATTTATACAAGTGCGATCATTCAATCAAGACATACAACATTAATTATCTTGTTCAGTTCCTTTTTATTTTTTTATTTATTATTATGGGGAATTCTATTATAATTTCATTCCTACTTTACTTTTTTGATTTCTAATAATTATGAAAACATATTTTTACTAATTTGGTTTTCCAACTCTTATGATAATTTGCCTAGTAATTAAACTAAAACAATTTTCAATATTAATATTAGTTTTAGCAGATGTTTCAATATAAGAAATATTGTATGATTTAGCTTGAATGATAAAATTACATACCCATAGCTTCTGCTTCATCTGTTAATACTCTTCTTTAAGAGCTATCAATTTTATTTCCAACTAATATTTTATTAACTTATTCTGCTGCAAATTTATCAATTTCTTGCATCCATTGTCTAATTTAATTGAATGATTCTCTATCTGTAACATCAAAAACCATAATGATTCCTTGAGCTCCTCTATAATTCTATGTTTATTATTAAATACCTATAATAACTGCTTGTTATAGTTCTAAATCTATCTTAACCAGCGGTATCCCACTAATATATTTGAATTATGAATTTTTACTATTTACAATTTCACAGTTGATCTATCAATTTAAAATACTTTAATTTTCTAATGTTATTTTTAAAATAAATATTTACAAAATCAACTCCTATAGTATTATAAAAATGATTTGTAAATTAGTTTTCCTAAAATTTTTTATTTTTAAATTTTTACGCAAAATCTCATTAACATGCATGATTTACCAACTCCACTATTTCCAATTAATAAGACCTTAAATAAATAATCGCTAATAAAGGATTAAAATTTACCATTCTGAACTTTGTTGTACATAAAGATCTGACATAGTTTATCAGAATATAAAAATTAGAATTAATTATAATTAATTATTTATATAGTATAATATAAATCAAAGTACTATTTCATATTTTGATCTTGTAATCTTACGATTTTAAATTCTTAATTTATTCAAAGGTGTACTTTCTTCATACTCAGCTAATTCAGCCATTTCATTTTCTAATTAAGCAATTTTTATTTATTATAATTAATTTTAAAAAGTATTTCTTCTTAAAACACTTCTTTTTAATGTGATTGAGTCTTATTTTTAAAGAGAATTTTTTCTCTTCTTTCCACTACTTTAGTTACTCATTGTATCCTTAAAACTTACTCTACATTCATCATCAAAAAGCATTCTATTAATAATGTTTTATGGATCTGTATAAGATAATCTTAAATTCGAGATTTCATTATCTTCTTCGCCACTACTACTGCTGCTATAATTATCTTCAATAAATATTCCTAATTTCTTAATTTCATGACTCTTTATAACACTTTTTTCAATTACATTAATGTCTACATCTATTCTTTTTATTCTATAGAATAATATATATAATAGACCTTTCATATTTTTAATATAATATTACCTTCAAATTTTATATATAATGGTAAAGTTCTTCTTTGTTTAGCATTTAATTATTTAATTTAATAATTGTTTGAATTTGGAGATATAAATTCTGCAATTCTTGCTAATGCTTCTATAAATTCAATAAATTGCATTTCAAAATGTCTCTTTTAAGTAATTTCATCAACTTACATCATAATAGACTGTAAATACACATAATAGAGTTATTATTCATTTATATAATTAGGAAAAAAATCAGAATTTTGGAGTAAAATTTTAAAGTCTTAAAAAGATACAAATTTTTCTTTAGCATATGGCTTATTTGAAAAACAAGATGTATAAGTAAATAATTATTTAAGGAATGGTAATTTGAATCTTATTGTCATATCCATAATTTATGTCCAATATCTTTCATCTCTCCATTATTAAGCACAACCATAATCTAAAATAAAGCCAAATTAACCAGTTTAAGCTTACATCATTTTCTCAAATCCTTGACTTATATTAGAACAGTTTCCTTATTTAACATATGTTTCTTTTGCTAATCTTATTAATAACTCTAAAAATTAATGTCTAACTAATGCTCTTTCTTAAATAAAGTTTGATTTAAGATCTTTAATAACTATAGTACTAATTAAACATATTTCCCAATCTACTTATTTAATTAATTGATTGTTTTTCGATTAATAATAGAAACCTTATATGGTTTAAATGTTAATTCTTGGAAAGTCTTATTCACACTACTATGATGTTAAGTATTTATAGCAAGAAATTATGTATTTATAATGTTTCTTTAATTATTCCTAAGATAATTTAATTAATATTTACTTTTAAAGGATTGATTTCATTGTTATTAATAAGATGCTTAAATATTTTACTATTTTCTAGATCAGCTTCTAAACATTATTCTAGATGTGCTTCTGTATCTTCATCAAAATCTTTAAAAATAGAATTATCCAAAGTCCATTTTCTTTTTTTAGCTAATTCAATATCAAATTCTACTATTTTTTCAGGTTCTCTTGGTTTACATTATATATTGGCTAAATAATGCTTCTTTTTATCAAAGATTGGTGTAGATTATGTAGTTTGAATCATATTAACTGTATGTAAAGGTTAACTTTATAAAATTTTACCATTTGAATATTCCATTTGTACTCCAAAATTTCTCAATTATGAATGAATCTAAGTTTAGATTGTTTTTTAATCTTTAGCATATACTTAAACATTTTCAACTGGATTACTAAAAAAATATCTAATAGTTTAATTAGGTGGACACATTCTATATAATATGAAATATCCATCAGTTGTTTTTTACATTAGAGAAGGTAAGTAATCTTCGAATTCTAGATGGATAAAAATTGGATCTTCATCTAAAAGTCCTGATTTATGTGGTTTCCATAAAAACATGACTTCTACCCAACCTTAACATATCCAACAATTTTCCAATTATAAATTAATGATATCTACACTTTAAATTCTAATAAATTCATTCTTTTTTTTTTAAGTTTGCTATTCCATTTATTACATTTGTAATTCAAGTTATTTCTTATCTAATTCTTCAATATTAATCTCATCTTATTATGATTCTGTTATCAATTTTTTATTTTTTTGTTCTCTTAAATATCCTTTATGATTAATTTCATAATTTGAATTGCCTTCAAAATGAAATCCATAAATAATCTTATTAAATTCTAATTCATTTGCTATTTTTTAAGAATCTCCTTCTTTGAAATCATTATGCGATAAATCTAAGTGAATCAATTCAGGATGTGGTCTTCCAATCAAATTACAAATTTCATTTGTGCAATCCTTATTTCCTCCTAATTTATTAAAAGAAATATCCAAGACTTTTAATACAGTATTCTTGCTTAATCCTTTAAAAAAGAAGAAACCTCCTTTATATGTTATTTTATTGTAATGTAAATATAACTCTTATATTATATTATTCTATTATTATTATATATTATAATACTTTTTTCATCATTTTTCCAAATGGTTCCATTACTTAGTCCTATATTTAATTATGTGATAAATTAAGAACTCTTAGACATTTATTATTTAATAATGAATCAATTAAGTACTTTAAACCTTAATCTCCTATTTGATTGTTTTCTAAATTAAGTTCAATAACAAACTGATGCTATTTTAATAGCAATTTCTAAAGATATAAACAACCATTTTTAGAGATCTTATTATTTTTAAAATCCAAATATTAGACACTCTTAGGTAATTAAGCCAATATAATTTCCAAATCTTCATTATTAAGATTATTAGAACTAATATTAAGTCTTTCTAATTAATTAAATGTAGATGATCCTAATCCTGAGGCAAACATTTTAATATATTGTTGACTACTTAATTATCCAGATACACTAATTTCTTTTTTATTATGATTGTCAATTATTTACATTTTTCTAGGCATACACTATTCTTATTCCATAGCCTTATTCAAATTTACATAAATATTATTAGGTGTTTCATTGTATGATTAAATGTCCATACACTTTTTTGAATGTTTATAAAATTTATAATAATCTTAAGAATTAGGAGCATTAATGATTTCTTATCCTAATTTTTAATAATCTATTGATTAACTTTTTAATGAATATAATGATGATGTTGAAGGTAAAGAAATAACAGAATAATTTTCTTTAAATAATTTTTTTTTTATAATTTACTCTCTTGATATTTCTTATACTAAATGATACCTTGAATTTAAGGGAGGTAATTTGTTTTCTGATAAAATTGCTTTAGAAGGGAAGAAATGTTTATTTTATTATTAATTAGTAGAATTAGTTTCTTTCAGTTAAATACTTAATGGTGTGTTTGAATCAGATGTCTAAAATTCTGTTAGATCAAAAAAGAGATAATCATCATTCTGCTTTTGATTCTTTATATCCTATTCTTTCTTAGTATTAAGTGATGATTTAGTATTAATAGATGTTCCTGAAATATTTAATTTCATTTTATTAAAAAAAAGTAGTTAATTTAACAAATAATTTTTTTTATTAAACTATATAATAAATAATTTATTTTTAAATTTCTTCCTCCAAAATTGGATACTTGATGAATTAAAATAAAGAGAATGAATATGTATCAGATGTATAAAGTTATTTCACCAGTAAATGCATGACTTCTAGTAGAAGTACTTCATTACATGAGGAAAATACAATGAAATTTAGTAGAAACAAGAATATATTTGAATAAAAATAACAGGAAAATGAAAAAGTATAACTACTATTTAAAATATTTAGGAATTAAAAAAGAGATGGTCAGATATAGCTAAAGATTGGTAAAGAAATAAAAGAGATGTTAAAGTATTCTAATTAGCTGAATTTGGTATTCCAATAAGTGCAAGAAAATAAGTATGGCCACTTATTGTTGGAAATAAGCTATAAATTACAAAAGAACTTTATAATATTTTACAAATTTAAAGCAAAACTTTTAAACTAGATTAAAGAAAATCTCTAGGAAGATTATCATCATTTAATCATATTAAATAGGATTTAGGAAGAACCTTTAAAAATGAAAGTAAAAATGTTATTTTCATTATTTTCAGGTTTACAAAAGATTTTTCATCCAGGAGGACCTCTTAGTGAAAATTTGTAAACTATTCTTGAAGTATTTTGTCTATATAGACCTGATATTGGTTATGTGTAAGGCATGACTTATATTGGATCAATATTATTAACATATTTTGATGATTATTAGGCATTTATTATATTGAGTAGTTTAATAACACATCCTTAATTAATTTCAATATTTATGCTTGATGAACACAATCTCTAAATTATTTTCTAATAATTTGAAAAACTTATTAAACTCAATATACCATAAGTCTATAAACTATTTAAATAACATAATATAAATTGTACAAATTATTTGCTTGATTGGATTTTAACATTATTTGCAAAACCCTTGAATCCAGATATTGTAGGAAGAATTTGGGATAGAATGCTTTTTAATGGAACACATATACTTTGGAAATGTGGAATTGCAATATTGAAGATATTATATCCTAAATTCAAGGATTAAGAGAAAACACTTTAGAGTTTGAAAAATCCTGAAATAAAAGATGAAGAATTGTTACAAGAAATGAAGAATGTTATTTATCCCTTTGAAATTTAGGAGGTTTTAGGTAATATTGAATTATGATATACTTCACATGGATATATTTAATCTCTTTTTGTGATATTCAGATTTCATCAAATAACTTATATAAATCTGCCCAGCCAATTCTTTTATCTTGATCGTATTCTAACATAGAGTTTATAATGAACTGTATTTTTTAGGATGTAGTATTGTCATGAATGATTTCTCATAATAAAGTTTATTGTACTTTTATTTTTTGTTTCATACAAATAGATTTAATGATTTTAATCTGAAAAAGGTAATTGTCCATAAATCATTAAATAAATCAAACAACCTAGACTGAAAATATCCGCCGTATTACAGTATTGTTTAGATTGAACAACTTCTGGAGCCATGTAACCAAGCATACCAATAGTCAATGTCATAGGATTATTATTGTTATACTAAATGCATAAATTTAAGTTTAGACTTACTGAATCCAAGATCTCCTAATTTTATTTGATCATTATGCATCAGAATATTCTTCATTTTAATATCTCTATGCATTACTTAACATTTCTGAAGATCCTAAATTCCTCTTAGAATTTGTTTCACATAAAAAATTGTTTGTGCTTCACTAAAATGCTTATTATTATCCAACCATAGTTTTTCAATATCTCCCTCTATGATACATACATAAAGAGGTATTACGATTACAATACTCCATAACAATATATGAGTATTTATTTTATTGGAATTCATCAATAAATCTTACAACATAGTTACTATTAACAAGTTTCATGTTTTATTTTTCTGTATCATGTAGTTATCCAACCAATCCTCCATGATTCTTAAATGTAGACATTGCAACAGCTTTAATTGCTACATTCTCATTTGTTTAAATATTAACTGCCTTTAATGAATATTTTATTTACTTGATAAACTTTGCAATATCCTCCTGATCCAATCAATTGTACAATCTCATATTATTTTAACCTTTTTCCTGGAATATGCAATTGCTTTTGTTTCATTAAAATAAAATATATATTTATATTTAATAATCAATAATCAGGATTGTTTCAATATAAAAAAGTTATTCAATTCTTCACTTTTGAACTTTTTATGGAGAATATGAACATTCTATACAATTTATTGGAACTCAATCAATTCATTAAAACAGAACATAATCTTGTCATAATTCTAATTTTCTTACAATAACATCATGGTATTGTGTAATACCAAAGCCTCTAGAATCCCATGCAAAGTAATTTTATTTAGTATCTTAATTACTTAAGGATTATGAAATTACAAAATCTTTATATAATTCTCCATATTATTACATATAAAATTTGAAAGTTTTATTATTTACTCCAAAAGCTTAGTATAAAGGAAGGTAGATTTATCCAGAGATATGTTTGACAATGAAATGTTTGATTTAAGTTTGATTTTCTAAATATTTAGGAATGGATGGATTATCTTATAGAGTTAACGATAAAGAAAAGAATAAATTAGAAGTATTGAATTTTTCAATCAAAACTTAAGCTGATTCTTTGCATTTTGTAAACATTTCTAAAGAGCTATCATCTGAAATCATTACGATTCCAATGGTATTTTAATGAAAGAAATATATGTAAGCATAAACAAATCCCATAGCTGATAAACCTGGTAAACATATTGGTGTCCAATTTTCACCTTTTTTTAATTGCCCCTATCCTTAAATCATGCTCTATATTATTAATATATCTGATGTTTTAAAATCCATATTCTTCTATTTACAAACATCGATAATGAAGGTATCTGTTAATAACAAAGAGACTATAATATTAGGGGATTTGATTTCTTTTAGATTATTATGAATATATGATCTTAATTATGGTGTTATTGTTAATGTGCATATTGAATTAAAAGCTATGCATGGAGAATATAACCCATTTTTTATAGCCAAAGTTAATAGATTTCTTGATCCTCCAACTGAAAATGCCAAATCATAATTTGGTTTTTGGGTTAGATGAACATTTGCTTAATCTGTCACTATTGATATTAATTATGTATTCAGAAAATCTAACATTTAATACATGATAAATTCTGAATCCTATAATAAAGCATTTAAATACTTAAAAATTATTTGTAGTACATATGTAAGTGATTTAATTTCTTTGTAGAATGTAAATATTACATTTATCATGAGATATCTTAAACAATGTTTATTTTTCTTTGTCTTCAAAAAAAAATAATAGAAACTTTTAAAAGATTGCATTTATGGTAGCTAAAAAGATTGATGACTTTTCATATTTTATGATCTAAATACTTTGATTTCACTTCCATATCTAACATAAATGGGTCTTCCTGTATTGGTCATAATAAATACATGTCTTTTATGTGTAAAGAATTCAGGGAGATCAGGTGATATTTCTTGATAAGAAACATTGATGACATGTGGTTTGTATATTAATGAATCAATATTCATAAATATTTATCAATATTTCTTTTTTAATATGAATATTTGATTCAATATTATGGTTAAAATACAGCATTATATCTGGCAATGGATGGTCCTCTTTCTTAATACTCTTATCTAGTGTGATATACTTTTTCAAATTATGGCTAGAATAAATAATAATTATAAATACTTAGCATGCCATCAAACTTCCTCCTTACCAAACAGCAAATCTTTAGAAAGGATTTTAAGAAACATTAACTTTGATAGATGCAGGCTTAAATTTAATTTGAAAGATAATACTTTAAATCCAGATCTTTATTCATATTTTAATAGTCTAGAATCTATTCTAAGTTAGACTTATTATTCTAATCTTTCAGCAAAACCTTAAAATAATGTTGATCCACCTGATAATATAATATTTTAATATAATTTTTTTCTGCAATCAACAGGTGAACTTTGAATAGATTTATCAATAACTTCATCAATAGGTGATCTCCATTTTCCATCAAGAAATTCAGGATGGAAAAACATTTCAGGTCCAAGAAATCTTTCATAACCAACATCAATAGTATATTTTTCTTTAGTAATAGAATTCTTTCCATAATAAGTTTTAAATTTATTTTTTTCTCCTCTATCATAAGCTTCTAATTCTTTAATAAGATTTCCATCACTAATACAATATCCATATTTTTCTTTAATTTCTCTAGCTACTTTTTTAATATCTTCAGCTGGTATATTTTCTCCTCTTTCTTTTAATAGATTTTAAACAAATTAAGTAATATCTCTACCAGCTAAAGGTATATGTTTAATGCATGATCCAATTACATAACCATCAGAAACAGGAATACAATGTGTAACACCATCTCCTGAATCTAAAACCATTCCAGTTAATCCTGCTGTTTTTTAATATTCATTTACAGGAGCAAATGCACTAGAGAAAAGTGATAAAACAGCTTAAACTGATATATGTAATCCTTTAGCATTGAATGTTTCAAAGAATATCTCTGCAATATTCTCTCTATTTTCAGGAGGATTCTATATTTCATTTTTTCATATTTACCATTGGTGGTTCAGTTAAAATAAATGTTGTTTCATCTGGCTCAGCTCTTAAATAATCAAATATGCTTCTATGCCAAAACTTCTCCATTAAATCCCAATTTTCTATTATTCCACTTTTCATTGGATAAAATATATTATGACTCTTAGTATAGTCATATGCTTCATATCCTATATAATAATCCAAGTTATCATTTGTATTCTTGCTTATTTGAACTTTTTACTAATATCAATATATCTCATTACTTTCTCTTAATGATCTGCCACTACTGTTGGAATATCGAATTAAGGTTCTGTATTTCCAGCCCAACCCATCTTTGTAAATCCAGTACCTTACAATTTATTTAATCATTTACCATTATCAATAACACAAACCTTGTTTTGATAAAATCCATTGTCAATTGGCTTCTATTGCATATGATACTCTATATATATTTTATATAAATAATAATTATTAATTATTCACAAATATTATTATTAATAATTATATTCTTATATGATCATCATCCTTCTCTTTTTACTTTTTAATAATGTTTTCTAATCATTTCTAATCATATATTCCAAATTCAAACTAAATCATCATGCATCTCAGAAATATTCAATCAAACTAATACTACCTCAATCATTTGTTATAATTACTTCTTTTTTAAATCCAATCATAAAGTTTCTATAATCTTTATTATCTACAAAACCAACATATCCTATTTTAAATTAGTCTCAATTCTTAAATAGGACTCATAGTTAATTTATTGATTAATCATGATAAATCATTATTTTGAAAAGAATTCAGAGAGAATTTTATGATAAATTTTTCCAAATTTTAAACTTTAAATTTATCAATATCTTAACTTACAATTTACATATATCCATTTTTTTAGAAATATAATCAATCTTATATTTAGATATCTTTTATATTTCCTTCTTTAATCTTTCTGCCTTTTAATTCATCTTTATTTTCATTTATTTTTTTTTATAAATTAAAAATCATTACCTCTATAGAAATTAGATTTCAAACAATTTTTTAATTTAAACTATTTTAATAATTTTGAAAATAGAAAAAATATTTTCTTAAAAAAATGCCAATCTATTGATTAAACATTTTTAATTATGGAAACCAAATAAATTTAGGAACTTTTAAATATTTTTCAATTGATAAATAGGTGATTATTGTTTGATTTTGTAAAATGGGAGGATGATCATATTTTGGATGATAAATATTCAATAAACAAATTTTTTCATATTTAACTATCTCTTATGATGTTGTGAATCCATGCAAATTATGACAAAGGTTATTCTCCAAAAAGATATGCATCTATTTGGAAAATAAAAAAATTGGAATTTGAGAATTCATATTGTAATTGTTTTAATATCATTTAGATGCTAGAGATATGAATGAATATTTCTCCTTCTGTATTATTTCAATATCAAGAAAATCTTGTAATAAATATACTACATTTTCTTCTTGAGTATACAGAATGCATTCTAAATCTAAATAGAACATTTTCTCATTTTGGTTTTTAAATCAGAATCAACATTTTTTTAAATGATGAGCATATCTCTATAATTCGAGATTATTTAACAAGTATAAAAGGTTAAGACATATAATCCAAATAGTATATTATTAAGATTATTTTATAAATAATAATTATATTATTAGATTCTATAGAGTTTTTATTAGTTTTCCATATTTTGATAGTATTATTAGTTTTGTGAGAGATTCTTTAGATGGTTTAACAATTACATAGTTCTTGTAAAGAATTAGATGGTTCGTTTCTTATATTATATAAAAGTATCAAACTTATGATATTTAAAAAATGAGTTATTTATCTATACTTTAGATAATAGTTTACTCTAAATTTTATAGAACATAATAAAATCCTTAGATTTTTTAGTATATATATAGAATTATTGATGGTTAAAATAGACTACAATAATTAAGATCATTTATGATTGAGAGAGGACAAACAGTTTATACAAATTTCTATTAGATTCAAATAAACCCAAATAGCCATATTTACAGATATCAAGTATGGTATAATACATATATTCTTTAAAGTTGTAATTTTAACCATTCTTATCACCTGAACAATAGATATCAAAATGGAGAGAGATATTCAAGATTGCAAAGTCAGGTTTGTAAGAGAATCTTAAAGTGTTCATAACAAACAATTAAATATTGTATTCACCAGTGAGAGCATAGACAATGGGTCTATTGTTAGGAGTTTATGAAGAGGAAGGAAATAGTCATTCAATTTCAATTGAAGAGAAAGCAGTTCTGAAACCAGGAGAACCAGAGTATACAGGATTGATTGGAAGATTCTTTAAGATGTTATTAAAACAATAAAAATTGTTATAAATAGGAAGAAAGTATTTTAATACAAAAAATTTAATAAATTTTGATTAATTTGGATTAAAGGTATGTATTTATAATAAATGAAAAGGTTTTACCAGGAGTGACATGCAGTTTAATAAAGTAGGAAGAATAAGGGAAATACTATATTAATATAGATTCATCTTTTAAAATGTTGAGAAGTACAACAATGTATGAAGAGTTGAGAAATTCAAGAGATTTTTCATAATTGGAGGGAGCAATAGTGATGACAGTTTACAATTATAAATTTTATAAAGTGAATAAGGTAAGTAGAGAGATGAATCCAAAAAGTGAATTTGAGAATATGAAAGGAGAGAAGATGAGTTATATGCAATATTATTAAGATAAGTAAGAAAATAGTATAATTTAAATAAAGGTATAAGATTGGTATAAAAGATGTAAGTTAACCATTAATAGAAGTATTAGAGAAATCAAGAAAGAAATAAGAAGAAAAGATAATTTATTTAATACCTGAGTTATGTGTGATGACAGGATTATCAAATGAAATGAGAAATAACTTTTAGACAATGAAATAATTATCAACAGTGACAAAGCCGAGAGGAGTAGATAGAGTAAGATAAGCAGATTAATTTATTTAATGTTTTCATAATAAGGAGAGTGAAGAATTAATAAAGAAATGGAATATTTAATTAGAACCAAAATGTTTATAGATTTAGAGTTCAAAAATAAGACCAGGAAATATTATGATGGGAAATAATACAGCAATAAATATAGAGACAGGTAATTTAGATAGAGATACTTAAACAGCTATGTTAAGAGGAGTTGGATTAGAGAATTGGGGAATTTTATATAGTGATAGAGATAGTAGATAAGCAGAAGATTTTATGAGTTGTTTAAGAGAGAGTATTGAATATTGTAAGTTTTAATGTAAAGCTCCAAGAACATTTGTATTACATTCAAATAAGATTGAAGATTGGATTAAATAGATAGATTTTATAGTATAATAATCATAAGGACCATAAAAAGTAACATTGTTATTGTTAATATTGAATGGTCCTAAAAAGAATGCTCCACTTTATACAGATATTAAAAGATATTTAATTAATGATTGTCCAATTGCATCTTAGGTAATTTTAAGTTCTACATTAAATTAACCTAAAGGAAAAGTTAAAACAATATGCAATAAATTATTAGTATAGATTTGTGCTAAAGTTGGAGGTACACCTTGGGGAGTATCTGAATTACCATTTACTGATTAACCTACAATGATTTGTGGAATGGATGTTTATCATTCTACTGGAAAGGCAAAGAAATCTATGTTATCATTTGTATCAACAGAAGATGAATTCTTTAGCAAATATATGACATAATCTATAGAAATGGAAACTGGAGTTGAATTTTCATTTAGTTTATGTCCTGTCTTAGTCAAAGCTTTATAATCCTTTTCAGGAGATAGAAATGGACCTTTACCATCTAGAATTATCATTTTTAGAGATGGTGTTTCGAATTCTTAAGCTAAAACTGTTATTGAAACTGAAGTTGCTTAATTTAGATAAGCTATTGAATAAGTCAAAACTGAAAAGAATTCAGATAAACCAATTAAATTAATTGTATTATCAGTTAATAAAAAAGTTGGTGCTAAATTCTATGCTGGAGAAAGGTAGATATATTATATTATATATAGAAATCTTGATAATCCTCCTTAAGGTACTTTAATTGATACAGAAATTAGTAATGGCAAAGATGATTATTATTTGATTTCACAAAGAACTACATAAGGTACTGTCTAACCAACTCATTATCATGTTCTTGTTAATGATCTATGTGATGAACCAAACATCCTTAAAAAATTATAAGCTTTATCTTATAAGTTATGTTACATGTATTACAATTTCAGTGGAGCCATTAAAGTAATTCATAATCTTTTATTAGATACCTGCACCTATCCAATATGCGCATGTTTGTTCTAATTTCATCGGAGATAGATTTGATCCAAGAAAACCATAATCATTGATTAAGCCAAATCCAATATTGAATCAGAGAAGATCACTCTTTTTCATATGAATATTATTAAAATCAAATAAAATAAATAAATATATTAGATCACCATTATTATTATTATTATTATTATTATTATTATTATTATTATTATTATTATTATTATTATTATTATTATTATTATTATTATTATTCTTTATTAAGATTTATATTTAATGTTTAAATATTTTATTTATTTAGATGATTACCTTCTACACCTTTTACTCTTCTAAATATTTTAGCTTATTCATATAATTTAGATATATCATCTTGTTCATCATTATCTTCATCTTCATCATCCTAATTGTTAATAATTTATTTTTTATTTTAACCTCTTTTTGACAATTTTAAGTATTAATTTACTGTATCTTCTGAATGATGACTTGCTTATATTACTTATGCTCCTTATTCAGATCTAAATCTATCTAATCTCTCATAACATAATGGTGCCAAATTATATCTACCACTCTCATCCATTTCATCTAGAATGTCTATAGGAATATTTCTATAATAATATAATAATCTATTACTTGCATTCAGTCTCTGTAACTTTATACAATATTTGTCTATTTGGATATGGTGAATGTCCATAACGTTTCTTATAATCTCTTTCCTTCTCTCTTATAAATTCAGGATCCTCTGGAAATGATTAATATCTTGATTATGTTCTTTCTTCAATCATTTATGAATTCCATCTCCACATTACCACAAATAACACCAAACTCACTACATATAACTCTGGACTGTTCCTCATACTATGAAATAATGGATTATCTTCTATATATTTATTTCTTTATCTATGAAAGTCTTTCTCTTCAAAATCTTATGACTTTTTTCGAAAATCATAAAAAAATTAACTATTTGGATTTATTGGTCTTTATTATTATTGCTATCTTTATTATTAGGAATATTAATTTCTTGTCTCCTAATTTTATTATTTTCCACTAGACTATTCTTATTATTCCATTAAAATCCTATCATATTTCTTCCTTTCATTCTCATCTGATAATGTATTATAAGCTCCTACTATTGATTTAAATAATTCCTTTCATTTAAATTTAATCTTACTTAATCACTCTCTTTTGCATTTGGAGAATCTGGATGATGTTTTTTGGCTAATATGTGAAATTGCTTTTTTATTTCCTCATTTGTAGCATCTCTACGTACTCCCAGTAATTAATAAAAATTTTGACTTGAGAATCTACATTTGCTAAATATTCTTAACATTAAATTAATAAATTAAACATATATGAAAAATTTCATTAAAACCAACACATATAAAAACGATATTGCTTCCAACGAAAAAGTACTTAGAGATATAGAACTTTATGAAAAAATATTTTTAACAACCAAATATGAAAATAAAAAATAATAATCTCTATCTATAAGAAGGTTATTACCCAATATATAGTACTCTCAACATTAACAATCAAATAATACAAATTAATAATCAATACATACAAATTCATATAAATTTACTACTCAAGTTGATTAAGACTCTAGTTATTCCAATCAATATTACTAAGTATTTATATTTCTTTATTATAGGGTTTTTCAAAAAAAAAAATGCCTTTCTCCTTGATTGATTGTTCCAAATACTTAAAATCTTCAAATTCAACTAATTATTTCTAACAAAAAAAATCACTTTCTCCATCTAAATAAAAAATAGTTATTGTAAATCATCAAGGAAGACCTTAAACCTATTTCATTAGATGATTATTAAATTTTATTTGTTTATATTTCAAATGAAATACTAAACAATTATTTATAATATTTTGTTATTTAGTCTCATATAATTTTATTATACTTATTTGATAAACCTTAATTATTTATTTAATTTATAATACATTTTTGCGCGGTATGCCAAAATAAAAAAAAAGTGCCAAAATACCAGAAAAACAAGATTTAAAAGAAACTTAAATAAAATATATTAAGTCTTAAAAAGTAGAAGAAATTGAGAAAAAATGTTTTGAATATAAAAAAATCTAAGAATAAATATAAGATTTAGGTTTTCCTGTAAATCCTGCTTCTGATTAATTTATAAGTGAAATAAAAGAAAAGAAGGATTAAGTCTTATTAGGGAAATATTTAGCTTCTCATTTTTGGGGAAAATAATCTGATCTACTGACTAAAATTAATGAGAAATTAGTAGAACATGGTTTTTAAGTAACAGATGACCTATAATGTGAATAAATCATTACTATTAAAATCAATGAAGAGAATCTTGGAAAAAAATATGATTATGAAAAATTGTTTTAACTTAAAGACACAGCTTGTCCATCATAATTATTAAAAATATATCATTATAGTAGTGAAATAATAACTAAGTTAGTTGAACCTATTGATAGCCCTGAACTATAATAATTATAGACAATCAGAAAGCATATCTAAGACTTATTAAATAAATTAGACAAAATTAGAATCTTTTCAAATAAATTATCTAATATTAAATCTTAAACTGCCGAAGATAAATTATTGAAATAATTTGAAAACTTAGAAAATGATTATTACCTTGTTAAAAATACTTAATTCAATTTTGATGAGAAATAAATATCAATGAAGAAGACAAAATCTTCTAAAAGAAAAGTAAATCCTAATGAAGGTGAGAATGATTAAGAGTGTTAATTAGAAGAAGTTTAAAATTAGGAACAAATAAATAAACAATAGGATGAGCCTGAATTAAACAAAGATTAAGAAAGAAAATAATCAGATATCAATTAAGAATAAAAGTAATCCAAAAAAAGATAACAAAAGAATAAGAAACAATCTGATGAGAATTAAAATGAAGAAAAAAATTTAGAAAAAGAATAAATTAAAAAAGAAAAAAAAACCAGTAAATAACAAATTAAAAAAGAAAAAATCACTTAAAATCAAGTTAAGGATACTTAAAATACATCTGTGTAACCTTCTGAAAAGAAAAAGGGATGTTAAAAAAATTATAATAAAAAGCAATCAATAGAAGAAGATCCTAAATAAAAAAAATTAGAACAATATTTTTCAAAAAAAAATTAGTGATATAATAATAAGTTTTAAAATTATATGTTATTTTCCATAATTTTAAATTATCATAATTTATAAAATTATTTTTCTTTTTTCTTTTTAAGGTGTGAATTTAATATTAGAAAAAAAAAATAAGAGTTAAATTATAATTAAAAAATTAATAATATCAGATTTACATTATAAATTTAGTAATTAAATTTATCAAATATTTTTTGATTATGATTTCCATTCTTTAAACTTTGGATCCTCTTATAATTTTTATATATGATATTAAGTTAGTTACTATTTATTTTATTCAAACTCTTATGCAGTTTACTTTATATAGCTTTTTTCATACAAAGTTTTCTACTCTACAACTTATCTAAATCTAAATCTATATTTTACCTCTTAAAATACAAAAATAGAATCAAAAAAATTGATAAAACAGCTAGAGTTCCAATAATCAATTCATTTTATTAGTCTTCAAAGTCAAGAAACAATTACATCCAAAATTAGTGGTTTGCTGATTTAAATTATATAATAAATATCAAATCAAATTTGTATTAATCCTAAATAAATTATGAGTTTGGCGGGACTGGTATTTAAATTATAACAATTTTTATTTGTTAATTATTACATTTTTTAATAATTATTTTATACAATTTAAGTAGATATAGTAGGTTCTTAAATTTTGAAGGAATCAGATAATTTTAAGGTACAAACATTTGAAACAATATATAAATTATTTTTAGTATACAAATCCAAAAAAATAAACGCAATATTATTACAATTTAAAAAAATAAAGAATTTATTCTAATCACAATTATATAGATTGTAATAAGATAGAACTGTATAATTTAATAAAAACAATTATAATTTAATTAAATGGATTATTAAAGGTAAAGAAACTAAATTTAAGTGGTACATTTAAATAGAAATTTAAGTTTATATTATTGAATTGGAAATAAGATATAATTTTAGGAAGGAATAGAGAATATAAAAAAAAATTTTCTGAAAATGATTGTAAGTTTAAATCANGAACAATATTTTTCAAAAAAAAATTAGTGATATAATAATAAGTTTTAAAATTATATGTTATTTTCCATAATTTTAAATTATCATAATTTATAAAATTATTTTTCTTTTTTCTTTTTAAGGTGTGAATTTAATATTAGAAAAAAAAAATAAGAGTTAAATTATAATTAAAAAATTAATAATATCAGATTTACATTATAAATTTAGTAATTAAATTTATCAAATATTTTTTGATTATGATTTCCATTCTTTAAACTTTGGATCCTCTTATAATTTTTATATATGATATTAAGTTAGTTACTATTTATTTTATTCAAACTCTTATGCAGTTTACTTTATATAGCTTTTTTCATACAAAGTTTTCTACTCTACAACTTATCTAAATCTAAATCTATATTTTACCTCTTAAAATACAAAAATAGAATCAAAAAAATTGATAAAACAGCTAGAGTTCCAATAATCAATTCATTTTATTAGTCTTCAAAGTCAAGAAACAATTACATCCAAAATTAGTGGTTTGCTGATTTAAATTATATAATAAATATCAAATCAAATTTGTATTAATCCTAAATAAATTATGAGTTTGGCGGGACTGGTATTTAAATTATAACAATTTTTATTTGTTAATTATTACATTTTTTAATAATTATTTTATACAATTTAAGTAGATATAGTAGGTTCTTAAATTTTGAAGGAATCAGATAATTTTAAGGTACAAACATTTGAAACAATATATAAATTATTTTTAGTATACAAATCCAAAAAAATAAACGCAATATTATTACAATTTAAAAAAATAAAGAATTTATTCTAATCACAATTATATAGATTGTAATAAGATAGAACTGTATAATTTAATAAAAACAATTATAATTTAATTAAATGGATTATTAAAGGTAAAGAAACTAAATTTAAGTGGTACATTTAAATAGAAATTTAAGTTTATATTATTGAATTGGAAATAAGATATAATTTTAGGAAGGAATAGAGAATATAAAAAAAAATTTTCTGAAAATGATTGTAAGTTTAAATCATAAACTATATATGAATTTATAATGTAGAAATCATAAAATTAAGATTAGATTTAAAAGTTCTAAATTTTTTTAAGTTTAATATAATAATATAATATTGTTTTGAATATGTATAGTATGTAAATAAAATGGTTAAAAGAGTTAAGATAAGAAAAGTATAAAAACCTAAGTGTGATGTAAAATGATAAGTTAATTAAATAGATTTTGATAATGATATTATTATTGTTCAAATCAATAAAAATTCAAATCTACATCTGCATTACATACTGTTTGATCTCCATTATATTATTTCATATTGGGAGTAGTCCATCCACCAAAAGAATATTTTGCATAGTCAGAAAAAGAAGGATTATTATCATAATGAGCATACCATATTGGTAATGATGTAAATTTAGCACAAGCTGAAGAAGATCCAAAAATAGTTTCCCATTAATATTTACTAGAATATATTCCTATCAATTTTCCTTTATTTTTAAAGTTAGCGACTAATTCATTTAAAAAATTGCAATTAGCTGTGTAATCAGAGCTACTCCATCCACATCCAGAACTAGGATTAGTTTCGACATCTAACCATACAGTACCATATAATCCATTTGTTGAGTTTTCTTCTTCTAATCCAAATGCATTAACAAAATCAGAAACTTGTTATGCAGCTGATATTTCTAGGAAATATAAAATCATAATGGATTACTTCCTTTACATGGAAAGAAATAGGCATCTGTAATTAATCCAGCAGCTTATGCATTCTTCATATTAGTGGCACCATTTGGGTCAATAGCTCCATAACTTCGATATCCACGAATAATAGCAAATTAATAACCTGCATTCTTAAAACAAGAAAAGTTATTAAAGGCATCAGCTATATCTATACCTTTAACAGCTAATGTTGGTGTAATTAAGCAGATGACGTAAAAAATGATGATAGTTTATTTCATTATAAAAAATTAATTGATGAAATCATATAATACATCTTTTGTGAAAGTTAGACAAAATACTCCCAAGTTTATCAAAATAAATCCATGTCATATTAATTATTCTTTTACCTTCATTCTTCTTTAAAAATATAGCCACAATTATCAACCATAATATAAGCATTCTAACTGCATTAAGAAATGGACACATTTGTTATTTTAATTATGAACATCCATAATTTATATAATTAATTTATGTATATTATTTTATGGATTTTAAGTCATCTAATATCTATATATCTTTAAATATTTTTATTATATACAAAATCTTCTTAGAATTATTATGAATAGTTTTTGCTGAATTTTAATATAAATTTAACTTAAATACAAAATATCCTCAAAGACGTATTAAGTCTTAGTTATTAATCATTTTTAGAAATTATGGTTTTATTTGAATTAAACATTTATAATAATGAAATAACATGCCAATAACTATTTTGTTAAGAAAATAGCCAAACCTATTTCGTAAGTTAGTACAAATTCAGCCGTTACAAGATCAAATGAATAAAAGCCAGCATCTTATTTAACATTTAGTAGAAGTAAACATAAAAGAAAGAATGAGACAGCTATTAAATTACCAGAGTTATAGACTATCTCTGCTCGTGCTAAAACTGAATAAGATTAAGTTGTATTAAATGAATTCAAAAAATCAATTGTCATTATTAGTAGAAAACCTAGTGCTACATTAATCTCTCAAAGAATAAAAACTTCCACTTCTATTCAAATTTGGGAACCAGAATAAGTATTAAAGCAACCATTTGAAGAAGTTTAATTTATAGCTCCAAAATTCTAAGATGTTCTTTGTGAAGAGTTCATATTAAATTAAAAGAAATCCAAAATCAAAGAGAAAAGTAATATTTTTTGTAAGACCAAATTAAATGAATATGAGAAATTTTAAGAAAAAAGTTCAAGAATGATCAGAAAAATTATTCAACTTCTTAAAACTCATCGAGAAAGAAATGAAGAAAAAGAATTTAAAAGTAAAACAATTATTGAAACTAAAATGGCTAAATCTAATATTTACTTTCATGCATAAACTTAATAATTACCTGAATAACATCACTTTAATTAAAAAGAACTCCTTTTTCAATAATAATTGTCAGCCATTCCAAAAAGACATTCAAAATATAGTTCATAAGTCACTTTAACTCATTAAGCTGAATCTTTCAAACCTATGAAAAGTTTAATTGAAGAAATTAAAGAAAAATAACAAGATCCAATTAAATAAGCTTCTATTTGTCTTGTATCTCCTAATTATCCATAAAATAATAATAAATAAAAAATTAAGTTAGTAATTGAATGTTTAGAAGAATAAAAGTCTAATAAATTTGAGTTTTTTGTTCCTAAATATATGGAAATAGATTAAGATATTTAAATTTAATTATAGAATGATATTGTTGAGATTAAAGATACAAAAAAATCAAATATATATTCTTTAGTTTCAAAAAATATGTTTAGCAAGAAGTAATATTAATAATTTTATTAGAAAATTGAATTAAATTCAAAGTTTAAATGAATCAACTCTAGATGAATTTAATTCTGATAAAGCAACTTAATTTACAAGATACTACTTATAAAATTATGTTCTAAAATGTATCAATTAAAAGAAAATCAAAGATAAAAAAGATAAAGAACCTTTGTTAAATATTATGAAATAAGATTCTAAACAAGAATAATAGATTTTTATAACTAAGACTCCTCTTGATTGCTCTATTATTGTAAATATAAATTATAGTAAAGAAAGACTTTTAAACAACTAATTTTTTTGAAATAAGTAGTTTGATTTATCGATGTATTGAACCATATGATTCACAAGCTTCCAGTATGATATCTGACAATAGTCTACTAGCAGATAAAAGTTTTATTGATTCTTCAACAGATAATGGAATTAGACTTAAATTTCTTAATGCAACTAAATTACTTGATCATTCTGTCTTAAAAGAAAGATTAATCAAAACTATCATATCTACAGTTTCAGATGAATCTAAAAACATTTTACTTCATCAAAAAATAATGGCTTTTGCAAATTAAGTTGAAGAAGTAATTCATATAGATTATGATTTGCCACATCAACCACGTAAATTTTAATATAAATATTTTTTTTAGATTTGGAAGCTTTAAATCGACTCTTTCTTCGAATTAATAAATATGATAGAAAAAAATTTCTCTAATCTTTTTTTAAGAAATTTTAAATTATATGTGTTGGATATTTTGAAGATCATTTTAGACACTAACTTAATAATGCAGAAAAAGCATTTGTTAAATTATGTTTTCAATAACAAAATAATAGCTTAACTGATAACACTTCTATGAAATATTCTAATATGCTAAAATCTAGACATTAACGTGAAACAACAATGGAAACAATCCCTAAATAACCATCAAATTTAATGATATTATCTTTACCTCCTGTTGCTATTAAAAGTAGATCAGAATCTCCATCAAATCTTGTATTTATTTTATTCTATTATTAAGAGTGACTCTAGAACACAAAAAAATAGTAGATAAAATTAATAAGTTTTACTTAAAAATATGGAAAGAAGTACTTAATTTATTTAATTTTAGAACCTTCATAAAGATTTTTATAAGTATAACCTTCATCAAAGTTTTAATTACAATAATAAACTCCAAGAATTTAGAAACTCTCAATAGTTTAAGAAAAAGAATCATAAAATACTGATAAATAGAATTAGAAAGGTAATATGAAGTAAATTTAAAATAATTTAAAATAATTATCAATGGACCCATAATCATTATTATTTAGAAATATGATGATACAGAAAACGAAAAATGAAGATAAAACATTACATTAAAGAATATATCTAATGGTTGAGGAGCATCGGCTTTAAGATTTGAAAGAGATTCTTAAATTAGAAACATCCCTTGATGTTAATTATTAAAATAATTATGGAGACACAATGTTAATTTCAGCATCTAAATGTGGAGCTGCTTAAATCGTAGAATATTTATTAAAAAATGGTGCTGATGTTTCAATTTAGAATGTATTAATTTTAATTAATATTTTAGCATAATGGACAAACAGCTATGGATGTGGCATTAAAATATTATTAATTCTAAACAGCAGATATTATATTTAAGTATCTTTAACCAGATAATAAAAATTTATGAGCACATTGATTTTATGTAAATATATCACTTTGGAGTCAGATATTTAGCTTTAGAATATATCTTAATTGGTTATAAGAAAGACTAATATTATTAATGTTTAATAGTTCCACTAGCTATCAATGAAGTTAAAAGTTACTCTGAACGAGCACAAGTTAGTAATAGTAAAGCATTTCTCACACTTTAGTGGCTTTGTTTTTTCAATTTTAAAATATCATTTAATGCGAATTCTTCCTTTTCTTATGTTTGATATCTCTTTTACTTTTTTTGGAATATAAATTATTCAGTTTATTATAATTTTTTATCCCCAGAACAAACCTATACATAATCTATAGGTTTCAAAGTTAAACGTTCAATAGATTTATTATTTTATTTTTTTATTGAGTGAGTACTTTGTTTTATATGTTCAGTATTATTACTACAACTTCCATCATCAAATTTTCTATTTTCAGGGGCATATTGCGATCTTCTTAATTTATAATTTTTTCTCTAACCTTAAATTTCTATACTACTACTTAATTAATCAATTAATTAAGATTATTTCTCCTCATCCTTAAATTAATTATCAATTTATTTAAGTATAGGACTTTTTTATGCATGATAACTTTAGTGTAAATTTATTTCAGATTTATAATTATCCTCTATTGTATATTGAGTTAATGATCTTAAATTTTGCTAATCTTTTACTATTTAAAATTGAGATTATTTAAAATTATTTTAATCATCTTGTTCAATTTTTATTTAATTTTTTCTTATATCATTTACTTAATTAAAAATGATAGTGTTTAAATTTCTTATCCTATTTTTTAATTTTTATTATCTGTCTGCAGCTCTTAGTTTATCATGATCACAAAAAGAATCATTTTTATTTAACCTTTTAATTGATTATTGAAAAGATTTATTTCTATCACTATCATTTGAGTTTAAACTATTTAACATACTTACTTTATCAGACTCAATTTGAATTGAATTTAAATTTGTTTATATTTTTGATTTAAACATCTTATTCTAATTTTCATTAATTGTAGTTTCTCTAAGCTTTTAGATTTATAAATTAAATATTAATTTGAGTTAATCGTTTTAATTATAATTTTCTTCAAACAATTTAACTTATTAGTAATAATTTTTAATAGTTTATTGAATTTATAAATTTCTTGACATTAGCTTATTTAATTTATATTCAAAAGTAGTATATAAAGTGTCATAATTTATAATTGGTTAGATTAATTGAGGATTGATTAATTGAAATTAAGGAACATCTTGGATTGAAGAAATAGATATTTCTCTAAAAGGCCTGGTGTTAATTTTCATTTCAAAATGTTTAAGATTGAGAATCTAATAAGGTGTTTAATAATCTGGGTTTCTTTGATTAAAATACTTTGATTGTAGAAGAGAAATGTAATCAAAATCTAATTTGTTGTTAAATATTTTTGGCATCAGAGGCTCATCTGAGAGTCGAATAGATAGAGAAGTAACTAATCGTAACTATTATAGGGATTCACTTCTACCCTTTATTATTTAAAGACTTCTTCAAGTGTTACACCTCCATAATTAATTTACTTTAAGCATTGAGTAAACTTCAAATGATCTCTAATTTGTAAAGCTGAATTAACTGGAAAATACATTTTATAATAGGCAAATGACAAATTTACTATTTATACAAAAGAATTCTAAAAATAATCCAAATCTAATTAAGGCCATCTCTCTGTTTTTAAAATACTATTTTCAATCTTCTAATTGACTTAGTCAATTTCCAAAATTTGCTCATTTTAATCATTGAGTTACATTTTAGACAAGAGAATTAAATGTTCTCTTTTTATGAAAAGTGATACAATCTTATTTTTCATTTGCTTATTTCAATTATATATAAATATAATTTATATAATTCATATTTACTCTATTTATTTATCATTTATAATAAAGCTTGAGTCTTCATTAATATAAAAAAGTTATCAATTAAAACATACTCGATGAGAATGTAAAAAGAATTCTTATTATTTCAGATTTTCTATTTTTTTATCTAAAATGCTATAAAAATATTTAAGTGCTATGTATCACTCTACTTAATTAAATTTATCATAATTAAGTTTATTTTCTATAAATAAAAAATCACAAATAATCTTTATTTTTGTAAGTTGTTATTTATGTTTAGATTTCCCAATTTTTTAAAATTCAATAAAGCATATTCTATATTTTTGATGATAAATATCAAATAAATTTATATTTACTCATTTTTTTAATAATGATTATTTTAGTTTCATTTATTTCAGTTTTGGTTTTATTGTTATAAATTCAAAGTGCTGTAGAATTATCAAAATTTAGAATTAATCTATTAATTCAAGCAAAGTAACTGAATTCTGTATAGGAATAAATTTACCCATGATTAGATTGGATTTTTGTTACTTTTTGCTATTGATTGAATATATGCTATTGATTAAATTAACTAAATTTTGAGATAGTATAAAAATTATGTGTCATGTGATAAATTCGATTGAATCAAAAATGAACGATTTTGGATTTTAGAAAACTTTTATATTTTGATGCTACTCTATAATCTAAAATGACATTTTTTTAATTATTGAGAAATTTGTTATGTTTGATAATATTTGCATATAATATTATAATATGAATAAATGCATTCAATGGATTAAACGCATTCTGAGTAAGTGCTTATCTATGATTCAATATTCGAAAATGAAAAATTTGGATCCGAATTATCAAATGCAATAGTTTAGTTAAGTTGAATTGAACTCAGACAAAGAAATGAAAAATAATTTGAAAGTTGAACTGAGAACAGAGAGTAAAAGAGGTTATATATTATAATATAGATTATGAAACTGAATTAGCTTCATAAGATTTAGAAAACTAAGTCTAATAATAGAATTAGAAATTATTGGAAAAATCCGAAGATATTGATGTCCATCATAATGAAATTGATTTAAGTCAAGCAAGAGAGTTTATCCAAAATATTCCTAATATAGAAATTTAAAATATTCAAATGTATACAGATATTGGGCTGTAGGCTGTTGAAATATTTAAAACTTAACTTGATGAATATGAAGGTTATGAACTACTTGAAAATAATAAAGATGAATTTACTTTTTGGATAAGATATTATGAAACACCAGAAAAATTCTAAATTACTTAAATGAGATACAAGTTCTCTCTCAACACTACTATTTAAAATTACCTTGCATTTATGAGAGACTTATAATTACAAAAGTAACTAGATTAATCAGTAGATTAATTTGAATCTCATTATTCAAGTTAAGAATTATAGATCAATTACTTGAGATATAAAAAAATACTTTTTATGGATCCAAGAGATTTTCTATATATTAAATACACAAAATTAATAAATGAAGATTAAGTAATTGAAATCAGTAAATCATTTGAAAATTAAAACTTTTAACCATTGTATATTTATAATTAAATATAGTGTTCCATCTACTAAGTCAACAATTCGTGCTATACTCTTATTGAGTGGAAATTTAATAACATAAGTAGAACCAAATAAAATAGAAATTTAAACATTTTCTGAATGCAATATGAAATTAAAATTGAAACCAGCCATGACTAAAACAGCTAGCAAAAATGAAATTAAGAAATTGATAAAAAAATATCGTGATCATTTTAATTCAATTTAATGAAATTTAAGTTATCATTAAAATTAATCACTATCAATCCTTTTTTTTTAAAGTCCTTCTTATTTATTTAAGGTTATAAATAGCTAAATTAAGGCTAAGATTTATATTTATCAATAACTTCTTTATAATTAGATTATTTGTATAATCATAACTTAATTAATTTTTTACTCGTTAAATGAACTTAGATTAAGCATTTACATTTGGTTAGGATTGTTATAATCAAGATTTAATAAATCCTTCAAAGCATCCTAAGATTAGTAAAAAATCACCATTTTATTCAATTGTTAAACCAACTACGTATTTTTGTATAATAAATAAGATCTCAAAAAAATTATAGAATTAAGGATTCATCTGTATAAAAATTAGCTTAGACAATTTAAAAAAGTAATAATAAAGAGAATTATGAATCTCATTAATGTAATGTTGGATTACCAAAACATACACGTAATCCAACAGATCTTAATCTCATCAGATTTGACACATCACCAAATTCAAAAATAGAAATCTCGAATAATTCAAGAGGAAACAACTCATAATAAGATCATTAAAGAAGACTATCATTCAATACTCCAAATTAAACAATTAAAACTTCATTACCTCCTGTTAATAATAATGAAAAATATAAAAAGATAGCTATTGCAATGAAAGAACTTATTTAAAAACAGAAGTACAGTTATGAAATTGGAGATTTTGAATAATTAGAGTTTATTTTTGAAAAGCTTAGTATACTATGTGAATAACTTTGATATATAAATTAATTAATTTTAAAACAAAATATAATAAACTATGCATAATTTGCATCAAAATTATTCAGATTACTATCAACATGTTATTGAATTTTGAAATTTAGAATCCTATCCCTTCATGTATAACATTTTATAATGATTCCATTCTTAATAGAAAATTATTATACTTTTCAGATAAGAATTTTCATTCTTTTTATTATGCTTTTAAAAAGAATTTTGCTCATATTCTTAAAAACCTGAAGATGAAATCATTCATACTCTTTTAAGAATAAATTTATCTGAACTTCCTGAAATTAATAAGAAACTTAGTTTTCTCAAATGCTATAGAAAGCTTTATTTTACAAAATTTTCTATGAAATTTAATCAAAGATTTACTAAAAGAATTTCTAATCTAATCACAGAATTAAACATATCAAAAAATGAAAAATTCTATTTACATTAATCCAAAATTCTTTTTTAATTAATATAAACGACTAAATTGGTAATAAAATGTATTCAAGTAAAATAAATAGGATCACATAAATAATTAAGATTTTAAGCATAATTTCAAAAAGAAAAAAATAAACTGTAAATTATTTTTTATTTATTTTATAAATAACTATGAAAATATCTAAATAGAAATGATAATGAAAGAATAGTTAGGTAAACATATTTAAATTACCAATATTTAATTTGAATGCTTCGAGATAAATCAATATAAAACATCAATAAATAGGTATGAGTTTAAAGTAGGCCTATTGTTTGAATATAAAATTGAATATTTTTATTATAATTAGAAATTCAAAAAGAACTCTGAGAAAAATAGGCCTTACATTAATAAGATCGGATAAAACCTTAATTGTTATCACTTATTGATTTTTAGATCCTATAAATATCTTACTTTTTATCTAAATTTTTAAGCTTTTATCATGAGATTATAGAATTATGATTCTGTTTGAAATTTTCTCTAACATACATAATCATTGAAGAAAAATTTATATATGATGTTAATTTAATTTATAAATTTTAGTTGATTTATTCAATAAATTATAAAATTAACGACATATGAGTACTGCTGCTGAAAAAATAAGTGATCTCTTCAATGTTTCATTAAATGAACTTGAAACGAACATTGTTGCAAGCGCTGTCAAATTCAATTCATAACCTTAGCGTTTGCTTGATGTATAAATTTCTAACAAATTTCTTAGGAATTATAATAATCAGTGATGGATTTCAAGTCTAAATTTTATGAATCTTTGCATAACTTATTACAATTTATTGCTTAAGTTAATAATGGCAAAGACATATTAAAAATAGCCCAATAAGTTGAAACTCACATAACAAAATTCAAATAATAATAACTTCTTGTATAGATGAAAGTAGTACTAAATAGCAAATTAAAAGCATTATTGGAAACATTTGGTGGAGAAAATTAACAAAAATTTGAAGTAATCGTTTTTCTTAATTATAGGTATAAAATTAAATTAAGCATCTTAAAGATTCATTATTAAAGATTGAAACAACTCTAATGGAATAATAATAACTTACATCTACACCATAATAACATTTTATAACACCATATCCAAAAAAAAATTTTATTACAGCTTCATCATAAGATATCTTAACTCCTAATTTGAGTGATGAAGCAGAAATGAGAGGAAGAGGTTTCTTTATAACTCCTGAAAATAGATAATAATAACCTAGATAATTTGATCATTCATAATAATAATATTCATCAAATGAAAGTTATTCTGTTTAATAAAATAAGACATTAAATTCTTTCGACAAAGAAAAATCAGAAGATAAAACAGATCTTTAAAGCCCATTTTTTGGCTTATAATAAGATCATCACTAATAACCAAAAATATTTTAAAATGAAATTATGAATGATTATTTGTAAAGAGTTCCTTTAGATTAAGGATCATAAGAATCTCAATTATTAGATGAAAATAATTAAAACTATCATCTAGAATAAATTAATAAAATAAATTAACAATAATAGCAGTAATAATAATAATTGTAATAGTAATAATAATCATAATAATCATAATAATAATAATAATAATAATAATAATAATAATAATAATAATAATAATAATAATAGTAATAATAATTATAATAATAATCCAATAAAAACTTAAACAAATAAGGATAAACTTAAAAATAATAAACTTAATGGCAAAATTTGCAACTTTAATAAACTTTCTAACATATAGATTCGTTATAAACAACAAGAACTGAATAATTTGAAACTTAAGCAAGAGTATCAACACCTAAAGAAAATCAAGTCTAAACTCGAAATTAATCAGTTGAACCAAATATTAGAGAGATCTCGTAATCACCTAATGGAAAAAGACTGATCTAAACTTCTAAATCAAAGGAACCATTTTCTAGATGTAGATCATCATTAGAAACAACAAATTTACTCCATAAATTAAATTCTGTTGAGGCCTCCAAGCCTACTAATAAATTAAATAAATCAAAATCCAATAAAGAAAATTAATCTTAACCTATTGTAAAATGTTCAAAACCTACTAAACCTTAAATTACAGTTTCCAAACAAAAAAATTAAATCGTTACTAAACCTCAGTCATAGATAAATTTAGTTAAAAAACAAAAGTCCAATTGAGTCATTCGTTAATTGTTTAGTATATATTATGGCTAAAAATTATATTATTTTTGATAACTTAATGAGGTGTTGATGTTTTTTGTTTTAATTTCTAATTATTTATAATTTATATAATTTTGAAAAATAAAAAAAACTTCCTAATATTAATATTTACCATACAAACATTTATTTTAAAATCAATTTTTATGTTCTTTTCTTTTTCTAATTATATATATATACAGTAATATATTCTATTTACATATTTTTAGAATCTTGCAAAAAAAATAAAAATCAATTAGGTTTTTAAACTTCATAGATAATTTCAATAATTTCTTCTGTTTGAATGATTTTTGGTTGACCTGTCACTGCCTTGGGTAGGTTTATTCTTTGGGAAAATAAATAATATTCAATTTAATTTTCTCTTCCAATTTCTTAAATAAGACCTGTTATCTCTAAAACTTGTTATTATTAAAAAACACAAAACTTTAATTCACTAGCTATTTTTTTTTTAAATTTCTAAGCTTAGAGTTTAATCCATACAGTTCGATGATCATATTTTGATGAAGCTTTTGGTTAATAATTTAAATACAAACAAACTCTTAATTACACTAGACTTTGCTTAATTCTTGGTTCAAAATTTTGTTCTCTTCCCTTAATTTCTCGTTTTCTATTTCTTAATCATTTATTTCTTAATTTCTATCATCATTTTTCATTTTAATAATTTATATGCTACCTAATTTAATTAAACCGGACATAAAACCAAGATCATATTCACTTAATGTAGATTAATATGGAATAAAGTAAAAAGCAAAGAGAAATACTTCGCACTACTCTTATAAAATTGTAGAAAAACTTCACTCTTAGCCTTCATCATATTGGTAAATAAAAATAGTTCCTTAAAAAGAAAAATTAGGTTCATTAATAATAATAATTGGAAATGTAGAGGCTTTTTTAAAAGAGATAGCTTCTAATCATAAATATTAATAATTTCTAAAGTTCAAAGATTTTCTCAATGAAAAATAGGTTACTTAATTTTTTAATTACATGTCAAATTTTCTTATAAATTTATAGAGCTCATTATTTGAACATCATTATTGTACTTTCTAATTAAATCAAAAAGTAGTTGATATTGAAACTGCTGACAGTAAAACAGTTTATGAAGTAATTACAGAATTTTTGCATCGAAATTAATAACATCCTGAAAATCTATACATATATGGAGGAGATTTTTAATTAGTACATAAATCAGGATTTCGATAAATTATATATATTTCTGGATAAAGGATAGAAAAATAAATCAACAAAGATATTAAAATCAATGATAAAGTATTTCGATTTAGAACTTAAATATAAAGTTAATTGAATGATACTAACTCAGATGATATTCTAATTGATCATAAACTTTATTAAATTGGTATGCATAAGAAAAACAAAGAGATTAAATAATATTTATAATAATAGAATATTGAGAAAAGAGAGTTTAATAAATAAAGTATGACTCATTATATTTTATCTAGGTAAATCTAAGGAATTACAAATAAAAAAGATTAGTAGTGCTTAAAAGGAAAAAAAAGTAGATTTAGCTTAAGAATTACCATAAATTTGTGATTAAATTTTTGAAAAATTTAAAAGATTATTTTAAATAGAATATGTAAATGTAGATAGAGATGTATTTTCATAATTTTTATTGCTTTGTGAGTTAAGTATATATTATTCAAAAAATTTAACATTATAATAATAAATAGTAAGATTGAATGAAGACAATGAGAAATTTAAATTACTAGTTAATAATGTACTTTATTTTGAATTCAAGATATTAAAGAGTATGAATCTAAATTTATAAAAACTATAAAATAGTGTAACACAAGCATTATTGAAATTTATAAATCAAGATACAAAATGTTAAGAAGTAATTAACAAAATTTACTGGAATGCATTTTTGAGATTTAAGACATTTTACATAGATTAAAATTGGACAACCAGCGATTTTCGTTACTTTTTATTACTTCTTAATGAAGAATCACCATTAACTTTATAGACCTATTTGTAACTTCCACTTAGAGAATTATCAAAGACAATTTTCTCACTAAATGAAGACTTGCTCTAATAGATAGTGTGGTAAATATTATTTACTAAATAATTATGATTATAACAAAAGTCAACTTATTTTTTACTACGCATTAATATAATCATTAATAGCTATCGTTTTATTATTTCAAATCTAGTTATTAAAAAATTATTACTAATGATTTCTCAATCTCCTGGATTCAAGTTGTCTCCTATGACTCCTTTAAGTATTCATCACAAAATAGAAATCTTTGAAGATGAACCAGATGACTTAGAATTGGAACATTCTAAAATATCCTTTAATGAAAATCTAATAGTGTGTACATACAAACCCTGCTAGAGTGTTACTATGATAAAAAATACAATTTTAAAATTGAAAGGAGAGCCTAATACTAATTGGGTTAATCCCTGCTTAAAAAATGAAGAAAGAAAGAGATAAACATCTATATTGAGATATTCATAATCTCCAACTAGAATCTCATCAATTTTCATATGAATTTTCTTTATATGTATACTTTATTATAACTGTAATTATTAAAAAACTCACTTCATATTGAATTCAAAAGAAAAAGCAATAAATCAAGTTATCATGTTTAAACTAAATCCTATAATTATAATCAATCTTGCTATAATAATTTAATAATGATCATAAATTATAATTTGTTTATTTATAAATTAATTCAAATCTCATTAATGGTAATTTAAGAACCTCAAGGTGCTTTGAAATTGGAATTAAATTATTATCTAATCTAAACATTTAGTTATTTTCATTCTTTTTATTATCATTTATTTTACTCTTAAATTAATTTTTAAACCTTTATTTTTCTAAAATCATATAACTATGTAATGTTTCTAAGATCTATCAAATTGACGAGAGCTTTTTCATACATTTATTAGTTGTAGAAAAATATGTAAATAAGAACTTATGAATCAAGCTATTCTTTCAAAATTTTAATACATATTTTTTTATAAAAATTTTTCTTCCAGAATTAAAATAATTTGCGTTCAAATAACTTTAAATTAAAAATTAGTTAATTATAATTTTTTATTTAATATTTTTTACTATAAATCTAATTATGAGATAATGGACTAAAAGGCTTTTAATATAATTTAAAGAAATATAACTCAAAAAGAATAATATAAAATATTAAAGTACGTATCAAATTTTATATAATTATGAATACTAAATACTGAAAAGATTTGAAAAAAAAACTGAAAAATCAAAGTTTCAATTTTTTTAATATGTTAGACAAAATAGGCATAAAGGATTAGTTACAACAATAGAAATTTATTTAAAATTCCTTATAAAATTTGAAAGGTAGAAGCAAATTTGGAATATTATTTTTTACAATTTTGATTTCAAAATCTCATTTGCATTCCTGGAGGCATCATATTGTAAGGCATAGGTTAATAAGCTCCTTAAGGTGGAAGGATCAACGTAGGTTAGGGCATGTATTAGGTCCTTGTGCCACTCAATCCTAAACTATCAATAGTTTCTACAAACGCAGGAGTGAGTAAGCCTTGAAAGACAGAAGAGTGGGTAATGAGTAATCTTTTGATTGTGTCTTTAGAGATAAAAGTTGGTATTATATTCTTCTAAAAAGATGCTTTCAATTAATCTACTAAATCACTCATTACAGCTCTATAATAATCTTCTCTAGCACTAATATGCTTTTTTCCGAGTGAGTGTTATTTTCTTCCACTTGGAGATGAATGTGTGAGATAAATTCCGCAATATTCACAATAAAACTTAGGCATTAAAAAAAATAAATAAAAATATATTTGCTTATAATTAATATGTAGTATATTAAGTATTTATTATAACAATTAATATAATATAACTTATGTAGGGGGCAAGGTTTGTAGAGACTAATTTGGTATAGAAAATGTTGAGAAATCAAAATTATGATTATCACAAAAGGAAATTAGATGAAATTTAATCGGAGTAATGATTTTTTAATATGGTAATAGTAAGAAAGCAAGGTATGCTTTTAAGGATTTACCTATTTTAAGTAAAACATAACAAATTAAAGAGTAATCTTCTAGATTTTAGAAATCAGAATAAAGAAAAAGAATAGATGAATAAAATTAATATCTCAGTTCACATATAATTGAAATATAAGAAGGTAAGAACTCTTAATTCAGATCAATTTGGACCGTTTAAAATTTAAGAGAGAAAGCATATGTAAGCGATTTCAAGAATCTTTTTAGGCTGACACTTCTTAATGGTGTGAAAATACTTTAGGTAAAAGACTTCATTCCCCTTTAAGAAGGAAATAATAGTAAAAGATAGATGAAGAAAATTAAGAGCTACAAAAAAGGCTTTAATTAACGAAATAAATCTTATTAGAAAAGTAACAAGAATAAATATCTAAATATGAAAAGCTTCGGGATCATATGACGAGAGTATTAAAGACATATTTACTAGATTAAAACTAAAGGACCTAATTCTCCTATGATGAGTACTTAATTTCCATCAGTAAAGAGTAAAAGTACAATACAATTTATGAACAAACCATAATAATCTGATTCAATAATATAGAACAGTAATTTGTTAAAGTCTGATATCAATTTAAGCAAAATATCGAAAATAATATGAATTATGTTTCTATTCGATTATTAATATAATTTATTTATATATATCTTTGAACATTATAATCAATGAGTGGATTCACACATTATAGGATAGAAACTACTGAATAAAGAGGAGAAGGGTTTCCTTCTTAGAGAAACTTATAATAATAATATGGGAACACATAAATGAGGTGAATAATTAAAATATTTCATAGAAATGACGAATATCGAATTTAGGTCATTCCTCCAAATACAGAATAAATTGTGGTAACTGATTAGGCCTCATTTTAGAAAATAATTGAAGCAAAAGAAAGAGGTAAATTAATTCGTTATAAATTAAGAAATAACAAATCTTCGGGAAAGTGTAAAGTCGTTAAATAATCAAATATAAGATTAATTGAAGGAATTGGAGATATGGAAGAACAAATGCAGATAACTTCAATCTGAAAAAGGTCAAAGTCGAATAACGATGACAGGATAATAATAAAACGATTGGGAATTATAGTAGTTGAGAGAAGAAGTTAATAGATTAAAATAAGAGAACAATGATTATAAATTTAAATTAGAGAAAAATGTGAGTATGGGTTAAAATGATTTGGAAGTGAATAAATTGAAACAATAAATAAAATCACTAGAAGAATAGCTTAGATCTAAATCTTATACTTAGATAACATCTTTTAATAGTAATAATACATAGGAAATCAATTAGTTAAAAGATTAAATTAGGGCACTTTAACAAGAAAATGAAGATCTTGTTAAAGCAAAGAACTTACTCAGTTAATAATTTTAGTAATCTTAAATATAATGGTAACAGAGTACTTTTAGAAATAATTAAAATTTTGATACAGATTAATCTAAGTTAATATAAAATGAGAGAGATGATTTAAGAAGAAAGCTTAAGGTATTGGAGGATCGAATAGCAGAATTGTAATAAGAAAACTAAAGATTAAATTTTAATTGTGATTCTTACATTTAAGAAATATAATAATATCAATTGAAATTCAATTCAAAAACCCAAAATACTGAAATAGAAGGATATTTGAAAAGGATTTCTGCATTATAACATGAGATATTGGTTTGGTAGGATAGATACAAAGCCAAAGAGGTCTAAGAATTATCATATGCATAGGAATAGAGGACAGTTTAAAAGGACAATTAAATTCTGTTTTTGTAAGAGAGAATTAAATAATATGAAGCCTAAATGGATTAATTAAGATTTGAATTAGATAAATATAGAAAAGATTATGATGGATAAAAAGGCAATAATTATGATGGTAGAAGAACGGATTCAGGTGAGGTGGAGAGTTTAAAAAGAAAGATTGCAGAAATGGAATCAGATATTTAGATATTAATTGCTGATCTCTAAGAAAGAGATTAAAGAATAAGTATAACATAGAATGAATATGAGGAGGAAATTAGAATTTTAAAAAGCTAGAGTTAAGGGCAATATTAAAATGAAATTAATAAATTACGAGAAGAAAAGGAAAAATACAGATTGGATTATGAAAGAATATCAAATGACTATATGAATGTTTAAAGATAAAGTGAACAATATAAGAATAATTCTTATGAAGTAGATATCTTAAAATAGAGAATAGTTGAACTTTAATCATAAATTAGAGATACTACAAATTAATACTAGTCTCTATAAAGTTAACATTCTTAATTGTAAATTCAATTTTAAAATTAACAGTAATCATAATAATCTTCATTTTAAATTAATAACTTGAGAGAAGATTATTCAAAATTATAATCTTAATTCAATTTATTATAATAAGAAAATATCCAATTAAAATAATAGAGACAATAAATTGATAGCAATTCATATTAATTTAAAAATATGTAAAGTGATTATCAAGCTCTTTAAGATAGATATAATCAGTCATTGAATGAAATTTAATAACTAAATGATTAGTTACGTAAATATAGAAGTGATTATGATTCTTTGAATTAAAATTATATTTAATTTTAGAGAGATAGTGAAATTAAGTTTTCACAAACAAATAATAAGGAAATAGATATAATGAGATCTAAAATTTAGTAATATGAACAATAAATTTAACAATTGAGAAATTAATAGTAAAACTAAGAAAGTTAATTAGAATAGTAATTTAAGGAGAGATTGAGAGTTGAGATGTATTAAATTGAGTAAAAATTGAATAACTAGAGTTAGATGGAAGTGTAGTAATTATAAAATTAATATAATTATTTGAAAACATAATATGATTAATTGTAAAATAGATATTAAGAATAAACAAGGGAAATAATGGTTGTTAAAGAAAAATCTACAAGGGAAAGTTAATTTGAATCTTAAAACTTAAAGGAATAGATATAATAATATAAATAAGTTAATATGTAATAGAATTAAGAGATTTAAAATTTGAAAGATTAAATTTAAAAATATAGAATAGAAATTGAATAAGTTGGTTAAAAGAATATGATGATTTAGAGAGAAAAAGAGATGAATTAATAAAATTTAGAAGAAGTTGAAAAGTTAATGGCTAGAATAAGAGAGTAGGATTTCATAACTTAATAAAAAAGTCAATAAATAAATTAATTATAGATGGATCTTAGAAATTAAGAAATTCGAATAAAAAATGAGTTGGAATAATAATTTGTTTCTAGATTGATGATTGAGAGATAAAATTTAGAGAGTAAATTGTAAACATAAAGTTCAGCTGAAACTTAAAATCTTTAATACTAATTAAAATCTTTGTAGTAGGAATTGAATTAATATCAATAAAGATATTAACAAATGGAATAATAATTTAATTAATCAAAATTAGAGATTAATTAAATTAGATCTTAGTAGTCAAATGTGAATTAAGATTAAGTGAAGAAATGGTAAATTAGAATAACTGAATTAGAGCATGAAAATTAAACTCTGAATATTGAGATTGAAAGATAGAAAAATATTAGGAAAGACTAAGAAAATAAAATTTAAAAATTGATAGAAAACATAACTGAATTGGAATCAAGAATGCATATATTGGAATAAGAAAATGCAAGATTGGAGACTAAAATGAAAAAATAAATAATAATTGATAAACCAAGTGATTAATATATTGTTAATTAACTTTTGGGATAAGCAAGTTCTTAGTCTAAATCAAACTTAATTACAAACACAATAAATGTTTAAAATGTTTAAGGTACTGGTATAGTAACTAGATAATCTGGAATGAACTAGATAAATTAAGTTCCTTCATCATATAATTAATATTATGATTAGTAAAGATTATAATCATAGAATGAAATAAGGCAATCTCAATTTTCTTAGAGAATGTAAAGTCCATAGCCTCAAGTTTCAAATTATCTGAGTCCAGATAAGAAGTAAGAATTAATAATTATTATTAATTAGATTCTAACCTCAAAAGATGACAACTACAAAGAGTGTAAAATAGGCAATAATGTCATAATCGAATTAATGAATGAAGAATTTTATATAATAATATTTATTTTTAATAAAATGATTATCATTAACTTAATGGTTCACTAAATTTATGCTTTAATAGAAAGTTAGAATTGTATTTATGAAGTGTAAAAAAAGAGTAAAATGAATCAGTTGTTGATTGGGTTTTAGTTTTCTATCCATAAGATCTATTAGTGGTGAGAGGTTAGATATGAAGGAAGGTACAAAGTTATTAATTTTTTGGAATTTTGAGTGAAGGTTTAATTAATTACTTGTTTTTATTATCTCTATCTAATAGAGGTTTTTTAAGTAATTGTCCAAGAGAATTCCTTTCATTGAGGAAAGGAACAAAAACTTCTTGGTTCTTAATTAGATTATTAATTGGATGTGAAGGTTAATTTATACTATCTTGTATTAAAGCCTTCTTTATTAACTTATTCTATTGATTGCGAGGTTTTTTGAGGAGATGGGATTTTTAATAGTAGATAGTTTGATTCTTCAATAAATCATTAATTTATGCACTCATTATATTAAATTAATATCAAGCATTCTTTTTATTTTGAGTGCCTGTATTTCCTAATTTGATACAAGATCCAACAAATTAATTTGCTTCTTCTGTTTATTTTAAACCATTAATTAGTTTATGTTTACGTGGATTGTATTGTTCGGTTGGTTTAACATCTTCTGAAGGTTTTCTCATTTGTGTATTTAAGGGTTTACCATCAATACGTACTCCAGTACCTGTGAAAATAGCTTATTGTTTTTAAGCTTATTATTCTTCTTATTGAACCAAAGAACTTGATTTCTTAATTAAATTAGGTGGAGCATCATTGAAATCCTAATCATAAAATATATTCATACTAATGGTTACATGAAATCAATTTCTATGTCAGCTTCATTAATACAAACAGCTTTTAAGATATTTGTAGGTTCAACTTTAACAATATCAATTAAATAATTTGTTTTATGAAAATTAATAGAAATGGTTTCTCCTTCAGTTAAACAGATAAAATTTCTTAAATGATTTTCTAAAATAGCTCTTGGATCTGGTAAATCAACAAAAGCAGTTTCATGAGGTTATATTTTAATTAGTTTTCCTCTTTCTAATCTTTTTTCATGAGAAACAATTATTTATTAACCATTTGTAAAACCAATACTCTCAAACATCCAATCTGGTATTACACAAGTACCTTCTTCTGCAGTGAATTCTAAAACTCCAACATAAGTATATTTTCTTTCATCTAAAGTTGATTATAATCTAAAAATCATAGGACCTTATTATTTTAAATTGAGCACTTATTGTAATGCTGATGCTGGTAATAGAATTTTGTTTCCTTAATTTAAATTGTTTTTTCCAAAAAGAGAAGCATTATAAACTTCTAAATTTTCATGATACCCTCTATAACTTCTATGATGCATATTAAACATTTAATTTATTAAAATAAAAAAACTACAGCAAATCAAATTCATGTATTATTATTGGTTGTTTGGTCTCATAAATTTGATTCCTATTGTATGTTCCTAATGCTCTTCAAATTAATATGATGATGGATTAGGTTAATGTTTAGCTTGTCTACCCTAATGTGAAAGTTGTAGTAATGGAACAACTTGTGATACTTGTAATTAGGGATATTTTAAATAAGCAAGTGATTGTTTGATTTGTGATGGAAATTGTAAAGAATGTTCAGGAAATTCAATCACTTGTACTAATTGTGATACTTCATAAAGTCTTTATTTAAATTAAGACTCAAATACTTGCATTTTATGTGATCCTCCAAAATATAAAGACTCAATAAATTGTGTAGACACATGTCCTGTATATATTAATCCAGATGACTAAACTTGTGTTACGACTTGTATTACTGGTTGTTTAACTTGTTAAACAGATTATAATTTTTGTTTGACTTGTGACATCAATCTCTATTTAAATACAGCTACAAATAAATGCGAAAATATTTGTGATGTTAATTGTGCAACTTGTTAAACAACTACAACAGATTGCTTAACTTGCTCTATTGGATCATACTTAGATAATATTACATAGGTAAATGGAATTTGTATTAAATGTAATGAACCATGTTCTGTTTGTTAGTCTCCATCAAATATAGAAATTTGCATTGATTGTTCAGTAAGTTATTATTTAGATGGATCAAATTAATGTTAATCCTGTGATCCAAGTTGTTATGAATGTTCAGGTTCATTGGATATTGAATGTACTTAGTGCAGTCTAGGAAATTATTTATTAACAAGTGGATCAGATAAAACTTGTTAATAATGTGTTTTTCCATGTCAATATTGTTAATCAGATACTATTTGTGATAGTTGTGAGTCTCAATATTTTTTGAATGGAACAACTTGTGATCCATGTACTGCTCCTTGTTTTGATTGTGAAACTTCAGCAACTAATTGTAAAAATTGTTTACCTGCTGATAATCGAGAGTTAAACAATAATTCATGTATTTGCAAACCAAACTTTTTTGATTAAAATAATGGCATTTTTGAATGTTTACCATGTGATGGTAACTGTAAAACTTGTGTAGATTCTGCTACTAAATGCACGAGTTGTTATGATAAATTTTATTTAAATTCAGATACATGTTTACCTTGTCATTGGAATTGTTTAACATGTGAAACATCAGATACTCATTGTTTATCATGTGATGTAGATACCAATTTAAGAACCTTAACTAATAATTAATGTGTTTGTAGTGCTGGTAAGTACTATTCTGATACTCAACAAATTTGTACATAATGTGTAGAGCCATGTCTTGATTGTTAAAGTGGAAAGGATTCAGGTGGAAATGATTGTAATGGAACTTAATGTACTTCTTGTATAGCTTCATACAATAGAATTTTAAATGGATCAAATACTTGTATTTGTAAATAAGGTTTTTTTGATGCAGGAGTTTTAGCTTGTTAACCTTGTGCATCATATTGCGTTTCATGTATAACAAGTGATATAGATTGCGATATTTGTTAACCTAATTCTAATAGAGATAATACTTAGAAATGTAAATGTCTTGATGGATATTTTGGATCAAATATTGTATGTTAAGCATGTTAATCTCCATGTTTAACATGTGAAATTACAAATACTAGATGTTTATCATGTGTAACTGGTTTAAATAGAGTTTTAAATATTAATGTTTGTGATTGTGCTCCAGGATATTTTGAAACCTAAACAACTCCAAAAGTTTGTTAACCTTGCACATCTCCTTGTGCTACTTGTAAACTTTTACCTACTTCATGTTATAGTTGTGTAATTAAATATTATTAGCCAACTGGTTAATTAAGATGTAATCCATGTGCTGTTCCTTGTGAAGAATGTGCTCCTAATGATGGTACAAAATGTACTACATGTTTACCTACATAAAACAGAGAAGTTTCAAATTAAGTCTGTGTTTGTAAAGTGGATTATTACTAACTTGATAATACTAATCCTTGTATTAAATGTATTGAACCTTGTTATAGATGTGAAAATAATGGAGATGGAACTCAATGTGTTTAATGCAAAGCAGGAGATAACAGAAATGTTGATAGTAATAAATAGTGTCAATGCAATGAAAATTACTATTAATAATTATCATCATTTACATGTTTGAGTTGTGTTACCCCTTGTTTAGAATGTTTAGATGATGCTGTTGGAATTCCTGCAGATGGTACTTAATGTGTTACTTGTTAAACTGGACTCAATAGAATAATTGATTTAGGTATTAACAAATGTCCATGCTAAGATGGGTATTATGAAACAACTGGAGTTTTAGCTTGTACTTAATGTACATCTCCTTGTTTTGAATGTACTGATAATGGAAATGGAACTCAATGTACATCTTGTGTTTCTGGATTATTTCGAATAGTTGATTCATAAATCTGTATTTGTCAAGATGGATATTATTAAGTTGGAACTAATCTCATCTGTAGTATATGTAATTACACTTGTCAAAAATGTTATAATGTAGATACTGAATGTCATGTATGTGATTCTCTTAAACATCGTATTCCTATTGGCTTTACTTGTATTTGTTAAGATAATTATTATGATAATATGACCAATGATTAAGATTGTAAACCTTGTACTTATCCTTGTGAATAATGTCACACCAATATAAATGGAACTAAATGTAAAACTTGTCTTCCAGGATTAAATAGACATTATTCTAATTTTTAATGTATTTGTGATGATGGATATTTTGAAGATAATGGACTTTGTATTAAGTGTAATTAAACATGCTTAACATGTAACAATTCATATTCATGTTTATCATGTGACACCACTAAATATGATTCAGTTTCATTTAGAAATGGTTTAGCTTGTCTATGTAAACAAGGTTTTTAAATGAATTCATTAGGTTAATGTATTCAGTAATGTCCAATGGACTGTTCAACTTGTAATCTAAACACTTGTCTATCATGTAGTAATAATAGAGTTTTATTAAATGGAAGATGTGTCTGTCCTTTAAATGATAATACTAAAATCTGTAGAACATCTTGTGAAGATATTAATTTTGGTAAATTAGCCACATCATTATCATCTCCAATTTCTAATATTCTACTCCAAAAATTAAATGCAAATTCATTAACACCTGCTACTATTGTTTTCGATATAGCTCTTGATTCCACAATTTCTTGCTCCCTTAAAAGCTCACTCTAATAAAGCATTATTTCAACAGATAAAAATAATTATGACACAATTATATTCAAATAATAAGACATTTAAATTAATCGGTATCCTTTTGGAGATTAAGCTTCTTATTATAATTTTTTTAAAGATAATGTACGATATTTACTCTTTTAAAAAGATGCTACAATTTTAAATTTAAGAATGCAGTACTAATTTTCTACACTCGTTGATGGTGAAAATATTCAAAGTAATACCGTACCTAAATCTTCACTTAATTAGTAAATTATTACCTTCAAAATTGATACTACATATTCAGTTGTTTTAGTATTCACTTATAATACTAATAGTCATCCTACTATTTCTACCACAATATCAAGTAATGTCTATTAATTAAATATTTAATTTAGCTCTTAATAATCTGTCATTTTATTAACAGAATTTTATGTCAACGGTGCTACCTTTAGTGCCTCAACAAATACTTAAATAATAACTGTTTCTAATTATATTGGCCAATTATATTGGTAAGGTACTGCATTTGAATGTATTCCTCATCTAAAAAATGCTCGACAAACTTATTGGGAAAATCATTAATATTTACTCGAATCCATTCCAACTAATTTATTACCTTTAAAAGTTACAGATGGAACAAATTATATCGATACTGCATTTTCATCTGGTAAATTCTAAGCAAATAGTGCTTTAATATAATTAAATAACTTGGATATAAATTACTAAACTAAATTTATTTAGTATGACAATACTGGATTTTCTTATTTTACAGTTTAATTTCCTGATATTTTAATATTTGGATTATAAATGTTACATTAATTTACATTCAATCAATTTACAATCTAACATTATATTACAAGTGGATACTAAATTAATAATTAATAACTTACTTACACAAGTATTTATGGTTAATTTATTGGATACATGGTTGATTTATATGGTACAACATCAGTTAAAACTTTGATCTTTGGTTATAATTAAGGTCATAATTTTAACGTAGTTTAAAATGCTAATGATGTTCTTATAACTGTGACTGGAACTAATGTAAAATAAATAAATTTTGCAATTATGGCTTTTGATGATACAATTATGAATAATTCATATTAAACTATTTTTGAATAGTTTATTAAATTGTTGATTGTGTCTCTTGAAATAAGTACTCGAACACCTTTAAGATTTGTTAATTAATATTGGAAATTGAATCCTTTATCAATAACTGGTACATTTGAACCATTAACTGAGTCAATAGGAGGATATTAGATTATAAAAGGGACAAATGCTATAAATAGTAAGTTTCCTTTTGATCTTTCTCATAAGATTAGTACTAATCTGAAACAAAATATTCTATATACAAATGGATATTTAGTAAATGGAGATATTGCCTTTGGTAAATTAACTAAATACTTTACATAAGTTGATAGTAAATTTACTTTAGGAGCTTAATTAAACAATATTTAATATTTGTCTATTTCAATGACATCAACTGATACATTTGTATCTTGTGTTTAATCAGAAAGTTTGTATAGAGATGTATATGTATATATAAGTCAATGTAAAAGAACTGAGTTTTAAATATACCAAATATTTATGATTGATTTAAATGAATATGATGGGTCAATTGTATTATCATAGAGTGATACTGAAGTAAAAATAAGTAATATTCAAAAAATCAGATAATTATATTATTTAATGATGGTATCTAAAAGTTCCAATAATTTGAATACAAATTAAATTGTTTAAGATATGTATTAAGGAATCTTTAATTCAAATGGATATTTTGGTTTTGATTTTCAATGTTTGGCATATAATGATGATTTTTAATGTGATACATATAGATCTGGATATAAGACATCATTTACAAGTGAGTTTGATTCAACTTAAAAGTTAGTTAGTGATGTATAGAATATGAATGGTAAAAAGTGCAATTATTTTAATTTTGATAATGCAGTTACAATTCTGAAAAGTAACAAAAATACTTTAGATGCTCAAATAAGTAGTGATATTATAAATTCTATATTACCAACAGTTTAGGATTACTATTATGAATATGATGCTTTAGAAATTGGACGATTGACATCATCAGCATAACCAGATAAATATATTTTTGCTCCAAAACTTGGATAATAAGAAGTGTAAATGATTACACCTAGTTTTTTTGGTGCGCAATCACAAGTTTATCAATATACTAAGAATATGATATCAGTGACTTTAATAGAAACAAATATTGATGAGATTATTATTGACAATAAACTTGCTAATAATGATAGAGGTTAAATGAAATCTTTTTTTACTTATTTCAGTACTTATGGAATAGTATATCATTCTTTTTGTGTTAATACTTTTGATACATAAATATTTCCAAATACATTTGAATGTTTTCTTAGACCATTGAATTCGGAATTCGATGAAATTACTATGTAATTAACCCCACCTCTTTAGGATTTAAAGTATAACATCAATTAGAAAAATAATATACTATTAGTTTATATGGTTTTAGCAGATTTTGGATAATTACCAACATCAGAATAAAAAATATAATAAATTAGTAAGCAAGTATATGAATAAATTTTAAATTCAGTATAAAATGATTAATGTAAATGTTGGGGTAGATACAGATAAAAAGAAAATAATTGTAGATGTTAAGATGGATATTATCCACCAGCTGAAACTACTTTTGGATTATTGGATTGCACACCCTGTAATTATAAATGTTTAACATGTTAATTTACAAGTACATAATGTATTAGTTGTCCTTTAAATTCAAATAGAAAATTAGATTTAGATATATATAGTTGTGAATGTAAGGAAGGTTATTTGGAATTAGGAGTAATAGTTTGTAGTCCATGTCATTATTCTTGTGGAATTTGTTAGACATAACCTAATAAATGTATGGATTGTGATGTTGATGATCATAGAACATGGGATAATATAAATTATTTATGTCCTTGTGATGATGGATATTATGATGATGGAAGTAATTCAATTTGTGTAAAATGTGATCATAGTTGTAGTAAATGTTCTTAAGCAGGTAAAGTTTGTATAGCATGTGTTACATCAGTGTTTAGAACTCAATAAGCAGATAATACATGTCCATGTGATGCTGGATATTATGATGATGGTGTAAATTCTTTATGTTAACCTTGTGATTATACTTGTTATACATGTGTAGATACAGCAACAAAATGTACTGATTGTAAAATAAATTCACAAAGAACATTATCTAATAATAAATGTAATTGTAATGATCACTATTATCATGTGAATTTAATATGGGATTGTTAATAATGTTCATAATATTGTAATAATTGTAGTGGACCAGGGAGAAATGAATGTGTTGATTGTTAAGGAATATAGAATAGAAAGATAGTAGGTACAATTTGTGAATGTAAGGATGGATTTTTTAAGGATAGTTTAGATTCAGCAACCTGTCCAGGTTGTGATCATTAATGTAAAACTTGTAGTATAATGAGTAATTAATGTTTGAGTTGTGAATTAACATATAATAGAAATTATGATTCATTTAATAAGACATGTAATTGTAAGGAGGGATTTTATGATGATGGTGTAAATGGATAATGTTAGCCATGTTCATATAGATGTAAAACATGTTTTGGAGATGTTAATAAATGTACAAGTTGTCCATTGAATTCAAATAGAAGATATGATGCTGTTACAAATACATGTAAATGTTAATCATCGTTTTCTGATGTTGGAGTAGCAATATGCATGAAATGTCATGCCAGTTGTTAAGAATGTCAAAATACAACAACTAATTGTATATCATGTAACATAAACAAAACTTTTAGAATAGATAAAAGTACTATAAATAATACATGTCCTTGTTAAGATGGCTATTATGATGATGGAATGAATATGGTTTGTAAGTTATGTCATCCTTAATGTAATACATGTTCTACATTTTCAGTATGTACTTCATGTAATATAATATATGGAAGAATTGATAAAAGTAATATCGATAAAACTTGTCCATGTAATGATGGATTTTATGATGATAATATTAATAAGCAATGTTAGACATGTCATTATTCTTGTAAAACATGTATAGAAAAGAATACAAAATGTGTTACATGTAATATAATTAGTACCGAAAGATCTAAAGTTCTAGATTCTTGTCCTTGTAATTCAGGATATTATGATACTGGATCTGTAACATGTTCACCTTGTGATTTCAAATGTCTCACTTGTAAATAAACTAGTACTTCATGTACTTCTTGTCCAACAAGTAGATAAGGCACAGATTGTTCATGTAGAATTGGATATATTGAAACTGGTGCTAAAGAATGTTAAGCCTGTTATTTTAAATGTGGATTATGTACTTTAGCTAATTTAAATACATGTTTATCATGTAATCTAAATAGAACTAATCCACCTACTTGTGAATGTGATACTGGTTATTATGAATCAAATAATCAATGTTTATCTTGTCCTAATAAATGTTTATCATGTGATACGACTCCTACCTGTTATAATTGTAAAGGTGATCGATTAAATAATCCTATTTGTAATTGTCCTGAAGGATATTATGAAGATGGTATTTCTATCAATTGCACTCTATGTTATGGTTTCTGTGCTACATGTGATATTGATAAATGTAGCACTTGTTAAGGAAATAGAATCTTATAACCTAAAAAATGTGATTGTCCTACTGGTTCTATTAGTCATCTTGATACTCCCTTTTGTTCCAATTGTTAAGTTGCTGTCATCTCAGCTTAATTCACCTCTGATTTAAGCATCATTTATATTACTTTCCCTTTTACTGTACAATTTCCTTCTGTCAAAAAAGTTTCAAATTCCTAAGCTTGTTAATTAATATTCTAATCTGCTACTTATCTCAGTTTAGGATAAATTCCACTTTGTTCTATTGTTCAAGGTAATACTCTTCAAATTGAATTATCTGAAGGCAGTACTATCACTACAAAATTTACTATTGATTTTAAAGATGATTTTATTACTAAAACAGGTTGTAGTGATACTATCACTTAATTTATATTAACTAGTTTTACCTATAATTCAATATAATTAGATCCTAAATTTGATCTCACTTCCTATACTGATTAAATCACCATTTGTTAAGATATTCAAATCGATATTCTCAATAAATATGTTGATGGAAAAAGAGCTTTCACAGAAGTTGCTTGGACTATTGTTAATATGAATCCATCAATTTAATCTGTTGCATAATATCTATCATAACTTTTAGCAGAAGCCAATGCTAACAACCATCAATCTATTTTGATTGCTGCACTCTCACTTAGTGAATATGGCACATATGTTATATAATTAAAAGCTAAAAATTTTAGAGGATAAATACATACTGCATAAACTACTATATAAACTGCTTCATATGAAGCTCCAATTGTTCAATTAGATTCAAATTAATAATATATTTTTGGTAGATGGGAAGACTTATCATTTACAATCTTACTCAAACATTTATCTTGTTACTCAAATTAAGTCATTGAAGTTTTTGATGCTCTCAGAGTTAATTGGACAGAGATTGCTAAAACACCAAATGATACTTAAAGCATTCTTAAAGAATCAGTCATTTAAGAAACAGATGGAATGACATTTTTAAACACTTTGTAAATTCCAGCTTATACTGCTATTATTGGATCAACATATACTTTATGTGCTACTGTATCATTAACTAATAAACCAATTAGAACATCAATATCATTTACAATTACAATTATCAGTAGTCCAATGTAAGCGTATATTTAAGGTGGAACAAGAACCTAATCTTTTAATGATTTTGCATTTCTAAATGGATTCTGCAGAGATCCTGATTTAGATTATCCTTGGAATAAAGATCCCGAAATCACTTTTGAATGGAAATGTATAAATCTGGCTACTAGTGAAAGTTGTACGGATTCAAATAAAGAACCTTTAGAATTAAATAAGACTGACTATTCATAGACATATAAACCAAGAGTCTTAGATCCCTATTAACCACTTTAATTTATTATGAGAAATACAAAAAATACTGTTGTGTTGATAACTTAAATTATTCTTTTGGTTATTGAAAATGATTTACCAAATATTTAAGTTAGTTATCCATCAGGATACGATAGTAGAGAGATTTTATTACATGAAGAACTCAATTTTACATTAGCTACATCAGTTGATCCTGATTCTTTAAAGTATTTCTGTCAAATTGTATATAATTACAATATTGTGGCATCTTTTACATTTAAGTTTTTATAAGTTAAATTTAGAATCTGGGATTATTGGGAAAATACTGAATAATCTGTTACAGAAATTTAAATTAAAATGGCAGCTAAAGATGTTTATCATTTCATGCCCTCTAGTGCTTCAGTTAATTTATAGTTGAATATACCACCGAATGATTGTAAATTTTCTATAACTCCATCTTCAGGAATATCAATTGCTGATCTATTTGTTTTATCTGTTTCTAATTGCTTTGATTCATAACTTCCTTTATAATATTAATTTCATATTTATTCAAGTTAGAAAACATTAGATAATGATAATTTAATAGGTGAAACAATAAACAAAAAGTCAATAACGGACAAATAATCAAGTCCTTAATTACAATTAGTTTTGCCAACTCCTATAAATCCTGATAATAGTATTGCATATGAATTAGTACTTGTAGCAAGTATTTTTGATAATAATAATGGAATGAAAAATTTAACTAAAACAGTTAGAGTGAATAGTATTTATCGAAAAATAGAGAATTCAGACTTTTAATCTATTTTACTATAAATAAAAAGAGCACTTAAATTAAGTGATACAATAAATGAGTCATCTCTACCTTCATTATTTATTGGTAGCTAAGAGTTATCAACTTTATATAATTAATTACCATAAGAGAAAAAGTTATAAATGAAAAGTATTCTTAAAGAGATTTATGCAATTTTATAATCATTTTAAGGTAAAATGACAAGTAAAATTTTGGAAGAATCACTTTTATCATCAATAGCAGCTATTGGTAGAACTGGTATTAATTACGAGATTGATGGTGCTGAGGTTGTTGATTTCTATACGATTAAATAGCAAATAAAAAAGACAGTTAAATAATTAAATAGATAAATAAATGATTTAGATTATTATTTAAAATAAAAATCAAAGTCAGGTGGGTCAACTTCAAAATTTGAAGATGCAATTAAAGCTTTAGACAATACTTTACTTAATAGTGGATATGTTACTGATACATTATTTAATGCAATTAAATCAAATTCATTTTAAGGAGCAGATGTTACTGATTCTGATGTTAATTTATTAAAAGAATAAATCTAATAAATAAATAAATTAGTAGCAATAGCTACATTAAAGAGAAGTTTAGCAAATGAAAAGCCTAGATAATTTGCTGGTTAATAAATGGGTATGTAGGCTTATAAATCAACACCTGCTTAAATTGTCTCAGTTTTAGGTAATAAGATTGTTCCTCTCTTTTTTGGAACTGATGTTACTGTAGAAGAAGATATTAAAGGTTCTGGCAATAATGAAAATTTGAATTTAGAGGAGGAAGAAGATGAAATAAATTATGATGAATATCTTTCAATATTAAATGGAACTAAAAGTAAAAATAATACAAATAGCACTAATACTACAACTTCAACAAATAGTACAAATAATACAAATACTACAAACAACACCAATAATACAAATGGAAATAGAAGACTTCTTTAATTTGTTGATTGGATTTAAAATAAAAATAATATCCATTATTTAAGAAACTTATAATAAATAGATCCAGTTACTGTTAAATAATATGAAGTGAGTATGTCTAATTATGCAACCAGTCCTAATTTAAATGATCCTAAGTTTTCATCTTAACTTGAAGTTAATTAGACAACTGAAGTTTCAAATTCATCAAATATAACTCGTGATTAATCCATAGTCAGTAATTTTGGTACTATATAACCAAATATCACAATGACGGAGAATGGTTAGAGTTAAGAAATAAAAAGTTTAGATGGCTAAACTATTAAATTATCATTTTAGGCTCCTTCTGATGTTAATTCTAATGCAACAATGGAATGTTTCTCAGAAGCTAAAGATAAATGGGAAACTGGTACATGTAAAACTAAGAAAGATGTAGATGCTAAAGGTAATATTGCTTATATTTGTGATTGTGTTGTAGTTAATCCAACAACAGTCATAACAAAATTGGATAGTTTTATCTCAAATAAGTTAAGTTCAGTATTTAATGCTGATTCTTTTAATATCTTCTTGCAAATTTAGTTTTGGAAATATGCAATTTTCTATATTGCTATTGGATTTACAGGGGCTTACGTTGCATTAATGGTTTTGGGATTAAAAAAAGATAATTAAGATTTCATTGAAGAAATCAGTAAAGAATTGTAAACAAATGAAGATAATAATATTCCTGATAATATAAAGAATTTGAAGAAATAAATAAATGATCTTATAATTGAAGAGTAAAGTAATGAAAATTCGATGGAAGATAAAGATGAAAGATAACCAGTTGTAAGAAAAGAAGATATGAATAAGTTAGCATTACTTACATTAAAAGTATAAAGTGATCTAGAGTTGAAAAAAGATGAAGAAGGTCATTTAATTATTCCTGAAGAAGAGAATATTAATATATTGAACTAAAGAGAGATTCAAAGTTTACAAGTTGAAAGAAATAGAAATAAAATTAATTTTAAATAAGTATAAGATCAATTATAATAACATTAACTTTATAATGCTGCTACAAGTAAATAATAGGGAAAAGCTACAGAATTACAAAAAGTTATTAAAAATGTGTACTCAATTTATGATTTAAAATATGAGTATGGTTAAGAAATCAAATTAAAACCATTAACTTTAAAAGTTCTTTGGGAAGGCATATTAGTAAATATATTAACATATATTAAAATTAGACTCTCCATAGAATATTATCAATTTTAATGTTATATGATGATGTAATTAGTAGACCAGCTAGATTTGCTTTGGTTTATGCTAAAACAATATTAGTATTAGCATTATCAGCATTATTTTCTGGTAACATGGGACCTGTATATGGTACAATGATATCAGTTGGAATCGGTTAAGTTATTAATGTAATTTTATCTATAATAACTGCAACTATGAAAGCATCACCAATACTTAAATTTTTAGGAATTTTATTTACAATTGCTATTTCTGGTATTTGTTGGTTTATTGTATTAATGCTTTCTGCTAGTATGGAAGAAATTTAAGTATTTTTATTTATCATTAATATAGGCAAATTTATGGGCAATTTAATTTGCATCAACATAAGTTATTGATATAATTATGGTTGAATTTATAACTATTGCAATAAAACTTATGTTATATCCTTGGGCAATCAAGGCTCTTCATGATCCAGATTAAAATGCTTCAAAAATTCTAGCCAATTTATTATTTATTGCAGTGGCTTAACCATAAATTTCAAAATTCTTTGAAGTAGAAGATAAGAAGGATAAGAATTTAGAAGCTTGAAATTTATAATATTATAAGGATAAATAAAATATATGTATAAAATTTTATAGAATTTAAAATAAAATTTATAGATATTTACTATGTAAATCATTAAAAACAAATTCAATATTGTTTAGATAATAATTATTATTAAAGAGCATAGTGTTTTATATTTAATTGATTATCTCTTTCTTATAATTTATTTTAATAATGACCTTTAAGATCATCTGGCACTATATCTTCTACACCTTTACGATTCTCACCTTTTTAAATAGAATTTATATTTTTACCTGTCAATAAATTATAACCACAGTTTGCTCTATTATCTAAATTTTAAGCTCTTACTAATTATCTCACTTAACTCATATCATCATATCTTTTTAGAGCTTAACCTTGTTCGTTTTAAGCATACTCTAATGTTAAAGGATTATATGCTAATCCATTTAGATTTCTTTTGCCTTAAGTAAATTACTCTTAATGATATTGCCTTTTCAGTTCATCCTAATTTTCATATAAAAATAAATACTTTTTATTGATAAAGTTCATTTCTCTACCAAATCATACCTTCTCTCTCTAAATTTGCTAATCTTCTTGATTCATATTATAACTGTTTCTATTTATTTTATAATTCCCTTTACTATTTATCCTGAACTGCAAAATCCTTTAAAAACCTCTCTTATTCTAACAATTAATATATCTTATACCCTATTAAAATAAAGTAGTATTTGGAGCTGGACTATGTAAAAGTGTTTTCATGTCATCTTTTTAAGGTGTATCAAATTCTTCAAACTTTATATAAATCTTTACATCTTGATTGCATTACAGCTTATTAAGAATTAACTTCCTTTAAATATTCCTAATCTATTAAAAACTACTATTTACTCTTTCTGCCCTAGTTCTTGGTTGCTAATTGTAATAAGCTTGCTGATTCTAAGGTTTTTATATTCCAGCCCCATAGCTCATTGAACTAGGTTAATAAATTTCTCTAGGGTTGTAATCCTATTGTTAAGAAAACAGCATAAGTTATTAATATTAATAAATATTTATATAAAATACTCATTTTTATAAGTCATATTTTATTAAACATTTGTGATATTTTAAAATCTCTTGTAAATATTAGAAATTGTTCTTACCACAAACAAAATGAAATATCCACTTTTCTTTAAAAATTTTCCAGTTTCTTAATAAAATAATTTAAATTCTAAAATAGATTATCTTATGCTATCACAAAATATAAATAATCAATAATAATAAAATCCATCTTAATAGATAATTTATTGTAGTATTTAAAATGTTTTTTATGTATCTTTATTTGCACATCCAATAATATTTATAATTAACATTATAGATAAATTATATGATTGCATTTTTCAACATTTATATATTTTTAATTTTCCTTTACAATATACAGGATATACAGGAAAGTCAATTTCTTGTTGTTAATAGAATTATACTTTTAGACATTTTTACTTTTTTTATTATTAGTTATAAGATATCAGCAGCGAGTTTAAATTTACGCTGAATTTAAGAACAATAAATTTCAACAAATAAAAATTATACATCTTATTAATAACAATTATATATCTTATTAACATTGTCATCGTTTGAAATCTCTAAAATTATTTTCTTATTGACAAGAAAAGTTTATGATGACTTTCTTGGTCTTCATTTCGTTTAAACTAATTGTAAAAGTAAGTTTTAATTCACAAACATTTGAATTTAATAATATTTGAGTTAGTTTAAATTATTCTGAGAATAAAAAACTATTTATAAAATTTTAATTTATTATAAAAAAATGATATCAAATTATAATTTTCAAATTTATAAATGTATTTTATTGAAGATAGCAAAATTTTTATTTCATTCAAAAAATACTTGATTTCTAATAGGTTAATCCACTAACCTTCGTTATAATGAGATTAAAATTTATTCTATAATTTATGAATTTATTACTTGAGAAATGAATTCATTAATTAATTTCTTTATATATATCTGCAAATATAATATAAATTTAAAATGGCTTTTAATATTTTAAAGAATCAGAAATTATGCTAAGTATGATTAAGTGATCATTTCATAAAAGTTACTGATGAGGAAAGGAGAAGTAAGAATCAAAGAACTATTAATTTGATGAATACTTTGTAAGAAAATAGTAATGGAAAACAGAATAAGATTGTAATTGATCCTTTCCTGACAAGAATTAAAATAATTAAAATCTTAAAATTCCTTAAATAGTATGATTCCCATCGTTCCATTTTTAAAATCATTTGTTCAAGAAGGGTAACAGTTCTTCACTGCTAAAGAGGTTTTCGAGAAGAAGCAAAATGAATTAATGTAATTAATATTTGATATAACTCAATCACTTGATTAAGTAGAATACTTCAATAACATATAAGAAGAGTTATATAGTAATTAATAAAAGGATTTTATAAAGTAATGCAAGGATGTTTTGCACTAAAGTGAGTAGTTAGTCCAATAATTACCATGCAATTTAACTTTGTAAAACAATTGATTCATATAAATTCAAGAATAAATGGTTATTTATTTAGTAAAAGTAATAACTACAAAGAGTTATTGTAACATTTAGAAGAACTTAACAAAATAAATTTATAAATTCGTGAATTAGAATTACAATCTTATGAAGTCTTAAAAACTGTGAGCATTCCTGATTTTTCAAGAAAAAAATATTTTTAAAGTAAATACGTTTAATTATGTTTTAGCTGTGCATGAAATTTAGATTTTTCTTAAACTTAAGGCTCCTAAAGAAATAAAAGAAATCTTTGAATCATATCCTCGACATTTAAAAACTGAATATACTTTTAAGTCTCAAATGGTTGAAGATGAAAAATCTAAAAATATTTTCAACTTTTCAAGAAAAGAATTTATGAAATTGTAATAAATCAAAAAAGATGCCTAAATTTATACTATTTCAAAAAAGTAACATTGCTCTTTAGAACTAAGAAAAATTTAATAAAATTAATTATAAATTAAGTAAAAATTTTAGGAAGATGAGACATAATTTAACAGTGAAATAAGCAGGGATTAAGAGATACAAAATTTAGCAAAGCTTTTTAAACTATATCTAGTAGTAAATGGAAAAAATGGGATCACTATTATTAGAGAACAGCAGTAAAGAATATATGTAGGATGTGGAGAAGACTTTGAATTATTAGAAAAAGATGAAATTATCATTCTATCAAACTCTAATTAAGAGACTTTAATATCATATATCATACAAAGGTTTATTATTTAAAAATTATGATTCCTATTAATTATTATAAAATGAATAATTGATATAAATTATAGGATTTCACATATTTTTAATTTATTGAATATAATATAAATTATGAAATATCTTAGATGAGTCTCTAAGTTTTTACATAAAAATTATATTCTAATTGGTTTAAGACAAGAAATAAATTCATAATTAATCAAATACATATTATTATTAAGATATTTATGTATATTTACTAATAGAAATTATAAATATAAATAAAAATCAATCAAAAAATGCTTTAAATATTTAGACTTTAGTTAATATTAAATATAGATTTGTTTTGTTATTCTAAATATTATTGTTAAATGATCTTCTCTTAATGATTATTAGTTATATCATTAAATATTGGTTGTTATTAAAACATAAATTAACTATTGGATTATGATGGATTAACATAAAGTTAAACCATTTATCCTTCCCAATCTATATTTGTTCTTGTAATTCTTGGTGTTGAAGTATTGATTTATCGATAAACTTTATCGATTACAACATAAGGGGGATCATTTTCAATTAAATCTGAATCCAAATAAGAATTATAAACGTAATACCCAACCTATGATAATATTTACCTAAAATAAATACTCTAAAGAATTCTTAGTTTCTATATTTTACACTAAGAATAATTGCTGTCGCGCCAAATAAATTATCTTTGCCATGTATTAACTCTAACTTTGGACCAGCACTCATTAATGTAAACTGCATCATCCCTTATTAAAGTGGAGGCATTGAAAATTGTTCAAGCACTTGATCTTGTTTATCATCATTAGGACACCCTATGTAAATCAGTCTAAAATATTAAATTATCATACTTCCAGTCAATCTCTGAATCTAAATATCTCATAACTTCAAAGGTGATTTACATTTGAATTGGTGTATTGAAAAGAGCTGTGTCTTGGTCAAAAACTATATTTGTAATGTTTATAAATGCCATTAAAAATTTAAATAACAATAAACCCTCGAAATTTAACTCAAATTTTAATCAATGTATTAATATAAGCATATCTTGAAAACACAACAAACATCTTTCTATACCATACAAATTATGAATTGTGAATTTGCATCGATTTCCATGCCTTTAAAATATTTAGATTAACCATTAAATTATCATTTAGAATAGAAGATACAAAGAAATCTAAAATTGAACTGTACTTTCTTAAGATATTTGTAGTCTCTAACACAAACACCTTTAAATCTTCAATTCTTTTCATTGTAGATATTGCTTTATAACAAGCTATATGATTCACATGATCTGAAATGCCATTTTTATCAAATGTAATTACTCCCTTTATATTATTTTACAATATATAACTATATTTTATAAATTATTAATTATTACTCTTCTACTATTTTTTATATTTTTTCTATAGGCCACGAAATACTCATTGAATCTTATAAATGTTCATCGTTAATAATAGTTAACTGATTAATAAGGAAAAAATTTTACTTTATTTATTTTCAGGTATTTACAGCACTTTTATAATTCTGCTTCTCTAATTTTTCCAATATTATTTGCATTTCCATTTGATAAACATAGTAAATGAACTTCATAATTTTTATCATTTAAATAAGAAATTGTAGGTAAGAAAAACATGGCTTCATCATCAGGGTGTGCAGTGACTATTAAAACACATTTTTTTTCCTTATGTAATTTTTAATTCTTACTTCTTTCTAATTATGCTATTTCTTTGATTTAAAATATAGTAGGATAAATATTGTGATGAAGTTAGATATGATCAATCCATATTTTAAAATAAAAAGTAAATCGTCATCTACAACCTCTTCAATAATTTAAAAAAGTTCCATAATTATAATTTTAAAATAATATTTGTAATTTTTATACCAAAAATTATTTCATCTTTATTCTCTTTAGATTTATGGAGTTTTAAAATAGGAATGATAAATTCATTTATGAAGATCAAAACTATTCCTTTGTAATAAATATAATAATACTATTAATATATAATATCATTTTGTTTATTTATTTGTGTCATTTAAATTTTCAAGCATATTTTTAATATTGTGTTAGCTCTTATCTAATGTAATTTTGCTAGCTATATAATCCTTTTTTAACTCTTTAATGAGTTCAATTGATTATTCATTAAAATCTATAATCCTTGGATTTTTTGATAAATCATTATATTCTTCTGAGAATTAAACCTTATTTTCATGCTAAATTGATTGATATTAAATAGTACTTCTTAAAGTCGATTATTTATCATGGATGCTCTTACTCTTAATTCTTCAATATCTTAAATAAGACCCAATTCTTTGGCTGAATTTTTGTTTAATTTTCTTTTAGAGATAGCATATTTTTCCAACAATTTATGTGCCTTAATTAATTCTGAGATAATAAATTAATTTTTATCTCGAATCTATTTTAATTATCCACCCATTGACTATTCTAACTATTCAAAAATTCATTGAAAAAATACTTAAACAACATATCCTTAAAACTCTCCTACATTTTATATTTAATTGGGCTTAGATTTATCTTACCCAGTTTTTTAAAATATTGTTTAAGTTAAGTGTGTTTTATTTTACTCTAATTTATTTTTGAGTGCTTCTAACTCGGAAGATGTTGTGTTTTAATGTTATTTTAATGTTTCATTTATTAGTTACATCAGAAATACTTCGTTATAGATAGATTGTAAATTATTCTAAGTTGTATTTTATGGTTGAAGTGATGTCTGCTAATAATTCAACATTAAATAATAATATTAATAATAATTCAAATATTTAATTTTCTGAAATACTTTTTTTATTGTATTTCATGATCTATTGCTACCTTCATTAAATCATTTTTTCTATTATTAATTTAAGATTAATATGTGTCAAATTCATTCATTAAGTCTTTCAATTCAAACTACTTTGTTTATTCTTTGTAGTCCTTATTTTAATCTTCAAAATGTTTCTGTAATAATTCTTTTTCATCAAGAGCTTTTTATAACTAATAACTTAAATTAACTTTTTCATCAAAAAGTTTTTCAATTTAATCATGTCTTTATTCAATTTCCAATTATTTTAATTTAACTTCATTTTCTAACATTTCATTTCTTAATTTTGATTGATTCAATTCATACTCCTTAAAAATTTAATAAAATAATATACCATTTTCTTAATTTGTTAATTATGATCAAACTCAACTTATGCCAAAGCATCACTATGTTAATCTTTCATTTCTTCAATTTAAATTCTTAATTATTAGATTTCTTCTAAATATTTTCGTGTATCCTCTTAAGCCTTTTCTTCCTATTGCCTAATATCTATATCATAATATTCATTATATTAAGGAATAGTAACTTGTTTTTTTTAAGGAACTTTTTCTTTGTCTTCTTATTCTAATGGTGTTACTGATTAATCACTAATTACACTCTTTTCATTAAAATTAGGTTAAAACTTTTCAGCATTTTTTAAGTCCTCGTCTTCTTAAACTTCTGTTTGAGTTGCTTTTTCAACTTTTTCAACTCCCTAAAATTCTTCATCTTAATAATCTGGTCCAACAAATTATTTTCCTTTAGATTTATCTGATCTATCATCATCAGCTATATCACCATTAATAAGATCTTATTAATCTTATTGATTTTCTTTTTATTCTTGTTTTTGTTATTATTCTTCTGGTTTCTCATAAGCTTTAACATAAATTCTTTTTGGCATATAACTATTAAATTTATCCATATGAATATCCTTAATGTCGGAAGGTAAGACTTTTATATTATTGTGATAATAATTGTAGAGGAAATTATAATCATTTTGTAATAAAGGATCAGTGATAAAATAGCTATAAATATCAATAGATACATCATTATCATATGTAGTAATATATGATTCTAAGATATTTTTAAGTTTAGTTGACATTTCTTAAAATTAAGGTAAATTACTATAGGATCTATTTGTATTATTGAAAAAAAGATCTTTAAAAAGATTAGCAACAGTAAGAAAATGATCCATATTGTAATCTTGATTAATAAATTATTCCTTAAGGTTTGGATTCAATAAAAATTTTGATATGAATAAATTTTTAACTGGAAATGTAGCTTAAAGATTATCTGTGAAATGGGGAGCATCTTGTATAGTTTAATTAAATTAAGCAAGTAAATTGAGAAGATCTGGAGGTAAAGTAGCAAAGAAAGTAATAAATTATGTTTCTACAATTGGTTAAACAGTTGCAAAGAATTTAGGAGGAGCCATCTTATGATTTGGTAAAAGCAAATCATCTAGTAATTATTAAAATTCAAAGTAAACAGGAGAATATAACAACTGCATATAATTTAGTAGAAACTAGAAGAAAGGATCACTTTCATCTTGGTCTTTGAAAAGCATATCTCTTTTAGTCTGGGTATTAATATACTATTTAAAGATATTGTGTATCATATCTTCACCCTAAAATTTTAATTAAGAAAACTATGATCGTTTGTAATTAGTTCTTTTTTTTGAATAAGCTGCAAAATATATTCTACCTAAAGTAAAATGCACTTCTTTTACATTTATAGTGTCATTCTTTACAAATAGCAATTTCTTAATAATTAATAATTTATTGCTAAAAATCAATTTATTTACTTCATCAATTTCATCCCTTTCAGCCATACTTTATCTTTCTATAATATACTTACTGATTCTTCCTTTATTTGCTATATAATCATCCAACACTTGATCACTAACTTACTCTTTTTCTAAAATATACTCCAGAGTATTAACAAAATGACTGAGTTATAATTTATTTTAATCAGCATCATTGTAATTCATCATAATGTCTAATGATTCGAAAAATTCGAAACTAGTTGCCATTCTTTCTAAAGCTTTTACAAATACTTTAACATCTAAAGGGACATAATTTCCAATACTTTCCATAATTTTACCTGATTGTTATGCCAATTGTGATTATTAACTTGTTTAATACAAACTCTGATGTACTTTTGCTCTATCTGAAGATTTATTTTTTGAATATAAATTAAAAATTAAACCATCTATTAGGAGTATTATTAAATCTATATATTGAGTAGCTGGCTAATCAGATCCTTCATCAGCTATTCTGATTATTTAAATCATTATAGCTGAAATTACTGAATCGTAATATTCTTTTCCTTTGACTTCTATGGATTATTTCCAAGTATTCTAATAAACTTCATTTATTGATTTATTTACATCCTATTTCATATGCTCCTTATCCAAATAAAAAATTGAAAGCTTGCCTAATATTGTTTTCTATTTTATCAGATGAAAATTGGTCTTTTTTTTTTTCAAAATTCATTACTATTTATTAACAATATTATTATAATTTAAATCACAACAGCATAATAAATTCATATGCAATTAAAGGTTATTTATACTCTGGTTTTTTCATTAATATAGCAATTTTGTCTTTCGATTTTAAAACTATAGTTTTATTGTTTACAATCCTAGTCCAAGTACCAAGAGTAATCTAATTCTTTAGATATATCTTTACATCATCATTATTTTTGGTCGATTCATCATCTCTATAAATAAATATCCCATTTGGGCTTTTATTTTATAACTTAAAAATGTATTCATATTGATTGTCTTCAGGTGGTTTTGTTTCCTGTAGTAATTAGGAATTATCAATACAAGTGTAAAATATTCTAAAATGAAATTCAAAGTTACTCCTGCTACTATTATGGTTAATGTTATTGATCATTTGGTTTATCGATTTTAATTTTTTTTTGTGGTACTTCAAAATTATCACTGTCAAATTTTTATTTTAATTATCTAATGCATGTAATGATTGCATGTTCTCTAGAAATAGTTTAAACTTGCTAAACTTCCATTTATAATTTTCTATAATATTCTCTGCCAAATTTAAAGACTTCTTGTTCATTGATTTAATCATTGCCAAATTTTAATTCAATTACTTCTATTGTATTTATTATATTCATTCTAAATTGTTGTTTTATATGGTCTTCAGCAATCAACTTCAATTAAATCTTTCCTTCTGATTGATTACCTAATTTATATATAATCCTCCTCATACTTTGAACTATCTAGTCATCATCAATCTAGGTTTCTTCAACATGAGTAGTAACATTCGCTTATTTTTCAACCACACTTGTTTAACCAAGGGCTAAACAAGTTAATAAATGATTATTCAATTGCTGACTAAGCCTGTCTAAAGCTTATGATTTATCTTTTATATCATTGTAGACACTTCCAAAAGGTAATTTAGATAGTATTGTATTAATACTAAAATTTTATATTAATTTAATACTATGAGTTGCGTTCTGGTAATTTGGAGAGTAATTGGGAAGACTCTGTCAATTCTTTTTTTATCTACCCTTATAATTATGCATTGATTCTAAATTATAAGCAAAAACTTTACTAGAAATCTTTTTGTTCTAATTTCTATAATTATTCTTAGAGAGAAGACAATTTAAGTCTAAAGAATTTGACCTCTTCTCCATTTTCTTCGTGTGCTTTAGCCAAATCAACAGCTGTCTATACTAATCCAAAGAGATCCATTTTCTGATTAATTAATTATATTTTAAATTCTCACTTAGAGTATTAGCTTATTGTGAAAGTGGTTCAATTTATTAATAATTCTTATTTTACTAATTTAAGTATTTTATCAGAATTATTATATTTCCTCTATATATTTCATCATTTAAATCTATCCCTCTATTTGTCGAATTTTTTCACTTATGACATCATCCTGACAAAAAATTACAAGATTTAGTTGTAAAAAATAATATTTTAGAGCACATTTTCAATTTATTTAATTTAAGAGTTTTATAAGAATCAATATTCAGTTTAGAATGGTTAAACTACTTCGAGTTTCTTGTTATAACCTTAATAAATTTTGCCATCTAGTTATAAATAATATTCTAGAATTGAATTTAAGTAAATGTTTTAAGAATGAATCAAATAATAAGAAAAAATACATATGAAAATATAAAGTACAATCCAAAAAAATAATATATATTTTACTTATTAAGGGTTAAATTTAAAAGGAGACTATAGATTCAACACTATTTCTTCTTATTAGAATGAGAGATGATGAATTATTTATTTAAAGTTTTCATTTTTCTTTAATACTAATAAAGCAATATAAAGGATTAAAATAGTACCTTAGAATACAAAATAGCTTCTAATAGATAATTTGAATAAAATTAATTTTTATAATCTCAATTGGAATCTTATTATCATAACATATAATTATATTAAAATTAATGGATTAATAGCAATTTGATTCTGAATTGCAAACTTATTTTCTACACATTAAACATGAAATCAAATAAGAACACATTGAATATTTAAAGAAGCATCCAGAATTAAATCAAATATTAAATGATTTCACAAGTTAGATAATTTTAGAGAAAGTAACTTTTTCAATATTATATCAGCCAGATAATGTGTACCAATACGCAAAAGAATATTTCAGTTTCTTTAATTAAGAAAAAGATCTCAAAACTTGTAAGCCTTTAGTTGTTTCAGGAGCAAGTGGAGTTGGAAAAGTAATCAAGCTATTGATTTTTATAATAGGGAACATTATTATAGATGCTTTTTAAATAATATCCATAATAATTTGTATTTAGTGTTAGCTATACAACGAGGGCACCAAGGCCAGGAGAGGTTCATGGATAACATTATTACTTTGTTAGTAAAGAAGAATTTTAAAAAGAAATTGAAAAGAAAGCATTTTTAGAATTTTGTGAAGTTCATGGAAATTATTATGGAACTCATTTGGCTTAAGTATAAAAAGTAATGAAGTAAGGATAAGTCTGTGTAATTGAAATAGATGTTTAAGGTGCTGAAAAGATAAGTAAATCAATGCCTAATTAATGCAATTATATTTTCATTAATGCTCCCTCTACTGAGGAATTGAGAAAAAGACTTACTGGAAGAGGAACTGAGACTGAAGAAGTAATTGAGAAAAGAATGAAAAATGCTGAAAAAGAAATAGAGAAAGCTCATCAATTAGGATTCTATAATGAATTATTAAACGATGATTTGCAAAAGACTTTTAAGAAACTAATTGACGTTCTCAAAACATTTTATGCCGATCTAAAATTATGATATCGAGTATAGAATATTCAAAATATACAAAACAGAATTTTTATATTTGTTGATAACAATTTTAAAATTTATTTAGAACTCTCATCTATCATTCTTCCATTTATGACCACAGCTTATGCATTCAAAAGAAATTGTACTTTATTCATCAGCACCTCTTGTTTAAAATTCCCAAAAGAAAGCTTTTAGGCATCCACATTTATCACATTGCTCATCTGTAATTTATTTATTTTATTATGGATATGTTATAGGAGCTAGCTCTTTAGATTAAAATGTTTTTGTTAGCCTCATTTCTTTTAAAGGAAAATAATAGATGCATCCTGGACATTTTAGTCTATATCCTTAACTAGATTCATTTTCTAAAGATAAAAAATTTGAACAAACTGGGCAAAAATTCATTTAAAAAAATAATTTATGATAAATTTTTTTAAGCAAATTAAATATTTTTCAGCAAAGTATTTAAAAATTAATAAAAAATCAACTCTTAAATTTAATATTTAAAATAACCCAAAACTTTTTACATCAAAGCCAATATTTTACCTTCTAAATATAAAAAATTATTAGATTACTAAAAAGATAATTCATAATCTAAAAAGCTAGTGTTATAAAAGCAGAACAACAATAAAGTAAATGCTTTATTCACAAAATTTAGCAAAAATTTTGGACTTTTTGAAGTTGTACTTATGCAAAATATCAAGCCAATTTAATTCAAAAAAATAATTTTTATTCTTGAGTAATTTAGGAATCTAATAAATTCTTCCTGGTAGAAAATTTTAGAAAAAAATTTTTTTGGCTCCTAATTTTCCATCTTCACAATATTCTTATCATAATTAATGAATTGCTAATAAAAAAATTCTCTTTATAAAATATAAACTTTTAGTTTTCTATTATTCATAAATATACTAGATTATCACTAAATCTATGATTTTCATTATAATTTTGCTAAAGAAGGATGAATATTATAAGTACCTTATATATCTATATCATGTAATTTTAAATTTATCTAAAAATATTATATTTTCTTTTTTTGTCAATTTTTAGACAAAATAAATAATCCAAAATCTAAAAAAATAATTATATATCTTAATATAAATTTATATTATATCATGCCTCCAAAATACTATCTTGTTTATCCTCTACTTCAAAAAATTTTTAAATCTATGGTTGCGCTACAATTATAAACACTAGATTCGCTAAAATTTTAGATGCACTTTCATCGGGATTATGTAATGCTTTGACTGCCCATGGGTAAATAGAAAGTTTAATTGAAATAATAAGAAATTCTACAATTATAAGATCAATTATTTATGTTGAAGCAAATTAAATTGCCCATAAATTTGCCTATATTAATGATAAATAAAAATACTTAAATTTCTTCCATACTAGCAGAAAGCATTAATACAATAAACCAACAAATACCAGAAATAGCAATTGTAAATAAAATTCCTAAAAATTTAAGTATTGGTGATGCTTTCATAGTTGCAGTTATTATAGATAAAATTACATTAATAACTTAACCGATTCCAACTGATATCATTGTACCATATACAGGTCCCATGTTACCAGAAAATAATGCTGATAATGCTAATACTAATATTGTTTTAGCATAAACCAAAGCAAATCTAGCTGGTCTACTAATTACATCATCATATAACATTAAAATTGATAGTACTCGGTGAAGAGTCTAATGTTGATATTTTAATATTTACCAATATGCCTTCCCAAAGAACTTTTAAACTTAATGTTTTAAGCTTTATTTCTTAACCATGCTCATATTTTAAATCATGAACTGTATAAACATTTTTAATAACATTTTGTAATTCTGTTGCTTTTGATGTTTGTTTATTTGAGTTTGGATTATAAAGTTAATGTTATTATAATTGATCTTAAACTTATTTAAAATTAATTTTTTATTTGTTTTGTTCTACTTATAATCTATATATATTTTAATGATCTAAATCTGTATTATGTTCTTCAGGTAAAATCAATCTTCCTTATTCGTCCTATTTTAGTTCAATATTTCCCGGATGATTTAAAGTAAGTAAAGCTAATTTGGGAAAATCTTTAGATTGGACAACTGGAAGTTTTTCATTTTAATGTTCGATAGAATCTTCAATGCTTTTCTCTTCTATAACAATATCATGAATTTCTTTTTTTAAATTGAGTAAATTAGGATTTGAGTTGATTTTTACATTCAATTCTTTCGTAATTTCTTCTATAANTCTTAATATAAATTTATATTATATCATGCCTCCAAAATACTATCTTGTTTATCCTCTACTTCAAAAAATTTTTAAATCTATGGTTGCGCTACAATTATAAACACTAGATTCGCTAAAATTTTAGATGCACTTTCATCGGGATTATGTAATGCTTTGACTGCCCATGGGTAAATAGAAAGTTTAATTGAAATAATAAGAAATTCTACAATTATAAGATCAATTATTTATGTTGAAGCAAATTAAATTGCCCATAAATTTGCCTATATTAATGATAAATAAAAATACTTAAATTTCTTCCATACTAGCAGAAAGCATTAATACAATAAACCAACAAATACCAGAAATAGCAATTGTAAATAAAATTCCTAAAAATTTAAGTATTGGTGATGCTTTCATAGTTGCAGTTATTATAGATAAAATTACATTAATAACTTAACCGATTCCAACTGATATCATTGTACCATATACAGGTCCCATGTTACCAGAAAATAATGCTGATAATGCTAATACTAATATTGTTTTAGCATAAACCAAAGCAAATCTAGCTGGTCTACTAATTACATCATCATATAACATTAAAATTGATAGTACTCGGTGAAGAGTCTAATGTTGATATTTTAATATTTACCAATATGCCTTCCCAAAGAACTTTTAAACTTAATGTTTTAAGCTTTATTTCTTAACCATGCTCATATTTTAAATCATGAACTGTATAAACATTTTTAATAACATTTTGTAATTCTGTTGCTTTTGATGTTTGTTTATTTGAGTTTGGATTATAAAGTTAATGTTATTATAATTGATCTTAAACTTATTTAAAATTAATTTTTTATTTGTTTTGTTCTACTTATAATCTATATATATTTTAATGATCTAAATCTGTATTATGTTCTTCAGGTAAAATCAATCTTCCTTATTCGTCCTATTTTAGTTCAATATTTCCCGGATGATTTAAAGTAAGTAAAGCTAATTTGGGAAAATCTTTAGATTGGACAACTGGAAGTTTTTCATTTTAATGTTCGATAGAATCTTCAATGCTTTTCTCTTCTATAACAATATCATGAATTTCTTTTTTTAAATTGAGTAAATTAGGATTTGAGTTGATTTTTACATTCAATTCTTTCGTAATTTCTTCTATAAAATCCTAATTATCTTTTCTTAATCCCAAAACCATTAATGCAACATAAGCCCCTGTAAATCCAATAGCAATATAGAAAATTGCATATTTCCAAAACTAAATTTGTAAGAAGATATCAAAAGAATTAGCATTAAATACTGAACTTAACTTATTTGAAATAAAACTATCTAATTTTGTTATAACTGTAGTTGGATTAACTACAACACAATCACAAACATAAACAATATTACCTTAAGCATCTAATTCCTTTTTTATATTACAAGTCCCTGTCTACCATGTATCTTTTGATTCAGATAGGCATTCCATAGTAGAATTAGAACTAAGATTTTAAGGAGCTTAAAATGATAATTTAAGAGTTTGGCCTTCAAGGCTTTTTATTTCAGTGCTATTACCATTCTCTGTCATTGTGATATTTGGTTAAATTGTACCAAAATCACTGACAATGGATTAATCATGAGTGATATTGGATGAATTTGAAACTTCAGTTGTCTAATTAACTTAAAGTTAGGATGAAAACTTAGGATCATTTAAATTAGGACTGGTTGCATAATTAGACATACTTACTTCATATTATTTAACAGTAACAGGATCAATTTACTCTAAGTTTCTTAAATAATGGATATTATGTTTATTTTAGATCCATTCAACAAATTAAAGAAGTCTTCTGTTTCCCATTGTATTAGTGTTATTTGTATTATTTGTATTATTAGTGCTATTAGTGCTATTTGTACTATTAGTACCATTTATACTACTAGTTCCATTTAATATTGAAAGATATTCATCATAATTTATTTCATCATCTTCTTCCTCTAAATTCAAATTATCATTATTTCCTGTACCTTATAAATCAGTTGTTGATGAAATATTTGAGTTACTTCCAAAGAATCTAGGAGCTATAGTCCCGCTTAAAATTTTTTATATTTAAGCAGGTGTTGATTTATAAGCTTACATACCCATTTATTAACCAGCAAATTATCTAGGCTTTTCATTTGCTAAACTTCTCTTTAATGTGGCTACTGCTACTAATTTATTTATTTATTAGATTTATTCTTTTAACATATTAACATCAGAATCAGTAACATCTGCTCCTTAAAATGAATTTGATTTAATTGCATTAAATAATGTATCAGTAACATATCCACTATTTAGTAAAGTATTGTCTAAAGCTTTAATAGCGTCTTCAAATTTTGAAGTTGACCCACCTGATTTTGATTTTTATTATAAAAAATAATCTAAATCATTTATTTATCTATTTAATTATTTCATGGTTTATTTTATTTGCTATTTAATTGTATAGAAATCAACAACATCAGCATCATCGATCTCATAATTAATACCAGTTCTACCAATAGCTGCTATTGATGATAAAAGTGATTCTTCCAAAATTTTACTAGTCATTTTACCTTAAAATGATAGTAAAATTGAATAAATCTCTTTAAGAATTTTTTTCATTTATAACTTTTTCTCTTATGGTAATTAATTATATAAAGTTGATAATTCTTAGCTACCAATAAATAATGAAGGTAGAGATGACTCATTTATTGTATCACTTAATTTAAGTGCTCGTCTTATTTATAGTAAAATAGATTAAAAGTCTGAATTCTCTATTTTTCGATAAATACTATTAACTTTAACTGTTTTAGTTAAATTTTTCATTCCATTATTATTATCAAAAATACTTGCTACAAGTACTAATTCATATGCAATACTATTATCAGGATTTATAGGAGTTGGCAAAACTAATTGTAATTAAGGACTTGATTATTTGTCTGTTATTGACTTTTTGTTTATTGTTTCACCTATTAAATTATCATTATCTAATGTTTTCTAACTTGAATAAATATGAAATTAATAAGTTAATGGAAGTTATGAATCAAAGCAATTAGTGACAGATAAAACAAATAGATCAGCTATTGATATTCCTGAAGGTGGAGTTACAGAAAATTTACAACCATTTGGTGGTATATTCAATTATAAATTAACTGAGGCACTTGATGGCATATAATGATAAATATCTTTAGCTGCCATTTTAATTTATATAGCTGTAATTTATCCTTCAGTATCTTCCCAATAATCCCAGATTCTAAATTTAACTTATAAAAACTTAAATGTAAAAGATGCCACAATATTGTAATTATATACAATTTGACAGAAATACTTTAAAGAATCAGGATCAACTGATGTAGCTAATGTAAAATTGAGTTCTTCATGTAGTAGAATCTATCTACTATCGTATCCTGATGGATAACTAACTTAAATATTGGGTAAATCATTTTCAATAACCAAAAGAATCATTTAGGTTATCAACACAACAGTATTTTTTGTATTTCTCATAATAAATTAAAGTGGTTAATAAGGATCTAGGACTCTTGGTTTAAATGTCTATGAAGAGTCAGTCTTATTTAATTCTAAAGGTTCTTTATTTGAATCAGTACAACTTTCACTAGTAGCCAGATTTATACATTTCCAATCAAAAGTGATTTCGGGATCTTTATTCCAAGGATAATCTAAATCAGGATCTCTGCAGAATCCATTAAGAAATGCATAATCATTAAAAGATTAGGTTCTTGTTCCACCTTAAATATATGCTTACATTGGACTACTGACAATAGTAATTGTAAATTATATTGATGTTTTAATGGGTTTATTAGTTAATGATGCTGTAACTTAAATAGTATAAGTGGAGCTTAAAGCAGCAGTATAAGCTGGAATTCTTAGTGTGCTTAAAAATGTCATACCATCAGTTTCAGAAATTTTAGATTCATTAAGTATACTTGTGGTTTCTTTTGGAGTTTTAGCAACTTCTGTCCAATTAACTCTAATAGCATCAAATACTTCAACAATCGAGTTAGTATAACATGATAAATGTTTTAGTGTAACAGTGAATGATAAATCTTACCATCTTCCAAAAATATACTATTAATCTGGATCAATTTTGATGATTGGTGATTCAAATGATTCAGTTTAAATTGTAGTTTGTGCAGTATAGACTTGATCTCTGAAATTTTTAGCTTTTAATTATATTACATAGGTTCCATATTCGCTTAAAGCTAAAGCAGCGATAGTAATAGATTATAAATTATTTGCATTAGCTTCAGCAAATAGAGATGTTAAATATGAGGAAACTGATGAAGTTTATGGATACATTTTAACAATACTCCAAGTTATTTCTGTGAAATTTCTTTTTCCATCTACAAATTTATAAATTATTCTGATTGGGATATCTTAACAGAGTGTAATTTAATCACTATAAGTTGTTAATTCAAAAACAGGATCCATTTTTACTGGGTTATAAGTAAAATTAATCAAAATAAAATTTATAATGGCAGAACTACATCCTGTTTTTAATAATATATCTGTGTTAAATTAAATATTTGTACTCACTGTGATACTACTTTGTTCAGATAATTCTACAATTAGGAGGTTTTCTTAAACTATTGAACATAAAGGAGAATTGCCTAATGTTGAATATGTACTTGTTTAGAAAATTTATTAGCAAGCTGAATAGGGAGTGAATTTTTTAGTGGATACAAATTGTACATTGTATGGAAAAGTAAAATAGACAATACTCAAATCACTGCTAAATTAAGCAGAGATCACAGCAACATCACAATCTGAACAAAAAGGAGTTTCAATATGGTTAATTGAATTTTCTGGGCATGTACAAGATAAAGGCTTTAAAATTCTATTTCCTTTACAAGTGAGACAAATGTCTTTATTACAAGTGGCACAATTTCCAAAGCAAACTGTACAATTGATGGATACTTCATCTTCATAATAGCCATCAGGACAATAACAAACAGGATTATTAAGCCTATCTCCCTTGCAATTATAGCAAGTTGCTGTGGTATCACATGATTAGCATTTATTAGGACAAGGTAAACATTCATTATTCAATTCATAATACCCAGAATCACAATCGCATTTAGGTAAATTAATTCTATTTAAATTACAGGCCAAACAAGTATTTAAATCACTTAATGTGCAAAGTCCACATTTGAAATAACAGGCGGTGCATTCTTTAACTCCATTTTCTATATAACCAATTTTACAATCACAATTAGTACCTTGTCTGCTTTGAGGACAAGAAGTACAATATGTACTAGTTTATGTACAAGTGGCACATTTGAAATGACAAACTTTGCAAATTAAGTCACCATCATCATAATATCCAGCATTACAAGGACAAGAATCTATGCCCTTTGATCTGTATGTTCCTGTTATATTACATGTAACACATTTGTTATTCTTTTCAATACATGTTTAACAAGAATAATGGCAAGTCTGGCATTATTTATTAATATTATCATCATAGAATCCATCATTGCATGGACAAGTTTTATCTATACTACTTTTATCAATTCTTCCAAATGTAATATTACATGAAGTACATATTTAAAATTGAGAGCAAGTATTACATTAAGGATGACATAATTTGCATACAGTATTCATTCCATCATCATAATAACCATCTTAACATGGACATGTATTATTAATATTACTACTATCTAATCTAAATGTCTTATTAGTATTGCATTAAAGACAAAATGTTGCAATTGTTTAACACTCTTAGCAACTTGCATGACATTTCATGCAAACTGGAACCCCAATATCTGAAAAAGAGGATTAACACTTGCAAGTATTTTTTGTAGAATCATATTTTCTATTTGTATTCAATGGACAGCTCAAACATTTATCTAAATTGCTCACACAAGTTCTACATCTATATGAGCATGTCTAACATTATCCATTTGTACCATCATCAAAATATCCATCTCTGCAATAGCATTTCTTATTAAAAGAATCATATAATCTGTTAAATGTTGGTTCACATGATTAACATTAATTACTCATCACACTGCAAGTTTTACATTGATAATCACATTATGGGCAAATAACAGAATCTAATGAATCCTTAAAATATCCAACCACACATTCACAACTTGTAGATTTTAATTCTCTATTTTAAATAGATTAACAATCAAGGCATTCTGTTCTAGTTGCCCCAGAACAGTTATAACAATAAATGGAACATTGTTGACAATCCCAAAGTAGATTTACATGATAATAATGATTATTACAGATACATTCATTATTAGATAATTTTCGTTGTGAATTGATTTTGCATCCAGTACACTTAGTTGCTGTATCTACACAAGTAGAACAAGTATAATCACAAGGTTAACATAAAGAATTTACACCATCATCATAATATCCAGCATCACATGGACATGTATTATCTGCTTATTGAGTTCTAAACACTGATGTAACACATGCTATACAAACTTTACCTGCTTAAGAACATTTACTACAACTATGATCACATTTTACACAAATTGAATTACTTCCATCATCATAATATCCATCATCACAAGGACATAAAAAATTTATATTATCCCATGTTCTATGATGAGCACTATTACATTCAGTGCATTTATAAGGGAAAGTTTCGCATTTTCCACAAGAATAGTGACATGGACTACAAACTATTACTCCTAATTCCAAATAACCTTCCTTACATTCACAACTATATATATCTAAATCTAATTTTCTATTTGAATTTAAAGGACAACTAATACATTATGTACTTGTAAATTAACATGTTAAACATTTATAATTACAGGGTGTGCAATCCAATAATCCAAAAGTAGTTTCAGCTGGTGGATAATATCCATCTTAACATCTACAATTATTTTCTTTTTATCTGTATCTACCCCAACATTTACATTAATCATTTTATACTGAATTTAAAATTTATTCATATACTTGCTTACTAATTTGTTAAATTACTTAACTTTTTTAAGGGACAGTTCCAAAATCTGCGAATAGTAAATACATCATCAAAATATTGTCTTGTTACTATATTTTGTAAGTTAAATCTTTTAGAGGAGGAGTAACTATTATATTGATTTAATCATGTTATGGATTTAAAGGTCGAATAAAGCATTCATATGTGTTTGGAAATATTTAAGAATCAAAAGTTGTGTAGCAAATTGATTAAAATACAATACCATAATCGCTAAAAAATTATGTAGAAACACTCAATTATCCGTTATTGCTTGGTATGAGAGTGTTAAATATAACAATTTCGTCAATTCTAGTTTCAATCAAAGTTAAAGATACTGCATTGTTTATAAATTAATAAAGTTAAGATTGTGCTCCAAAAAATTTTGGAGTTGTTTTCTAAACTTCACTTGCACTTTATTAAGGTACATCAATATAAATGTTAGGTTGAGTAGATGATGTTAATTTGCCAACAATCAGTGCATCATATTGATAAAAATTGTCTTACGGAAGGGGCAAAATATAACTTTAAATTAAATTACTAATTAGGGAATCTAATGCAACTTTGTAATTTTTCAGAATAGTAACAGCATTATCAAAATTAAAATAATTGCATTTCTTACCATTCATATTATAAACATCATTCGTTAATAATTATGATGAATCAAACTCATTATACATTGATGCTTTATATCCAGATCTATATATAGCACATTAAAAATCTTCATTGTATGTCAAGCACTGGAAATCAAAACCAAAATATCCAATAGATTTAAAGATTCCTTAATACATATCTTAAATAATTTGATTTGTATTCAAATTACTAGAACTTTTAGATACTACCATTAAGTAGTATAATTATCTGATTTTTTGAATATTGCTTAATTTTACTTCAACATTGCTTTATTATAATACGATGGACACGTCATATTCATTTAAATCTATCATAAATACTTGATATATTTAAAACTCAGTTCTCTTGCACTGGCTGACAAATGCGTAGATATCTTTATACAAAGTTACTGATTAAACACAAGAGACAAATGTATCAGTTGATGTCATTGAAATAGAAATATATTAAATATTGTTTAATTAAGCTCCTAAAATAAATTTATTATCTGTTTATGTAAAGTACTTAGTTAATTTACCAAAGGCAGTATCTCCATTAACTAAGTATCCATTAGTATACATAATATCTTATTTCAGATTTGTGCTAATTTTATGAGATTGATCAAAAGGGAACTTACTATTTATTACATTTGTTCCTTTTACTATATAGTAACCTCCGATTGATTCAGTTAATGGTTCAAATGGACCAGTGATTGTTAAAGGATTTAACTTCCAATATTAATTCACAAATCTTAAAGGTGTTCTCGTAGTTTATTCAATAGATGAAATCAACAACTTAATATACTATTCAAAAATAATTTGATATGAATTGTTCATAATCATATCATCAAAAGCCATTATTGCAAAATTTATCTCTTTTACATTAGTACCTGTGACACTTATTAGAATATTATTAGCATTTTAAACTACATTAAAATTATGACCTTAGTTGTAACTAAAAATCAACGTTTTAACTGATGTTGTACCATATAAATCAACAAAGTATCCAATAAATTCACCATAAATACTTGAATAAGTCAGTTATTAATTATTAATTTAATATCCACTTGGAATATAATGTTAGATAGTAAACTCATCAAATATAAAATATGGTAGCATTTTCAATCCAAAAACTAAAATTTCTGGGTACTGAACAGTAAAATAAGAGAATCCAGTGTTATCATACTCTATGAATCCAGTCTAATAATTTATGTTTAAATAATTTAATTATATTTTAGCACTATTAGCTGAAAATTTGCCTGAGGAGAATGCTGTTTTAATATGATTGGCTCCATCGGTTACTTTTAAAGGTAATAAATTAGTTGGTAGAGCTTAAAGTAAAAATTGATGATTTTCCCAGAAGGTTTATCTAGCATTTTTTAGGTGAGGCATACATTCAAATGCTATACCCTACCAATATAGTTGACCAATATAATCGGATATTGTTCTAATTTATGAAATTATAGCAGAAGCAAATGTAGGACTATCTATATAAAATTCAGTTAGCATAATCACGGATGATGATGAGCTAAATTAAAAATCAAGTTCATAGTTATTGTTTATAATATTACTCGATATTGTTGGATGACTGTTAATATTGTATGTGAAGACCAATACAACAAAATATGCATTATCAATATTGAAAGAAAGAATTTATTAATTTAGAGAAGATTTTGGAACACTATTGCTTAAAATAGTTTCGGTATCAACATTTATTTCAAAATTGTATTACATTTTTAAATTCAAAATTGTAGCATCTTTCTAAAAGAGTAAATATCGAATATTATCTTTGACAAAATGAAAATAAGAAGCTTAATCACCAAAAGGACTTTGATCTGATAGAATTTCTTATTATTTAAAGACTATTCGATTATAATTTGTTTTATCGCTTGAAATGATTCCTTATTCTAGTAGACTTTTGATACTGCAAGAAATTGATGAATCTAATTTACTATCCATTACTATGGAAGCAGGTGAAAGTGAATTTTCGTTTAATTTATCCAATAAATTATTAGAACTTGGAGAGGTTAAAGATGAAGCTAATTTTCCAAAGTTAATATTTTCACAAGAAGATCTACAAAATTTTGTATTATCTGATAAAGAACAAACACATCTTCCATTTAATAAAACTCTGTTACTATTACAAGTTAAACAAGTATTTTAATTACAAGTTAAACAATCAATTGGACATTATATAATGCATTATCCTAGTGAATTCATTTCAAATCCTTGTTTACATACACAAGCTAATCCATTTCTAAAAGTAAATGAATCATATTTGGCAGCATCACATGTTAAGCATGAATATGGCGAATTACAGGTTTTACATGTTAAATGACAAGATAAACATAAACCATTATTCTCGAAATAGCCATCATCACAAATACATTTATAATTAGAAAAATGCCTATTTAATCCTGGTATACAAGTTTTGCATTTGGTTCCATTTGTATTAGAGTGACATTATTCACAGGGATAAGTACAAGGTTTACAATCTTGATCATTGGTCATATCATCGTAATAATTATCTTAACAAATGCAAGTAAAGCCTACAGGGAGACGATGTTTGAGAGGATCACATAGATGACATTCTGTTGTTAAATTTTGACATTTTTGACAGGTGTAATTGCATGGACTACAGATGAGATCGGATCCAACTTAATAATATCCATCCTAGCATAAACAACTTTAGGAGACCACTACACGATTCGAACCAAGTATGCAAGTTGTACATTCTATTCCAGTTCCATCATCTATGCATTGTAAACATGGTGATTAGCATTTATAACATAATAATGTTCCAGTAATTTGATAATATCCAAATTCACAAGGACATTTCTTATTAACACTATCAATTATTCTGTTTAATCCAGATTGACATGTAAGACATTATGTGCCATCTGCTGGAGGGGTGATTTATGAAATAATACAAGATAAACATGGAGGTGTACATTGCATACATTAAGAGGATGTCAGTTATTCAAAATGATTGGAATTACACACACAATTTTTACTTGCGTTTAGGTATCTATTGTCACCAATTTTACATGAAGTGCATTAAGTGCCATCTCCATTATTTTCACACTAATAACAGGTACTGGCGCAAGGTAAACATGGAGATGTATTATCAATTTGATAATATGAGACTTTGCAAACACAAACCAAATTTAATACTTCTCGATTATAAGTAGGTAGGCAAGTTAAACATTTGTTACCATCATTAGAAACACAATTCTAACAAGGAATATTACAAGGCAAACATGATAATTCTCCTGTTGGTTAATAATACCCATTCACACAACTATAGCAAAATGTTGGAAGAGCTACACATGAAGCACAAGGATGTGAACAAGTTAGACATGCTTTGGTTGAAGTTTCATAATATCCAAAATCGCATTCACATGAATTCCCATTTAATACTCGTGCTCCTGTGCATGCTATACATCTGTTGCTTTATAATTCACATTTAAAACAAGGAAATGAACATGGCTAACATACCAGATCGGTTCCAAAATAACCATCTTAACATAGGCATTTTTAAGCAGGATCTCTGAAAGTTGAAGGTTTGCAAACATTACAATCCATTTCATCTGTTAAACAAGAAATACAATAAGAAGCACATGCTGAACAGACAACTTAACCTGAATCAAAAAATCCAGTTTAACAAATACAACTATTAATTGTGTTATCTATTATTCGATTATAACCAATAAGACAAGATAAACATTGATTTCCATCATAATTATTTCCATTTGCATCAACACCACTCAAACATGTTTCACACGGTTCGATACAAAATTCACACACAAGTTAAACATCAGAATAATATAAGCCATCATCACATATACATTAGTTGTTCCATAATGTTCGTAAATAAACATCAGAGTTGCAAGAAATGCAATTTGATGCTGAATTTTCGCATGTTACACATTATTTACTGCATTATAAACAAATATTATTATTTAAATAAAATCCATCATCACAACTTGTACATTTAGTTGATAAATCGATACAATTTTTACAATTAGAATCACAAATTAAACATTAGCTTTAACCATTATTTTAATCATAATAGTGGGGTAAACAAACACATTCCCCATTTACAACTCCTCTGTTATCAATTCCAAAACAATCAACACAAGTTGATGTTGTTGTAATACAGTTAAAACAAGGTGGAGTACAAGGTAAACATGTTGATCCACTTAAAAAATATTGAGGAATACAAGAGAGGCAAACTGGATCCGATGAGCAATCATAACAAGGCGATATACATTAATGGCATGTTTTATCAGCTCCTGATACTAATAGATACTCTCCAGGAGCACATTAAGAACATTCAACACTTGTAATCCCTGTACATTTATAACAGGAAGGATCACAAGCTTAACAAGCTGAAGTATTATCCAAAAAATATCGAAATTAACAATCCAGGCAAATCTCTACTTTTGATGGTTGTAGACAAACAGCACAAGGAGGATGACATACTAAGCAAGTTCCCATAGCACTGTCTGTGATATTATCAAGATACATCCCTGTATTGCAAGTTTGACAATTTTTAGTTGTATTTTTGCATGTTAAACAATTGACGTCGCATGTTGATTCACAAACGAAATTTGAAAGATTGACATACATTCCATCAAAACAAGAGGTGCAGTGTGATGGATCTACAACACAAGTTTAGCAATTATCTGTACATATCAAATCGCACTTAAAATTTAATTAGTTTAAATTATATCCATCATGACAGGTTGAACATGTTGTTGTTAAAAATGAACATGTTAAGCAATTTGTATCACAATCGGTTTGGCATTCTTTAGTAGACTAATTTAAGAACATACCATCATAACAAGAAACACAATTGGTAGGAGTATTTAAGCATGAAGCACAATTTGAATCACATATGATAATGCACTTATTTACTGCTTCATCTAATTAAAAGCCTGCAAAACATGTTAAACAATAAGTAGTAAGTGTTTAGCAAGTCTAACAATTTGAATTACATGTTGGTGAACATGAATTATTTAATTCATTTAAATATGTTCCAGCAGGACATGTTAAACAATTTGTAGTAGTAATAAAACATGTTTAACAATTTGTATCACATAATGCCTAACAGTTGTATATTGATTTATTCAAATACATTCCTGGATTACAAGTCTTACAACGAGTAGTTGTGACTAAGCATGTCAAACAATTAGTATCACAAGTAGCTTGACAATGATTATTTGATAAGTTTAAATAATCATTCCCATTACAAGTTAAACATCTAGTAGTTGTTGTTTAACATGTCAAACAATTTGAGTCACAAGTAGATTAACATAAATTTGTAGCTTCATTTAAATACATGTCTACATTACAGCTCAAGCAATGTGTAGTTGTTAAGAGGCAAGTTGCACAATTACTGTCGCAATTTATATCACATTGGTGAGTTGCTTGATTTAAATACATTCCTGAATTACAGGACAAACAATAATTAGCAAAAGTTTGGCATGTAAGGCAATTGGAAATACATAATGATGAGCATTGATTTGTATCAATTTTTAAATATTTTCCACCATTACAAGTTAAGCAATGTGTGGTTGTTGTCTAACAAGTAGCACAATTTAAATCACAAGTTGTTGAACAGATATTATTTGACAAATTTAAATAATATCCTGTATTACAAGTGAGACAATGTGTTGTTGTTGTTTGACAAGTTAAACAATTTGAATCACAAGTTGATTAGCACTAATTATTTGATAAATTTAAATATTGTCCACTTGTACATGATAAACAATAAATTGTAGTAACTTAACATGTATTACAATTAGGATCACATGTTGGTTGACACTATTTTGTAGTCGGATTTAGATAATTTCCAGCATAGCAAGATTAACAATTAACAGTTGTCTAAGAACAAGTTGCACAATTTGCGTCACAACTTGATTAACATATGTGCATCAATTAATTCAAATACATACCACTATTGCAAGATAGACAATAATTTGTAAAAACTTAACATGTTGCACAATTAGAATCGCAAAAATTTTAACATGAATTTGTATCAATTTTTAAATATTTTCCGCCATTACAAGTTAAGCAATGTGTGGTTGTTGTCTAACAAGTAGCACAATTTAAATCACAAGTTGTTGAACAGATATTATTTGACAAATTTAAATAATATCCTGTATTACAAGTGAGACAATGTGTTGTTGTTGTTTGACAAGTTAAACAATTTGAATCACAAGTTGATTAGCACTAATTATTTGATAAATTTAAATATTGTCCACTTGTACATGATAAACAATAAATTGTAGTAACTTAACATGTATTACAATTAGGATCACATGTTGGTTGACACTATTTTGTAGTCGGATTTAGATAATTTCCAGCATAGCAAGATTAACAATTAACAGTTGTCTAAGAACAAGTTGCACAATTTGCGTCACAACTTGATTAACATATGTGCATCAATTAATTCAAATACATACCACTATTGCAAGATAGACAATAATTTGTAAAAACTTAACATGTTGCACAATTAGAATCGCAAAAATTTTAACATGAATTTGTATCAATTTTTAAATATTTTCCGCCATTACAAGTTAAGCAATGTGTGGTTGTTGTCTAACAAGTAGCACAATTTAAATCACAAGTTGTTGAACAGATATTATTTGACAAATTTAAATAATATCCTGTATTACAAGTGAGACAATGTGTTGTTGTTGTTTGACAAGTTAAACAATTTGAATCACAAGTTGATTAGCACTAATTATTTGATAAATTTAAATATTGTCCACTTGTACATGATAAACAATAAATTGTAGTAACTTAACATGTATTACAATTAGGATCACATGTTGGTTGACACTATTTTGTAGTCGGATTTAGATAATTTCCAGCATAGCAAGATTAACAATTAACAGTTGTCTAAGAACAAGTTGCACAATTTGCGTCACAACTTGATTAACATATGTGCATCAATTAATTCAAATACATACCACTATTGCAAGATAGACAATAATTTGTAAAAACTTAACATGTTGCACAATTAGAATCGCAAAAATTTTAACATGAATTTGTATCAATTTTTAAATATTTTCCGCCATTACAAGTTAAGCAATGTGTGGTTGTTGTCTAACAAGTAGCACAATTTAAATCACAAGTTGTTGAACAGATATTATTTGACAAATTTAAATAATATCCTGTATTACAAGTGAGACAATGTGTTGTTGTTGTTTGACAAGTTAAACAATTTGAATCACAAGTTGATTAGCACTAATTATTTGATAAATTTAAATATTGTCCACTTGTACATGATAAACAATAAATTGTAGTAACTTAACATGTATTACAATTAGGATCACATGTTGGTTGACACTATTTTGTAGTCGGATTTAGATAATTTCCAGCATAGCAAGATTAACAATTTACAGTTGTCTAAGAGCAAGTTGCACAATTTGCGTCACAACTTGTTTAACAAACATTTGTTGAAGGATTTAAATATTTTCCACTGAAACAAGTTAAGCAAAAGTTAGTATAGTTTTGACATGTTGCACAATTTGAATCGCAAGTTGAATCACAATAATAGGTAGCGTTATTATAATATAAACCTGTTGCACAAGTCAAACAATGAATTGTTGTTGTTGAACAAGTTGCACATTTTGAATCGCAAGAAGTTTAACATTAATTATTAGACAAATTTAAATAGAGCCCTGAGTTGCATGTTAAACAATTCGTTGTTGTTACTTAACAAGTAGCACAGTTTGCATCACAATTAGATTAACATTGATTATTCGATAAATTTAAATACATTAAGTCATAGCAAGAAAGACAATTAACAGCTGTTATTTCACATGTTTAACAATTCGAATTACAAATTATATAACAAATTGTGCTGGTTCCTCTTAATTCCCAGCCATCATGACATGATAAACAATGAGTTGTTTAAGTTTGACAAGTTGCACAGTTGGAATCGCAAGTTGATTGACATTAATTATTTGATGTATTTAAATATAATCCTACATCACAAGTTAGACAATTTGTAGTTGTAGTCAAACAGGTAAGGCAATTTGAGTCACAGCTAGATTGACAAATTTTTGAAGTTTGGTTCAAATACATGCCAATATTACAAGTCAAACAATTAGTTGTAGTTGTTTGGCATGTTGCACAATTAGAATCACATGTATTTTAACATTATTATGTTGATTAATTCAAATACTTCCCAGCACTGCATGTTAAACAATTTGTTGTGACTGTTTAGCACGTTAAACAATTAACATCACATGTGGACTGACAAACATTCGAAGTTTGATTTAAATATTTTCCAACATTACAAGTTAAACAATGAGTTGTTTAAGTTTGACAAGTTGCACAGTTGGAATCACAAGTTGATTGACATTAATTATTTGATGTATTTAAATATAAACCTACATCACAAGTTAGACAATTTGTAGTTGTAGTCAAGCAGGTAAGGCAATTTGAGTCACAGCTAGATTGACAAACTTTTGAAGTTTGGTTTAAATACATGCCAGTATTGCAAGTCAAACAATTAGTTGTAGTTGTTTGGCATGTTGCACAATTAGAATCACATGTATTTTAACATTATTATGTTGATTAATTCAAATACTTCCCAGCACTGCATGTTAAACAATTTGTTGTGACTGTTTAGCACGTTAAACAATTAACATCACATGTGGACTGACAAACATTCGAAGTTTGATTTAAATATTTTCCAACAGTGCAGGATAAGCAATAAGTTGTATAAGTTTAACAAGTTGCGCAATTCGAATCACATGATGTTGAACATTAATTAGTAGTTTCATTTAAATATTTTCCAGCGGTGCATGAAAGGCAGTATATAGTTGTGACATTACAAGTGGAACAATTAACATCACAATTGGCTTAGCATTATTTAGTTGTAGGATTTAAGTACATTCCAGAATTACAAGTAATACAGTTAGTTGTTGTAACAGAGCAAGTTAAGCAATTTGTATTACAAGAGGATGTACATTAGTTTGTCGATGTATTTAAATACAATCCTGATGAACATGTTAAACAATGAGTAGTTGTATTTATACAAGTAGCACAATTACTATCACAAGAAGATTCACAAAAATAAGTAGCTTCATTTAAATACATTCCTGAATTGCAAGACGAACAATTGCTTGGAGTTGTTAGACAAGTTAAACAGTTCGAATCACAAACAAGAATGCATAAATAAGTATTATTATCAACAGCATAATCTTAATAACAGCTTGTACAATGGGTGGTTGTTGTTGAACAAGTTAAGCAATTACTATCACATGCAGATTAACATTAATGAGATGTTAAATTTAAATAATACCCAGAATCACAAGATAGACAATGAGTTGTAGTAGTTTAACATGTTAGACAATTGCTATCACATGTTGATTAACATTAATTTGTTGTTTAATTTAAATATTATCCAGAATTGCAAGATAAACAATGAGTTATAGTAGTTTAACATGTTAGACAATTGCTATCACATGTTGATTAACATTAATTTGTTGTTTAATTTAAATATTATCCAGAATCACAAGATAAACAATGAGTTGTAATAGTTTAACATGTTAGACAATTGCTATCACATGTTGATTAACATTAATTTGTTGTTTAATTTAAATATTATCCAGAATCACAAGATAAACAATGAGTTGTAATAGTTTAACATGTTAGACAATTGCTATCACATGTTGATTAACATTAATTTGTTGTTTAATTTAAATATTATCCAGAATCACAAGATAAACAATGAGTTGTAATAGTTTAACATGTTAGACAATTGCTATCACATGTTGATTAACATTAATTTGTTGTTTAATTTAAATATTATCCAGAATCACAAGATAAACAATGAGTTGTAATAGTTTAACATGTTAGACAATTGCTATCACATGTTGATTAACATTAATTTGTTGTTTAATTTAAATATTATCCAGAATCACAAGATAAACAATGAGTTGTAATAGTTTAACATGTTAGACAATTGCTATCACATGTTGATTAACATTAATTTGTTGTTTAATTTAAATATTATCCAGAATCACAAGATAAACAATGAGTTGTAATAGTTTAACATGTTAGACAATTGCTATCACATGTTGATTAACATTAATTTGTTGTTTAATTTAAATATTATCCAGAATCACAAGATAAACAATGAGTTGTAATAGTTTAACATGTTAGACAATTGCTATCACATGTTGATTAACATTAATTTGTTGTTTAATTTAAATATTATCCAGAATCACAAGATAAACAATGAGTTGTAATAGTTTAACATGTTAGACAATTGCTATCACATGTTGATTAACATTAATTTGTTGTTTAATTTAAATATTATCCAGAATCACAAGATAAACAATGAGTTGTAATAGTTTAACATGTTAGACAATTGCTATCACATGTTGATTAACATTAATTTGTTGTTTAATTTAAATATTATCCAGAATCACAAGATAAACAATGAGTTGTAATAGTTTAACATGTTAGACAATTGCTATCACATGTTGATTAACATTAATTTGTTGTTTAATTTAAATATTATCCAGAATCACAAGATAAACAATGAGTTGTAATAGTTTAACATGTTAGACAATTGCTATCACATGTTGATTAACATTAATTTGTTGTTTAATTTAAATAATATCCAGAATTGCAAGATAGACAATGTGTTGTAGTAGTTTAACATGTTAAACAATTGCTATCACAAATTAATTGACAATGATGTGTCTATACATTTAAATACATATTTGATGAACATGATAAACAATGATTATTATAAGTTTAACATGTTTAACACATGTTATCACAAACATTTACACAAGTATAATCAACTAGATTGATGTAAAAAGGGCAACTTTATACACAATATTGTTAGTTTCTATAGTTTGGTGGATCACATGACACACAAGTATTAGTAATAGTATCCAAATATTTATTTTAACTTATGTTACATTATGTACAGTGATTTGAATTATCTATGCATTCTTAACAATTTGTATCGCAATTTAAGCAATCGCTCCCGAGTTTATACTTTCCTTAAACACAAGTATCGCAAGTAGTACCATCTGAACATGTTGCACATTGAGTAAGGCAATCTAAGCATCCTCCAAATCCATCGTCATATTATTGGGTTGTACATTAATTGTATACCTAAGTAATCATAAATGCAACGCTGATTAGCAAAGTATTCATAGTTTGATATTTATATTTATATTTATATTTATAATCAAAAAGCTTGAAAATAGTATTGAATCTTTTGAGATAGTAATTTAAAAAAAATGAATAATGTGAATATTTCCATTTTAACAATAAGAGATTAATTGAAAGCAATTTTCTAACAGAATTAAAAAGTACATTATACATTTTTCTTAAAACGTTTGCTAAATTATGTAATTTTTATAGAATGTTAAAAACGGATTAATAATTTCTGGAAAAGATTTGTTATATAAAGAATATAAGGGTATTTTAATTTTCTACTCATTTATTATAGAATATATTTAGGATGTTTTTGAAATTTTTTAAAGAATAATTAAAATAAATAATTAGATTAATGAATCTGTTCATTCATACATAGATCAAAAACATAAATCAAATCAAAATTTTTATTTAGATAATTAAAAAGAGAAAATAATAAAAATTTTACTATCTATTCATGATTTTCTTCTAAAATTTATTATCTCCAATAGATGTTATAAAAATTATTTTTTAATTATAAAAATGAATGATTAATAAATTTTGAAGCTTCTTTAAGAATATCTAATTGAGGTTATTAATAATTTAAATAATATCATTTTGGATTTCTCAGGATGTAAATTACAGAATCCCCTCTTAAAAACATTTTTGGAATAAATCTTTCTTTGTTTGTAGCATGAGCTTTTTTTCCTTTATTTCCTTTTGGAATTTCGGTCCACATTTCAGTAACATTTTCAAGAATCTTAAATAATTTTTTACAATAAAATTACCATATTCATATGTCTATCGAAAGCTTTTACTCTTCCTAAAAGCTTTCTATTATTTCTAAGCTCTATTAGCACTTGAGTATTATGGCTCACTGTTATTGTCAACAAACCAAAGGGCCCTTTTTCAAGGGTTTCTTCCTAAGCAGTTCGCTTCTACGTTTCAGCCATTTAAAAATTAATTAATTATAATAACAAGTTTTGAGATTAATGAAACTATTTGGATTTACATTCCCATCTATAAATATTAAATATTTTTAGATAATAGATCTGCATTTGGATTCTTAAAATTATTAGTTGGGAACTTTAAACTATTTTGATTGTGAATTTTTTTTAATCAAAAATACCAATTATTATTTAATAATTTATCAATTCAATTTCTTAGAGTTGTATGTATCGTCACCTCCTTAATAACTAAATACTTAAATATGTGGTTATGGGGGATTAGGTGTTTCTTATATGTGAATATTTGGCATTCTAAGTCCCTCTGATCTAGAGGCATTTTGTTCTGCAAAAGTTTTAAGTGGAGATTTAATATTTAAATTGTATAGCTCTGACCACTTTATCTTAGCAAAAAAAGGGTGATACTTTATTTCTTAGTATCCCTTAAAAATTAGAATTCAAATATATACCAATTCAGCTCCAATTCTTTCTTTTGGATTTGCCTTCAATAATCTTTAGACCAAATTAATGGCTTACTCACTCATAATTGATGGATAAGTAGGCTAATTATGTAAGATTAACTAAAGAATTTTTTATGTGTTTCTATCTGGAACTGTAAAAGGAGGATATCCATTAATCATTTCATAAATTAGAATTCCTAATGTCCATAAATCAACTTCAAATGAATGTCCCTTCTTATTAATGATTTCTGGAGCCAAATATTCAGGAGTTCCTGCTAACTTTAATTAGTATTAATTTATACAGTGTAATTTTTAACATTTTCATCTTTTCTTAAGGTAGCTAAACCAAAATCTGTTAATTTAACATGTCCTGTTGTTGTAAGTAAGATATTTTCTGGTTTCAAATCCCGATATATTACTTTTAATTAATTATTCAAATATTCTAACGCCAAAACAACTTCAGCTGCAACAAAAGCAACAATAGATTCTGGTAAACCTTTTGTTTTTGTAAGAATTTTAAAAAATTCTCCTCCATTTATGTATTCCATTACTAAATATAATTTCGTTGGAGTTTAGAATGAATATTTTAATTACACAATAAATGGATGTTTGCTTTGTTTTAAGACATCTTTCTCTAGTAATGCATTTGATTCTAATTTGCTATCAAATATTAATTTCTTATTTATGCATTTTATAGCATATATTTTTTGATTGTCTTTTTTTTTAACTTTATATACTTTTCCAAAAGCACCCTAATAAAATTAATATATACTTTTCCAACTGTTGCTAACATAATGAAATCTTCCAATCCCACCCTCTTATGAGTTTGTTCAGGCATAAATGATGTGGAGTTATCAAGAGTCTTACTTGATTTTATAGGGAATTCCTCTGAGTCTTAATAAACAGCATACATTCTTAAATCGGCTATGAAGTAGTCTACTAATTTAGAGAACTTGGAAATTCCTTTTTGTCTGATTTCATAAAATCACATAAATTTCCCATTTTCAATTTTTAATAATTATAAAACTCAATATTAAATAATTCTCTATATTAATCCTCTCAATCTCTCAATGCATTAATACCTAAATTACTCAAAAACAATCAAACGGTATTATAGCATAGTCTTCAAATTAGATTTTGCATTGTTAAACATTTTTCGAATTTTCTTTAATTATTGTATGAGATGTAATAATAAATTTGATTTTTATCAAAATATATTAACTAATCATTTCTTCATTTTTCCTGTTTTTTTTCTTATTATTTAATTGTCTCTTAAATATTCTTTCTATTAAACAAAAAGCATTTTGATATTTGGCACTAAAATATGCCTTAAATAATAAAAATTTATTCTAAGAATTTCATTAAAGAGGAAGGATTTTGTGAATCTGGATCAAAAGCTAATAAATTTAGAAGATAAAAATTACTATCATATGTTTTTTTTTCCTTATTCATCACTACTATTATTTAAGCGATTTCCTTTCTTAAATAATATTATTGTAATTAGGCAGAAATTGACGAAAGGCATAATTCCTATAAAAGAGTAGTTCAAATGAATACTATTCAATAAGATTCTGATTTGTTTAAGAATAAGACAGTAAAATAATTTATTATTCGGTGACTAATATGAATTGAATCTATTCTGACTTTTGCAAGAAGTAAAAATCGTACTAAATTACCTAACTATTTGACATATTTATAAATATATTCTTCTTTCTTAGACTTTATATTTTTTTTTCTCTTCTTGAATAGTTTGATTAAGAATTTTAGCTATATTGGTGTTATTTGTTATTGTCAAACAAACAATTAAATTATTCGTGTTTCTTAATTAAATCACAAACATTATATTTTTTTGTATTAAAAGGTTCTTCTAATAAATTACGATAATAAATAATATTTCTTGATATCTAATGTAGAACAAGGCTTTTATGATTTTGTTGGTTTTAGGAATGCTATTGATAGACACTCTTATTTACTTAGTTTTTCATTTTTATTTAATAATTATTAATTTAACACTTTTAGATTAGAATTATTATAAAAGAAAGAATCTCCAAAAATTCCACTGTTACTAATCAACAACTTGAATATTAATACATATCACTATGTTTATATTTTAATAAATATAATTATTTTTGAAAGTTAATCCTGTTATACAATGGGATAATGTTGTTAAGGATGTTAGGATGAAGATAAGAATTGCAAAATCATTCTGTAAACTTAGATTCAAAATACAATAATTTCTTAAGAAGATTTGAATTATATCAAACATATAATACTCATATAGGGTAATTGATCAAAATAAGAATTAGCTTGTATGAGAGGTTATTTGGAGAGAAAAAAGTATTAATGTTTAATTCAAAAATGGAAACATCAAAATATTTTAGTGAAGTAACAGCAATATCAGTCAGGTATAATGAGTTTCAATGACTCAGCTCCATTTTAAGACACAAAACTATCTTAGATATCAAAGTTAGACTATATGTAGATGGAAAAAACTTTAATATTGGACCAAGTACCTGATTATTTAGTTAATAGAGTGAATAAGGTAATATGACACTTTAATTTTAATTTAAAGATTCTCTAATAATATACATCATTTAATTATGATAATGATGAAGAAAATTAATTTAATTTTTCAATAAATTAATTCGAAGATGGTTGCATTTATTAAGGACAGTGGAAAAATGGGTACTATGATTTATATAATTTTTGGTAGAATGAAGCATGGTTGTGGAAAATAATATTGGTTATCTGGATAATATTATGAAGGATATTGGGCAGAAAATGTATTTTAAGGAAGAGGTAGATTAGTTAAAGCAGATGGAAACATATATGAGGGAGAATTTCAAAATAATAATATTTAAGGAAATGTTATAATTATATTAATATTTAGGGAACTTTTTATAGCGTTGATGGTGTTAAGTATGTTGGTTAATTGGAAAATAATGTAAAAAATGGTTATGGAACTGAAAAATGGTTAGATGGATCTATATATGAGGGTTATTATAAAAATGGCTAAAAAAATGGGTAAGGAACATTTAAATGGTCTGATGGGTCAATTTACAACGGTGAATTTGTTGATGATAATTTTGAAGGAGAAGGAGAATTTAAATGGGAAGATGGAAGAAGTTATATAGGATAATGGAAAAACAATTAAATGGACGGTTAAGGAGTAAATTGATTTTATTATATTAGATTTTCAAATGGCCAAATAATTAAAGATATCTAGGATCTTATAAAAATGGAATTAAAGAAGGTTTTGGTTAATTTGAATGGCCAGATGGTAGAGTAAGCATTATATTTTATTAAAGATATACAAAGGAGAATGGGCAAATAATAAACAACATGGATAAGGAATCTATTTAGGATCTAATGGAATAGAAAAAGTAGGGGAATGGTTTGAAGGTAAACTTCTTCATTGGGGTAAGATTAAAAATAATATTTTCTGACTTTGATTTTTATTAATCTTACTTTCTCATTTTTTTCCGTAAATTTTTATAATATATTATATTATAAGATTTTATATATAAGCAATTATGTTATTTTCATTATAAANATGGTTGCATTTATTAAGGACAGTGGAAAAATGGGTACTATGATTTATATAATTTTTGGTAGAATGAAGCATGGTTGTGGAAAATAATATTGGTTATCTGGATAATATTATGAAGGATATTGGGCAGAAAATGTATTTTAAGGAAGAGGTAGATTAGTTAAAGCAGATGGAAACATATATGAGGGAGAATTTCAAAATAATAATATTTAAGGAAATGTTATAATTATATTAATATTTAGGGAACTTTTTATAGCGTTGATGGTGTTAAGTATGTTGGTTAATTGGAAAATAATGTAAAAAATGGTTATGGAACTGAAAAATGGTTAGATGGATCTATATATGAGGGTTATTATAAAAATGGCTAAAAAAATGGGTAAGGAACATTTAAATGGTCTGATGGGTCAATTTACAACGGTGAATTTGTTGATGATAATTTTGAAGGAGAAGGAGAATTTAAATGGGAAGATGGAAGAAGTTATATAGGATAATGGAAAAACAATTAAATGGACGGTTAAGGAGTAAATTGATTTTATTATATTAGATTTTCAAATGGCCAAATAATTAAAGATATCTAGGATCTTATAAAAATGGAATTAAAGAAGGTTTTGGTTAATTTGAATGGCCAGATGGTAGAGTAAGCATTATATTTTATTAAAGATATACAAAGGAGAATGGGCAAATAATAAACAACATGGATAAGGAATCTATTTAGGATCTAATGGAATAGAAAAAGTAGGGGAATGGTTTGAAGGTAAACTTCTTCATTGGGGTAAGATTAAAAATAATATTTTCTGACTTTGATTTTTATTAATCTTACTTTCTCATTTTTTTCCGTAAATTTTTATAATATATTATATTATAAGATTTTATATATAAGCAATTATGTTATTTTCATTATAAAGCCAAAGAACAGTAACTTATGTGTATATGAGAACAATATAAATTATAAAATATTAGGATTAGTTAAAAAATGAAGATTGAATGGTAAAAAATCAAAGGAAAGAGTGTAAATGAAGTATTTTTTGGTAAGAAAAGATTTAATACCTTAATCAACCTTAAGCCTTTCCAAAAATTAAATATAAAACGAAGAGTTTCATCTGTATAATTTGGGAATTCCAAAACAATTTACAATTAATTAATTTAGATTAGTTATTTACTGAAATATCATATTATAGAATTTCATTAATATCTATAATAATTGTTTTAATGTAATAGTTTTTAGGAATATTGTATAAAAGGTTTGGAGCTGTTCTAATTTTTCGTTAAGTAACTTAAAAATTAAAAAATAAAATAAATCAGTAGAAATATATGAAAATAAACTTATGTCAGTCAATTAAGAAAAGCCAATTATTTGAAAGTAAATGGAACAATTTTATTAAATATAAAAAACAACAATGGATATATCAATAAAAATTATATACTATGAAAATTAATATTAAAATTTTATATTAAATATTAGAGGTGATATAATTCCATGAGATCAAGAAGAAATTCAAAGTTCCCTGCAAATGATATTTCAAAAGATAATATCTTAGGTAGCAGTCGTAAACCATCTCCTCCTAAAATTTATATGAATTCTTCTAATGTGAATCAAATGCCATTAGATAGCAGTTTCTAAAGAAAAGGAAGGAGTACTCCTAAAGACTGTCTCGGATTAGTAAATCCTTATTAATGTAAGAATGTAAACAATAATTAGAGAAGTTGTTATTACCAAATAGAGATACATCAAGAATGTCTAACAAAAGTGGAAGAATTAATTTTGAGTCAGAGGTATGTGGAAATGAATGATAATTAGTAAAGAGTCCTAATTTGATAATTTAGCCAAAACCAGAGGAAAACATGGAAATAGAGTGTTAATCACCAATAAAATAATATAGTGGTTTAAAGCAAATTTTCTTTAGTAATTCTGGAGTTTAATAAAAATAACCTACAAGAAGGGTTATAAAAGATGCTTCTCTTAATAATAGTTAATTGAAATAAAAGGAATCATAAGATTTATTAAAGGCATCTGAAAAATAAAGAGCAAATAAACTAAGAAAAGCAAATTATCATTAATAATAAGATGGAGATTCTTAATGTCAAGTTTATGAATTTAATCGAGAATTAAAAGCATTGAGAGTAAAAAGAACTGAATCATTTGAATGGTTATAAGAGGAGTCTTAGGTTTCAGATGAATCTCAATTTAATCAATTCAATTAAATAAATTTAGGAATATATTATATGGATAATCTAAGGAATTACTTAAAAGGATTAAATTTAGAAGGATTGTATGCTTAAATGTATATAAATCATTTTGTCCAACAATTTCATAGTTTGTAATTGAGCAAATAAATATAGTAACCAGAATAGAATAAATTAGAAGCAAAAATGCTTCAATTATAAAAAATAAGTAATTAAAATAAAATACATTAAGAAAATTAAAAAACACTTGTTTTAGATTTAGATGAAACATTAATGCATTGTAATGAATAATAATAAATGAAATTTGATTTTAAAATACCTATTTAAATGCCAAATGGGTAAGTTCATGAAGTATGTTTATATATATTATTAGGCAGGAATAAGTGTTAGACCATTTGCATAATAGTTTTTATAAGAATGTTCAAAACATTTTGAAATCATTATTTTTACAGCTTCTCATTAATTGTATGCTGATAAAATAATTGATAAACTTGATCCATCTCGTAAGTGGGTATCTCATCGATTGTATAGAGAAAATTGTATCCAAACTCAATAAGGGATTTATGTTAAAGATCTACGGGTAATAAATAGGGACTTAAAAGAAATTGTTTTAATTGATAATGCAGCTTATTCTTATGCTTTTTAGATTGAAAATGGTATACCAATAATACCTTATATTGATAATGCAAAAGATATTGTAATATATAGTAAATATTTAAGGAATTGTTAGGAGTAATAGATTACTTAAAAATATTATTATAGATAAATGATGTTAGAGAAATAAATGTTAAAACTTTTCTCTTAAATAAAATTTAATAATGTACAAGTTTAGATGAAGCAATAAAACTACTTTTAGTAGTTTGATGAAATTTTGATTTTGATTTTTTGTGTATTTAATAAATAATCTGAATATTTTAGATAAAAAATTAATTTAAAAAATAAAAAAATTGATTAATATTTGTAGAAATAACTATCATTTTGATAAACAAAGACTAATCTTTACTAATAGATTATAATACTTTTGTTTCAAAGATTATATATAATTGCAATTTAATTATAAGAGATAATTGAAGCATGTATTAAATTTATGTATAAATAAATAAAAATATGGTTGATAAAAAAATTTAAATTTATCATTTTAACAATTAATGAAATTAGTTTGCCGTTTAAGACCATAACCAAATAATACATCTTAGAGTACTGTAAACTCAAAAAAGGATGTACGTACTAACATCTTTGCTGGTGTATTATCTAATGAATGTATATTTTGTACCATGATAAGCACCCCAGACTCTTGTAGTAAGCTCACGTAATGCAATTTCTTAAAAGATAATCTATGAGTATTTAAAAAATGATTCAGATATTATGAGATAAAGATAATCTATTATTGAGAATTCTGATCTCTTTTAATTTGATCAGGTTTTTGGAGAAAAGGCTAATTAATAATTGGTTTATGATTAGATGATGGCAACTAAAGTTAACAATATGATAACTGGTTAATCAGGTTCTTTACTTATTGTTGGAGGGCCTGAAAGTGGAAAAAAATACACTATAAAAGGTGAGGAAAGAGGCTAAGAAAAAGGTTTAGCTGTATTGATAGTTGAGAACATACTTAATTTAATTGAGGGTTCAAAATAATTAAGAGGGAAGGGAAAATTAAATATTTCAATATCTTTAGTAAATAATATAGAAGTAATTGATTTGGTAGGGTCATCTAGAAATTAAACTGTCAAATTTTCATAAATCAAGAGTGCAAGTGAATTCAAAAAAATACTTAATTAAAGTTTATTTTAATATAAGTAATATGTTAAAGAGCATCCTGAATCAAAAAATAATCATATTTTTATAAAATATTTAATTGAATAAGATAAATAGGAAGTAGCTTAATTACATTTGATTATCTTTAATGAATTTAAAAGAGTAACATAAGAGGCTAAGGATTTTTAAGGGAAATTAAAATAATTGCTTACATCTTTATAGGATTTTTAAGAGAAAGACTTAGAAAGTAAATCATTATAATAACTTTATCTTTCATTTAGAGAAACTAAATTCAATAATATAACTGTTATGTTTTGTGTTTCTGAAGTTTAATAAGATCATATAACAGCTTATATGACATTATAATTTGCTGAAGAATTGAGATAAACAATAAAGCCTTAAACATAAAGGATTGCTTTATCTTAGTTGGATAATTAATCAAAATCATAGTTAGGAAGAGATAATTTAACATAATAATAATTTGGATAAAAGGGATCGATTGATGATTAAGCATCTAGAATTATAAAACCAGAAGGATCTGATTAGATTATGAGATTTGGATCTGATTAAAATTTAAGGCCAGGATCAGATTAAACAGTTTTACATTAATCAAAAATTTATAGTATAATAGACAGATAACCAAATAAGTAGGATACAAATTATTCAAAATAATTTTAAGAATTGAAAGATTTATTGAAAGAAAAAGAAGTAATTGATGATTATAAGTAATTTAAAAGCATATAGTATTTATAGAGTCTTAAGATTTGAAAAGGAATTGAAGAATTTATAAGAGGAGAATTTACGATTATAGAATAAGGTTTATCAATAAGAAGATTCAATAAAACAGAGGGATCATTTAATATAATAGTTGGAATAACATATGGACGATAATAAAAAATAAATGGAAATGGAACATCAATTATTTACATAAGCATAATAGAAAGAGAATATTTATGAATAAAATCAAGAAGAGTTGAATGAAGCTGTAGCATAATTGAATAATTAATTGAGATATTGTAATGAAGAATCATAGTTATAAAAATAAAAAATAAAAGTATTGGGAAATGATATTGAAATGATGAAAGAGTAAGAGCATAAGAATGCTAAACATTATGAAAAGAGAGAGGATGAATTTATGGGATTAATTCAGTAGGAATAAGAGCGCAATAGACAATTATATTAAGAATTAGATTATTTTGCTATAGAGCTGAAGAATAGAGAATAATAATTATTTGCAAATGAAGATAATATAAAAACATTAAATAAGGTGATTGAAGATTAATCTAAAAGAATTGAAGAAGAGAAATAAAAGAATAAGGAATTATGTGAGAGTATAAACAATCACAAATAAAAACAAGAAGAGGCAATTAGAGATATAAACAACATAGAATAAAGATTCACCAAATTAAAGGTTAAACTGGAGACAGAAAATCAATAATTAAAATAGGAAAAAGAAAAATATTTATAGAAATATAAGGAGAAATTAAAAAAATATAAAACTTAAATTAAATAGTTTGAATAAGAGAATGGTTATATGAAAATGGAAAGAGTAAAATTGTAGACAGAAAATGATTAGTTGTATGGTATTTCAAAACAATTAGAAACATAATTAGGTAGAGTAAATAGTGAAACAACAGAGAGAATAGGAGGTTCTTATGATGCATATGAGTAAGAGAGAATAAAATCTCAAAATATTTAATTGAATAATCAATTGAATTAAGCTGAGTATGAGGTAATTAAAATTAAATTAATATTTTAGATAAAATAATTATCTCTTTAGTTAAATAATGCAATATAGTAATTGGAACAAACTAATATTGAATATGATCGAATTTTGTAGGATAATTAGAGATTACAGAAATAAGTAGATGATAGATAATCGGAAGCTAAGAAAAATGAGTTGATGATAGAAAAGGTTGTGGAATTAAGTGATAAATAATTGAATGATTTGGAATCTAAGTTCAATAAATTAACAGCTTAAATAAATTCATTATAACATGAGAAAAAGTCATTATAGTTAGAAAATTAGAATATAAAGAATTAATTAGAATAAATGGATGGAAATGATTTAGTTTTAGAGAAGAGAATAGTGAAATTAAGAAAAGAAAATAAGGATTTAAGTAATTAAATAAAATAGTTAAATTAAAATATGAAAGAAATGATTGTAGAGAAGCATTCAGAGATGAGAAATACATCTTTACATTAAAGTAGATATAGTAATAAATTGTTGAGTTAAAATTAATCTTATAGATCATAAAAATTAATAGATGAAGATGATGTTATTTGATATATATATATATTAATATTTTGTATTAATGTATAGATTTCAATAATTTCTATTTTATCCAACTTTTGATTAAGATGCACGAACATCTTAATTTTATTTTTCTAATCTTTTTTATTCTTCTTGTAAATCTTAGAGTTATCGTTATGATTGTGTATAATCTCTTTCTAATTATTAATATCTTTTTTGCCATGTTTCAATTTCATTAGAATAATGTACAGTTCTTTCTTAGATTTATATTTCGATTGATTCTTATTATTAATGAATTTAATTTTCAAGTTCAGAAATTTCTCTATCTCTATCCTGAATCATTAATGATAATTATGCTTTTTTTGATTCTAATTCTCTTAATCTAGTATCATCAATGACTTCAATAGCATCTGGTTCAGTAGGTCCTGGTCCTTTTCTTAATTAAATTTATAATTCTAAAATTTATCTTTCTAATGTTGCACATTTTAATCTCCAAGGTGCTTCAATTTCTAGAGTATATTTTAATTAATGTATATACCATCCATATTGATGACTTATGTAGTTTTTTCTTAGTAAACAGTAGGTAATACATTAGGTTTTGTTTATATAGTTTAAGGTATATAATTAACTTAAGGTGGAAGTGGAAATTATGGTTGGAATTGCAATGGCTGTTAAACAATTGGTTAAGCAGTTGATTAAATAGGATAAGCCTATCTTTAAGATATAACTGGCTAATTAGTATTAGGTAGTATGATATTATATTGATTTTGATTTGGTTGTTGAAAGAATGCTGTATTTCGATTATCGTTAATCATTATTAGAAGATTATAAATTAAATAAAATATTATTTTGTATATATATAAATAATTAAAATAATTAAATAATTGTTCTATTTAGTATATTTCATATATCAGCACAACAATTATTGCATTAAGCTTTCTTTTAATTTGATTTGTTTTAATGTTCTCCATAATATTCCATAAATTCTTCTGTATTTGAATTATTAATCTATTATTATGTATAAAATAGATTACTTTTTATAACTATTTCTTTGGTAAAGCAGTTTGACTGACAATTTTACTTGTTGACATAGAACTATTAACATTATTAACATATTTAATTCCATATTATTCATTGATTGAATTAGGATCCTCCATAGCCATTTAATAAATTTAATGAGCTAATTCCATGAATGCATTTTCAACATTAAATCCTTATAATGCTGAACATTCAGTATAGATACACTCATTTTCTTTAGCATATTGATCAGCTTCATAAAATTATACTTCTCTTAAATTCTATAGGTCTGTTTTATTTCCAATAAGTAGAAATTTCATTCGACTATTACCATTATCAAGTGCATCACGATGCCAATTTCTAATGTTTTCAAAAGTCTCTCTTCTTGTTATGTCAAATACCATGATTGCACCAGCAGCTGCTCTGTAATACAAACGTGTCACACTCTTAAAACTCTCTTATCCAGACTTTTCATTAACCATCTTTTTACTGTATCCCACATCTGCAATTTTATGACATGATCATTCACTTAAATATATTTGATATTGAATTCAACTCCAATAGTCAAATTATAGTCATCATTAAAACGTTTCTCAACAAATTACTTTAGTAGCGATGTCTTACCAACAGCTACAAACTTTCAGAGTATCATAATTACCGATATCTCCTATTAAAATAAATTTGAATAACAGACTTGCTTCATTTTCATCGATATTATTTTACAACATTATATTATTTCAATTATTATTATAATTAATATTCTTTAACATTATCATATAAATTATTATGATCAAACTTTTTTTCAAATATTTTATTAATTCTTCTTCTTCATTCTATCTTCTACTACTATTACTTGTTTTATTTTAATACCATTTATTGAAAATGTTATTGATACTATTAATTCTATTTATCTATTAAATAATTTTATATATTTTACATGTTGGAGGTTTTGGATCTATTTTCATTAATTCCATGTACTCAACTAATTAATCAGGTAATTCAGCTAATACTTCTTTTGATAAAAGTGCTGAATCATGTTTAAATTAATTGAATGCAACAAATTGAACCAAATCTCTTACAGCTTTCTAACCTTTACTATTTAACATAGTTTTATCATCATTATCTAATATATTCATCTTTTTGAAATCTGCATTCCCTATTCCAACAATTATTATTGATAATGGTAGATAAGACGATGCTATAACATCATCTATTGATGCTTATAAATCATCTGTTTATCCATCTGTTAGAATCATTAATATTAAATAGTTTTCACTTCCCTTATCTTTTATTTCTTAAGCCATCTACATTGATTTTGATATCATTGGATGTATATAAGTTGGACCATCTAATTATAAATTATTAATTGAATCTCTATAACATTTAATTATACCCTCTAATCCAAATACTCTAAAATTAATTTTATATTATTTTATACTCAGGATCTTCTGGATTATCATTCAAAGGAAATATATGTTATGTTTAATTAGAATTTATATTCTTTAATTTTGGTTTACATCCAAAACCATAAATTGGCACCTTTTTATCATAGTCATAATGTATTAAAATCTCCACTACACTTGTTATTGCCTATAAATATTAACTTGGATCTCCATTTTATGGCATATAATGTAATGAATTTTTCTCTTATGGATTGCCATTTGATGCTGTGAAATCTATTGCAATTATCAAATTCAATTATTAACCACCCTCTAAATAATCTAAAAAACTATGTTTTTATTTTAAATTAAATTTATCAAAAGATAAAGTTCCTACCTATTAATTATTTTTTTATTTATTTCTAAAGTCTTTTTTTTAACCCTTATTTTATTAAAAAGCTTCTCTCAATTCTTCTATACAAAATGTTGTTTCCCCTAAATATAAATGTTTTCCTGATGTTCTATAATCCCAAAGTTCTATCTTTATAGGCATCTAATAATCTCCATTACAAAGTTTCTATGATTTACATTCTATAGTTTTCCATACTGGATTTGAAGAATCCTTTATATATTCTGTTTCATAAACTAAAATTGGATTACTATCATCTTTCCTTAATCTATAAAATCTCAAAAATGGACAAGCCCCACGCCAAAACCAAAATCGAGTATCAAGTATATTTTAACCAGATATTGTTATTTCCAAATCATCTTTACATTATTTTACTTAATCTGCCTTTACAATTATCTTTCCACTCTTTTTTCCTTATTAATTAAATAAATCTGCCATCAATAATTAATCTTTTGTTCCTGCAATCTCTCCTACTGAAGTTTATGCTATTCCAATTATCTATAAATAGTGATAATTTTTATACTTTTGATTGATTTTCATTAACATAATGATGAACTTCTAATTTTAGATGCTATTAAACTTCAAAATGATAATCAATTATAATCGAATTTGCAAAATTAGGATTTAAATTATTCCATATCAATTCTGTCTATCCTATCTTGCTCCCTATTTACTTTATTACATAATATTACAATCATCTTTATTGCTTTTTATATAAAGAATAACATATGGATCACTTACACTTGTTGTGTCCAAGTCATCTAATTAGCGACAACTAATAAATAACTCTAATTTCTAAATTGCCTCTGAATATTAGTTTTAATCTTATTGTGATAACATTTTAATTTGACTTATTATTGAAAAAAGAAATTAATAGAATAATTATTTATTACAATTTATACTATGGTTAAAAATCAATATTTATTCTAAAATTTAGCTTAAATCATTTTGAACTCTATATACTCTTAAGATTTCAATCCAAATTAATCCCTTAACATAACTAAGTTATCGAGACAAAGAAGATTACCTCTTAAATATTTTTTTCATTTTTTTCCAGTATGAGTATTTTCATCTATGGAAAACTTTCAAACTAGTTTTATCAAATAAAGAAGTTCATTTATTTGAAAATCTCATATATAAGAATCTTAGTTAAAATTAATTATAAATTTCATCAGATTGTTTTCAGAATTCTTTAATTAATATAAATAGATATTTTGAACTATTTTTTTAATAAATTATAAAGATAACAAACATGACTATGATTCTAATACTGGCAATGCTATCTATAACTTATAGCTAAAAGAATACAGTAATCTGTGATATTGAAGAATATTTTGAATTTGAACAAAATGAAAATATTCTTGATCATACAAGGATAAATCAGACTGACATAATGCTGACCAATTCAAATATTTACATATTGAATGAAAATTTATTAGTGTTGAATTTCTTCGAAACTCCAAAATTTGATGGTTATGAATGTAATAAAGTGATTACCCATCCATTAAAATAAATATTTTTATTAGCTTGTTAATCTTAAACAAAAGAAAACAATTCTTTCTTATTTGCCTATTAAGAAAATGGATTAAATTAATATAAAATATTTGGAGATGCAATATATTTGCCATCAGTTAAAGAAAATTTTGAAAAAATGATAATGGTAGGAAATAGTTTACTAATTCCTCAGATTAATAAGATACTTACTTTCACCACAGTAATTTCAAGTACTTCATGGTATTTAAAAAGCACTCCTTATATTATGGATGCTTAATTCCTTAATATTTCTACTCTAAATATCACAGATTTTAATATATTTTCATATGTTAAAGATTTTTAAACATATTATAGAATCTTAATTTCAGATTATGAAAATGGAGTATATTGGATTGATGGAGTGTAAAAATCCAATAATATTGTACCCTATAATAGTGGAAAACTTAACATAAGAAGTTTTTACATTCCAAACACTGCAAGATTTAAGTCGGCAGTAATTTTAAATGCCAGTGAAACAAATATACTTTTCATTTTATAAACTTATTTAGAAGGTAGTTTTCTATTTGAATAATCTTTTACGAGTGGTTAATTATATTTATATTCAACATTAAACAAGTATAAAGATTGGAATCCAATATCATCTATCACAAATAATTAGAATGCTATATTTATACCATATTAAAATATTTAAAAGGTAGTTGTTATTAATTTATTCAACATAAAATCTTTGAAAGAGAATGAATTTAAAGCTGAACCTAATGATTTATTAATTTCAGCTTCAATAGACAATTTGATATTATACTTCATTTCTGAAAATAGATTAATATTTAGAAGTGATGTTGATGCTTTGACAAGATGCACTTTAATGAATTACTAAGAAGCTTGATTGATATATATTTATAAATATATCATAATATATCTTTAATATAATAAAATCTAATAATACTTAATTCTCTTTAATTCATTTGCATATGTGTTTAATCTTATTAGTTTTGATATTTTTAGATTATAATGAAATTAATTTTTTTTCTTAAGTTCTTCATTTTTTTTTTCTATTCTATCATCGATTTCATTTATGGATCAGTATAACAAGTTTTCTTTCTTTGGATTTTGATCTATTGATGTCGAATAAATCTATATATCAATTCAAAATCTATTAATTTTACTTTTTCTGCTTTTACTTTGCTCAGAATTCCATCTTCATATACATATCATCGATTTCTAATAAGGCTTTCTTATTTGAACATTTTAATTTTCAATTTACTCGATTTTTTATCAGATGTTCACAATAGAGAACTTTGTATTATATTGTAATATCAAATAAATAAAATAATATCAAAAAAATAATCATAATGAAGATGATATTCTTATAAACAAAACTTCTTATTAAAAATTTAAAAGGATTGTAAGAATGAATAGTATTTTAATCACACCAATAATAAGTAATATTTTAAATTAAGCTTTTTAAAAATTCATTTAAATTGATAACTTATTACTTATTTACAATTAAGATTTTGGAAGATAAAAAAAGGAAAAATAAATAGAGGACAATTTGAAATGATATATAGAATAAGAAAATTTAAAATAGTTTGTTTGATAGATCTTTTAAAAGAAAAAATAAATAAAATTATTGAATATAGAATTATATTAATGAGATAGATAAATATAAAATAATATTTATGATGAAAAAGTACATATTTATTCTTCAGAATGAAGAAATACGTCATCCTTACTCTGATAAGTGCTATAAAGTTAATATATATCTTTTTAATATAAATTAAATATGTAAATATTAAAAAAATTCACAGATTCTAAATCAGCTTAAATAGGATTAGTTGTTGCCTTGGGTTTGAGTGGAGTTATTTTTGGTTATCATAGATATGAGAAATAAAGGCAATCAAGAATAATTCTTAATGAAAATAATCCATTAGCTTCTTAAAATGAGTTTGGATAGAATCGATTTTTAACAGAAAAAGGAGCTTTATAAAGATGGGGTTAATTAATATAAGGAAGTATATCTTATAAAGTAGATTTATTATTGAAGAAAGGTATTGATAATTAATATTATGTAGGTGAATCATATAGTGGTTTAGTAACATTGGAATTTGATTTGAAGAATAGTTTGAATGATTTGTATGTTGATTACAGAGGATAGAAAGTTGTGAGTTTGTATGTAAATGGAAATAAGATAAATAATTTGGAATGGAATGGATTGTTTATTAGAATACCAAGGGAATTATTAAGTACAGCACAAAAAAATAGAGTGAATATATAGTTTGATTAAAATTATGCTAAAGATGGATGTGGATTACATGGGTTTATAGATAAGGATGGGAAATAATATTTATATAGTTAATGTGAATCTTATTTTACAAATAGATTGTATATTAAATTTAATAAATTAGTTTTCCATGTATGGATTAACCTGATTTAAAAGCTAAATTGAGATTTACAGCAGTTTGTCCAAAAGAGTGGGTAGTAATTTCAAATGAAAATGCTGATTAAAATGGANTTTTAAATTAAGCTTTTTAAAAATTCATTTAAATTGATAACTTATTACTTATTTACAATTAAGATTTTGGAAGATAAAAAAAGGAAAAATAAATAGAGGACAATTTGAAATGATATATAGAATAAGAAAATTTAAAATAGTTTGTTTGATAGATCTTTTAAAAGAAAAAATAAATAAAATTATTGAATATAGAATTATATTAATGAGATAGATAAATATAAAATAATATTTATGATGAAAAAGTACATATTTATTCTTCAGAATGAAGAAATACGTCATCCTTACTCTGATAAGTGCTATAAAGTTAATATATATCTTTTTAATATAAATTAAATATGTAAATATTAAAAAAATTCACAGATTCTAAATCAGCTTAAATAGGATTAGTTGTTGCCTTGGGTTTGAGTGGAGTTATTTTTGGTTATCATAGATATGAGAAATAAAGGCAATCAAGAATAATTCTTAATGAAAATAATCCATTAGCTTCTTAAAATGAGTTTGGATAGAATCGATTTTTAACAGAAAAAGGAGCTTTATAAAGATGGGGTTAATTAATATAAGGAAGTATATCTTATAAAGTAGATTTATTATTGAAGAAAGGTATTGATAATTAATATTATGTAGGTGAATCATATAGTGGTTTAGTAACATTGGAATTTGATTTGAAGAATAGTTTGAATGATTTGTATGTTGATTACAGAGGATAGAAAGTTGTGAGTTTGTATGTAAATGGAAATAAGATAAATAATTTGGAATGGAATGGATTGTTTATTAGAATACCAAGGGAATTATTAAGTACAGCACAAAAAAATAGAGTGAATATATAGTTTGATTAAAATTATGCTAAAGATGGATGTGGATTACATGGGTTTATAGATAAGGATGGGAAATAATATTTATATAGTTAATGTGAATCTTATTTTACAAATAGATTGTATATTAAATTTAATAAATTAGTTTTCCATGTATGGATTAACCTGATTTAAAAGCTAAATTGAGATTTACAGCAGTTTGTCCAAAAGAGTGGGTAGTAATTTCAAATGAAAATGCTGATTAAAATGGATTATATAATACGAATTAAGTAGTTAATACAATTAAGGGTTATTAACCTGAAGAGATTGTGTAAAATTAATTATAGAATCTTGAGAATGCAGATTAATATAATTTTTGGGTATTTAATGAGACAAAAGTATTACCAACTTATTTATATGCAATGGTGGCAGGAGAATATTGGTCAGTTTAATTTTAAGGAGAATAAGATGATGTTCCATAGACAATTTATTGTAGAGAAAGTTTAAAAGATCATATGATGGGATTAAAGGATTTTATTTTTGAGGTGACTAAAAAGAGTATGAAATTTTATGAGAGTTTCTTTGGTGTAAAATATTAATTCAATAAATATGATTCTGTATTTGTAAATGAATATAATTGGGGTGCAATGGAAAATCCTGGATGTGTAACATTTAATGATATGTATGTATTTAAAGAAAAGAAACCAGCAACAAGTTATACATCATTTGCAAATACAATTACTCATGAAATGGCGCATCATTGGTTTGGAGATTATGTTACAATGAAATGGTGGAATGATTTATGGTTGAATGAGAGTTATGCAGATTTCATATCACATTTTTGTTAAGAAAACATATAAATAGAGTCAATTAAATTATCAAATATTCCTGTTATGTTTAATTAAAGAAAGGGATGGGGATATAGAGAAGATTAAATGATAACTACTCATCCAATAGCTGGTTAAGTTATTAATACTGAAGTTGCTGAAAATATTTTTGATGGAATTACATATTCTAAAGGTGCTTCAGTAATGAAATAATTAATGTGTATTATGGGTGCAGATAAATTTGGATAAGCTTGTGGAGCTTATTTTAAAGAGTTTGGATGGAAGAATGCTGTTTTATAAGATTTAATTGATCATTTATAAAAGAAATTTGATAATCCTGATTTTACATTATCATAATGGAAATAGTAATGGATTGAAACTGCTGGTATGAATGAAATTGAACCAGAATGGAATTAAATAGATAGATCTCATGAAGCTAAATTAACAATATTTTAAAGACCTGCATTGAGTTAATTTCCTACATTAAGAATTCATAAAATAAAAATAGGATTATTTTGTGATGATGGTACTATAGATTGTATTGATACAGTAATTAAAGCAACAGAAGAAAATGTTGTTATTTATAATGGAAGTAAAGGATATAGAGCAATATTGCTGAATTATGAAGATCAATCATTTGTTAAAGTACTACTAGATAAAGAATCTACTAAATATTTCAGTTAAAATTTATAATCTGTTAAAGATATTCTAACTAGAACTTTAATTTATAGAGCACTATTTGATAGTGTAAGAGATGGCAAAATATCTTCAGAAGAATATGTAGATTTCTTGTTAGCTTAATTACCAAGAGAAAATTCAGATGATATTTTAAATTCTTAATTAGTTTATTTATAAGCTGCTATTGGAACTATGACACCAAGAAGGTAAAGTATAATTACAATTAATTAGATTTAAAAAGAATCTTGGAAAAAGAGTTTTCGTATTTCTTTTAGAATAATTAATTAAAGTTAGTAAAATACCAGAATCAGAGAATAGATTAATTTTATTAAGAAATAATTTATCATTATTTGCATATGATAATTCTTGTATTGATGATTTATTGAATTGGTTTTAAGGTTAAAATTAAGAACTTTAATAAATTGAATGCACTAAAGATAATAAATGGGCAATTGTTAAATTAGTTCATGCTTCTAAAAAATATGATAATAATCCAGAATTAAGATAATAATTACTTTAATAGATGTTATAAGTTGATAATTCTGATGCTGCAACAAGAGCTTAATTAAAATGTTAAGCTCTTATTGCTAATGAATAAGAAAGAGTTGTTCTTTGGTAAAAATTCATTGATCCAAATAATAAAGAATCTACTAAATTGATTGCAGAATCTATGGGTGGATTTAATAATGAAAGACGTTATTCATTAGTTGAACCATACTAAGATAAATTCTTTGAAGTCCTTATTTAAATATTCTAAACAAAAAGTAATGATTTTAGTAAAACCTTTTATGATTATTTATTCCCAATTACTGATGATTTGGCTAGTCTTTGTAATGTAATTATATTTATATATTATTAGAAACTTGAAAAATTAAGAACATCTATTCCTTAAGATTTAATTACCCTGAAAATATCAGTTGATAAATCTCTAGATTCAGTTAGGAGATAAGTTAAACAATTTGAATGTTTTTGTCTTTAAGCTAAATTAGCCACAACATAATAATAAATAATTGAAAATGAGGAATGAGAGATATCAGATATAACAGATATAACAGATATAATATTTAATACATAAATAATTAATATGAACACATCGTTTGAATAAATAAACAAATCCCCTTTGAATCATTCTATATCAAAATAGCTTTACTCTTTTCCTAAAGCTAATAGATTTAAAGAGTTTAAGGATTCAGCGTTATTTATCATAATTATATATCTAGATGTCCTAATATTTACACACTCCCTAGTGTGATGAGTAAACGTGGAGCAGGTATTGGATATGGATAAAAGTCAGATTTGATCTAAGAAAGTATTACACCAGGTCCAAACAATTATTAAATGAAGACTACTCTCAACGTAAGCAATGGTTGGACTATGCCAGTAGGCAGAGATGTATACATCATTTAAACATACCAAAGAAAAGTAATAAATATGAAGGTATCTTTCTTGGTTTAATTCAAAAAACACCAGGACCAGGATAATATGAGTTTCAAGATTCTAAATCTCCTATTAAATATTCAATGAGAATGAGAACTGAAAGTTAAAAGGATAAGGATAAAAAACCTGGACCGTAAGTGTATTTAAATTATATTTTTAGTGGTCAATACAATTTACCTGAAGCATTAACTGAAAATGGAAAATATAAAATTAGCAAGTTTAGAGAGTAATTTTTATTAATTGAATTAATAGTTCAGGTGCGATCATTCTCTCTCCACCTAAAGCAAAAAGTTCTCGTTTTTCTCCTGCTAATGAACGTACTCCAGGACCAGGTTAATATTAACATACAGGTGATATTGATCCAAAAGGACTTTATTATTGTTCCAAATTTGTAGATACGAAATCTACAGTCTTCACTAAAGCCAAAAGAGAATTAACTAAAATAAGAGTAGAATCTCCTGGACCAGGGGCATATAAATTACCATCAGAATTTGGGTATTCCATCATTTTTAAATATAGATATTATGAAAAACCAACTAAATGAAATCTATTTTATTAGTTAATTATTAATAAACATATTTTTAATTTTTAAGAATAATCCTATCATATTTTTTATTTTATTTCTAAATTACACATCATAACTCATATATAAAATTTAACAAATCTTTTTCAAATTAAAATTTATAATAAGTATATGTTTTAATCAAAATCTCTTTATTGTTACTTACTATTCCTTCATGTACGTATAATTCTAAAAAAGATTTTAAATTGTTTCCTATCTAAGTAATAGTAAATTTTCCTGAATCATTTCATCTTAAGAATCATGATCAGAAGAAATTTCTCGAATAAAATCTTCATCTTATGATTTTATCAGTTTAAATGGAGATGGCAATTATTTTTCATGTAATCCTTTCCATGGAAATCCTTAGAACCAAGGATGAGATTAAATTTCTTCAATTCCACTAAAACCTAAACGAGCTTATGGTTTTCTCTGTAACATTTAATTAATAAAATCAGCTGCTTCCCAAGACCAATTTTGAGGAATTTCATGTTTTTTAAGTGAAACCTATTTTGCAATAATAGCATCTCTAATATCTCTTCGAGTTTTGCCTAAATAGGGTCTTTTACCCATCATAAATTCATAAGCCATTACTCCTAATGCAAAATGATCAACTCCAAAACTATGATTTTATCTAAACATAACTTCTGGAGCTAAATTTAAATTAAAAATAAAAATACCCATATAACCAGGTGTTCCACTTGTTTCTTGAGAATTTTCTGGTTTTACTATTCTAGCAATTCCAAAATCAGTTAATCTTGGATAACCTTTCTTATCTAAAACAATATTCTCTGGTTTAATATCTCTATGAATAATCCCATTTCTATGAAGATATTCTAAAGCCAAAAGCATATTTGCAATCACAAACTCTAAAATTATTAAATTAAGATATCATACTTGTATGTTATTCTGAAAATCTACGCATTTTACCAATATGATATCTAAGGTCACCACCTGTTAATAAATCCATAACTAAATATAAGTTTTCTCTATCCTAAAATGCATAATGAATATTTGCTATAAAAGAATGTTTTAGTTAAGTTAGAAGAATTCTTTCATTCATCACTGAATTGACAGATTTTTTGGCCAAAACCCTAATAGCGATATTTCAACTTACTTGGCTTTACTCATCTCTTTCATTGCAAATAATTTATGTGTTTTGTTCATTTCAACTCTCCAAACTTTACCAAATCCTCCTTTCCCAAGAACATAATGAAATTTAAAATTACCCCTTCCAATTTCAATATCGCTAGTAGGCATTCGTAAAGAATACTATTCTTCAAACAATCTTGATTAAGGTCTTGAATATATAGAATTTCTAAAGCTACGTCTTTCTTATGATTTTGGAGCTTAGAAAAGCTTCTGTTACTAATCCAATTATATTTGATATGATTTGCGAGGTAATTATCTTAATTGAGGACTAGCACTGTTTTTGTTACTGGATAACTCATCTTATCTTTTTCTAGATTAACTGAAAGAACTCTCATTTTAAAAGCAAAGATTAGTTTTCCACATTTTTTGTTATTCTTTAGGAGATGTTGGTGTTGAAATAGGAATTGGATTATTGAATGATGGCAATTTTGAATGACGTGTTGTAAGTATTGATTGATTTTATTTTACACGATAAAAACTTACATCCACACCATAATTTTGTAGAATATTTCTTTAGCCAATCGAATTCTTCATTTTTAATTATTTAATATATGAATCAGATAGATAAAGAAATCTAAGACAACCAAGAAAAGGAAACCAAACTATAATAAAAGTTAACCATATTAGTTAAATCATAACTTGCATAAGAATAGATCAATTAATAAAAAATATTAAGGATGCTACAATTAGTAAAAGAGAGCATTAATATTCTATAACAATTCAAATTGAAGAGTAAATCATATTAAAAGTTAAAGAGGATTTTAAATAACAAAATAATAAAAAAAATAGATTAATAAATTTCAAACAATTATGTATGAAAATAAGAATTCAATTTCAATTTAAAGATCATGAGTCTAATTGAAAATTATTAGAAGCAAAAAGATTAGATATTATGACTAAATAAATTATTCTCTATTAATAATTTGGAATCATTTGATTAAAAAATAATACAAAAAGGCTAAGTTTAAATGCAATCAAAAGAACTAATAGTAGAATATGATCTAAAGAAATATGATATTTATGATATCAAGTTAAAAATGAATTTAGTGATATTGATGTTCATCAAATGAAAATGATAGTAAAATTTATGTATTTATTCTAGTTTATAATTGATGATATCTTAATAAATGAAATAAAAAAAAATGTTATGGTATCATTTAATTAATTTTGATTTTAAATTTATTATTAAAATTACTTGAGAGGTCTATTTAAACTTTAATATTTACAAAAGATGAAGATCTATAAATTTTTTTTTAGTAAAATGCTAATTTTTAACTATAATGTAAAATTAAATCAATTTAAAATTACTCTCAATACTTTATTATTCTAAAAGTAAGGGTAAGATTAATAAACCATAAGATTAGTCAATATGAGTACAACATTAAGATTGGATGATTTCTTAAATAATTAACTTGCATTTCCAAAATCTCTCAATCTAATTAATATCCAGTAAATATATATTTCAATAAAGTATAAGTTTGTAAGACCAAAACGGATTATGTTTAGAAAAACATCTAAATATGTCTATAAATTCATTAGACATTCTTTGTTCTAATTAATCTGGCTTGTTTAGATTCATTTATTTCGTAGCTTACTAAATAATAAATTATAATATGTAAAGTGAAATATAAATAATGATGATAAAAAATAGTCAAATAGAAAAGAAGAAAGTTTATAATAATAAATCAATAAATTAAAAAAGATGAATATAGATTATAATAATATTTTGAGGAAGAATATATGGTAAGGCTGACTATTTAGAATTATTAAATTTAATAGGAAGTGTATATAAATGACATAAAATAAGTTAAAAAATCAAGAAATTATATTCCAAAATAGTTAAACTAAAAAGAATGTTTGTAATTATTACTAATATTGCTGAAACTTCTATAGAATTACCTAAAAATACGTTATGTTTTTGATATTGGAAAATAAAAAAGAATAATAATATATTACAAATATTAGAGAAAAATATGCGAATGAATGAATGAAAAATCAGCTTAGAAATCCATAGATATTGATATTAATGATCAAAGTGAATTAAAATATTTTAAACTAGACGCTTGAATGAATGTTATATAAAAATAGAAATCATAAAAACTTTTTATAAATTTTTAATTCTTAAGGCATGGCTCCAATACTTTAATCACTTTTTTCAATATTTTTCACATAATTACTTGTATTCGTATATCTATGACTTGTATTTTAGTGAGAACTAGTTTTTCTATGTTAGGAAGGAGTCGAAAGTCCTATTATTTCTTAATTCAATTTTTGCATGACTTTTATAGATTAAATTAGTTCGCCTTCATTATCTCCAATTCTTGTGGTTAATTATTTAAGTTTTTAGTAGATGCTTTAAGGATCCACTTATTTATTGTTAACAGCTGCAATAACATCTTTTTCTAATTTCAAAACATTTTTTTGAACCATTTTAAAATATGATTGNTAAAAGTAAGGGTAAGATTAATAAACCATAAGATTAGTCAATATGAGTACAACATTAAGATTGGATGATTTCTTAAATAATTAACTTGCATTTCCAAAATCTCTCAATCTAATTAATATCCAGTAAATATATATTTCAATAAAGTATAAGTTTGTAAGACCAAAACGGATTATGTTTAGAAAAACATCTAAATATGTCTATAAATTCATTAGACATTCTTTGTTCTAATTAATCTGGCTTGTTTAGATTCATTTATTTCGTAGCTTACTAAATAATAAATTATAATATGTAAAGTGAAATATAAATAATGATGATAAAAAATAGTCAAATAGAAAAGAAGAAAGTTTATAATAATAAATCAATAAATTAAAAAAGATGAATATAGATTATAATAATATTTTGAGGAAGAATATATGGTAAGGCTGACTATTTAGAATTATTAAATTTAATAGGAAGTGTATATAAATGACATAAAATAAGTTAAAAAATCAAGAAATTATATTCCAAAATAGTTAAACTAAAAAGAATGTTTGTAATTATTACTAATATTGCTGAAACTTCTATAGAATTACCTAAAAATACGTTATGTTTTTGATATTGGAAAATAAAAAAGAATAATAATATATTACAAATATTAGAGAAAAATATGCGAATGAATGAATGAAAAATCAGCTTAGAAATCCATAGATATTGATATTAATGATCAAAGTGAATTAAAATATTTTAAACTAGACGCTTGAATGAATGTTATATAAAAATAGAAATCATAAAAACTTTTTATAAATTTTTAATTCTTAAGGCATGGCTCCAATACTTTAATCACTTTTTTCAATATTTTTCACATAATTACTTGTATTCGTATATCTATGACTTGTATTTTAGTGAGAACTAGTTTTTCTATGTTAGGAAGGAGTCGAAAGTCCTATTATTTCTTAATTCAATTTTTGCATGACTTTTATAGATTAAATTAGTTCGCCTTCATTATCTCCAATTCTTGTGGTTAATTATTTAAGTTTTTAGTAGATGCTTTAAGGATCCACTTATTTATTGTTAACAGCTGCAATAACATCTTTTTCTAATTTCAAAACATTTTTTTGAACCATTTTAAAATATGATTGAATTATTTAAACAGATGCTTATTCTTCTGTTTCTTAAATAAGACCAGTAGAACTTCTTTTGTGTCTAGAATTATCAGATATTTCTTTAGATGTATTTGAACTATCTTTAGAGATCTCTTTTAAAAATTGATTCTCTTTTTCTTTAATTATTTCACTATATTTAGGAGTGGATAATTTTTTATCTTCAGGAAAATATTGTTTATTTTCAAATACTTTATCAGTTTTACTTTACTATTATAATTATTATTAATATTGTTATTGTTGTTATTGACATAATGTTTATTATTATATCACTTATTGTTAGACAGGTTTTTTATTGTCAGTTTATTAAAATAGTAATTATTATGCAATAGTATTTGGAGTTGCAACAGGTGTATTAGAATTTGGTTTAAAGAAATCATTGATTTTATTTTATTAGATATTTGATGTATTAGCTTATGTTTTAGCTTTGCCTTGAAAATATAAATTTTGATACATTCAATAGGAACTTCTTATTAAGGAATTTAATAAGATTACTTTTTTTAATGATTTGATTAAGTTGGCTTAGAAAGTTGTTTGGTTGGAGATATTCTATCGGATCCTAAATTTGGTTTCTTTTTATTAAATTAGGTATGATTAAAAGCATTTGATGGATTACTATGAGTAGCTTATACAGTTAACATTTCACCAATTTTTTATGCATTTTTATTGATTGGTTATGATAAATCTGAAATTTAATATGCATTAGATTGTCTTCTTCCTAGGATGGCATCTTATTAATTTTTTTATAGTGAGAATTAACTCTATGTTGAATAATGAAACGTACTTCATTCAATACTTCTTTTTCCATTTCACTTGAATCAGTAATAAGATATAATTCATTATTTTCTATTAATAAATTCTTGATATCATAAGTATGAGTCAATTTACGACATTTAGGACATTGTATTCTAAATTTATTCTAGATTTGACTATTTCTTAATTAAAAGTGATACCTAGTATTTTCTTAGATTTGTATATTGACTCCACATTTCATACACATAGAGTGTGAACATATTAATTATATAGGATTTAATGCAGTCATTTTGCATAATTAACATAGTGGAGATGAGTTTGAACTTTTATTTAGCATTAACTGATTATTATATTTTAATATTAATATATTATGATCATCATGACTTGATGATTTCTGTTTTTAAACCATCAAATGAATCAACAGGAACATGTTATGCAAGTGTATAATATTTACCTTTTCCATCATCTTCTTCCTTCTTTTTTCTAAGTAATCTAACTCTGATTCTTCTTGGTAAATTTCTTATACCTTTAGCCCAAACAGCCTCATTTAAAGAAGGATCTATTCTAACATCTTCTGTTAACATATTCTTTCTTGCTTACTAATTAACTCATCTTCATACCAAAATCTACAATATATGAGACTGCTCTTGGAGCTTTTCTCTTAAATGTTTCTTTATGAACACCTTTATGTAGATTAATTGTATAATCTCTACTAATCTCACCTAATGGATTTGCTTTCCCCTTTTCCTTCTTTACCATTTCAAATAAATAATTTATTTAATATCTTTAATCAAATAAATAAATATATTAAAACAAGTTAATTAAACTCACAATTATTACTTAACTTTTACAGCCCTTCTATTACTGTTCTTTCGAGAATTTGATCTACAATATTTCAAACTTTTACTATAGATTCATGCTATTGCTTGGACTATGCAATTTATGTGTATCTTCATCTATATACCGATAACCTAAAAATATCTCTTACTAATTAGCTTTTTAATGATTTGAATATCGTTCATCGCTCTCATGACAAACCTTTTATTATCCACAACCATACCTTTTTTAATACTGATCTCAAATACAATTTTTTACGTTTCAACTACATTATCGCCTACAATTGATTTTATGTATATGCTTTTGTATGTTATGCTTATTTTGGAATTCCATTCAATTTTATTCTTAAATTGGCAATATTTATTGGTTATTGCACTTTACCATATACATTTAATACTTTCTAAGATTGTTCATTCTCATTATCATATTTATTTTCTATCTCTTACTTCATATGTATTAACTAATTTCCAAAAACGAATTTCTATTTTATCGATTCTCGTAAAGGAGTTGTTTAATGTTTTGGAGGATTTACTCTCATAGGTGAAAGTTGAGGACTTTTTAAGAATAACTTTTTAAAACACAATCTATCAGTTGGTTGAGTTTTTGTAATGTTTGAAACTTAAGAAACTTAAGTGATTTATTTCTTTTCATCTTCATCAGAATCTACAGATTATTCTATATCCCATCCTTTAAGATAATCAATTTATTTATACATAAAATTATATTGTGAAATCACATTCAATTCAGATACACTATTATTATTATTATTTTAACCAGAGAAAATAATTGAAGACAATTTCTTAACATGAGTATCCAACTAATGATGCCCTAGTTAATTTTATGAGTTCAAAGTCTCGAATGTACTTAAGTGTGGAGTAGTAAGGAAATTCAAGCATATTCTAAAAACTTTAAAGAGATTATAGAATGGGATTAATTACTTGGTCTCTTAAAATAACTTTAGAGCTAGTTTAAGAAAAAAGAAAAATAAAATAAGAAATAAATTCAATAAAACAATAAAAAAAAAAGTTAAACCAAAAATTTCAGAATTGCAATGTTAAAGATTTAATAGGAACTTGTTAGAGAAAGAGACTTAATCATATGAGAATAATCCATTTAGCTGAGGTATATACTATGAAAGCTTCTTAAAATGTACCTTTAATTTATTACATATTTTAGAAACAGTATAAGAACATCATGTCATATAGAATTAATATATATTAGGTCCTTATGAAGTAGGTTAAAGAAGATTCTTTTTAAAGAAAGACATTTAGTTAGACCATGCAGAGTAAATCCCTCTTCTAATATATGTAGACAAATAGATAAGTATATATGATTTTGAAAAACCTTAGTCACCTGATATTAGAAGGCCATTTTTACTTATAAAGGTGACTCAATCATAGGGAAAAGGAAGAGCTGAAAATTATTGGGTTGATATTATAAATTTTTTATATTATTATAATTTTAGCATTTAAAAATATAAATAACAATATGGTTTAATTTTTTCAACTGTAATATTTAATAAAAATAACCACTTCTTTTTATAAATTTCATATTTTAAATAGTAATAAATAAGAGAACGAATTCATAAATATTACTGGCCGCCAATAAAATATTTGGTATAATTTTAGCAATGGAAGGAGTGATTTATAAAATACAATGACTTAAAAATTAAAGGAAGATCTTTTAAGATTCAAGAAAATTATCAGTTGAGGGTTAATAACTTTGGGAATAAACAAATGTGAATTAATCAATATTAGAATTCTTATTTAATTGAGTAAATGTAGTAATCTCAATGAATATAAAAGAATCTAGTGAAATTCAGGTGTTTCTTAAAATTGATGATGGATTGCAGTTTTATAATTCATTCAATTTGAAAATTTATTAAAGAGGAAGGAAGTAAGGGAATTTTAAAAGAAGATTTGGCATTAAATAAATATTCAGATGTAGATTTAACATGAATTAATATAGAGACTAAATGTGATTGGCTATATAAATATTTTAACTTGTGAAATAGTTTTGGTTTTAAGATTGAAAATATGTTGTAAATATGAAAGTAAATAATAGGATTCATAATAGGCTAATAGTTTGATAAAAAGATTAAAATTTTGAAGAGGACCGCCATATGGATTTTAATGAAGATATTTTTGATACAAGAAATTTTATTAGAATTAATGAAGGTAGTAATTTAATTACATAAAAATAATCAAGATTGTTTCGAATATGTATTGGTATGGTATATTTGCAGATAATAAAATGGAGATTAAAATGGATGTTTGAATTTTAAAATTTATCCTTTAAATTTTTATTACACTTTTTGTAAAATTTAAACTATTTTTAATTTTCTTTGTTTATTCCTTATAATGTAAATTAACTAATTGCCATAAAATTGTAAGGATAGATTAGCAGATTTGGAGGCTCGTATTCTAAAGAAACCAAAAGTTGAAATTTTGGAGGCTTTCTAGAAAGGAAATTCTTTTGAGGTTTTTTCTACTTAATAAGAGCAGAAATTAGCAACAAAATAATTATCTTTATAAGGAACTCCTCGTAAGAGTTGTAGTGATCAAACACTCTTTCGTTAATTATAAATTACATAGTTTACAAAAAATATGTAGAGGAAATAAAATTATAATAATAATTTTGATTTAAATGGAGATGAATAATAAAATGCTGAATAAATATTAAAAGAGAAATTGAATAGAATAAGAATATAAGATATACGTATAAAAGAACTAGAGACAAGATTAAGTGAGTTGAATTAAGAATTATAAGTATTAATATATTTAAGATATAAAAAAGGAATAGAAGGATTAATAATTTAAGAGTGAAGGTGTAATAAAATAGTTTGTAATTGAATTGGATTAATATGAGAGAGCATAGATTGTAATGGAGATAGAGAAGAATAGAGAGAGATTAGGAGAGTATTCTTATTAAAGAGAGAAGACATAAATATAGGAAGTTTGGAAGGATGGAAGAGAAATTAAGTAAATTAAAGAGAAATTGAAATTGATAATAAATTAGAAAGAAGAAATAGAAAACAGAAAGAAATAATTTTAATTTCAATCTTCATCTGAATACTTGAAATATGTATTATTGTCTAAGGAAGAATAATAATTATAAGAGGAATTGAATCGTTTAGAGAATGAGAGATAGATATTTTTAAAATAATTGAGAAGGTAATATGATGAGGAACGTGCTAGATTTAAAAAGTTTAATGAATATCGAATAATAGGAGAGAGATATGTTCTGTTATAATTATTGGGTAGAGGTGGTTTTAGTGAAGTGTATAAGGTATTATGATATTTATATTTAGGGATATGATTTAAAAGAATTAAAATATGTTGCTTGTAAGATTCATTAATTAAATCCAGATTGGTCAGTCACCTCAAAATCTAATTATGTTAAACATGCTACAAGGGAATATAAAGTTCATAGAGAATTGTTACATCCTAATATAGTTAAATTATATGATTCAGTTGAAATTGATGTAAATACTTTTTGTACAGTTCTAGAATATTGTGATGGATGTGATTTATCCATCTATATTAAAAGATATAAGTATTTTTAAGAAAAAGAAGCTAAATTAATTATTTAATAGGTACTTAATGCTCTTAAATACATTCATTAAAGTAACATCATTCATTATGATATCAAACCATAAAATATATTATTTCATCAAAATGAAATCAAATTATCAGATTTTGGTTTATGTAAGGTTGTTGATGGTGATAAATCTAAAATGGAATTAACTTCATAAGGAGTAGGAACTTATTGGTATTTACCACCAGAATGTTTTCATACAGGAGAATAACCACCTAATATTTCAAATAAGGTTGATATTTGGTCTTTAGGAGTCATATTTTATGAAATGCTTTATGGATTAAAACCATTTGGATAAGGATTTAGTTAAGAAACTATTCTAAAAGAATAAGTATTTATAATGTTATAATATAGATTATTTTAAAATCAGAGAATGTTAATTTTCCTACAAAACCACATGTATCTAATGAATGTAAAGAATTCATTAAAGGATGTTTGAATTATTGTTAAACAGAAAGGTTTGATATTGTTCAAGCTTGCAATCATTAATACATATAGCAGAGAAAATGAAATAATTATTAATTTTATTCTTTATATTTATTCATTGAAATAGTTAATCTATTTAGCAATCAATCAAGGCCAATTTTAAATTTACTTTTCTAAAAAACTTTTTAATCTTTAACCTAAAATAATAGATTTATTAATACCATGAACAGTTTAGTTAATTGCTGATTATTCAGATTGGTTCTAATATAAGTGATCTGAAATATATTTTAGTACATTGTGATCACTTAGCACTAAGAATTTCTTTATTACATAGTTTGCACATTAATGATTAGCTAATACTACGAAATTACTAGTGCTATAAAAATCATTTTTAAGATTTTACTATTGATTAGAACTTTTGGAAAGTAACCATTTCATAATACAAATTAATTCTTGTTTGCCCAATACCTCTAATGCTCTTTCAACAGTATTACTCGTAATCATAGTTTTTAAGAATACCTAGCATATTTATTAATGCTGAGTTGAAAAAACTGTTGTACAACTAATTAAACTAAATAAGTTTTCTCTTGACTTGGTATCCAAAATTGGAGAATATGTTATAATACATAATTTCCATATTCTGTTTAACTTAAGATATTGTAATTTGAGACAGACAGTCTTATGATCTTTATTATTTATTGTTGAGAATATTATTAAATAATTTTATGAATAATCTTGCAACCATAAATTTACTATCCCAAATAATTGAACTATAAATATGGATTATATCAAATACTGATTCTTCAACTATAGGAATAATAAATTCCATTTTTTATTTATCATAAATTTCGAGCATTTTGAAAATGACGTAATTTCCATTCAAATCAAAAATCAAAGATCGCATATTGATTTATAATTATTACAAGATTATATTTTAGAGATCATTTTGATTATAAGTATATTCGATTAATTTCTAAATGACTCTGCAACCATAAGTGTTTTTAGACAAATCATAAAAGTGAGGTTTGAGTTTATTGAACATTCTAAGTTACAATTTATTATCATCTATAAAATAATATATAAATATGAATACTGCATTCAAAGACTTTTTACACAACATAATTACCGAAGATGTCTTTTTCAACTTATGGACTTGCATTCTCCAATTTTTGAACAATTAATTCTTTTTAATCATTTGAACCAGATTCAAGAATCTTTTGTAATTTTCTACTAACTATCTAATTACCCCATAATTAATCCTAGATTATATTATTTTAAATCTTACAATTAAATTTGTTATATATAAATCCATCTCAATGTATATTTGATTATGACAATCAATCAAAGGAGAATATATAGATTGATTTAGATATGAAATTTTGTATTGAATCATCTCATTATATTATTCAGTCTCGCTCTTGTCTGAATTCCATAGTTCTTTTATAAATTTTAATGTCTAAGCATTCATTGAAGGATTGTCTGATAATTGTTAATGTATTTGACTTTTTTAATTAAATTCATCAATATCCCAAGAAGATAAAGTTTGTAATGGTTAACAAGTTTTGTGTTTAGGTGATCTTCTAATTTACTCTTTAGGCATCTTGAAACTTTGATATTTCTATTAATCATATGGTTTAAATTTACTTATAATTTGCTTTTATTATCTTCTTATTCATTGATAGTGTCAATATATTAACATTATTTATGATTTACAATACTCTCTTTTGGTGAAGTATCCAAAGTCATCTATTCAAAATCTTCTGTTAATGAGTTACTTATTGGAGTCATTATCATATCCAATTTTCCCAGTCTATATACTATAAAAAGATTACTTTAATTTATATTAATCACTTTTTGGTCCCTCCCCAAATTCAGTTCCTTAAAAATCTTTTGATAAAGAAGATATTAGAGTATCATTTAATGTATTATTCATCTTTGGGGTTTTTATTGATTAATTAATAAAACTTTTTATATTATTTTTTTAATTCAAAATCTTATTTCATTATGACTATTTTTATTTTAGATAATATATTATGATGTTAAATTATATTTATATTTCTTTATAAAATTTATTAGTGTAATATTTTAAATTAGTACTAATATGTTAGAAGATGATGATGTTGAGATAATACATTCTACCAATATCATTAATGATTAATACAATCATTAATAGAACCAAGAATTCATTCGCATCCTAAAAATATAACATCAAGTATATTCGTTTCTTGATTCTAGAAACTCTTATCAAGTAACTAGTCACTAGTTAAAGAAGTTTAACAATA